TTCTGAAAGTGCTCGAGATACTAACGTAACAATCCAATCAAACAGAATTCTAAAAGTGCGTGAGAAACTAACTTAGCAATCCAATCAAAGATAATTCGAAAAGTGCGCGAGATGCTGACGTAACAATCCAATTAAACAGAATTCTAAAAGTGCGGAAGATAGTAACGTAACAATCCAGTCAAATAGAATTCCAAAAATGCGCGAGATACTAACGTAACAATCCAATCAAAGAGAATTTTAAACGTGCTCGAGATACCAACATAACAATCCAACCAAAAATAATTTAAATTGGGGAAAGATACTAAAGTAACAATCCAATCAAAAGGAAATCAAAAAGTGTACGAAATACTAACGTAACAATACAATGAAACAGAATTCTAGAAGTGTGCCAAATATTAACGTAACAATCCAATCAAAGAGAATTGTAAAAGTGTGCAAGATACTGACGTAACAATCCAACCAAAAAGGAATTATAAAATTGCGAAAGATACTAACGTAACAATCCAATCAAAGAGAATTCTAAAAGTGCGCGAGATACTTACGCAGGAATCCAATGAGAGTGAATTCTTTAAGTGCGCCGGATACAACCGTAAAATTTATCAATCTTTGCACGAAAAATGAAAAACTAAATATTGATTTGAACGAATATATATGTATTTTTCTAATAAATATCATCATCAAAGGCCCTAAAATTTAACCGTCAATGGTCAAAGGCTTTAGAAATTATTCGCCAATCGTCAAAATTTTAAAAAAATATTAACAGTCAACCGTCAAAGCTACCTAGATCTTACCTCAAGTATTTGTTGTAAGAGCTCCTTTTTCATGAGTTTAGCCTTGAACGAGGATTGCTTTGCAAAAGTAAAGCATCCCGGAAAGCATTAAAAATTTTTTATTTAGAGATAATAAAAGTAGGCATCTTGGTGTGAAGCCAGGCTAGATTCAGACAAAAGGAATTCAGATACAATATTCTACAAATTCAAGATCTTGGATGAGCCCCCTGGGCAGATACCAAACATGCTTATACATTATAAAATGTCTGCACTTTTCTAGGTAGTACTCTCTCTAAAAAGGTTTAGGAAAAGTTGAATTTAATAGGCCAGTTATTTCTTTTACACACTGGTGACACAGATGAAAAGTATTCATGATCGAAAAAATTACTCAAACGGACACTACAGAAAAGAATTGAGAGCCACCTCAATCAGAAAGAGACCCAAGAAATCAGGCAGTAAATAAATTAGTTCATTTCACAATTTTTCTCTATTATTGATAGAGTTAGTTTCGAACCAGAAAGATACGATAAATCCAGGTTACATCGCACAACACAGACAAATAAACCTTGATAGATAATTATTATAAAAAGCCAATGATCTCACCTTGTTAGAAGTTGTCATGTATTTCTTCTCCTTCCTTGACTTTCTTGATTTCGAGGTATTCTCATTTTCTTCTCGATACTGTCCTATGGAGAAAAAAGGAGAAAGGTATATTATGAATGCGTACGAATCTAGGTACTTTTCATTTTAAATAATTTAAGTCAATCTCTGGCTTAAAAACTCGTCTAGAGCCAGCACATTTTTTGCCGACAAATTTAATGTCCTTAAGTGTCATTGAACAAAGGCATTAGGAAATTGTATTGTAATGAGTATTTTTAAACAAAATGAGTGATTAATTGAGAATAACTTAGGTGAATTAGATTTTTGGCCTTTTACCTTAGAAAAACTGAGTATTTGACGAGTTTATAGTTGCCATGGTAATGTAATACCAATGTTTGCCACTGAGAGATATGGAGATAGAATTGATCCATTTCAAACTTTAATAGGGATTGTGTAAAAATTGGATTCAATTTCATTTGCAGCTTTCTTCATTTTTAACTTTAGTTAGTTTTGAGCATTGATCGGATTTACAAACTCTGATGAGTTAATTTGTTACAAAACTAGAAATCCAACCTTATGGCATACTGATTTTTCGTTCTTTCCGCTCTTGCATTCCTTGATATCCAGGCTGTATCAACTTGATGCTTTTCTAGAGGGAAAAGGGGAAATACAACAAGACTTCATGAATACCTAGTAAAAAAAAAAGAAAGAAAGAAAGAAAACTTTGAGAGGAGTCCCATATTTGATGTTAAATGAAAGTATCAAAGACAGTTCGTAGAAAGAAAAGTCATCAAAAACTCTATCATCGCAATTCAGCGATGGGCCTTTACATTCAATATGGCAAGGAAGATTAAAAGAAAAAGATTCCAAATAAAGGTTTGTCTCTGCCAAAACACTTATTCTGGTTTCTGTTGCAATAATAAAGTGACAAAGAGTATTGCGACTCTTTAAGGTTGGGATGCAGCTACATATAGCTTGATACCATTAAATATTGGGTAAAATTTCCGCACAGCCCCATAGTATTGTAAAACAAATCTGTTTTCCCAATGGCAACGTCTTGCTTTTGTCGTTGTTTTCTCTCTCCAAGAACTGAATGCATAATGTAGTATGGGGCTGTGCGTAAATTTTACCAAATATTTTGTCAGATTTCCTGACAATTAAAATAAAAGCAAGTGGTGCCCTCCGTGGCTTCTGTATGAAAGATGGAAACCAATCCTTCGGTAACCAGAAACTGGAGTCTACGTTATAATGTTTTCACGATTACCTCCTCGGGTTGGAGCATGGGAAACGTGACAAGTGCGTTTAAACACATTAGGTCGATTTACTCAACGTAATCATAAAATCTAGTCGAAAAATATGTACAGTAATGGGAAGAGACAAAGTAAATAAGCGATAATTACACCAAGACTGAATAAAGTACGAGTTTCTCGCGTTGCCACTGAAGTCACGTTCAAGAAGAACCATCATGGCGGCTACCACTGAGTATTTGTTCTAAATAGTGCTATGTGCATTACTCTCTTCTTGCTAACATTGAATCTGTTAGTTAATTTTACAAGGGCCACGACGAGAACGATAATCACTGTATTTCTATCCAAATGTATCTTTCCTCAGGTTATTTACCTGAAGATAGGTCGTAGCAAAGTGAAAAGTAAGAATCCTCGGCATGGTATCTGAACCACTTGATTCAGCATAAGAAACACTCGCCGACGTGGACGGACCAGACAATATCCAAGGTAATAGGATCAAAATCGCGCGTTTCTTGACTCCATAAAAGCTTAAGAAGACACTCAAATTTCTTGTAGTTCGTAAGCTGTTTCCACGTGCAAGACTAAGCGCAAATTTGAATAGTAATTTTAAAGACTATTTGTAATTCAAATGAGTTTTCCTTCTACTAGAGGCGGGGTTCAAAATAATCGACACCGGGTTCTTCGGTCGGATCTGTTCAATTGTAAAACGAAGTAGGATGCCTCACTTTAAATAGAATTTCAACTTAAGAAAAGAAATTCAAAAGAGAGTTGCCAGTGGTGATATAATTTTATAGATATCAACTCGAACATAACTGAACTTGAACTTAGAACATTTTACTTGACCAGTATTTTGTAGTCATTCACCTGTCACCTATCCCTTGACTTCCACAAATGCCGTTAGGGTGCATTTGAAGATGATGCCACCAGCCTTCTCCACGTCTCTGTCCTCCCCAGCCTTCTGGGATTTTGCCAGGTCTAATCCAGTCCATTCTCGGATGTTGTCTGCTCACCTCTTTTTCAATCTTCCTCTCCTGCGGCTTCCTCGGACTGTTTCTTGCAGGATAGTCTTTGATGAGCGGGAAACATGTCCTTGCCACTTTAGCTTGCGCTTCTTTAAAGCTGTGAGTAGGTCATTATGGGGTCTGATTGTAGTCATACAGAAGCATAAAATCACGGCCCTATTCCTCCTTGTCATTATTTATCGATCAACGAGATCTCCGCGGTATATCCTTCTGCTTCCAATTGGAGAAAGCCACATACATCCCTCGAAGAAGCACCGCAATGTGGATGAAAAAGTTAACAGGCGCCGCCCTCGGATGAGCACCGCAGCCCTAGTTAGGCCCTTACACGAATGTTTTTCTCTCAAGCTCCGCCTTGAAAATCCCCTAGGCACACGACGAGGCCATTCACTGTTTCAAAGAAGGACAACCATTTGGCACCGATCTCTATTTAGCTCAGATCTAGGTCTGAAGACACGCGCACCAGAATTGATGTATAAAAACTAATTTATGAAAATTCCAAGGTCATGTTCAGTATTCGCGACAGCAGGAAGTCCTGAAAACGGTGAATCTGCTGTTGTATTTTCTCACTTTTGTGATCCTGGACTGTTCTTGAAAGACATTGACATTGAGGTTGAGCTTCTTGGTTCAGTCGAACAAAATGGACCTCACCTCTTTTTTTCAGTTATAGGAATTTGAGCGAGAACAAGAACAGAAATGCGAGTTAACCTTGCTCAGAACAACAAATACTAACCTAATCGGTACTGTTTCCGTTCGTGGAAGTAATCATGATTCAATAATGCGCTCCATCGTTTAGCTCGTAAATGGGCAGTTTCCGAGATTCTGGAAGCCTCTCAGTTAAATCGAGGCCAAGCAAACCAACGCAATCAAGACACACGAGGTTTTAAGCTTGCCCTCATTTTGAAAACGAGGCTGTCAAAACTCGTTTACGCTGGAAAATTTACGTTTTCTTTTTTTTTTTTAATTTTCCTTCGCAATTCGCGTTCCTCCTCTCCACTCTAAACCATCAGCGTCTCTTTGAATTACCACTGGAGAGCTTTTTTGCGTCAAAAGACCAAAAGCAAAGTTACCACAACGGTCAAATGGAAGGAATGGAAAATACCCTTAACAAACGCGATGAGATCCATCCAATGAATGATGACTAGACATGGTGATTGACGAGTGGCTACAGCTAATCATGACTAATAACTAGGGACATTGATTAATGACTAGTAAATGTAGATGATGACTGGTTTCAGTGAATGTGTTTTGATGTATAAACTCATGAACATATGGGAATCGAATTGGGTATATTAGCAATGGCTATAATGACGGAGAAACTAACTACATGTACGCTTTTATGAGTGGTACCAAGATCTTTTTCAATGCTCTTTAATCTCTCATTACGATCGTATGTTATTGCTTAATATCAAGAATACAAAAATTTACCTGTGTCAAAGTATTCTTTGCTTATTTGGGCTCAAGGGGAGATAAAAATTCTGTCTTTTCTGGAACCCTTACCAAAAATACCACCGCGTTGCCGGTCTATAGTGGCAGTTCGTTGGCTTCATAGGCCTATTTCCTTTAAAAAGTTTGAATTACCTGATTTTTCTTATGTAATTCCTATTTCCAAATTGACAATAATGAATCTATGAGTTTTTCTAGAAATGTTAATTAAAATCACGTATGTATGTATGGGATTCAAGAATTAACATCGATTGAGATCATGAAGAGTATATTATCTCTGATATCTAATTCTCTTACCCATGATTTAAGAATGCACTTAACTCTTTAACTCCCAGAAGTGATAATCTTGTATGTTCTCCTTATGATATCCATACATTACTAGCATACAGGTAATGAGAATACTAAAATGTATCAGGCCGAAGTTGTTACCTTGATCTAACATCAAATTCTCGTAACTAGTTTACCAGGAATTGTGTAGCGGCTAGAGGGAAGAATTAACAATCAAATCCTGAGAGTTAAAAGGTTAAAAACCAAAGTCAAACAGTTTTCACTTGTCCAGTAACGAACTATCACATTATTGTAACAAGAATAATTATTATTGTCTCATCGCCCTACTTAACTTTTCATTTCCAGGTATCAAAAATAATTATCAATGATAAAATAGATGCGTTGTTTGGGCAAAAAGCAAATTACTGAATCAACTGTGGGAGAAAGATTCACAAATTTTGATTCATAGATAAGAGAGCCCTTTCATTCACAAACAGTCCATGCTGATTACAGCTTTGCCACAGGTTTCCTTGACAGAGCTGCCTTTATTATACCAGCTGGCTTGTCTGTAGCCATCAGAACCTACCAGTTAAGAAAAGAGTAATAAACGTTACTTGGGTTATTCAATCTATCTAGGAATTTTAAAAGGTACCAGCCAATTGTCTAGGAAAATTGAAAAGAGCTGACAGGGGGAAGGGAGATTTCCTGTAATATACTATTGTAGCAATGTCATCCAAAAGAAAAAACAGTACTCATTAATGTTTCACATTCCAGACACCAGTATGCCATAGAGAACCCAGAGAATCATGGACTAGAGAGATACTTGTAGAAGCAAGGATGGAGGAAATAGCTGACAACTGGAACAGACTTAGCCTGCAATGCAGGCATCTTAGTGGGGCTCATGATTCTCTATTCATACAGCCATGTTTGATTTGGAGTTAGAGTCAATGGTGGGGGATGGGGGCAGGGAAGGGCTCACCCTGTCCCCCCTCCTTTGACTGACACTCACCCCCTTGGTACAAATTTTGTTGTCTCCCCAGCCTGCCACTACTGTAAAAATCAAAGATGGCAGCTATAATTTCCACAAAAATAAAGCTGAGCATTTGCCTTCCCACCTCCCCCTGTGCTCATCCCTTGGTATAAATTTTGTTTGCTCCCCAGCCTTCCACTGCTGTAAAATCGAAGAAGGCAGCTTTGTTTTCACTGAGATAATACTGAGCACTCACACCCCAAAATTAGTCCTATTCTGTAGGCTAGGACAGACATTCTGCAGACAAGGACATGCTACAAAATTGTGTAAGTTGGAAATGATCAATTGGTGATCTATGCTATACTCTACAGCTACATGTGTGAGGTGGATAAGGTTCAAAGGATCAGTGGAACAGCATTGATATGTTACTTTTCATTAAAATTCTGACCTCATCCTTGTTTGCTATTCCAAATGGTGCCATGTTCACTGTGAAGTAATGGATGTTTGGCATCACCATTTCTACATAACCAATCTGTAAATTAAACAGCACTTAAGTTACACTCAAAATGCAGAAGCTTAGAACAGCATTGTAAAAGCCCTCAAATTTTACAGCTGGGAGTCAGATAAGGCTACAGAGCAACTAGGATACAAAACTGTCAGCCAGGTGGATTCAATTTCAAGCCCTTATCCTTATGGGATCTGTTCTTGTTAGGTGCTATTTGTTCAAAGCAACCTAATCTGCCTTCTGCCAGTTGGGATGTTTAAAAATAATGTTTATGTAGATTTTTTGGGCCTTGATAAGCCCCAAAGAAATGAATGGTTAGTTAAGATGGTGGCAATGAAGACAACAATGATGATGATGATGATGATCAAAATATTGATTATCATGAGCTGCTTTTGGTCACTGCAAAGAAGCAGACATGTATTGCATTATAACCTCAGTAGGTCAGTCAGTAAGCAGTGATAGCAGATGAAAATCCAGTACTTTTGGACCAAAATCTCAGGCTCCTATGTTAACAAACACCAGCTGAAATTTTTCAATTCACCTGTGGAATACTGCTCAAGATCTTTGCTTCTGTCTTGTATAAGGTATTCTGTTATTAAGACCACATACAAAAAAAAAGAAGTGAGACTCTCTTTGTCAATCATCTACAAACTAGTGGACTTCCTCTTAAGCTTAAGAAGCATCAGAATATCATATTTTAAATCTTTTTTAATGAGTACTTGCAACCAAACAAAATATTTTTGAGGGTGGTTTGAATTTGACATTTTAAGTTTCTATTTGGCAGATGAATCATATACACAATTATTTTTAAGTAGGAAAACTCTTGTAAAAAAATAGTGAGCCATGGTCCTTATCAAATAATCATTAATCCAAAATTTTAGCCCATTGGTGGCAGGTCCCCCCCACCCCCACCTGTACCTGTGCACCCACTATCAGTTGGATTAACTGTATTTTTGAACTCACATCTTTGTCTTACTCATCATTTCTACCCAAAAAAATTATTTTACCATGATTAGCATAAATCTAATAAAAATAATAAAAATTGCCTTTGAGTGAAATCACTCTTAATTCATAAAAGAGTATGATAATGGAAACCTATCGATTTTTGTTCACATTTTTTTAAGCAACTCTTGGTTTATCCAAAATATCTATAAGGAGTTCAATGGCAGGAGCACCTTAACAAATCATGTCACAAAAAAATTGAGTATAAAAAGTATCCCAATATTATATAATCAATATGCTATGAAAATAAATGAGCCCTGTAATGGGGCAGTGACCACTCCTACTTTCTTTTAATAACCTAATCACATTGTGTTGTTGTGAGTTGACAGTTCTTGGTTATAACCAAAGAACAGCAATGGATATCTTCATTGACATCTAAATTTTGTTGAGTCGGTTAAGTCTTTTATTGCATACGTGTGTACATACTGAGATTTTCACTGTAAAGTACTATTGCTTGTGTCTCTGATTGGATGAATGATATATTTTCACAGTCATTCACTTCAAATCTTTGAATTGAAATGTAAAAAATCTCAGTATGTATGAAATAAAAACTTCATACCATGGAAAGTGTTTTCACTCACTTGTTTGTTGATGTATCTCAACTCGTGAATAAAATCGTTTGTGTGTACTTTCCGTGGAATATTCCCTATATATGACATTACACCAACTTTTGATATTTTGATGTTCTGCAAATAACATCAATTGTGACAAAAAATGTAGTTACCTGTACAGAGGGTGAGTAAACCCCAGTGTCCGGAGGCCCAGCAAACTCCTCCAAGATTGTATTCTTGACAAGATTCCTTTTAGAATACAACAAGATTAGGTAAAAACTCCCTTAATTTTTTTTAGAGCACTATCTAATATGCAAAATAATTCTTAAAATAACTACTTTGATATAAAATGTAACAAGAAATCCTGATCCAAATGTATTCTCTTTTGGTCCATTAAATATTTCCAAGGAAATACCATATAAATCAACTGAAATTGATTTCATTTTAGTGATAAAGCTCCCTTTTTTGACACATGAACCTTGAGATCTAAATCCCAATCTAACACAAGAAATTCAAGCTGATTCCTACAAGAGGAGCTCTACTGGTCACAATTCAGAGACCTGATTTTTACTCCCTTAACCAAGAGTAAGCACTGAAAAAGAAAAAGAAATTAAACTTAGGAGAATCAATATTGATGTCTCACCAACAGGAAGAGAAGTCCACACCCTTTGTGGTGTCAAACTTGTACTGGCAGTACACTTTGGTGGAGAATGGACGATCAGTAGCTTCTGGCAAAATTGTGTATTTGTCTTTGCAAAATCCTGGAAGAGAATAGAGATTGTTACCAGGTCATTTTTCTCCAACTAACTTATAAGCATAAAACTTTGAAGAAAGGTGTTGAACCTTTGTTGCAAGAGTAGAATGAATTGCTAACAATGAGATTTTAACCTGTAAATCCTGATTGAGTTGTTTTCAATATCTGCATCTCCTTGAGGCCACTTGATACCTTGGGATCCTCTGAATGAAAAACAAGACAATGTCACAAATATTCAACCCTTAACTCCCAAGATCTCATTAGTAATTCTCCTTGCTGTCTGCCGTACAATTCTTAAGATGTTAGTTCTGACAACTACATAATGGATCAACCAATATTATCCCCTAGTTTACTTTTCTTTATTCTCGTCACTTGTTTGCTTAGTATTGTATTGCAATTGTAAGGAGAAATTCTGTCTTGGTCACTCGTGGGAGTTAAAGGGTTAATATTAATAAGTTAATACTGACCAGTAAGTTATCAAAAATCTTCATTACAAGCCAATAAATAATGTTTTACAAAGTTCAGAATTGCAATTACTAGTACTGTCATTAAAAATTCAAAGTAAAAAAAAAGATGTTCTCTGAACAAATAAAAAGTTACATTTTGATTTAACTAACCAGTAAATTATTATAATTAATTCAAAAAAATTTGTAAGAAAGGAGTGAACAGTGAAGTATTATTATGTTTGATTGCTGTTACAGGGCGTGAAATTGCGCCTAATACAGGCGCCAATGCGCCTAAATTTTTCACTTTGGCGACCAAATCCTGAAAGTTAGTCGCCAAATTGGCGACTAGAACGTTTCATCATAACCTTACCAAGAGATATAGTGAATTAAAAAGATTTGCAAAGATAAATCCGCGGCAAACATCCTCGTTAAGTTTGTTTCCAAAACGTAGCACATGCATCTCGATCGATAACTAGACGCCATCTTGGATTTAGATGAGCCTGAACGTTGTATATCATCTATCCTAGTGTCCACTTTGTAGCACGTTAAAGATCTTTTCCCTAACTTAATTTTGAAGGGTCTATCTAGAACGCTGACAGCGTAAAGAAAGATTTTGTTTGTCTTTGAAAATGGCGACCAACTTTTTTTGAATTGGCTACCACTTTGAAGAATTTAGGAGCCAAGTGGCTATCAGAAAAAAAAGTTAATTTCACGCCCTGTGTTACATTGTAGAAAGTATATGGTCGGTAAGTAAAAACACTGTAATTTAGATAATTATTACTGACTTCAAACGCACAAACTCTGGGAATGGAACAGCTTCTATGCATCAGTGTTAAAAATGTTATTAGTACAAACACATATCTGCACCTCCTCTTGCTTGAGTAACGGAGCAGAATCTTGTCACTTCTGGAGTGAGAACAAATGCATGAGCATGGTCAACGCCTTTCTGTAACAGAGAAAAAAAAATCAAGCTAATTATTAATAAAGATATGAAAATTATCACAACAACCTTTAAGTCAGGGTCTTGGCCATTCATATCAAATGGAAGTTCATACTTTAAATTTCTTTGTGTGCTGTTCTCAAGAATTTAGTGTAAATGTTGTAACATGAAACCATTTTGACCTGAAATTAATTTTAACCCTTTAACTTCCAGGATCTCATTAGTAATCTTCCTTGCTGTCTGCCAAATGATTCTCATTATGTTAGTTTGGAGAATTTGGTATTGGATCAATTAGTAATCCTATAACTGATATTTTTCTTTATTCTCATGACTTGATTCTCATAACTTGTCTGCATGATATTTATATCATGTATATCATACTTAAGGGTTAAACTAAAACTCAGAGGATCATATCTAATAAGCTGAGACAGAATTTTCATGATAATTGTCTTTATCTGTCTGTAGAGAGAATTCCTCAACTAGTCACTTTTGGGAGTTTGCAGATTATTACTACATCAGCACAAAGTGTACTCTTTTGTTTACCTGTTGGATACGTTTCCAGGGTGACTCATCAATGTTGACAGTTACATGAACTACCTGGTTGAAAAAAAATAAAAATAAGCAACAAACTACGATGATCCAACTTTTAACAACAACAACAACAATACAGTCAAACCTTCCATAAACAGCCATGCACAATGTTGTCTCTCCTCAAGATGATCATGTTTGATAACATGCAAACCAAAACCAAGCTTAGATACACTTGGTTCAAGTTTTAAAACCTGCCGAATATCTCTCAGTTAATTCACTGAAGTTCATTCTAAACTTGTAATCTGTAACATCTCTCATGCAAGGAAGAATTACTTCTCCCAAAATGTTTTCCATCTTGCATGAGCACTCACAATGTAAATAAAATTGTGCTTGATATAAATAGTGAAGAAGTTTACTTACCTGTTTATGTGTTGTTAGAAAATGATTACAGATGTGGACTGCAAATTCTTCTATATTGTTGAGCTGTAACACAAACAAAAATTATTCATTTGTTAACTTAGATCTAGATTAATGAATAAAGTGAGTAAGTTTGTCAAGAAACTGTGGTGTGTTAGTGGGAGAGTACAACAGTTACATCAACTGAGTTGATAACATAAATTGGCCACTGTGAAGAGTTTCAAAGCTGACATTTCGAGCATTAGCCCTTCATCAGAGTGAATGGACATCTTGCTCTACCCCATTTGCTCTGGTAAAGGACTAACACTCAAAATGTCAGCTTTGAAACTCTTTACAGTGGCCAATTTACATTACAAACTCAGAGGATAATACAAAATTACCCCGTTAGGTATAGATTAGACAGGTATGTCCTATGGGCAAATTCAAGGGGGCTTAGGGGTGATACTTACCTTGCCTTTCTTAGTGTTTTTGAAGAATGTTTCCAACAGGTTGTCTTTCAAACCCTCAGCTTTTGAGAAAAGATTACACTAGAACACTCCAAACAGCGCCTTCAGTTGGGATATAGGAAGGAGGGGGCATGTCTGAGCGCTTTTCACGATCCCTTTAGTCCAGCCTATTGTTAAGGTTAACTTGACCGAATAAAGAACTTAAAGCCCTCGTTCGAAACTATCAGACGATCCAAAATCCTTCATAAAGAAATCTTACGACAAAAACACTCGCGTGATCAGATTGACCCTTGACCTAGGTTACATTTTGGGGTGATTTTACTTCCCCTCCTCGTCTTAGCTCCGTAATTGCATAACCGCAAAGCACCCTATGGAGGTTGCAGCGTGCGTATCTAAAGCGAAATTATTAAATATACATTAAAATAAATTAAAAAAAAAAAACAGTTACAAGTGTCATAAACGTTCCCCTTATTTCCTAACATCTATGATGCAAAAGCTGCAGATAAGATAAAATAAAATGATATTATACTCACTGGATGGTCTTTTGCTAATGCATAGACTGTGTTTTTCTGAGTATCTGTTGGCACCACGCTTGAGTTGTTTCCATAATTATAATCTCGGTAGTTATCCAGTTTCAGCTCTGTTGCAACTTCTACCTGTTTAATTTCGTGGTATTTTCCACTACGTTTAATCTTGAGGAGACGTACTCCACTTTTTCCATAGCCGGTAAATGAAGGATCTATGAAGAACAAAGACGCCATTGTTCCTTTGCAGTAACCTTCCGTAAACTTCCGAACGGATACGACTGCCAGCGGATAACATAGGAACTAATGGACTTAACTTACATGAAATAGGTGGTTGAGGGCGCGCTATTTGAAAAATGGCGGCAAGTGAGACGATCTTGTCATCTTGGAAAACGCCGTTTTCTACGCCAATAAGGAAGAACGAAAACACTTGCCGAGATATTTTTCATAATTCTGAAAAGCTTCTGGCTTCAGCTGTATCGATCTGTCGGTTAAAAGGGAGCGTTGAGTGCCAAACTGGCGGGGTGATTACAGTGTGCGAAGAATTACAAAGGCTCATTCGTTTGGCTTTCTCTGGTAAGAAAATACTCACCTTGTTTCTTTCTTCAGCTAAAGTTTAAAATTTTCGCTTCCTTACAATCAATCAATCAATCACTCTTTATTGCTCCTAAGATAAAAAGACATATCTTAAGTTACATCAGCAGTTAGGAGTCTAAAAATACATAAGACATACCATATAAAATAGTAGAAAGATCAAAGATTATATTTTAAGATAAGCCTAATTACAAAAACATTCTAAAATCTGTCAGTCTTTATATTCGGGCGATGAGCACTTTTGTTTCTGAGTTGGTACTTTGTTTCTTTCTTCTTCGGAATGATGTTACTTAGCGGGCGATCGGGATCCACTGAACGTGCCTTGAAAATCTTCTTATCTGCCTTTTCTAAAAGTTCTCGAATGTCCATTCTCTTAGATGTGAATTTCCTTTTAAAGCACCTGTCCATAAAGTTTTGTATGAATAAATAAACGCCATAAACAAGCAGACCATCGGTGAAATTTGGCAAAACTAAGGCGCTAAATAGGTGGTCTACTTCACCTTGACTGAAACCTTCCTTCCGTAAAGATTTTAATACAAACAGACACTTATTTGCCTTAATCAACTTAGCACGTACGTGTTCGCTATATTTACAATTCTCCTGAAACTTAACACCTAAAATGGGCAGCTTCGTGCATTGCAGAATGTTATTTCCCTTTTCTCAAACGATCCATTAGTACAGACATCTCGAGGTTACAAACTTTTTGTTGATCTTATATTCAGTAGTTTACCTTTGCTCACACAGTTTACCATGATGGTCTCTTATGTAACCGTTTACAACAACTCCTTAGGTTGTAAATTCGCGAGAGAAGCTGCCGGTAGAGGGAACCGGTACTCCTATCTAATAGAGATAGGGTGATTGTCTAGAATGTGGAAGGGAACTCTTAAAGGTTCTCAGAGTAGTTCCAACAACATGTAGGCTTCAACTAGATTTTCATCAAAATTTTTATACCTGGGAATAGAAAATTCGACCATTAAAAGTAACTGGCCAGAGTGATGTTTAATACTTTTCACCTCACTAGTACTATGATGATGCCACCAGATAATTTTGATATATGAGTTTCCTATTCTGTTGGAGAAAAGAGTGATAGAAAAGCTTTACATGGAGTAATACAGTACAACTGTTGAGCATACCTTCATTATTTATTTATTACATATATTATTGTATTATTATTTAAATTATTATACTATTTATATTTGTGTTAGTTATTACCTTTATTATTTACTCACAGGGGCACCTGTGAAAAATTGTTTGTTTGGCATTTAGCTGGAGAAGCTTGTGAGGTTGACTCTTAAATGATTGCAAAGGAGAAGTTTCAGTTACTATTTTCAATACTTAAATACTTAAAATGATTACTCCAGTCATGGTTCCCTCTTGGAATAAGTGTAACACCTGTCACTTAAAAAGAAAGTTTTTCTTTTGTTGTTCAAGGTGTAACTCTCAATTTAATTGTAATTATATATTTGGTTCATTTATTTCACAGAAGTAAAACACCTGGAAGAACATTTTGATTCCCAGAGAAGCAGCTTTGAGGATGAAATAGCTTGCCTGAAAGAACGAGTAAAACATCTTGAAGAGGTTGATGGCTGCAATAAAGAAAATGGCAGCAACAATAACTGTGAAGAAACCACTGAAAATCCCCTTTTGTAAGTAGACTATGATTAAATAATTATGGTTCAAATATGGCTTCAATTTAACCCTTTTACACACTAACATTAGTATTCATATTCTCCACACTGATCTCTCTACATTTCCTGTGACAATGATTGGGAGAATTTGTTTGACAATCAGAAGCTTCTTGAATTGGTGATAATTTCCATTATTCTCATGACCCTTACATTGAATTAAAGAGTGATACGAAGAGGAGCACCTAGTAGCAAGTCACTCCTATGGGGTTTAACAAGGGGTTAAAGAACCAAAGTGAGCAATGGAGTGTATGAATGCACCAATGATCACTGGAAACAATTATAAACTAACATGTTAGTTCATCACAAAATTGTTCCTGCAAGTGCTACACTTGAAATTAAGGTTATCACCATCCTATGGAGACCTTTGCTGTGAGTTTGTATGACAGTAACCTCAGTTTGCTTTGATGGTCATACTAACCACCATGAAGTTTATGCCACCAGTCAGCTTGTTTACCATTTAATGATTGCTGATGATGACTGAAGAAAAAAAAATGATTTTCTTCAAAAGTAATAATCTATTTGATGATACAAACTTTAAACCATTTGCACCATTCTAAAAGTTAAACAACAGTAGAATTAATTATATGAGCTCCATTGTTTTCAAATCAGCAGGAGCAAGTCAGTTTTAAGAGGAAATGATGGAAACATGGAAGACAGTGATCCAAATCCTTTTGAGTCTGGCAGTACTGATGGCAAAGATGTTTCAGTAATTGGTGCTTTGAATAAGCCTCCTGAACAGCAGGCATCTAAGTTTCCAAAAGAAGCTAAGAAAGGGAACTTGAAAAAATGCTCCAAGAAATTGCCATTCAAGAAAACTGGTAGTTCTTCTGATGAAGCAGATGAAGTTGGAAGCTCTCACAACCAGAATCTACCTTCAAAGATTGCTGAGAAAATGGAAAATGAAGATGTTGTGGCTAAAGAGAAATCTGAAGCTGTGATACTGGAATGCAAGGTAAAGTTGAAGGACATCTCTGAAAAAGACAGAAAGAAGAAGGGATTCCGAAGTAAGGCATTGTTGGAAAATTCCATCAAGGAGTCTGAAGATTCCACAAGTAATGTGAATCACTTGGCAGACAGCAAAAATGTTAAGAAAGGAAAGAAGAAGAGCCCAGTTGGTAAAGATGAATCAGAAGTTTTTCAAGCAAAAAGCTCTGGAGAGGTCATTTTTCCTGCAGCAGCTAGAAAGAAATCAAGAGGAAAGAAAAGCAAGCCGTCACCTGTACAAGAAAATTCACAAAGAAAGAAGCTTTCTAGTACCAAAAAGTCAAAGTCAGGCTATGATGATATGGCACCAGAGCCTGGGGAGGATGAAATGGAAGGAAAATCTGAAGCAAAGGAAGAAAGTTCTCAGAAGGAACCAGAGATCTTCACTATTCATGAGATGACAAGCTCCAATGAGAAATCCTCAGAGAGAGAATTCTGGACCAGGGAAGACAAAGATGAACCACTTGGTGACATGAGTTTTCTCATCAACATCAACTCTCAAATCTCCATGTTTGTCGCTGATGCTTCACAACAGGAATGTGAGTTGCAGCCCATGACTGCCAGGGAACGCAATGACGTGTACAAAGTCACTCAGCTGTATAAAGTGCGTGCAAGGATTGGAACCAAGACTGAAAACAACCTGACAACAGTGCGCCTGTCCAAGCAAGCTGAAACAAGAATGCCAAAACCTGGCAGAGTTGACAGCTTACTGAGTAACCTAAGTATAATGGCATGTAAAGAAGCAACAAGGGAAAGCCCTAAGAATCATGGAAAGAGAAAGCACACTTCTCCTATTGATGGAAATATGCAATCTACAGCTGAAGACCATCTTGAGCAAGCTACACCTCCAAAGAAGAAACTTACCGAGCTTTCCAAGGCCAATTATTAAATAAGCCAATGCTGGGACTTGATAACCATGAGGATACTGTAATGTACAAAATCCATTTACTGTTACTGAAAGCAGTAAAACGTTGGACATTAGAAGTTGCAAACATTATAAATGAACTATTTTATTTGACAGATTTCTTCTGGCATATTGTCTGTTCAGTTATAGATCACTAATGACATCAAAACGTGGAAAGAATGATAATAGGCCACAAGAGCCCTCAGTGAGTGTTAATGCATTAACTCTTTTACTTCCCATTTGTTACCGAGACAGAATGTCTCCTTACAATATCAATACAGTACCAAATTCCCTTAGATAACATGTGATCTTGGGAGTGAAGGGATTAAAATGTTACATCATGTGTGGTATACAGCTAAACAGACATTTAGCATCCAAGGTTTTCCCTTAGTTTAATCAGTTTTTCATTCCCTATGAGGGCTTAAATGTATCCAGGATACTATTAGCTTAGTTACAATACACCATATTACCAGTTGAAGGAATGGAACATAGTTTTAGTTTTCAAGCAATGCAGAAACCTTGGCATTTAAAATTAAAGATGAATGATTGCATGCAATGGCACTTTACTTAGTGTTTGGCTTTCCTTACATTTTATTAACATTATATTAAGATTTCTGAAAAAATCTGGATTTGAAGGAATATTTTTTTTTCTGAAACAAGAGTCAAATCTGGTAGCAAAAGTAATTTCTCTTAAAAACATTCCCTTTTATAGACAGACATACTTTCACTTACTACTTTTAAATCAAAATTTAGACCTCTTACTAATTTGTTATGAAATCAATCATACCACTCTAGTTATCTGTAATGGCTTTTACAGCTGTTTAAAATGAAATATATTATGAACATTGCATCTAAATACACTTGATGTGAGTTCACCTGTCTATCTTTAGAATATGGGTTTGAAATAGCCTATTTAAACTAGAAGGTATTTTATCATATATCAATTTGTTTTTTGAAAATCTAGCATGTTTCTTTACAGGACATTACAAAAAGTAGAGTTGAATCTTGTTGCTTGTATGGCCAGCTCACACAGTGAAAGGAGGGAGGGTGGATCATAAAGAGCGCAAAACTTGATAACAATTAACTACAAAGTATAAAAGTTAATACTTTATTTGGAAATGCAATATGTCTTCTAAGCTAAAGTTGTTACATCTTGAAGGGAAATTTTAAGGCCTCAAGGGGGCTCTGTCACTATTTTAACTGTTTGTTTTTCAGTACTACAGATTGCCTTCAAATTAAACCTCAGTTTTTGTGTATAGTTTTTCAAGATTTTTAAACTATGACAAAGCTCCTTGGACATATTAAATATTGCTAAATTTGTTATGCAAGTGTCAATCACTGACTTAACACTAAAACTCAACAATGTGTGAGATGATGCAACATAACATTGGTTATGTAATAAAATGATGACATGTGAAATGAGGAAATAATTTTACACATAATCCGTCAAAATTCTAATAATTTTCTGAACCTTTTAGACAAAGAAAACTTGAAGAATTTAAACAAATGCAAATGAAATTATTACCATATTCCACAAGTATACTGTTTGTTTATGCTTATAATTTCAACAACTTGTTACAAATTTCAAAGTTAAATTCCATAACTTTGTATAAAGCTGAACTCGATCTAAGATGTTCAAAATTATTTTTGTAAGAATATATTAAAAGAGTTACTTTAAAAAGTGACTAGCGAACAAAAACACAACTGTTACAAGTCATTCAAAACCTACCAGAAAGCCTAAATGTCAAAAATCGTAACTAGCTTTAATGGGTAAAAAATCATAACTAGTTTTTATATTTATGTGTAAAAAAATAAAAAATAATTTTTGCCACTTGTTTCAAATTCAGAATATTGATGATTAAAGTGACACTGAAATCCAAAGTGACTACACAACCTACAATAACTTAAACTTGATTATATCTAATAAAGGTTTATGATCAAGTTTCCAATTCAATTCTCTTGAAGCTTTCACTTGTCAAACTGATGAAACCATGTTAAGCTGAACTACTTAAGCCTACTTCTTAATAAGAAGGCATAAGAAAATGTTCTTGAATAAAAGACTTTGTAATACATAGCATGAACTGAAACCCTAAGCTACGCAAATAAAAGACATCTAGAGAACTTTCTAATGAAACAATTCGAATGCTTCACTCTGCCAGGTGAAATTTTAGAGTGACACTTAAACACAACATTTGTTCTAATTGTGTATTTTAAGATAATCTCATATGAACACAGAGCAGAAACTTGTTTTCTTCCAATAACCTGAAAGCACAAGGAAACCCTCACGACAAATGGTTTGAACTTAGGTTGTCAAGGGATTTTTTTAAAGTAATCATATAAAGTGAAATCTTTATTTAAAAAAAAAGAGGGGGGGGTTTAGGGATAATTTTTTAACAGATGTGATGATTCCTCTGCTACCAGACCTACATAGTAAGAACTTCTTAAACAGGGTAACCATACTATTTACCAAACAAATGTCACTGATGATTGGATTGCTGTACAGTCTACCTTGTCAACTAAATACTAATATGAACAGAGGAAATCTGAGTGTCAGATCATACTGCTACAACGAAAGATCACTTCTATGCTTTTGTTTTGGTTCTTCCTACGCTGGCAAGTCAACATGTTGGCAACAATACCTGGCAGATGAAAACATAGTAGAGTCAGCAACATAATAAATATGAATGAATTTACACAAAGATGCTGCAGTAGTCACCACTATATTCCCAAAATGTAAAGTAAGAAATCACATAAAAGATTACATCATTTATGTGTATATATAAAGAAATCTGTGTTTCTCAGGTATTGAAACAAATCATCCTAATCTGAAAGCATAAATTCAGTAGAACCCTGCTAACTTAAACTCCCAAGAGAAACTGAAAAATTGAGTCGGTAGGATTGGTTCAGTTCATGTTCAAGCTTGGTGGGTAAATTTGAGCCAAGGACAACTAGAATTAGTTAGATTTAAAGGGGATTTTAAGTTAGCTGATAGTAAATGACTTAGAAAATGGGGTCAAATCCATGGGGGAAATCAGACCTGGTTAAAATTAGCAGGATGTTCAAGTCAACTGAGTTTGAGTTTGCAGGGCTCTAACGTAGGTCTCATTAAAGAAGTCAGAGACCATCTCCCTCACCATTTGTCAGGCAAACTGGAGGGGTTACTATCATCAGGTAACATATGCCACTTTTTACAGTTTTCACACTGAACCCAGTTGTCACATGAAGTGGAACACCACTCAAACTTTGTCTCAGCTCCAGAGGCACCATCCTGACATGAACTCTTGATCTGGTCTTTGAGACAGTTGCTAACTTGGTCTCCATCTTCTTTTTGAGTAACTCCTTTTGTTATCATCTTCACTTCATCTTCAGCAGAGGTGCTTGCTTTCTCTGTTGTCCCTGGTGCAGTTGTTTCTGACTTAACTTTTGTCTGATGACCTTAAGTTTGCAATAATAATAAAAAAAAGGGATTGCAGACACCTTTTGGTGCCATGCCCATAGAAAATCAATACACACTTTTAAAGCAGAATAATGATGATTCCATCTTCCTTCTCAATCACCAGACTTAAATCCTATCATCTTGTTCCTGAAATTTTCTTGACTCAAAGTCATGATATTTTCATCCCTAAAATGCTGGAATTTGTTCTAATTACTCCTTAATTATTTACAGATGCCCTAAGATGTCTGAGGACATTTTAAAGATGTTCCAAAGGGTTCCCCAAAAAAGCCAGCTTCATAAAATCAGAGGTTTTGAGGAAGTATGAACAGATTCTAAGACTTGACATTTCTTCATTGATTTGAACAAGTTTTAACAGTCATATCCTAAAACAGTGTGTCAGTCGGGGCATAAATGCAAAATTTTTTTATTGGGCATAAAAAATCTGCCATTGGCAGGAATAAGCTGGGATCAAACACTTTTCAATGTATGAACTTAGACCATACCTTTTGGTTTCAAATTACTTTGTTTGCAAGAAGCATCTACCTTCTTTGTGACAGGAGTTTTTCCTTTGCCATTTGCAGTTGTGTTTATAATGGTATTTCTGAAGCATGAAATGAAGTTAGTATAGGTGAAGTATTCAGCATTCCTTACAGTTCCATACATGTAGGTCAATAGTTTGTCATCAATGACAAAAACACTTGGCTTATGCAAGGCATGAAATTATTATTTTTTTCTGATAGCCACTTGGCTCCTAAATTTTTCAAAGTGGTAGCCAATTCAAAAAAAGTTTGTCCCCATTTTAAAAGACAAACAAAACCCTTTTTTTACACTGTAAGCGTTCTAGATAGACCCTCTAAAATTAAGTTAGGAAAAAGATCTTTAACATGCTACAAAGTGGACACTAGGATGGATAATATACAATGTTCAAGCTCACCTAAAGCAAAGATTATGTCTAGTTATCAATTGAGATGCGTGTGCTGTGTTCTGAACATAAACTTAACCAGGAAGTTTGCTGTGGATTTATCTTTGCAAATCTTTTTAATTCACTATATCTCTAGGTAAGGTTATGAAGAAGCATTCTAGTTTCCAATTTGGCAACTAATTTTCAGGATTTGGTCGCCAAAGTGAACAATTTAGTGGCATTGGCACCTGTATTTGGCACAATTTCACACCCTGTTATGTGCCAATCAATTGTAAGAGCTTCAACACCACCCCCTCCCCTTGGGCATGTGGGGGTGGGAAATTTGAACCTTGCCTGGCTGGGATGGGGAATTTGAACAGGAATTTTCAAATCTTTCCAACAGCACCAAAGTGTCATATCCCTAAATATGGAGGTGTTAAAGGTTGGTGGTTCACTTTCTTGTGTAAATGGCTCAGAGAAAAAGGTCAAGGTTATAAATCTTGGTCAAAGTGTAGAAAGTTGCAGTTGCTGATTTTGTCTAAAATATTGGGTGGGGCATTTGAATAAAATTTTTGACATGTGGGGGAGGGGGGAGGGGAAGAGGGAAATTTGAACAAAAAAATCTTTAAAAGTTCAAATGCCCAAGGGTTACACAAGGGGGGATGTCAAAGCTCCAAATTGATTGACACATTACATACAAATGAACCTGTAAGATTACTTGCTGATTTACTTACTGCCTAAATCACTCACATTGCTGGTGTCGAGGAACACCTTGTTATCAAAATACTTAGTAAAGATATTAACTCTGTTGCCAGTTCACATCCAGCTCTGAAAAGTTATAGGCTTCAGTGTGTAATCCAAAATATCATAAGATTTACAGATTTGGAAACCCACTTTTGTTTTCTTGGAAAGAGAATGGAACACCAAATTATAAGGATTAGCATGCATTCGTCTCTAACTAACAAAAGCAAGATCTTTCATGTACATACCTGTGTCGTAGATTGTGAGAACCAATCCTGAAAGAGTGTATGATGAAGAAAACAGAATAAAAAATATATATTTTTGTCTCTCATATGCCTGTAAGTATCAGACACCTGAAATTACTACTCAAATATTTTAAAAAAATGACTAGTGATACGATTCCTTCACATAGTTTTCAAACTCTATGTCAATTTTAAACTTATAAAACTCTTTTTTTCTTTGAGTTTCTTTTTCTAACCTGTATCCTTGACCCCAACCATCTGGCTTCTCACTTCTGTTGGTTGAGGCTTGGGCCAGGGTTGTTTCTTTCCTGGTTTTGCAGTACTTGAAATCCGGATACGACTCTCTTGTTCTTCTCATATCTTCCCTTGCTCTCTCCTTAAATGGCTCCTTCTGCTCAGGGGTCATGCTTCTCCAATGTTTAGCAAGGATGGTGCTAATCTCCCGGTTATCTCTGCCAGGATACTGTGTCTTGAATTCTCCACGGTATTGCTTGCTAAACCAAAGGAAAGCATTCATGGGCCTTTTGATATAATTAACAGGTGTTTCAGTAGTGCTTTCATTTTCAGAGGGGCGAGCTACAGCCTCCTCTTCTATCTCTGACCCTTGGCTGCTTAAATCTGAGAATGGTGATGCAGAGCTTGCTGCCATGCTTTCTTCAATGACAAGTTCAGGGGTGCTGCAAAGGCTGTTAGATGCCTCAGAGAACATAGCTGCATCACTTTGTTTCCCAGCTGTGCTGTGAAAACAGTTTTGGTTCAAGCTGGACATGCCACTGTTTTGTAACATAGCTTGCAAGTCCTCTGTTTTCAGTCCTCTCTGGAGATAAGCCTCTCTAATGTTTTCTTGAAGCTGCATGATGTGACTAATTGCAGTTTCAAGTATTTCCCTCCTTGAAGGATGACCATTTCTCAAGTCTTTACAAGGTAAAATTGCACTCAGATTTTGAAGTTCATCTCTTATGGCACTCTCTCTTTCTTTCTGCCTGTATATGAGAAGATCCAAGAATTCATAATTTTTTCCGGTAAATATTTCCAGGTTTAGAGTTGATAATGACTACTTTTGATGCACAATTAATATCTTCTTTGAATACCTTTAACAACCCAGTGTAGGTAAATATTTTACAAAACTAATCAATTAAGGTTGGTTTCATTTGGACAAAAATTGCAAAAACAACAGAGATCAAACCAATGATGCATTTTTTTGATGGGCATTAGTATTCAGTGCTTCAAAAAATGTTTTTCTACCTATCCCAAACTACAACCAATTCACTATTAGAGAGTAAAAGACACTCTCAGATTATCCCATGAAAAACTCTTTCTTAATTAGGAAGTTGTTACTTACACCATCTTTTGCTTGACATATGCGAGTTTGTCAACTATTTTTCGGAGCTTTCCTTTTCTTTGACTCTGACCCTTAGCATCTGAAGCAGACTTAGTTTTCTTTAACTTCCACGGTGTCTGAGTTTGAACTGCTGTTGTAATAGAACAGATGTCACTGAGGGGTGTATATCAAAGGGACAGACTGAATTTTCCAGTGGAGGAAAGGGTGGGATGGCACACTCTGGCAACCAACCCACATTTTTCTTGTTTGAGACTGAATTATCACCTTTTCTGTCTAAAAAGAGGGAGTCGCATAAACCCTTAGATACCCCCCCTAACTGGTGACACCATCCCTTGATAAGGGTTTGCTTAGTAAAATAATAAAAGAAGGTCCAAGAACTGATCTAAATTCTGTTCCAAATTGATTACAGTTACCTTTGATGTTGGTGCTTGCTACAGTAACTTGTTTACACTTGTCGGGTAAAATTGTGGGTGGTGCATTCAATGGACTTGTTTCTTCTGTCATTGGACTAATGCTTTCTCTCAAAGTTTTCGAAGTTCCATGCTAGAAATGAAAGAGTACTGTTGAAAGATTTGCGTGCCCAGTGAGGACAAAATTTAAAAAAGTGCCTTTTTAATTTGTTGTTGTTGTTGTTTTGTTTTCATGCTCTAACTTTAAATTTCTATGTTTGAATTTGTCCCTGTTGGTCAGGATTTTTCACAAAACTCTGTTGTCAATAATAGATGCAATTTAGGGTATCATGCTATGAATAAGAATTCTTACTGATATGTTCAAAAATTCTGAAACAGGAGGAAGAGGCAAGTGAGGTTTCCATGGTGATACTGCAATTAAAAAAATCAAGTTCATTAGGTTAAATTTAGTCCTTGACACTGACATGTTTAAGGTGAAAGTAATTTTTCAACAATTTTTGACATTCAAAAGTAAGATTTAAATGCAACGGAACAGAGGGCTAAGAATAATGTTACCTTCTGTGCTTGACGTCACTTTTGAATCTTGTTCAATAACATCACCACTAACATCTAAAGCTCCAAGCTGAATACACAATGAGATAAACATGTTTTCAAAATAAGACAATTGAAAACATGGCAAGCATGTTCAAGGGAGAGGGGGGATGTACATATCAAACAATGCAGATTTGTAGGTATGGCTCATACAATAAATGACCTCTCAGCAAAACTGATGGATTGAATATTATGAGTAAAAAAAGATTAGGAAGATAATAATAAAACAATTTACCCCATCCATCAGAGGGGAGTCTCCATACCAAACGTCACTGCTGTGTAGATTATAACTACTGCAAAAGAATACCAAAAATAACATTCAAGGCAACATCAATAGATGATATAATTCAAGCCAGGAAGATGTTGCCGATGCACAATCCCCCCACTTACTAATCAACCTCTTAAGAAAGATAATGTGGAATAAAAAAAACGCTTCCTTTTTAACTGCTGTCTCCATATAGGAGGCCCATTTACACCCTATCCAGTAAGAATTTATAAAAGATAAGAAAAGCCAAATAAAAAGAGGCAAGCAACAAAAAGAGTGTTGTTAACTACATTTCAACCATTTATTGTTGCAGAAAGTTTATCAGTATGATATGACAATGCTGTAATTTTCCATTTTCTTTTAGCTTGTGTTCTTGTGGGCCAAGAGTGTATCTGTGATAAAATGAAAACATTTCAAAAGTACTTACTTGAAACTCTGTGGTGTGACAGGATGGTGCCAATTTTGTGGGAATGTATAATGATGAACACTGTGTGCATTGCCAGTTGCTATAGGTAACTGAAACTGCTGACTAAAGGATACGGTGGATTCAAATCCCCATGATGGGGAAAACATTCTGTTTTCTGGAGAAGGTCCTTGCCAATCTGTTAAAATAAACAATAGCAGTGACACAAAATAATAATTTTTCCAAACACCAAAAACATTGTTGAGGGAAAAAGGTTAAAAATCATGTGATGCATTATCATCCCAGACAATTCACCTTCTTAATCTTCTTATCAGCAAAAATGCTCAGTTTGTCATAAGGCATAACATTTGAATTCATGTTGCTTAACATTTTTCCTTTTTTCACCCCACAATTGAAATTACTTTATTTGGAAAAACGTGATTTGATGATGATTTAAGAGAAATTTTGCAAAGAGAGCATCTCCTTGACCCATTCACTCTCATAAGTGACCAAAACAGAATTTCTCCTTACATTATCAATGCAATAGTAGGCAGGCAAGTAATGAGATTTAAGAATAGTAAAAAATATCAATTAGGGGATTATTAGCTGATTCAATACCAAATTTTCCAAACCAGCATTGTAAGAATTTTATGGAAGACAGTAAGGAGAATTATTTATGAGATCTTAGGAGTGAAAGGGTGAACTCAATAAAATTTTCACATGAAAATGGAGGGCACAGACTAGAATTTGAAGACCTTGCAGTCATGATAGTGCTGGAATGTCCTAGACTTTCATGAAACATTCACAAAATAAAAAAAATATTATTAACCCATTACCTGTATTCAACAATATAAACAATCTTTGTCAAAATAACTGTTAAGATTTTGTCAGATATTCTAACCACAGGTTTAGAGGTGATTCATCTCACAACACATTTGGTGATATTTGTTACTTTCAAATTGTCTTTTACACACTTAAAACTACCCCTCCCCCCCCCCCACCCCTTCCTTCTCCTGATCTGAATTTTACATACAAATTGTTTTTTATATCTTATTGGAACTGCAATCCTTTGAAGGGAAATAAAGAAATTACTTTTTTGACCTGCAATGAAGAAAGTTCATTTGCAGGTTATAGTAAAGTACTTCTTGCTTCTTTGAGTGAAGAGCTTTCTTAAAATCTTGTGTGACTAGTTCTCTTGAGCTGGTCATACCACTGAGATGAAGTGTTGATATTTAAATTATTTTAACAGGTCTTCTTATGCTGTTTTAAATATTTTCTTATAAAAAAAAGCAAATAAAATGCCCCAAAATTTTCTCTCTAAACACTTCTTATGTAGTAGGCTTAGGATGGACTCTTGAAGTCTGATTCAATGCGTTTTTTGCTCTTGAAAGAGACAAAACCTCTACCTATGTAAAACATGGGTGTTGGTGCACTGCAAGGGGAATTTAAAAAAAAAAATGGTGAGGGAGGGGAAAGCAAATCCTGCAAATAAATAACATCTTATCCTTGGGGGAGGGGGGTAGGGAAGGAGGGAGAGAGAAGCAATACTCCAAGTCACTTCATGGCAATGAAACCAAGATCAGTCATTACCTATAGGGTGCTGGACTCTTTTTTCAAGCCTTACCTTTTACAGTAGAAACAGAGTCAAACAGAGGATATGGAGTGGGAACCCTGGACTGAAAAGGAATTGGACTAAACACTCTACAGTTCGACTCCATTCTTGCTGTATTGTGTGGTATTGCAGAAGACAGAGGAGTTGACAGAATGGCCTCTGGAAATTCAAATGGTATAGGTGTGCTTCTGAAGTTCAACTCCTGGGAAGGCATTAAGATGAAAGTGGCGCAATTACCTTAGTAATTATTTTTAACCTTAAGCGTGAATCACTACACAGAAAACAACAAAATATTACGACTTTCAAGTGATGTTCTAAAAAGTTGTGGTCTACAATGTCATTATTTCTGGGAAAACTGATTAAATTTTGAAGCATCACAATTTGATGAGGAACATACTGTTTTAACAATTAAAAATGAATCCCTTTACAGCCAGAAGAGATTAACTTGTAATTGCTCATTGTGATTCCAATACATTATCTTAATAATTGGTTGTGAGAAAAGAGGAGCTTGTCGACCAGAGGGTGTTATCTTGATTTTATCCTAGAACTCCCATGAGTGACCAAATCAGAATTTCTCCTGACAAAAACTAAATAATATTAAGCTAACAAGTGATGAGAATAAATAAAAATATCCATTGGGTGATTATTAGTTGATCTAATACCAAATTCTCTAAAGTAACATTATAAGAACTGTACAGCAGACAGTAAAGAGAATTATTATTGAGATCTTGAAAGTGAAAGGGTTAAAGTTGGATTTTTCTGTCTTAATTATAAGGAAGTATACAGGATTTAATTGCAAGAATAATTGTTTCTTGGGAGTTAATGTAATCCAGAACAAAGATGTAAAAGGTACGAAAAATTATATCCACACAACAATATATCAACTAATTAGCCTTGGAAACAAATCCCACAAGGAAATTTCACTCTTACTTCACAGTTGCCTTGAATATCACCATGAATTTCACTCATAGTACTCACATTTAGAAGTAAAATGTATGTGTGGCTTGTGGGGTTAAAGGCTTGTAGGTTTGAAATAAATGTGAAGTCAATCCTCATGAAAGGGTTGAATCTTGATTTTGAGAAGAAGTTCTTTGATTACTTCCAAGGTGTGAAGACTCTTTTGAATGTTTTGCACGTGCAAATTTTGAGTATTCCTGGAATTAATTGGGCTGTATTTAACTGCTCGATCTTTAATATGCAATAAGGCCCTCGTTTTCTCCGCTTCCAAGTCTACATTCTTAGATACAGTGGAGTAAAAATCAAAATATTCTAAAGGAAGAAAATCCAGATCAGCACGTGAATAGACATTTGCTATGAAGACCTCACACAAAGGATTTCAAAACAAAGTTCAGATTTTTTTCTAATTAACGATTACAATCATGAAATTTTAGACTTCTCGGGCTGGCGATAAAAGTGTTTGGGGGAAAGAAATCGGAAACATCGAAAAATTAGACGATCATTGTGAACCGAAGGTACAAAACTAACAAAATGAATTAATTTTGCCCTCGCTGGGAGCTGAACTACTTCGGAAGAAAAGTCGGAATAAACTAAGTTAAATATTTGGCTGATCCGCGAGGAAAATCTGGCTACAATAGCGAAAATTGGATAGCACCTGAATGTTAATTGTGGGACACATGTAAGCTTGTTTAAACCTGCAAGCAGCTGTAAAAAAAAAAGCCCGCCCATTACGGAGCACGCGGATTTGGTTAATCTCAACTCAGGCTTGGTATAGCAGATGGCCAACAAAAGCTGGGCTATCTACATGCTTAATCTAAAAGGATAAAACATCGACCTACCACATTTCGAGGGGTCTCCGTTGCTACTGGGCGAGATTCGCTGTCAGATTGCGCTGCCATTTCACACGGAAATTCAGTAAGGTTGGGAGTATGGATATTTAGTTGATACTTTCAACAGATTGAACTGCCTCAGTTTACAGCTTTGATGGACACCTGTCAGCCAGGCATTTACGTATCCTGTCTCAAACAATTCCTCCCCCCCACGTTCATGGGGTTATTGCCTTTTCAGTGAGTTAAATATGTAACGGCAATGCCAAAAAATAAGAGAGAAAGTCACTTCTGAAGTTGTCGATTTAACATTAGTAGATCTTACGAGATTTTGCACTTGCTTTTTTTCTTTCCCAGTTGGGGAAGCTAATGTGCGCCATAGTATGGGCAGAATTTACGTGATGAGACAGACTTAAATAGGCTGCGAACTGACAGAGTTGTTTGGAAATCCACAATAGGATCGCAATTCTCAAATATTTGCCTTAGCTGAAATTTGCAGAGCTTCGCTGGTCACTAAAGAAAAAATAAAATGAATCGAGAATGCAGTTCGTAGTATATTTACTAGATAGGGCGGACTAGTGGAACTGTCTCTACAAGTCTTTTATTTGAAAATTCATCGTTATTATACAAAAGTTAAAACACCTTGTTCACGATCAACCAGGTCTTCCGTTTATGATTTCCTAATCGATGGACAAAAAGCAAATATTGCAACGCACTAAGGAGACTATCTTAAATCATTATACTTGTAATGTGGAATTTAGATGCCACGAACATGATGACGTTATTCGTTGCTAATAAATAATCGACTACATAGACCGATGCACGATCACCACTCGGCAATTTGAAGAAATGTATTTGTAACTCCTGAAGAGTAAGCATTTCCGAGCAATCTTATTTATACCGCGCTACATACATATGAGAAAGCCTCATGGCCTCATCTCACCAAGTACATGTAATATATGATATGCAGTGATGGAGCATTCCCCAAATTTATATCTACACATCTTGTTCCGTATCCCCGAAAAATTAGACAACCGCATAACAGAGCAATCGTATGTTAGGCGATACTCGAATAACGCGGTTAGCTACTACTTTGATTCTATGAGCGGAAAAAAATTCCTATGACTGTAAACGGCGTCCAAGACTGAAGAATCACCGACGCCACGCACCGCTACTGGCTTGGCATTATTACGGGTACATAGTGAAAATTGTACCTACGCTACAAGTAGGCCTCTTGCCACAGTTGAATGTATAAAAGTGGCTGTGCCCTACACATGGGCACTCTTAGAATCCCATCAGAAATTTGAAACCTCTGCGTACGAATTTTTCACATGAAATATATTCTTCAAAACTCCTAAAACCTACAAGATCATAAAGTATCTATTAGTCTGTAACCTACACAATGTTCAATATACACAGTTTGGCGCCTAATGCACCTATCAAATATAGAGATATATATGAAGTTGAAGTTTTTCTGTATAAATTCAATCTGGGCCTTTAGTGTCGCCTTCCACTTGAACCAACTCTTTGCGCCTTTTTCTGCGAACTCGGTGATACATCCGGCTGAAAGGGATTTGATATTCTCAATATTGGATCAGTTTGTTTTTGTTTCTCTTTCTCCTGTTGGCTAACAACAAGTCGCGAAAGTGCTTATCGGAGCTGAGTCTTGATATCACTTATAGAAGCAGACTAAAGAGTTTTAAAATTCTTCCTCGTTGTCAACTTCCATCCTGATGCTGTCCAAAAAGCTCGAGTTCCTTTTCTGCATTTTAACTTTTTGTTTCTCAAAGTTCTTCTTTTTGTCCTGCAACAAATAATAACTTTGTCACTTCTATTCACGTCCGTCAATCAGTTATAGTCACTGAGAACTATTTTTCCGAATGGAGTTTCCATTCATGCACGTCCGTACTTTTAACACAAGAGAATCAAATTCTTTTCTTTGAGGAATGACTGTTATTCTCGAGAGAAAGAAAAGGCTGCCACGCCCTCATATGAATGGTCCAAGGTTAGTTAAAGTCGAATCAGAAGTTTCCTCAAGAACAGGAAAAAATAGCGCCGATCACATGCGTGGAGACTAAGAAAAAAACGAGAGAACTGGAGGAAACTAGAGAACAGAAGATCTGGAGAACTACAGAAAACTAGAGGACTTTGGGGAAGACTTGCTCTCCCACTACACACATTATACACCATACACAGTATGTTTGACCCAGTCCACTCACCTCCATCGTCGTCATTGAGTCTGTCCGAGCACGTGACGCTGAAGTAGGTCGCTCAGTTCCAGAGCCCGGGCGATTCCTTGACGCTGACTCAGAGCGATTTACCTTCCCTCCCTCTACTGTTAAGTCCTCCTGAAGGAAAGAAAATACGTAGGTTAAACCTAAACCACACGGACTGGTGTTTTTCCTCTGTCTTTCCTTCGTCAGTTTAGTTAGTTATTTTAAGTCATTAACGTTAAAACAATGGGTTTTGCCAGATATCGGGAAAAATAAGCCTGTCAGTGAGCAAATCTCTTCCTAGAAAATCCTTGTTTCGAGTGATATTCACGTCCTCATCGCATGTTCCCATCTGCCACAATTAAGATTTTCTCGCCTATCATGATATTCTAGACAACTACGCTTTGTTCACTCGCCTTTTGGTTGAGCGACTTGTAGAATGATTGACAGAAAGACATCTAAATACACAGATCCAGACAGACAGTCAAACCGACAATTATGAATTGATTTTGTTTCACTAACCTCAGTATCACTGATCCAGCTGTCCTCTCCACTCTCCAGTCCTCCGACTCCACTGTCTGACACTTTGGATGGTGCACCGCCATCTTGGTCACTTCCTACAGACTCCATACTACAATGGCAAAGACAAAAATCAGTGTAAAACCAACCCAGAAATATCCTGTCCAACAACTACCTGAACAGTTCCCTGCCAAGAGTACAGACCAGATAATGCCAAGTGATATACTTGTGATTACCTTTTCCTTCGCTTGTGTTCGCTAGTCATCAACTGAGCGAGAGTGCTATCCTGTCTTGTAAGCTCGTTTTCTGAAAGAATGTTACGCACACGTTAATTGTGGGATTATTTGTTGAGGCGAGATCGCCTCACGCGCTTAACTCTAGAATCAAATGTCCAAGTTCGAGCCCTAACCGCCAGGTCATTGTGTTGTGTTCTAGAGAAAGAAAACTGAACTCTCACAGCGTCTATCTCATCTTGCGGGTGCAAATGGCTACTGGAAAACTGTCAAGCGTCAAGGGTGTTGGCTCGTATAGACTAGCATCACTGAGCATCACTAAAGAAAACCGAAAAACTCTAGCAATGATAAGCAGTTGCAGACTCGTAAGACTTGGCCTCAACCTGACCTTGTTGTAAATTGATTCAACGATAAATTTATAGCCATTATCAGCACATGACAAACACTAATTGCGGCAAACTCTCTGACAAGGAACCAGAGCTTCCACGCGATTAATTGGCATTCAACAAGTAATCTCATGATTAAAATTTCAGATTTGACTTCGAATTTAAGAAGGCAAAGTTTTCAATATCCCGAAAACAATATGTATGAATTATATTTTTTAACCGGTAAGAGTAGCGAGATTACCTCAAACGAGTTCTTATCGCGAGAAAGAGAAATTTCCATCATAGCATGGAAAATCAATTCACGACTTAAGTGTCCAGATTTTTGACAGGCTAAGGATTAGACAAATAGTGACTATAACTAGAGCAAGAACTTACGAAATTTCTTCAGGAGTTTCACTATCTCCTCGTGTCCATAATCCTACAAAAAAACGAAAGCAATCTATATTAAATATTCCTCGCCAAGAGAAAGCATACACCTGTTGATCTTTGTGACAAAGAATTCAATGAAACTCTTTGTTCTCAAAAAATATTCTAACTAGATTCACTGTAGCTGTGGAATGTGCGAACTGTAAAGTGATCTTAAGATAAAAGTCCACTAAACGCTTACTTCTGAAATGTCAAGAGGGGTTCGTCCATTGTTATCAACAACGTCCACCTTCGCTCTGTTGGCGATCAGCCACTTAACACACTCTACAAACCCGCTGCAAATATAAAAAAAACAGTGTTCGTCAGAGCGTCTTTCGACCGAATGTCACAATACGGAATCCGATGTAATCTCTACAGGCCAATCAGAATAATGGTTCATAGAGACACTTTCAATGAAGAGTCGAAAGTAAACCAGGATTGCCTTGGTTTTGCTTTACTTCGCTCTGTGATTGGTCCAGAAAAATCGGCCAACGTCTCAACCAATCAGATATAAAACTAAGAGCAATCCCAACTTGGTCACTGGCGTTTTCCCGCGCTTTAGGCAGGTTGTCTGTTCTTAAATAGAGTTTTCATTGGTTAAGGATGATGTTAACCTTTGTGCTGATTGGTTGATGTGATTATTTTGGTTTTGGTTTTTCGATAATTAATTAGAAAGTACTCTATCACAAGCAACCAAAGAGAATTCAAATTAAACACGTAACCGGCCCTTCGCGGGTGGTTTGTTGAGAGGGCGCTAGAGTTGTGTAGAATAATCGCAAATTTGCAATTAAGAAAAATCAATAGAGCCGGATTCCTTTCGACACCCACCTGTAATGTATTGGACGATTAAATGTGCAGTCAGGAAGTAGAGCAAACAACATCGAAAAGACGGCAAAAATGCCCTGTAATGTAAAGCTGAATCGCGGTGACAACATACCTCATACAGGCCAAATGGAGGGGAGTAAGTTCGTCCACTGTTCTGCAGCTCAACGTACTTCCCATGGCCGACAGAATCTGAACGAAGGAAATATTACACAAAAAGCAATTTTTGGTAAATAATAGAAAAGTTATAGGCATTCAGTGTAAAATCGTGAAATTTGGCTTATCACTCAAATATCCGTTCATCTTTTAGTCAAAATTTTCATTTAAGACCTAAGTGAAGTTATCAAGCCACCTCGTTTCCCAATGTGAAGTGCAAAGAAACAAATTTTAGTCGCTTTCTGTCATCAGGTCCCCAAATTTTGAGAAAACTGACGTTAATCGCTTAACACAATTTAATGTGGTTTGAAATGGTTAAAGATAAATAGGTGTAAACATCTCATCTTTTTCTTCCAAACATCTTTACTGAATTAAGAGAAATAGCGCAGACAAGAGTGTGTAAGAAAGAATGACTAACCATCATGCAGTTCACGTGACCATTCATAGCTGCCAGATGCATGGCGGTATAGCCAGTCGGAGTCTCTGCGCCTAAGTCTACACCGCTGACCGCTAGCCACTTAACACAATCTAGTCGACCATTAGCAGCTGCTATATGAAGTGGGTTCAAACCGCGTTCATCTGTCATGTTCTTCATAGCCGGCACCACTCTTATCAATTCCTTCACACGTTCAAGCTTTCCCTCTTTGGAGGCATCGTGAATGGATGCACCTAAAGATAATATAATGACCAAAAAAGAAACTCATCAGATTGAAATCAGCGCTGAGTTATCTACGTCATCATATATCAACCTGTCTGACACGTGTTTTCCCGCGCTTGGTATTGGCCGCGGCATACCAGTAACTCGATTGGTTGACTGCGTGTTTTGTATCCGATAAATCAATCTGTCATCGAGACACGGACATATGTACATTGCAGCCAAAATGGCTCTGTTCGTTTGATCACCTAACGAAGACATTTTATTTCCTCTTTGGAAGTGACTACGTAGTTACATTAAAGAAAGCGTACAAACCTCTTCTCAAGATATTTTCACTCTCGCTGATAGAGTGTCTGTGTTGTTCTCTTTCTTTCTCTTGTTTTGCGCGAACTCCCGCTCGGAAGCCTTCAACAAAATCTTCACTTTGAGCAGAAACGGGTCGGTCACGTTCATGCTGGTGAAAAAGTTTCATAATGTGTTACTTTCGTAAGATCATTATACACAAAGGGTAATAAGCTCAGTATTAGTCTTGACTAGTAGCTTCAACTTGAAAGTTAATTGAATCGTGGTTTACATACGTGAATTTGTTAAACTTTCAATGAAACATACTGCACCCCTCGTTATTCCTCTAAATGAGTCATTCACCTTTTCAGAAACTATTACAAATAGCGAGTTTCAAACCCACAAACATCACGAGCTTTAAAAGCAGGCGATTTGATCTGGAAAGTAAATTAACTTCATGAAATTTCCAAAGTTTGACGAGCCGCCTTGTTTGCTTTCGGTAGGGGGTGTTTAAGGATAGGCTAAGGGATTTTCTTGTCCCTTCCAATTCCTCTCTTTCCCTCTCGCCTTTCAAGCCTTCCTTGGCTTAAAAGGCGAGAAAGGCTACAACCATGTTGACAACTGTTAAGAAGTAATGTCGATACGAAAATAAAAGAGAACCTTACCTCTGGTTTGGCGTCACCAGCAAACTCGACCCTAGGCTCGTCTTCGTCTTCACCTTTGTCTTCGCCTTCGTCCTTTACCTCCTCATCTCTTTTTTCAGCCGTATCTTCTTCCTCATTTACAGCATTTCCTTTCTCTTCCGTTTCTTCATTCTCTCCACTCTGCTCCTCCTCTTCCTCTTCCAACCCAATCTCCGGACTGGCATCTTCCTTCTTGGATTTTTTCTTGAATTTCGAGACAGACGTAGTGACCAGCCTCAATTGATCCGAACCATTCTTTGATAACCTCCTTTTCTCGTCATCCTTTCCAACCTCTTCCTTTTCTTCTTCCTCGCTTTCGCTGGCATTTTCATCTCCCTTGTTTCTTTGCCTTTTTGAATTTTTCCTAGAGTTCTCCTTCGCATCCTCATCGTCAGAATCCTCATTCTCCTCTTCAGGTTGGAAGAACCTCTCCTTTTCGTCTTCATTTACTTCATCTTGTCCTTCGGGATTTTCTCCTTCCTCTTCCTCTTCTCCTTCGCTGACATCAAACAGATCTCCAGCTTTAACCGCCACAAATCGACCGTAAGCATTTTCATCTCCGTTCGCTGATTGCACAGGAATGGGAGGTTTGGCTCGTTTGGAGCTTATCGGAGGTTTTTGCCTCAGTGAATCAGCTTTACTTTTTGATTTCTTTTTTACTTCTCTTAAATCAGGTGCAGGAACACCATCTTCGTCTTCACCGCTGGAAAAGCTATCGCTCTCGCTTGCGCTCCGGTAAAAGTCGTCGTCCTGTCTCTCGTCGATCCTGGGTAACACAGCAACAAGATGTGATGCTGTACGCCACAACAGAAAAAAAAAGAAAGAAATCTAATTAAATAAAAAATAATTTTAAAACTGCATAATTGAAAAATTCATAGCAATCTCTCCAGCAGGGTAGGTACTACAATAGAGTATTATTGGCAATTGTGGGGTATTCCAAGTTGACAAAGAGAGAGTCGGGTGTATCTCACGAGCCCCTCATCCCTAGCCACGCCCTTTCCTTAAAAGCTTACTGGGTATACTAATAACCGACGATACACTCACAGGATAGCGCAAAACATCGCACTGTTTGACGAAGAGGAAGAGAGGATAGTCAAAAGGGACTGGCCCAAGAGGAAAACATGAGCCTACGATTGTAGAGGTGGGGTGAGCACCTCCACAACCAATGGCCTGTTTTAGAATCTGGGCCACATTTGTTCCACTCCGATTACTATAAATCTACTTTAACTAAACTCAGACTTTAATGTAACTTTCCCATGGTGAGAAAGGGAGAGCTCTTCAAGTTCCTCTGAGAAGTCTTACTTCGGCTAAAAAAAATTCACCCCTTTGCATTAACCTTCACGTAAGCTTCTAAGCTAATTCTCACCAGTGCATACTCATTTTTTTTGAGTAACAGAAATACCGCTCGCGTTAAAAGTAAGATTACCTGGAATGACGTCGGAGGTTGGAAGATCTCGAATAATCTGCCCATCGTCATCGCGTGACGACAACCATCTACCAAAAAAACAAAAAGGCGAATGAGATAAAACAGATATAAACTAGTGACCAATTAGGTATCAACAAAGTATCAGTCCACAATAGTTTGTGAGACAATCGTAGAATCAGGGTCCTTCAGTTCAATAAGTTAGTGTGGACTGATTGAAATAAAAGTCTGTAAATTTGTCACCTTCGGCACTACATACTATGAGAGGTCATGAAGTGGGTCACTTAGATTTTGAGCGAAAATCAAATGTAGACTTGTTCTACGACTGTACTTTCATGTTTGAATTTTACCTGCTGCAACGGAACTCAAATGCTCTTGTCGCCTCGGTGCCCTCCTTGATTAACACCTTGTCCAGAAACCAGCCATAACCTAAAGACAAAAAGTGCAATTTTTTAGTTACTTAATAAAGCTACGAAGATGAAACAAGTTCGTGAAATTATTTCTAAACGTTGTTCCAAAAAAAAAAAAAAAAAAAGAACTTCCTAGGAGCTTCATTAATAACAATAATGAAATGATTAAAAAGAGAAACACACACAGTCAAGAGTAAAAGAGACAGGTTTTTACGAAACGTACCAAGTTTTGTCTCGCTGTGACCAATTCTAATACTCGATAACTTTCCAAGAAAGACCGAGTCTATGACGAAGATATCCACCTGAAAAACGGACGTGCAGAAGAAGAATTAGTCGAGCAGAGTTATAGTGCTTAGTCACGGGTAATCATACGTACATTCTTCTCAAATGTAAACTTGGCCCCGCTCGTTTAATGGTGGGCTAAAAAAATTCCTTCTCTGTTGGTAATCAAGTGCCATAACATTCATACACGAGGTTCAAACCTTTTTGAAGATCATACTACATATAGCAACGAATACCAACGTCATGAAGCAAGTGTTATTCTTTAAAACCTTTGTTCTTCCTATTTTTCAATAACGTCAAGTTCTTTAAAGTTCTTAACTTCACCGTTAGAAGTCGAACTCTCTTCCAGTGTTACTCATCTTCGTTCTTCCTTACCTTTTGACATATTCTGTTTTTTTCACCGAAAAAGATTTTTTTTAACAGAAAGCAAAACTTTTTGCTTGTTCATTAAAAGCCATTGGTGTTCTTTCCTATCAATAATTTCTCTGATACAAGTAATTCCCAGTCAAACCGTGACCTTTATCTCTATAGTATACAGTAGGTAGAATTCTACAATAAATAAGGAGGAGTGTGCTCGTCCAATCTACCAGCATGCTAGGTTGTCTGGTCATTGTAAATGACTACTTCTCCCTTCAACAAAGAGAGAGTATATTTACCTAGAGACCTGCACCCCCCTTTTGACTACACCCCTAATCTCACCTGTCCTCTCTGAAACTTTGTCCTGTGTGTTCTGGATCGTAGCAGCTGCCTCTCGCCTGAGTTGCCGTATTCTCCAAATATTGTTAATTTGACTGTAGCCTTTGTTCCAGCACCAAGCTTATCACCCGTCAGGACATAAACTTCATATGTTAGTACTGTAAATCAAGACAAGTGTTGAAATTAAAAATCAGCTTTTTCCTGAATGATAAACTGCCCTTCCTGATAGCGGATGACTGTCACAAATGACACAAGAATAAGGCCTTTCTAAGCACTGATCGAGAGAGAGTCTCAAAAGAGGGCTTACATACTCCATAGTATACTCCATGGGGGGTCACATTGGTGGCTTTATGTCACTCTTCAGTGTCAAAGATATATTTCACCAAAGAGATAATCAAGCTAAGAGACTGAAATCCCTATGGCTTTATTTGTAAGTTTATTCCTCAAAAGTTATTTGAGATCACTCTCCTTTTATGAGAGATCCAAAGGCATCTAGAAATAATAAATCATGCGACGTTCTGGGGAAATCAGATGCATTAAACCTAAAAATAACTTTAAGAGGGACTAGAGTCACTTGTTGAGATTGCAGAATAGCGAACACCTGACCATTTGCCTCACGTGGAAGACAACACTGGATGCCCAACTATACAATTATCACTCAAAAAATATTCTGATAATTGGCATATTCTCACCTTTAGGCTCCAAGTCTCTGTTCCTTGTCTGTGTCTCAGCTGAAAGAGGGGTAGATGTTGGTATGTCTGCAGTACTAGCACCCTGTGTTGCCGTGACTGTAGAAACACTCACTTCTTTGACTTCCTCTGAGCTGTCTCTTACAATTGGTGTCAGTCTTGGAGGTAAGATGATTTGCCGTTCAACTTGGTCATCATCATCATCGGTTTGTTTAGCAGTTTGTGTTCCTGGAAATAAGGACACAGCTTTTAAGGACTCCCAAACAACCACATAACAGACTTTTCTATGAAATTAAGTCTAGGCTAACTTTTCTGCCTGTAAAAAAGGTTCCATTGTAAATTTAAATAAAATGGTTGTAATTTTTAGCCCCCATTTTGCAGAAAGGCTCATAACCTATCACTGCAGTATGTGAATTCAATGTTTCTTTAAACACCTTTCGCTGATAACTGCCCTGTTCTTCACCAATTTCCTGCTCAATCAAAAATACGGGACAGACCACATCCTGTTTTATTTCATATCTAAGCCTTCCTTCTGAGTTCATGGTCAATTTTCAGTGCAAAAGAGAAAAAATAATATTACCCATTCTATTACCTGAATGGACAACTGTCTGCGTTGACATGTCAATCATGTCATGTTCTGTCTCCATCCATGACATCCTCGGTGTACGTGTTGATGATAATTTTGGAGATCCAACACTTTCAAATTCGTCATCATCATAGCTTTCTTCATCTGGTCCAACAGCCTGTGATTTCAGTGGCAAGCCAGCACTCTTAGGCCGCAAGTCTTTAGGCTGGTGATGTGATACCATAACACTGCTACCCTGTCCATCTAAATTCATGCGTCCAACAAGGGATCTAAAAAAATCAATTGAAGGAACTATGCTACATAAAGATCAAGCCCAGTATTGCATAATTCAAATTCAAAAACCCAGATAATTATTATTTGACGAACAGATTTCTAAAACCATACATGAGAGATCAATGATGTCCAACATAACAATATCAATTGAGCACTTCCTCAACTAAAATCAAGTTGCATGTTATCATTTTACACCAGTATGCAACTGTTTTGTCCAGTTATACATTAGACCATAAACACCGAGTAATAATAATTTAACAGCTTGCTAATAATAACCCCTAAATACAGATTCCCAAATTGGTGAGTTCAATACAAATTCAAGCCCCATTTTTAACAACCTTCTGTCAGGAAAACACCATTAAATTCCTATTGGTGTTACTTGTACCTGAGTCGCTCATCATCATCATCACTTTGTGATCCTCCTGGCAGTACAACATGAACACCACTCCTGGTGAGTTTCTTTCCATCTCTTCCAGTTGGGGAGGACTTGAAAAATGATGACTCTGGTCTTCTTGGTGGTGCTGATCTAGGCTTGGCCTATGGAGAATGCATCAGAAAAACAGTAACTTAAAAGCATCACAAGTAAATCATCTTTAATCCACAACTGGTTTGCAAGTCGCTTGTTGAAGAAGTGCCCGTGTCATCTTTGTAGTAATAAGGTAAGGCATCATGATCTTGATGTAAAGTTTGAGAAATGTAAGAATTTATGGAAAAATCTATTGATGCTAACCTTTGGTGGAGAAGGGCGCCTTGAAATTCTTTGAGAAGTCTCAGAATCTGCGTAAACAAAAATTACATGTGAGAACTCTAATCTGCATGATGTGAGCTACCTATCCTGATAAAATACTTAAGACTAACACATTTTATTGATTACAATATCATGTACCTGACGAGAAAGACTCTGTTGCTGCACGACGTTGCTTCTCTCTTTTAAGTCTTGGTATTTCCTATGTATGTGATTAGCGAAAGTCAGATGTGCACTAACACAGTTAACTTCATGAAAAGAAGAAGGCCAAGAAAGGATGGAAGCAGTTTAGGAAGATGGCCTGGTAAATACAAAGGTAGGTACATGTAAAATGCAGTATAGGTACACAGGCAAGAAGGAGAAAAAAAAAGGAAGGAATGACAGAAGGAAGAAGACTAAGAAGGAAGAATGGAGTAGAGAAGATGCACAAACCCAAGACTAAAAGGAAGGAATAAGGAATAATTCTTAGGCTGGCCTAGTTATTTGGTCTGTAACACAGTTAAGGTGTAAATAGGCCAAATAAGACAAAATGATCATTGGTCTGGATAGCTTACCTTGTCTGATGCCTGAAACCCTTTGCTTTGTTTCTTGGTGGCAGGTAAAGCAACTGTTTCCTGAAATAACAAAGATTACATTGAGTATCAAGTTTCATTTAGAGCTTCAGTTTTAGCTTATGTGATGCCTTTTCTTTACCGTAGCAACAATCAGCTTGGTTGCCATGTCAACTAGTCTTTCTCTTTCATCTCGGCTGACATGCTGGGGAGGAGATCGTCTCGCAATTCTTCTTGGTCTTCCAACAACATTTGGAGGGATTTTCCTAAAAGAAAACAATAATAAAACATGAAAAAATACTTACACTTAAGATGATAATTAGAATCTTCTTCACTTTTTCTGGTTAGGAAGCTTGTCATTTTTCATCCCTGCAAGGCACTTTACAAGCTTTCGTGAACAGTTCTAAATTAGTCATTTAAAGTAGCCAAAGAAAGGTGGTGTAACTTACCCAAGAGTGGATTGAGGCATAGCTAGGTTTGTGGTATTGTGTTCTTCTTTTATAGAAAATGAAGCAACTAGAGTATTGCTTCTCCCCCTAACAATTTTTGGAGTTTCCCTGACAGGTTTCAAGCACTCATGATACTCCTACATCAAGGGTCAAAAGAGGCACTAGTGGCCTTTCCACACTAGCAGACAATACTAGAATTGTCCCAACAAAATCAAAGGACAAATTTTTCTTTCTCAAATTCCCTCAGTGCCTGATCTGTTCATAAGACTGGCCAACATAGTTTGCCAAAGGATTCCACATCCAATTTGCACGATTTATTCAAAGTTGTTTTAAAATTTTAGAATCCCAGAGTTTTGCAAGAAAATACAATTTTTGCCTGTCAAGTAAACTGATTTCAGTTCAATACATTATGGAATCGTGCCCATTGAAAAATGTTGCACAGGAAAATGCAAATAAGCTAGAAAAGAGAAAGAGAGCATGCATAACTTCATGCAGGCCTGTCAATCCGACTGTCAATCATGTAATCCCCATTGTACACTGTGTTCGCAAGTATTGTTTCTTGCTCAGACAACCAAAACATAGTGCTATTCATCAAAGAATAGACATAATTAGTAGCGTTATCTTGATTAGGCTAAATTGTTTAAAAATTGGTCAGATGTAAAATTAAATTATTTACCTTTTAAATGTTGGATTTTTAATTTGTGTTCAGACTGAAATGTGGCAGATTTACGAGGTTTGACCATCAATTTCCCCATGAAAGCAAAATAACATTACAGAAATACTCCTTTTTAGCCCATCATTACCGTCAGTTTCAGACAACAAGTTGGTAAAGTCTATTTGCTTTTTGAAAAGCTTAAGCATACATTGTAAATTCCCACTCCACGGAAGTACACGCTCAGTTCCAACTCAGCTTTACCATAACAACATCACTTTCATATTTTTCAAACAATACTAATTGCTCTGATTGTATCTCCATTGTCTCTAAATGGACACAAAGTGAAATTTTACTACTCCTGGTTGGGAATTCGTCAATTCAGATCTTAAGAGACCGAAGCTGGCTTTGAGCTTTTGCAACCTCATTTTGATAGGCACAATTCCATAATGACACCCTCATGGTAGCTTTTATGAAAATGGTCCACAAGTTTATCATGGTTTTGTTTATTTAGTCCATTTTGTTCAGTTTTTTCAGATATTTTGTCAGTGGTGTGTTTGAAGATTTGTCTGCTTCAGCTAAAATTTGTCAAGTTGCAAAAAACCATCCACACTTGTAAAATGTTGCTGATGACAAAAAAAATTGTCTCAATAAACAACTTTGTTGCTAGTGCAGAAAGATCCTTGGTTAGGAAAGTGTTTCACCAAGAAAACAACACAAAAAACCTGTCAGGGCTCAGATATGGACTTAACCAAATTCCATCACTTCAATTACCTTCTTTTAGCACCCCTCTTTGTCTTCATGTACTGATCAACTGACATTGTAGCATGTGGTCTATGAGGAGGAGGTTGTGGTGGTACGGTCTGTGGCAAAGCATATGGTGAGATTGGTCCAGGCTTGAGTCTGTAGTCTACAGATGCCATGGTCTGATCCATAAAGTTCCTCACAGTACCTTCCCTGGAGTCTTGGTCCTTTACAGTGTACATGTTTTGTAACTGTCTCCTGATTTTAGGACTGTGGAAATAGTGTTTTAAGCTCCTGTCATGGATCCCATCATAGTCCAGTGTTGGACCCTAGGTTTGAAATGATAAGATAACCATAGACAGAAATTAATTGAAAGCTTAAGTCTCAGAGGCTAACTTTGAGGCATTTTTTGCATGATAAAAATGTGCTTCAACACACTAAATATATTCATTTATAAAAGGGCTTATGGAGAATGATTAGAGAAAGTTACATGTAGAATTACACACAGATAAAACATCATTACCTACTCAAGTTGAAATCTGTAGAATTATAGAGAAACCTTAACAAGTTATTACATTATAAGTTGCACATAATTCCTACCAAGTTAATATCAATAATTCTAACATATCTTTAGTATGACATCAGAGGATTTCTCACAAAGAAGACTAGCATTTCATAAATCTGCTGTTTTAATTACATCAGGAATACATAAAGACCTTAAATAGTGTATGTAGACACCAGTGTGAAAATGAAAAGAAGAAAAATAAGAATGCCATCATCACAATTTTTTTTTAAATGTTACTTGGAACTATACTATCAATTTCATGATTCAATTAAGCAGTAATTTATATCAAAAAAATTCTTACAGCTCTCAATGGAATTGGATCTTCTCTAGGATGACATGGACCTGATAAATCAAAACCGTCTTCTCTCCTTTGTACATCTAGATAGTACTTCCTGAAGCAAAACCAAACAGCAATTATAATGGACAATAAATACACTTGAGCCTGACCTAAGCACAAAATTAATACATACCTCAATTTCCTTACATTACTCACATCCATCAAATTAACCAGAGCAGTAACTAAATTTATGAAATTCAAATTTAATGTGTTCACAAAGTTACAGATAAATTTATAGTCTCATCTGCAACTATCAAATAACACTGAACAAATCTCAAGATATTATGTTTACATTTGTATATGAATACTATACACAAATGTAGTCTATGTTTACTAGAATATGTGCCATATACTAGTACATAATATAGCAAAAAAAAAAACAGTGAAAGATCTGAAACATTTTAACATAAGAGCTCAAAAGATAATGAGCCCAAATTAAAAGTAAAACACAAACATGAAATCATGCACATAAAATAAGGAAACATTACCATGCAAATTAATTTTCACTACTATTGAGAAAAAATCTTAATTGCTTATTTTGGATCATACATCTTATCACTGCCATGTTCAGAGTCTGTATCCTCTGCTAGAAAATACAGACAAGAATTGGGGCAACGTTGGTGATTCAAATTCCTCTTTAGTGTCCTCCTCATGTATTATTCCAAAGACAATCTTCCACTTAAAATCATGATCAAATTGAACACCAGATAGTGCCAGTGGGTAAAATCACCAACTTAAGTTGTAGAGTCAAAGTCTGATTACTTGTTCTTGTTGCTAAAATAAGTCTAACTGAAAGCTTGCACAAGATTTACACTGACTATTATGATCCAGCAAAGTTATGAGACCATGGAAACACTGAGTAATGTGTTTTTAACACATGAATAATTTATTGTCAGTCTGAAGCCCATTACACAACATTTCACAAATGTTTTCTAAAAAAACATAGCCTGGTCCCATGGCTTACCCACAAGAAAAAAACTATCTTTTCTATGCAACCTAAAACTTCTTCAGGGAGAGCTTTGATTCGATAAGATTTCTAAATAAACTGTAAGAAATTGTAAGATGTTTATGTTAATTGGCTTACAATTACAAACTTGAACAATGACAATAACTACTGGATGATTACCTATAGGTATGAAAATTATTTAATTATTTATGAAAACAGTCCTTTAAAGATAACCAAGTGAAACAATGATTAAATGTAATCAATAGTTCTTTTTTAATCTAGTATTTATCTAATAATATTCATTACCTGTTCTAAAGTTCTATAGGCATGTGATATCTAAAATAAATTTGCATTATCTGTGCATATCCATTTTGTCTGAAACAATTTACACATAAAAAAAAATTTACAACCAAAGTTGAATCAAAACAGTTAACCCTTTCACTCCTAGGATCTCATTTGTAATTCTCCTAACTACCTGCCATACAATTCTTATGATGTCAGCTAAGAGAATTTGGTCTTGGGTCATCTAGTAATCCCCTCACTGATATTTTCTTTATTCTCATCACTTGTCTGCTTGCTATTGAGTTGATACTGAAAGGAGAAATTCTGTCCTAGTCACTCATGGGGCTAGGCTAAAGTACAAGAGGAAAGTGAACTGGGCTCAGTTATAATAGTGTTTCTTTCTGAAACATAACATTAAAAAAATCTCCCTACTTTACTAAACAAATTTAATCATCCTGATAATTTAGCTCACCTGAAAATCAAGGAACCAGTAGGAGACAGCATTTATCTTTAAGGGGAGATGATCATCAATGAATCAAAAAAAATTTTCATAATAAAAAAATTATATTTGGTTTTTTTTGGATGTTTAAGGTCCTTTCTACACTTAAATGTACTTTTACCAATTTGAGTATTGCTCATTTTAATCAGAGAATTCCAAATTCCTCTATGAATTATTTCCTTTTATAAATGCTAACAATGTCAAAAAACATTGGCAAAGTGACCTTATATGATGTTTCCATGTCACTGCTTCAAAAAAGTCCTGAACCACTTTCATTTTTCTACCCAAGAAATTAATTATTTTCAATATCATTCATTTTCATCGGTCTTTTGGGAAAGTGGTTCACATCTTCCTTGAGGTAACTCAGTTCAGGAGGAGAGTGGATATCAAAAAGTATCTATGTAAGTGAAATGTAACTTCAATTTGTTCAAGGAAGAGACCTCAACAAAGACTTTTTAAAAACACTTGCTTTGGAATCCTGCTTAAAATTCTAGCAAAATTTTATCAACAGTGTTTCTACCAATTGATTACATCATATCAATATACAGCCCAGAAAGGTCAAATAATCATGGCCAATTTAAGTGTCTTATCTTGAAAAGGTATACTTCATTCTTTGTGATGTTTGCCTAGTAAGATCACAGGAAGGATAAGGCCTAGTTCAGATGCCAAACTTAGCTTGATTTGCTCTGAAAAGAGTTAATGCTCAAAAAGGCTGCTCTACAACCTCTCTACAGTCGCCAATTCACATAATCAACTTGGTTGATAAAATAAATAATCTCTGCATGACATGATATGACATGATTTTAATGTTGGACCAAACCAAATTAACAAAAGTGCCCCCTGTTAAGTCAGACAATCCATAATCCTTCTTTATTCAGTTCTGGAATTCTAACAGCTTTGGGAACATGTATTTTCATAATTTATGCATCAATTTCAGCCCATGATAAGTTAAGTCTAAGGTATTGAAAATCTTGCACAAGCCTGGTGGGAAAATTATAGCTGAAAATTTCAAAATCAAAATAGCTACTCATTATGATGCAGATTTCTAACTTAATCAAAACTATAACAAAATTCTTGAATGTGATTGGTTATCACCAGCCCGATTTTAGCACTAATAGGTCTGTGTACGCATCATGCTTGTAATTGGATAGTGTAATAGGACAGTTAACATGTCATGCCTGTGTAAATAGACAGAATGCGTCATGTGCACTGTTGTCTGGCATTTCATCAAGTTAATCATTGTTGTTGTTTTTTTTTTGTGAGAACATATAACCAATGTCTAATTTCTTTCTCAAATTTTGTCATAGTTTTGATTAATTGGTCACAGGACTTCAAGTTACTTGTGATTAACAAATGCTTTGCCATCATCTGATTTTGTTAATCACTCATCTGATTACAGACTGAATTGGACTCCACTTAGTCCTATTACCAATATAAACAGGTATCAAGTTAGGCTAGTGACAAGTTTGGTGTTTGAATAGGGCTAAAAGTTTTGAACAAAACAAAAACACAGCAAAGAAACATAAAACTGTAATTACTCTATTGATTATGATTTTCCTGGCACACAAACTAACCAAAGTTGCAAGATGATCTTAACAATATGAACCTTCTGTCAAATTGATGCAGACCTAGAGACTGAGATCATGTTTATTAGCTTTCGACTGGCTGTGTTAAGTCATCTTGAATCAACTGCATGCTATATTTTATACTGAAACACATATAGTGTTAAATCTTCTCCTTTTTTGCTCAATATCAAAAGTTACAAACTTAGTAGACAATAACATTCCACTTGAGATTTTATCAATCAGTCCACTTATGGTCAAGTTATATCCACTACAGAGACCTGCGGAAGTTGTTTACTTTTTAAAACGTTTGCCGTGAGTTGTCTCGTGCCACTGTTATGAACTTAAGCTCACAAAAAAAATTGAAACCAAACTAAAATCAAACAAATGGAAACCTTTCACAAGGGTAACTTACCTTTTATTTGAAGTTTCACTGTACCGTAATGTTACAACGGCTTTTCAAAGTCTTATGTCCTAACCGTAATTCTTAATAACACAAAATTAAGCGTTATTTCAAGCCACTGCATCGAAGGTAAACTTGATGAAATGGTCCTCGTAAAATATAATTTGGTAATAGTTCTACTAAATATCTCTTGGATTGTTTTCATCGTCGAAATTAATAATGATAATCAATTTAAGACACTAAATGATGCTACACTCGTGAGACTTCTCTATTGCAAACATTCTCGTGTAAATCTCTTGTTTCAAGCACCGTAGCGAGTGATAAGTGGAATAAAATAGGGAGGTAAAAGATAAACTTACAATTTCTTTGCCACAGTTTTCGTCACAGTAGCCGAACTCATTTATAACTGGCTTCAATCCCTTCACTATCTCCTCCAATGAAACGACGCAGGAATTAGATATCCAACAAACTTTGGAAAATGCTGGTATCAAAATAACAAAACGGTAGTTTGGCCTCTCGATTTCGTCGCCTTCATGGATTCAAATATCACCTCATTGAAGAAAATCTTGTGCGAACCAATTCAATCGAATGCACCTATAAGACCACAGTTGATTGATCTTATTTGAGAGCAGGCGTCTCTAAGGTGCTAACTATTTACCGCGCCTCGACCCTAACGACCATTGACAATCAATAGTCAATCGTACCGCTGGTGACAATCGATACTTTATCGTCGAAGACATTCGCCACATTATCAAATTTATTAACGTACTTGTATTTCTACACTACAATATTAGTGTGCGTGCTAACTGTGGAATGCGGATTCATGCTGGAAGGGACATATTGTTTAAAAAAGCTGTCTTTTCCAACTCGAGTTGTCCGTCACTTGAAATCAAGAAAAATGTATTACATCTGGGCTGCAGTTGTGGCTAGTTTTGCCGTGATCGTTGTATATTTTCAGCTTCCATTCATCGTTTTTCCTGTTCTCCTGTTTCTGGCGTTTCTGGCATCTGGGGGAAAGGATTTTCCGCGAGTTTTCTTCCGAACAATTTTGCGCGATATAAGGTAGGTGTGTTTGTTTCGATGCGTTTTCCCTACTTACAATATGGCCTGAAACTCGACACAACGGAACATTAGTCGATCGAAAAACAGCTGCAGTACGTATGCCAGCTTACCGCTCGAACCTAAGCTCATTCGTTCGCTTAGAGCTCATGCTTTTGTGCTTTTAAAATGACACGTCGGTTACTGATGAAACGATTATGATATACGGTTATCTTAGTCTGATCTGAAACAATTTGCATAATTTATTGAACCATGTATGATTTGATATTTTAATTTGGTCATGCAAACTTATCCAGCTTTCCCATTTCGTATACATGTGATTTTATCACTTTTCATTATACCCTTGAATTGACCATTGAATTCATGTCCTGAAAACACGAGGAAATATTACCGTATAACCCCACACTATTCCAAAACAAAGCCTTAGTTCCTAAGGCAATCTTTTGTTTTCGCCATAATGTTTTCTTTGTCCAAGAACTGTATGTTTAAGGAAGTATGGGGGTGTGTGGAAATCTTCCAAACATGTAATAGCACAGTTTAGTCTTTGAAGAGGGAACTTTGTCTTTGACTTATAAAAACTCTTTGTGCAGGCTTGAATAGAGAATGGTTCTTAGGGCCTTTACATCGATTCCTACATCCATTTGAAAGTAATTACTTTCTGGTGTCCTTTCACATGATCTGAGTTTTTGTATTATTCCACATAACCATGGAAGGTCTATTTACTTGATTGTATTAGTTTTTATAATGAGATGAAGAGGGTTGATCCTTCATTTTTTTAATTTGTTTGCTATAGTCAAGACTAACTGGCATGGTTACTTCCTTTATACCTTATCTCTCCCTTCCCTCTAAGGTGATACATGCAAGATTAAGTGTTAAATGTACACTGTTAATCAGCTTGTGGCTTGTGAGCCAGAAGGAGTTTATTCCAGTTTCAATACCATAAAGTGATTAAAAGTATCATCACTCAACCCTGGGTAGGATACTTTTAAGTTTTGTTAGGTTACCTTGACAGTTTCAGAGCAACCATTTGTAGTCCTTGGTGAAGAGAGACACTGGGAGAATTATGTTTTTTGCCAAAGAACAGAGGTTTCAAAACAAGCTGGCGACCGCCAGAGGTCTGCCAGCTACTTGATAACACGACGCCAGTTTCTCTGGTCAAAATAATTACCTTTAGGCCCTTAATGAACTTTTTACAGTCACTTACCTTTGTAGAGTATAAGGCTTACTTCAAAACAGTTTGAAACCCTTGCAAGAACACAACACAGTAAATTGGCAATGGCTCAAACTTGTGTATTAACCCTTTAACTCTCAAGATCTGATTGTTAATTCTCCCCTCTAGCTGCTACACATTTCCTTGTAAATTAGTTATGAGAACTTGATGCCAGATCAAGATAGCAGCTTCTACCTGATAAGTTTGAATATTCTCATTACCTGTTTGCTGAATAATGTATGGATATTGTAAGGAGAAGTTTTATGTCAATCACTTCTAGGAGTTAAAGGGTTAATGCATGGTCAAGTGCAGTAACCATTGCGTTACTCATTGTGTGCATGCTTAAGCCTTTGACCCCTAAGAGTGATTAGGATCGAATTTCTCCCTGATTCACTCCTGAATCACTCCTTAACCCTTTAACTCCCAGATAAAATTTGTAGTTCTCCTTACTGTCAACCATACAATTCTTATAATGTTAGTTCAGAGAATTTAGTATTGGATCAGCTAATTATCCTCAAATTGATATTTTTCTTTATTCTCATCCTTTATCTGGTGGATATTGTATTGATATTGTAAGAAGAAATTCTATCTTGATCACTCATGGGAGTTAAAGGGTTGAGGTCATAAGAAAAAAATGAAATGATCACCGACTAAAGAAGCTCATCATTTGTTCAACAAATTCTCCAAGTCAGCACCACAGGGAATGTATAGAGAACAGTATAGAGATTATGTATACAGACATTATGGTGTTACGGTTTAAGTTATGGGAATGTGGCATTGTATCAGACTGACTTCATTTGTTATCTTACTTTCTTTACCATTCTTTACTATTCTTCTTTCTTCATCAGGGGTTTTTCACGTTTTGCTAATCTGCTTATCACCACTCGATTACATGTCAAGAACAGGCGGACAGTTTCTGATATGTTTCAGGAAACAGTGTCCAAGCATCCCCAAAAGCCTGCCATTATATTTGAAAAGAGAATGTGGTCATTTAAAGAAGTAGATGAATATTCGAACAGGATCGCAAATTTTTTCAAGGCACAGGGATACCAGAAAGGCGACGTGGTAGCCCTTTTCTTGGAAAACTGTCCTGAGTTTATTTGCATCTGGCTTGGATTATCCAAACTTGGTGTAGTTACAGCACTTATCAACACCAATCTGCGAGTGGATTCACTTTTTCACTGTATATCTGTAGCTTCTGTTAGAGCTGTGATCTTTGGTACAGATCTGTCAGGTAATATATTTAGATGTCTCTTATTTGAGACAGGGTGAAACATGTAAGGGGGAGGAGTCTGTTCCATGGTTGATTGGAGGAAAATAGTGAATCAGTTAGTATAAAAATTAATTTGTCTCAGATGGTGGAAAACAAAGTGAAATGTCCCAAACCCTTTAGTCATTGATTGTGTGTTTGTTCTGAAGCCAACATGAATGCAATTAGACATTTGTCATCTCTCTCACCAGTGTCTCCATTTTTTCTTTCCCACAGTTTCCTCTTAATGTTTTCTGGTTAATTAATTATTCCCATCAGCAGTCAGTTGAAAACATCCTTGAAATTAACATATTGTTGGTATTTTTTTGGTAGATGCTATAAAGGAAATTCGTACAAAAATTCCAGAAGTTGTAGAGCTCTACTCCATTGGAGTTAGATCGACTTCCATGGCCTCTGTAGTTCATTTGAACCAGGAAATTGAAGCAAGTTCACCTGCAATGCCTGAAGTCGATCATCCTAAATCTCATGCTGGTATTGAAATAAGATGATTCTATGTATTTAAGAAGTTAATGCTGTCCACAGTAATTTGTTGACCAGAGGTTGTGGATAGTGTGGGGTTGTACGTCACAAGAGATTGCACTTACATTTATATATCCTTGAGTTCATTGAGCTTTGATATCTGCTCAATAACAAAAATTTTTGGCAGTTTCTCAGTGAAATATTGGCAGATATGGTTACCTAGAGGTTAATGCTTAACCCTTTAACTCCCAAGATCTGATTGTTAATTATCCCATCTAGCTGTTTCTCATTTCCTTGTAATTTAGTGACAAGAATTTGGTGTTATGCCATAATAACAATCTCCAACTGATAAGTTTGAGTTATCTCATTACCTGTTTGTTGGATGATGTATGGATGTTGTTGGTAGAAGTTACATGTAAATCACTTCTGAGAGTTAAAGGGTTTAGCTTTTAAACCCTAACATCAGTATTAATATTCTCCCTACTGTTCTCTTTACATTTTCTAAGATGCTGACCAGAGGAACTTGTTAAACAATTAACAGCTCTTTCAGTTGGTGACCATTTCCTTTATTTTCATGACCTTTATTGTTTGATTCAACAATGATACTGTAAGTAGAAACTAGGTGCCAATTGCTCTTGGGGGTCAATGATGTATGGCTGCACACTTGGTGTTCTGGATTTCAGCCCTGTCTGGTTTATTTTGTTAAATCTTCAACCTTTTGCGTATTTTTCACTTATATTCTGATTCAGCAGTAAATGATACTTTTGTCTATGTAACTAAGAGAGTATTCATCTCTTAATTTAACTAACAACTTTTCCTTATCATTTTCATATCATTTACTTTATGTATTTACCTTTCTAATTTTCAAATTAGACGTATTAATGTATATATACACATCTGGGACGACTGGATTACCCAAAGCTGCTGTTGTAACAAGTGCCAGGTGTGCATACTTGAATGTTTACGAGTAATTGAAAGAACTTTTTTGCAAGAACATTTAAAAACAAAGGCACATACACAAAGATAATTTTATGCTGTCAGGCTGCATAGCTGGTGACTTTGCGTTTGTTTAGAGATGTTGAATGGCAAGACAGCAAAAGGCATGGAACAGATAACCGTTAAGTTTCCCTTAACATACTCAATTTTATTGGTGCCCGCGACCCGTGACCTGCGTTTTAGATTCGTGATCGGAGATTCGCCACCCGTCTGAATAGTCTCCGCAAGCATCAACAACTTAGAGTGATGGATGAAAGCGATCTCCGCAGAAATGAAAACTACTTGCAATAGTGAAAATAAGGTGTGAAAAAAATTCAGGCTTGTACGGAATTTGGACCCATAACTTTTGCGACACCAGAGTAATGCACCGAGATCGCAAAGGTGATAGGTTGAACCCCCGTCCTGAGTTTTTTTCAGGCCTTGTTTTTATCTACTGCTCAGGTAATGTTCATTATTGCGAAGATCGCTTCATTTATTTCTTAATCTGCCGTTCACATATATGATTTTCATATATTCACAATCAAATTTGTGTAAATTGAATGTGAAGCGTTGAAAGCCACCTTAACCGAGATCGTTTTTTCTTTATTTCAGATTCTTCAGGAATTCATACGGGGTGGTCTGTGCACTGAAGGTGCGCAGTGATGATGTAGTTTACTGCTCCATGCCACTGTACCATAGTGCAGCTGGAATATTGGGTGTTGGAATGTGTTTCTTAGGTGGTTGTACGTTAGCGCTAAGACACAAATTCTCTGCCAGCAGTTTCTGGGATGACTGCATTGAAACAAAGGCTACGGTAAGTGTGTTCTGTATCTTCAATGTTCAAGGCCTGTAATCGTAAAATCGTACGCATTTGCCGAGGTTCACAAATGAGCGTGGAATTTTCAAGAATTAGTAGTCCATACTTTGGTCTCTTCCCTTGACTCCTCAGAGCTTTTCTCAGGAGATATCCCTCGCAGAATAGAGAACTGAAGCTTGATGTGTACAAACTACAGCAAAAATTGAATTTATTGTCGCCAGTCCTTAGCCGTTTGTGCATCGGGATTAAAATATTTTGCCTTCAAGGTTGCAGGCTTTGCTGTTGCTGTAAATGTCACGCTTAATCAACTTGCGCTGGAAATACAGTGTATTCGTGCCTGTTCCCTCCCATTCCCTGAGGATTATTGCTTCAAATAAATTTCCCGCTCTCTCCTTTCTTCTTATGTATTCTTATCTTACTATTAGCAATCTCTGTTACATTTTTATACAATATCCTTTAATAGTGCGATATTATTGCTTTTTATATTGTAGACCTCGTCTTTTTTTTTTCTGTTGTATATTGCAGTTTTTCGTTTTTTATATTGTAGTTTTTAACAGGTGAAGAGTCACCGGGTGGATACACTGTTAATAAACCACTATTATTATTATTATTATTATTATTATTATTGTTATCTTTTGTCTCTATACTCAAAGTGGTTTTTTTGGACACAATTCTTGGAAGAGTCTTCACTTTCAGCTATCTGTGTTCTTTTTTCGTTCATTCTTACAACTTTAGAAGTTTTTTTTCCCTATCTTTTCAAATTTATATTTTTGGGATGCGCGTCGCAGAATACGATTCGTAGTATCGTCAATGTGTTCCTTCTCTTACTCACAGGTCGTTCAATACATTGGTGAACTCTGCCGATATCTCTTGTCCCAACCTCATCGTCCTTCAGAAAACAAGCACTCTGTCCGCCTGGCGATTGGTAACGGCCTCCGGCCTCAGATATGGAAAGAATTCCAGACGCGTTTTGGCATAGAGGAGATTGGAGAATTTTACGGTTCCACAGAGGGGACGGCCTCTGTGATAAACATTGACAGTACCCCCGGTGCATGTGGATTCGTGTCTGAGATCTTACCATCCGTCTATCCTGTAGTGATTTTCAAAGTTGATCCTGAAACAGGTGAACTAGTGCGCGGTCCGGATGGACTGGCTGTGAGAACAAAGCCAGGGGAAGTTGGACAGATTGTTGGAAAGAGCTCAAGAGGTAATTATTTGGTGAGGGGTGGTTATCAGGTGATCGAAGGAAATATGAGGAAAAGCCTAATTATCACAATTTGCAAATCGGAAGTCGCAGCAGATACACATGACCAGTGGAAACCTCGAGGCAAAGCCTATTGTCATACATGATACTGTCTAGGGAAGTTTATGTGGATCAATATCAGTATCTGGGCAACTGCCCACCTACCCCTCCCCTAACCCAACAACAGTCAAGGTTAATGTTGGGTTAGGGGAGGGGTAGGTGGGCAGTTGCCCAGATACTGATATTGATCCGTTTATGTTCGGACGCTTCCGAGGATGTGAGGGTTTATTGTGTTGGTTCTTATGGATCGTTATCAAATAGTCGCCATTTTAAGCGCTAAAGTCTTCTGATGTCCTTTTGGGGATCGAGTCAAGGCAACCTACTTTTAATAAAGTAATGTCAGGGTTCAGGGTTGATTGTATTTTTAGAAATTCTCAACATGCCGTACACAAGACGCTTTCGACGTTTCGATTCAAGCAGTAGGCAGGGAAATATCCCATGTGTACCTAGTATACAACTTGGGCTGTACCTCCCCATTAGTTCCTCACTACCCTTATCACTATGTGGTAGAACGCCCATGATTGTGAATCATGGGCTAGACACCTCTCCCCCCCTCTCCCCCCCAGCAGATTGTGAATAATTCTGAATTCTGAATTCAAATATTTCTTCTTTATACAAGTTAACTTTATAAACAATATATTGTCATATGATATCGTCATTTCACATAAAATTCTCAAAACAAACATTCTAATAGGTGTAAGGCGTCAGTTAGAAGAGTTTTCGATTTGATCTTGTCACTTTTCTTTACGCCACCTGTAGGTGATCCTTCCCTGCGCTTTGACGGATACCTAAACTCGGTTGAAACCAAAAAGAAAATTGCTCACGACGTTTTCCGCAAAGGCGACGCAGCATTCCTTTCCGGAGACTTAGTCGTCCGAGATGAGCTCGGCTACATTTATTTTCACGATCGCACCGGCGACACGTTCCGATGGCGTGGCGAGAATGTATCGACGGCCGAAGTGGAGTCGGTGATGAGCAAAGTGGTAGGCCTTCGCGATGTTGTTGTCTACGGCGTCGTGATCCCAGGCACTGAAGGGCGTGCGGGCATGGCTGCTATAGTTGATCCTGAATGCAAGGTCGATCTTATGGAGCTAGCTGCCAGTTTGAAGAAACTTCTCCCGAGTTACGCCTGTCCCATGTTCCTCAGAATCGTTCACAGCGTCGACTTAACGGGAACTTTCAAACTTCAAAAGTCCAAGTTGAGAAACGAGGGCTTTAATATCGGAGTTATAGAGGATCAACTGTTTTACTTTGATAGCAAAGAGAAAACGTACCTAGCCCTAGATGAGATCAAGTATGAGCAGATAATTCGTGGCGAGATCAGAATGTAGAAAGTATAGATATTTTTTCGTTTAGGAACTCTGTTACAATTATAGTGAAAAGCATAACTTTTAATTTAACAAACGGATCAGAACCCGAAATATTTGAAAATAGAATTTAAGAACGTTATCTAGCAAAAGGAAAGTCACGCCCCTTAAGAAGTGGAAAACAGTACACTGGTACAGACTATACTCGGGACTAGTTTTAGCACGAGTTCTTCCAATGTTATCCGTTATTCTACGATAATCATATATGCATATTCCTTTCGGCGGCCACCGGAAACGTAAAACTATCCAGCAAAGACAATACTTTGCCAAAGAAATATACCATACTTCTACTTAAAAGGGATGTTTTGATCGTTTGCGTTATTTTCTTTCCAACTTGTGACTAGTGCAGTGAATCAAAATGGAGGAATCCTCAGTTGCTAAAAACGGTATCAGGAACTTTTCACTTGATTACAAAAATGATATTTCCGTTGGCTTTCACTGCTATACTTCCCACCCTTAAAGTTTCAGCTCTGAAAAATTAAATTCTCCAACAATAAATAGATTCTCCGCATATACGCGTTTTATCAACAGCAACATGAAGTCTTAGCCTCTCTATTTTGTCTATTCTATCTATTTTAGCTATTCTGTCTGATTTTCGATTTTGGACCCTAGTGGCCGATTTTGGGTTTGGACACTAGAGACCGATTTTGGATTTTGGACACTAGTGGCCGATTTTGCATTTTTGACTCTAGCGGCCGATTTTGCATTTGGACCATACTGACTGATTTTGCATTTGGGACACTAGTGACCGATTTTGCATTTTTGACTCTAGCGGTCGATTTTGTATTGTGGACCATACTGACTAATTTTGCATTTGGGACACTAGTGGCCGATCTTGCATTTTGGACACAAGTGGCCAATTTTCGATTTTGGACACTAGTGGCCTATCTTGTATTTTAGACCCCAGTGACCGATTTTGCATCTTGGACCCTAGTGGCCAATTTTAAATTTTGAACACTAGTAGCCGGATTTGCATTTTGTACACTAGTGGCCGATTTTGGATTTTGTACCCTAGTGGCCGATTTTGCATTCTAGATTCTAGTGACCGATTTTGCATTTTGGAAGCTAGTGGCCGATTTTGCATTTTGTACCCTAATGGCCGATGTTGGACCCTAGTGGCCGATTTTGTATTTTGGACCCTGGTGGCCAATTTTGCATTTCAGACACTAGTGGCCGGTTTGCATTTTGGACCCTAATGGCTGATTTTTCATTGTGGACACTAGTGGCCGATTTGGATTTTGAACAATGGTGGCCGTTTTTTATTTTGGACAGTCGTGGCTGACTTTGTATTTTGGACACTAATGGCCGATTTGAATTTTGGTCCCTAGTGGTCGATTTTGGATTTTGAACACTAGTTGCATTCTTTGGATATTTTGGACACTAGTGACTGATTTTTGATTTCGGACACAATTGGCAGATTTTGGATTTTGGACGTAAGTGGCCTATTATGGATTTTGGGCACAAGTTGCCGATTTTAGATTTTGGACAATAGTGGTTGCTTTCTGATTTTAGATACAAATGGCCGATTTTTTTATTTTTGACGGTAGTTGCCGATTTCGGATTTTGGATATGAGTGGCCGATTTTGGATTTTTGACACTAGAGGCCGATTATGAATTTTGGGCACTAGTTGCCGATTTTCGATTTTGGACAATAGTGCCTGTTTTTTGATTTTAGACACTGGTGGCCGATTTTTTATTTTGGGTTAGGGTCTTTTTGGAGTTTGGACACCAATGTCGGAATTTTACTGTTTTTATCGGCAAATTATGCACAAGAAAGCCTCTAAATTTGCGAAGCGAGAAAGCTGCAAAATGGGATTATTTCAGTTTAATATTTCAGGAAAGATGGCACGGTGGAATGACGGAAAATCGTAAAACGTAGGAAGCTTTGTTGCACGAGAGAAAGGTCTCACAAAAATGGAACTGCAATGAAATAAGAAAATTATAAAGCCTTTTGAGTCTTATTGAAGTGTATTAAGTACACTTCTCGCTTTTTATCCTGGCTTAGTAATTCAAAGATTTACTGTCAAGTCGCCCGAGAGTCATCTCGCCTGAAACCTGAGTCATGTTGCCCGAAGTTTTTAGTTATGTCGCCCGAAAAAAAGTCAAGTCGCCCAAAGAAACAAATACTAAAAAGATCTGAATTTTAGACAGTTAATAGGCAATCACGTTGAGAAATTGTTATCATTGTTCGTTTGATATGTACTCGTTTCTTACTCACGGACATTTCGTAAGCTTGAGAAACTTTTTCTTGGTTTCTAACAAAGCCACGAAGACTTTGACTACACAGAAATCGATCATATGGTCAGAAAGGCCATATGATCGACCGTAATCGTCACACTGTAGGGCTTGTTGGCGTGGTCTAACTTCAACATCACACCCAATGTAAGGGTGAATGCTCATTTTGATCAGTTCGTATTCGTACTGTAGCCAACTTTACCCTCTTCATATAAACTTTGATCGGATCAAAATATACATGCGACCGCCAGAACACAACTACATAATTTATGTCTATTCTGATCCTAAGGGAAATGATGCTATCAGACTACTACTGTGAAAAAAGTCACAAGCATAAACAATAGACTGTTATCTTAAAAATATCACACTTACCTTACGCAAGGCAACAAGTTAATTTTTAATGTTACAATGTTCACAAAAAACACAACATAACTTTTTTTGTATGTTACTCGCTTTACCTTTTACCGACTTGTCGAACGCGACAATCGACATTCGTTCACCGGGTGTTTTCATCTGTTATTGTTAAGAAAGTCACAAATAGACACAACAGAACTTTACTTGTATGTTACGTTGCATCCGTGCATTTGTTGTCATAGAAACGAACAACGCTTCCCTCTGTTGTTAGAAACAAACAACGCTTTTAGAGTCGTTACTCAAACGTATTTCAATTCTGACCATACAATCGATTTCTGTGTAGTCAAAGTCTTCAGGCATTTCTAGAAACAAGAAAGAGTTTCTCAAGCTTACGAAATGTCCGTGAGTAAGAAACGAGTACATACCAAACGAACAACGCTTCATTTTTTTTGTCAGAAACGGAGAACACTTCCCTTTGTTGTTAGAAACGAACAACGCTTTTAGAATCGTCACTCAAACATATTTCAATTCCAAGCATACGATCGATTTCTATGTAGTCAGAGTCTTCATGGTATTGTTAGAAACCAAGAAAAAGTTTCTCAAGTTTACGAAACGTCCGTGAGTAAGAAACGAGTACATACTAAACGAACAACGCTTCATTTTGTTGTTGGAAACGAACAACGTTTTCCTTTGTTGTTGGGAACAAACAACGCTTTAAGAATCTTCATGGTGTTGTCGGAAACAAAGAGCGCTTTAATGATAAAAAATTTCTCAACGTTATTGCCTATATACAGTCTGAAATTATGATCTTTTTAGTATCTGTTTCTTCGGGCGACTTGACTCTTTTTTCGGGCGACATTAATAACTTTAATAGAAACATCCTCGTGAGGTTTTTCAGGAACTATTTACAATCTCTTTACAATTTATAAAAGCAAAAATGACAATAAAACTCGAAATCACAATTTATGATGGTATTCTACTAAATTAAATTCTAGAGCTTATGAAGGAAATGTCTGCCTCGATAGTGTGCCTTTCAGGGCGCGCTTGAAAGATGCTAATGAGGTACTTTGCCTAAGTTCATTATGCAAGTTATTCCTTATGTTGGCCCCTCTGTAGGAAAATGTGTGCTGGCCTATAGCCGTTCTGTAAAGCGGAATCTGCAAAGAGTTCCGCGTACGAGTGTTACGAGTATGTATATTTGGCGTTTGGTAAACTTGCTCGTTAAGTATTGAGGTGCAAGATCGTTCTGACATTTAAAGGTCAGAACGGAGTCTCTATAGAATAATTGTTCTTTAACAGGAAGCCAATTTAGCTCACGAAGCAACGGTGTTACGTGGTCAAACTTCCTAGAATTTGTTACGATCTTGCTGGCAAAATTCTGAATAGATTGTAATCTGTTTATATTCTGGAGTGTGGTATTTGACCATACAGATGAGCAGTATAGCATCTTACTAAAGACTAATGACGTTATTAGCAACTCTAGTGTTTCCTGGTCGAAGCTCCTCTTGACTCTATTTATTTGGCAAAGCTTTGCGAAACAAGATGACATTACAAATGAAATATGGTGATCGTAGGTCAGATGGGGGTCAAGAAAGATTCTCAAGTCCTTGGCAGAGTCTGTTGGCTTCAGTGTTTTACCCAAGAATACCAATTCAGGGTCTTCTGGTAACCTGCTTAACATCTGTCTGGTACCGAGAAAAAGGAGTTTAGTTTTATCGGGATTGATAAGTAGATGGTTCTCACAGCACCATTGAGCTACAATGTGAAGATCTTGTTCGAGATTTTCAATGGCAGCATCAAGCTCAAGGAGAGGAAATGACATGAATAGCTTTGAGTCATCCACATACGATTCTAGGTTGCAAAACATCGGAGCCGTGGGTAAATCGTTGAGATAAATGCAGAACAACAATGGTGATAGGATTGCGCCTTGAGGGACTCGGTGAGTTATAGGTAGAGTGTTAGAGTAGGCGGAGCCAATTCTCACGTACTGCCTGCGACCAGTTTAATAGCTCTTGAACCATTTGACAGTAGAAGGTGAGGCTCCTAAGATGGAGAGTTTGTGGAGCAACCTTGCATGGTCAATACTGTCAAAGGCTTTGGATAGATCTAATAGTACTAGTGCTGTTATCTGCTTTTTATCCATTGCTTCGAGTATCTTATCCGTGAGTAGGATGTTTAAGGTCTCTGTAGAATGAGCTTTTTTATTGCCGCTTTGGTGTGAGGTAAGGCGGTTGTTTTTTGTGAGATAGACGCTGAACTGGTTCAAAACAATCCTTTCGAGGACCTTTGAGGCTACGGCTAGCAGAGATAACGGTCTGTTGTTGGCAGCTTTTTCATGGTCACCGTCTTTAAGAATCGGAATCACCTCAGCCTCTTTCCAGTTGTCTGGAAATGTGCTAGTAAGGATAGAACAATTGATGATGTCAGTAAGAGGGCCCAATATGACAGGGAGACAGTCTTTTAGTACACAAGTGCTGATCTTGTCAGGTTCCGGAGATTTATTCATTGGGAGAGATGTTACAATTCGGCGAACCTCTTCTAGTGACACTGTCCTTAAATTGAATAATTCCATAGAGGTAGTATCTATGCCATTTTCGGATGAAAAATCTCGGACTATGATGTTTTCCCTCAAGCGCTGTGCTGCGTCAGCGGCGTTTGAGCCGACTTTAGCAAAAAACTGATTGAATTCGTTGGTTAAGACTGCCACATCCTTTGTAAAGGCTGGTCTCTGCTTATCTTTGGAGGGGATGGCGCGATTAATAATTTTCCAGAGTGAGCCAAATTTGTTTTTATTAGCTGTGACCTCTTCAAAGGTGTGATCTCTTTCAGCTTCTTGTAGCTTTTTCTTGACCAAGTCACGGGAATGTTTGAAATTCATCCACTCGGTGTCTTGGCGAGACTGTATGAATTGCTTCAGGAGGAGATCTCGTGATCTCATAAGATCCTTGATTTCCTGGTTCACAAAGGGGCACGGTCTACTCCGAAGTTTAATTTGTTTCACGGGAGCGTGCAAGCTCAGGACAGACTGCAAAGTGTCATTTAAAATATTGAGCTTAGAGTCTACATCGGTTTGATCGAAGATAGTGAGCAAGGAATCCGCTTCCTTCCTTCCATTACTAAAATTTCGGGCAACATGACTCAGGTTTTGGGTGACTTCGGGCAAGATGACTCTCGGGCGACTTGACCGGTTACCAATTCAAAAAATTGCTACAACAGCTACCTCGAGGTAGCAACAGAATGAAATGCTTTGCCTGAGCATAATATTATCGTGATGCATTTAAGTGGTTAAACACCAACGTTGCTTATTTGCTGTGATCAATGAGAATGGATCAGCATTGATAATTGGTTCAAATCTGAACCATTTCTTCTGCGACGATGAGTAGGTAAAAATGGGTCTCTTTAGGAGCGATGCACAACTGAATATATATGTCCACCGTTTCTGTCTGAGTTCCCGCGATCTTACTGTTCCTGATAAGCCGGATCCTCCAGGGAGTTCTAAGAGAAGAGTGCTGTTCGAAAAACTGTCGATTTTTCTCAAACAAACAATCCCTTGACGTGGGGATTTCAGTCATGTTTCTCATTGCCTATTTCATCCCTCCGAAGGGCAACAGCTCTGTTAAAACAATTTCCATTTTCGCTGACAACGACTTCTTTCCTTTGGGGAGGTATATTTTCAGACGCCGGAAATCGTTTATTAAAAATGGTACCAAGTATGAATAAAAGCTTTACACTTCCCTAGTATCAACATTATTTTAATCCATTTTTGATGAAACAGCGGCTAAAAAGCGCGGATCTGTCTCCAAAACCGTTTTTTTGGACGCCGAAACAGCCTTTCGCCATATACTTGCCCCGAGGGATCCCAGAAAAAACTTTGACACTACATTTTGATCAATCGCGTGACGCTTAATATTTCAGCGCATGCTTCGTGACGTTGCTTTTCGTTTTAATGATCGATATCTCCTAATCTTTTTCGCCTGACTCGGCTGCACCCTCAAACCTCAAGTTTCGTTGTTGTTTAAAAGTCATATTCAGCAATGCATCAATCGGAAAAGGTATTAAGTCAGGCTGAGATCTAATGGCACCAAATTTTGTACTCAATAAGGTGCTTTGTTCACTTGTTGTTTACTGATATAGGATCAGTTTAGGCCCTTACGGCTCCTCACGATCACTCGTGAGGTCAGTTGAAAGCACCATAATAAAAAAAAAGAAAAAAAAAAGAAAAAAATTCGGGTTAATCGTGATTTCATTTCAACGTTTCAGTTTTTGTTGAACTCCAAAAATAGAAAATCCACTGCTTCGAGTGACGCATACATGTCGAAAGTATTTATTCACTGGTGGAGGATAATTTAATTCCCAGAGCTGAAACTCTCAGGGTGGAAATTATAACATTGGAAGTTAAAGGAAATATAATTATTGTAATGAAATGAAACGTACTAGATACCCTAGATACCGCTTTTAGCAACTGAAGTTGACTCTATTTTGACGGACCCCACTGGTTTTTACGTTTCCAGTGGCCGCCGTAAGAAACACAAAAATATGCATATTTAATTAGGTAAAAATTGAATTTTCAAACTTTTAAAAATTTCTCCATTAAAATAAGTCGGTGTAAAACTGTTTTTTTTCTAAAATAAAATCATCCAAGGGAGTGTTATTTCAAAATATCAATTTGGGACTATCTGAATAATTGGGACTATCCATCGATTCACTTGACATTCTGTTGTTGCAGAGCGTCTGATTACACTGTTGTTGTTGTTGTCGTTGTAGTAGTACACGAGTGTGTTCATTTTAAACAAATAAGAAGTAGCGTATGCATCACACATGCCATGGCTCACGCCTTTCCTTGGCCAGTAGAAAGCAGACACTTGATTTTGTTCAGTATTTGATGCGTATCATTGGTAACAATAGCTTCCTTCATTTGAATGATTGACAGTAGATTGTAAACATGACATACCTCACCTGCTACATGTAGTACTAAGTAGCCTTTTAGCTGGAGTAGTAAGTGATATTGGCTCTATGAACCTATTTGACTAGCTACTAGGCGTCTTCTTCATCTTTCCAGCTCAAGGAACGTCTGCACGAAAGACAAAATGGCTTACACTTGGCCGGTAGTCGTTGCTGGCATTTCGTTCGTAATTTACTACACACGCCTCTCTTGGTTGTTGTTTCCATGTCTTCTATTTGGGGCGTTTCTTGCGTCAGGTGGAAAGTCTTTTCCAAGGGTGTTCTTTCGTACAATTTTGCGTGATCTGAGGTAAGACCTGCTGTCTCTCCCCATACGAAGAAAAAATTCGTGTACTAACACAACTCCGACCCAACTAAAAATGAGCACTGGAAATAAAAGAAACAATCAAGTATCACTATAAGCTTTGTACAAATATTTTCGTCCTGATGTTATTAAACATCGGTGAATTTATTCTTGTCTGGGTATGCTGCGTAAAGTATTCAATGGATGGAGCGTATAATTTAAGGTTAAGGAATAAGATGAAAAAAAAAACAACAACTTCTATTGGCAAGAATCCTGTTCGAGTATTTGTACACGATTTTGTAATTTGTTTATATTTGGAATTAGTGGAGTTAGTGGTCAGCTTCGAAATCGAACCAATGAACGCTTGTACCAGACATGTCTGACATGGCACGCAAAGGGAAAACTTCGGCTCATACGCGATGTCTGAGGTTCTTTAAGGGCTCAGGCCCCATGGGGTCTCAGGTTCTGTGGTTCTGTAGCTCTTTAGCTCCTTATGTCTTTCAGTCTTTCAGTCTGTAGGTCTCTGAGTCTCTACGACATAAACTCCACATAGTTTTATTTAAATTATTGAGTTCACTTTTATCTTTCATCAGAGTCGTTTACTTGGTTGCAAAGATTAGTATTCGAGTCAAAAGAATTCAGAAGAAGGGAAATGTGACTGTTGCTGACTTATTTCGAGGAACAGTATCTAAACATCCAGGGAAAGCAGCCTTCATATTTGAACAGACAACTTGGACATTCCAAGATGTGGAGGATTTCTCCAACAGAATTGGAAATTATTTCAAGTCACAGGGCTACAAAAAGGGAGATGTAGTGGCTGTCTTTCTGCATTCCTGCCCTGAGTTTGTTTGCATATGGCTGGGTTTGTCTAAGATTGGTGTGATAACTGCCCTCATTAACAACAACCTTCGACTAGAGTCTCTGAAGCATTGCATATCTGCTGCAGATCCCAGGGCAGTAATCTTTGGAAGTGATCTTTCAGGTGAAAAGATCATGTCTTCTTTGTTAACCCTTTAACTCCCAGACCAAATTTGTAATTCTCCTAACCATCGACCATACAATTCTTATGATAATAGTTCAGAGAATTGAGTCTTGGATCAACCAATTATTCCCAAATTGACATTTTCTTTATTCTCATCGCTTATTTGGTTGATATTGTATTGATATGGTAAGGAGAAATTCTGTCTTGGTCACTCATGGGAGTTAAAAGGTTAAGTGAAGTAACCTTTGCATGAGAGGTTGGAAGTTGGTTCAATGCTAACATAATGGTGTCAGCCAAGAAAAATAAAATAATAAATAAAAAAAATAATGAAAATAAATCTTTAAACTATGAGCTTCAATTAAAAAAACACAGACATATCAATTAAGACATGAAGCTTTCATAATGCTTTTCAACTTTACAGAAGACATACTATTGAGACCACTCTAGCTTGTTTAAATCATGAGTACACTAACAAGAAATTAGGGTTCATTTTTTTTTTTTTGCTAGACCTTATGTATACTATTATTTATAATTATACCAGAATTTCAAAGTAAGGTTAGGTTTAGAGTAACATTGACTGCTCTCTGAGTATCAGGTTCATGATAAATTTGTCAGTAATTTATCTTTTACTGTGCAGTCGCTGTGAGAGATGTTCGTAGTCAGTTATCAAAGGATGTGGAGCTGTACAACTTTGGAACATCTCCTTGTTCTGAGGCTTCAGCTAAGAGCTTGCTTCGGGAATTGGAAAGAAGTCCCTTGAAACCACCACCTGCTGATGAAACACAGATGTTTGAAGGTTAGTTGTCATTTTTCAGGGAGTATCCAGTGTAAGAAATATATTGACCATGTGGTGTGTGCATTTTCAAGATTCAAGAATCAATTCTCTCCCCTTTCTACTGTACCAACACAGCCCTCTTCACTCTTTAATTCTCTTAGGTATATTCTCATTTCTTACAGATGCACTGATGTATATCTACACTTCAGGAACAACTGGATATCCTAAAGCTGCAGTAATAACTCATCAGAGGTAGAAATGATACAACATTGGATTTATGTTTGACAACAATGTTGATGATGTCACTGATTCCCTCATTTCCCCTCTTCCTTACTCTGTTAACCCCTTTACACCCTAACATCAGCATCCTTATTCTCTATACCCTTCTCCGTACATTTTCTGAGGAGCTGACTAGGAGAATTTGTTTTCAATAACAGTCAAAAACTTCTTTAGTTAGAGATCATTTCTTTTTTTCTTGTGACCTTAATGTTTGATTCAGGGGTGATATTCTTTGGAGAAATTTGGTGCAAGTCCCTCTCAAGAGTTAAAGGTTTAAATTCTCGCCCTAACAAGCCCATATTGCTGCTTGGATGTGTGCCTGTGAACTTTCATTAAATATTTAAACATGTTGTGAAAGAATGTTTGACTTTAGAGACTTGTGATAATTGGGGCATTCAGGAAATTTGCACTTTGGGCTATTGCACATCCTTCTGTCCACACCCATATACATGTGTTAAACCGTACACTTTACCTTTTGTCCCTTCAGGTTCTTCAGATTCAGCTGTGTTCCCTCTTTGTACAATATTACATCCAAGGACATCATGTACTGTACTCTACCATTATATCACTCTGGAGGAGGAGCACTTGGTGTGGGAGCTTGTCTTTTACAAGGAGTCACATTGGTGTTGAGAAAAAAATTTTCTGCTTCTAAATTTTGGGAGGAATGTATTGAGCATAAAGTAACAGTAAGTAGCTAAATTTTATAAAATAATTCAAATAGTATGTGCGCTCTGATTGGCCATAAAACCATTTTACATGAGTGTATGTAAACACAGTTTTCATTCCTCTTTCATTAGTTATATTATAAAAGAAATGTAAAATGGTTTCCATGTTTACATAGCCTGATGTAAACACACGGGAGGTTGGGAGAACATGAGATAAGTGTAGGAAACCACAATGCTTTAAACATGTGCAGCAGAAAAATTACCTAATGCTGGCTGCCAGCCAGCATTTAACTTGATGCCTTAACACTCAAGAAACAAAATTTGCAAAATTTTTCTGTTGTACTTCTGTACAATCAACTGGTGATTGTACATGAGCAAAAGGAATATTTTTGAAGGAAAGAAACATTTGCATGTATAAAACTTCAATTTTATGTAATTCATTGGGAGCTGAAAATTTCTAAATTCAACATCTTTTGGTGACCATAATATTCCATCTGGTGATTGAAACAAAAAAAGTTTAATCACCACTTGGTACTTGTGCAAATAAGCTAATTTTGAACCCTATGAGGAGGAAACTGGGAGCCACAACAGCAGTGGGGGCATGACAGAAAGTTTGGGGTGCATACTGTATTAACCTCTTCAACCCGAAAATTTTCTCCCTACTGTTCTTCATATGTTTCCTCAGGTGCTGACAGGGAGAATTTGTCTAGCAATCAAACATTTTTTTTGTTGGTTATCATTCCTTTATTCTCTTGACCTTAATGTTTTATTCTGGGGTGATATTGTGAGGAGAAATCTGATGCTAGACACTCATAGAGGATAAAGTTTTAACAAGATTGCATTGAGAATGATATTTCACCTTTGTTATGAATGAAAACTCCTCAGATATTTGAATTGATAAAAAAGAGATATAGGATTAGAGAATGATAAACATTTTTAATTGATAAAATTATTCCAGAATAACTATATAGCTTTTCTCTGTCAGGTGATCCAGTATATTGGTGAGCTGTGCCGCTATCTGCTAGCCCAACCATATTCACCATCAGAGAAGCAACACTCAGTACGTGTTGCGTTTGGTAATGGATTACGGCCTCAAATATGGAATGAATTCCAGTCTCGTTTTGGTATCAGCAAGATTGGAGAGCTTTATGGTTCTACTGAAGGAAATGTGGCATTTTTCAACATTGATTATACCCCATGTGCCTGTGGTTTTGTCTCAGTTATTTTCCCAAAGTTGCTTCCATTTTATTTTATTAAAGTTGACCCTGTTACTGGTGAGTTGCTTAGAGATAAGAATGGGCTGGCAATCCAAGCAAATACTGGGGAACCTGGACTTGTAGTTGGAAAAATTGTCAAAGGTAGTGTTTCATTCTCTGATATTACACCACATGCATTGCTGACTGGTTATTGTTAGGGGTGTCAATGTTTTGTTCGTTTTTTTGTGGGTTTTTTTGGATGAAGACAGGACGATAATGTTATTGGTGTAATGTTATTGGTGTTAATTCTAGCTAACACACTGCTGGTAAAACAGATCTGGAACTTGATTCATTTGTGCTCTTTACTTTCCTACTTACAAGAAGAGATTTATTTTTTACAATAGAACACAGATGTTGTCTTCCTCGATTACTTCCAAACTGTGTTTGCTTTCAAATTAAAAAAAAAAGCCCAATAAGTGTTAAACCCTCTCATGCTCAAGATCTCAGTTGTAATTCTTGTTACTTTCTGATTCACATTTCTTACATTGTTATAGTTCCAAGTTGTTGTATTTCTTCCTTCCAATCACCTGTTTGCTCAATGTCATATTCATACTGCAAGGAAAAATTGCTTGCTCAGCCTGAATAAGCAATTATCAGTCTGGTACAGAACAGATTTAGGTTACTACAGTTCAACTTTAGGGACTTAAAGCAGTCAAGACAGGATCCCAAATTCCTATGATTTTATTCTTCAATCTGATATATATATATTTAGCTGTAACTATAGTTTTATATTCTTTAATTTTAGCTTTATTTTTTTAAACGATTTGTATTGATGCTTAAAAACCCATTCAGGAAGCTTCAATAAAGATCTGTATCTGTATCTGTATCTTTAACTGCAAACAGCCGGATGTGATTACTGTCTCTAACAGCTCCACATCTTAACTTTGGCATAGGGTTTGTGCACAGCATTGACTTCCCAAATGAAATTTTAGATAATTTTCTTGTGTGGTTTCTGTTCTCAGGCCATGCAAATTTTGGTGATTTCATGTTACTGCCCATTAGATGGTTTGTCTGTTTTTTATGAAGGTCCCCATGGTGAGGGAAGGAGGAAGGAGGCAAATAATGTATAGTAAGAAGAATACATTATTTGTATTTGCTATGCTAGTGCATCATGATATAGGTTATGGATTTTTTACTTGATGACAGTAATATTTGCTATCTCCTTTGCAGAGAGAGGCATTACATTTGATGGATATTTGAACCAACAAGAAACTGCAAAGAAAATTGGCCACAACATTTTTAAGAAGGGAGATGTATATTTCCTAACTGGAGATCTTCTCATCAAGGATGAGTATGGTTACGTTTATTTTCATGATCGCATCGGAGATACATTTCGCTGGCGAGGAGAAAATGTTTCTACAGCTGAAGTGGAGGCAATAATGAGCAATATACTGAGTCTTCGTGATGTGGTGGTTTATGGTGTCAAAATTCCTGGCACTGAAGGAAGAGCTGGCATGGCTGCCATTGCAGATCCACACAACAAAGGCATTGACTTGAGCTCTCTTGTTCAGGGCTTGAAAGAAAAATTACCAATTTATGCTCATCCCATATTCCTGCGAATAATCCTAGGTGATGTAAGTCTTACAGGAACATTTAAACTTCAGAAAACTAAGTTAAGACAAGAAGGATTTGATGTAGGAGTGGTGAAGGATAAACTTTTTTATTTTGATTCACAAGTAAAGCAATATGTAGATTTGGATGAAGGAAAGTATGCTAAAATTGTTAGCGGTGAAATCAGAATGTAGGATTTTGTATATACATGTTTTTCATTTTTAGTTATATACTTGTGCAACTTCTGTACAGAACCACAATACCATTCCAAAACTTAAACTTTTCACTAGGTTTCCGGGCTTTGTACATGATGTCCTGCAGGTTGACTGTTAATAGTTATTATTACCTTAAATTCAATAATTCACATACAGTATGTTTTCAGTACTATGATAATTCACATGTCATAAAATGTAGGAGTATAGTTCATGTGTTTTTTGTCTTTCATTTTCCAACAAAATCACTTTTAAATGCTACTTCATACATCATGGGTGTACACATCTTGTAGCACTGTTGAACCATTTGGAAAATTGCATGTTTGTTTCTTTGTTTATGTTTGACATTGACATATCAGGAACAAGATATTTTGTTGCATATATACAATGAAATTATAAAGAAAAGCAAGGTAATAGCTGTATAATCAAGTCATAAGTTACTCTTTCTATTCTGTCTTCTGCTTTTCAGTGCAATGTATCAAAAGACATATTTATATATAAATAATTCAGTGCTCCAAGCTGCGACCATTTTGGTCACTCTGGCAAGTGAAAATATATTTGGCAACTAAAATTGCAACGAAAGTCATCAATTGGCCAATCAACCACCAGATAGAAAAAGGAAAAAAAGGAGTACAAACATTTTTTAATTGCCTCTATTTTACAATTGATGGTCACAAAAAGGAAACTCTTAGGAAAAAGTGAGCTGAGAGCCCTTAAATTTGGTTTTTATCATTTAAGTTGATATTGTAGATTGACCACTGTAAGGAGTTTCTTAAAAAAAATTTGCTGCTGTGTGTTCTGTGATCAGTCACACTTGCCACTAAAATAATAAAAATCTAAAACTATGTACACAACAACATGGGATGAAAAACCAGAATTAAAATCCCCCACTGATGAAAAAAGTGAGCTGAGAGCCCTTAAATTTGGTTTTTATCATTTAAGTTGATATTGTAGATTGGCCACTGTAAGGAGTTTCTTAAGCAGTATTTTGAGCATTAGCCCTTCATCATTTGCTCTGACAAAGGGCTATAAACCTTCAAAATATCAGCTTCCAATAGAAACTCATACATAACCAACTAAGTTAGAAAAACTAAATTATCTTTTTGTACTCTCCCACCAACCCAGCACCACAGTTTCTAATTATAGAAACTTACCCCCTTTATTCATATGTATATATGTTTGGTGTGACATGTAAATTTAATTATAATGTAGCAATAAAAACAATTTGCTGCTATATGTTCTGTGATCAGTCACACTTGCCACTAAAATAATAAAAATCTAAAACTATGTACACAACAACATGGGATGAAGAACCAGAATTAAAATCCCCCACTGATGATATTTTCCAGTACATCAGAGAATCAGTTAGAACCAATTGAAAGTATTTCCTAATTAATCCATACACAAAGTTTGGCATAACTTATCACATGTACCATCAAGTAATTAGGAGAAGAATTTGCATCGCTCTCCCTGTTTTGGACTCAATGCACTCACATTTTAGCATTTTCTTTCTTGAATTATTACTTTCAGTTATATGATACTCTATCTAGAGATAATTTGAATAAATTTGATTCAGCTATTCACAAGGCACAATTTCTAACTTTCCATATTTGGGATTCTATTGTCTTACTATTACCTTAATTGGTCATTATGCACTTATAAGGAGTGTTTAATGCGCATCCGATACGCAACTTGCGCGACCAAAAATTGCATGACAGTGACCCATATGACCACCATCATTTTTAAACGTGAATTTAACATGGCGGATAGACAGAACACCTCTGGAAATGAGACGATATTAGTCAGCTCTGGTGATGAAGACGAAGATGAAGACGTCGAGGGACTTTTTAAAGAATTTGTTTCCAAAGTTGAGAGATGTGTAGACCAAAACGATGTGGTGCTTTTCCTGAAGCTGAAATTCGCGGAGGCTCGGTCCGAGTTCGTGTCATCCGTGAAATTCAAGAATGCTCTGAAATGGAGGACGAGAGAAATGAACAAGTCAAATGGCTACATTTATACTGGAGATATTTGTAAGCTTCTCTTACCAGATTCAAAGGTGGATAATGTTGACGAAAAAGCCAATGATGTACATTTCGCGGGAAATGGACAAGCAGTGAGTCCCTTCACTCGCGTGGAAGGCGACGTAAACAGAGCGATCGAACTGACTGTAGTGGACAGTGAACCAGGCTATCTCACAACAGACAAGGGGGCGAAACTTCCCGAGACTGCTGTCCCCTCAACGAGCAGCACAAGCTCTATTCAACCTCCTTCAAGTGGTATTGTTAATGGACGAATCAATGAGAAGAAAAGACAAATGGCAAGTCCTTCGAAACAACCGCTTACCCCTAGAAAACGAAAGAAGCTCGTCAAAAGAATGGAATTGAAGCTTAAGAACCTGGCAGAGAGAATTCAGATTTTAAATCAAGCAGAGTTGAGTTTGGATGAAATGGATATGAGTGACAGTACATATATTCAAGAATGTCGTCTGAAAGAGAAATTTAATCAAATCTGGAACAAGATCTGTAGAGTGCAGGGAAAACCCCCCAACACAGGAAGGGTAACAGAGAAAGAAGTCAAGTGTCCAACCACGGGCCTACCAGGGATAGACCATGCCATAAAAAAGTTCATAAGGAATAAGAAAGGTCGTTTTCCTGATAAGTTTGACATCAGCAATGTAGTACAAGAAGCAAACAAAAAGTATGGCTTGAAACTGTCAACACAAGCTCTCAATGAGGTCAGTGATGAAGTGTTCATGTGTATAGGTAACATTCTACAGAAGAGACGGAAGAGAGATTTTAATTTCAATTTTGGATGTCACCTCACAGATGATTGTAATGCCAGTAATGACCCTGCCATAAATGACTCAGCACTTCGCAAGAAGTTGGAAGAAAATAAGAAGGTCAACAAAAAGAATCTAGATGAAGTTTTTACAAAGTTTGTGCGCTATGGACGCATGAAAGCTCATGATAGCACTAGTACCTCGAGCAGCAGTGATGTTGAGGAGGAAAGACCTGATAAGAGTGACAGAGTCACAATGAAAAAGAGATTCTCTTGCATTTCTGTCACACAATCATCAGATTCTAGTGAAAATGAATGCAATGACTTTGGGTTGACAGAAGGTATGAATGACAGCACAAAAAAGATAAGAAGGGAGGAAGGGTTTGATGACGATGAAAGTGACTTGCAAAACTTTTCCATGAAGTCTCCTCATCAACTAAGAGGAAAGAAGAAAGAAACAGAAACTGAGACTAAACTTGACATAGAAAACAATACTCCATTGCAATCAAATGATAGAAATCTGTGGGAAAACTCTGCTATTGTTGAGTTACCTACCTCAGCTCTGTCTGAATGCAATGAAATTTGTGTGGAACACAAAAAAATAGTGAAAATGGATGGTGCCTCTCAACCCTCTGTTGTTGAAATTTTGGAGCAAACAGGCAGCAGTGGGAAAGAGAATACATTACCTGATCAGCCCATTGTTATAGCACCAGAAAGGATTAACAACAGTGCAGTATCCACAAATCAGCAACCCAACAATTCTACCCCGAAATCAGATCGTTATATTGTCTCTGCAAGTAAGGAAGATCTAACAACCAAACCAGTAGAGACTTCTTATAAGTCTTCAGTGACTAATAATTCCCCAGGTCATGTGATATCAAGTGTTGATGATTTGTCATTGCAGGAGACTAAGCCTTCCTCCAGTACAAAATCAGATTCTCATGTTATCACTGTTGATAAGGAAGATCTGACAACTGAACCAGAAGAGACTTTTCCTGAATCCAAAGAAAGTAGTACTTCCTCAAGTCATAAAGTATCAAACATTGACAATTCTTCTTTGCATTTGACAAAGTCTTCTCTTTCCAGTGTTAAATCAGATCCTAATGTTATCACATTAATTGAGAAAGAGCTAGCTGCTAAACTAGTAGAGACCTTGTCTGAATCCCAAGAGACCAGTACTTCCCCAAGTCAAGTAATCTCCAGCTCTGAAGATTCCTCGGTGCAGGACACAAAGTCTTTTCTAAGACCTGTACTGTCAACTATTAAAGATTTTGATGATAAGGCACAAGATGTGATTGGCAATGTAACTGGTTCTTCTTTTCATTCTGATGTTGACAACGAAGAAGTTGTTGCGGGAAAATCTCCAAAGGAAAATGGTTTTCATGATGATGCACCAAAGTCCACTCCATCTAGGAAAAGAAAAGGTGTAAACTTTACTTTATCACCTCTGACTGTCAATATTAAACCTATATCAATTAAAGGTCACAGGATTTTCCCCAAGAAGAGGAAAGCAGAGAATGGATTGCTTGATTTTGAAAGTCCACTGAAAAGTTTCCGTGAAGCGACTTTGGAAATTAGAGGAAATCAGCCATCTTCCTCTTGTAACCTCCCAGAGGCCATAAACAGTAAATTAAATTTTGATTGCAACAATAGATTATCAAAAATTGAAAAGGATGAACCTTCTGTTTCTTTTGCAAACAGCCCACCAGACCAAAGTATCAATAGTGATAAGTCTGGTATTGAAGCAACAGCATCAAAGAGATTGCTGCTTTCTTTGAACAAGACGGGAAGAAATTCTCCCATCAAGAAACAGGAAACTTCTGAAAGGACAGTTATCTCCATTGTACTCTCAGATGATGATGACAGTGATTGTGAAATAATCAAGTGAATTTTTGTGGTGTGTTCTGTTTCAATGTGTTAGTGTCCAAAAATTTTTATTAAAGCTCTTAGGTTGCTGGCTCCAAATTTAACAATTGTAGTTGTTTTCTAAGTAGAATAATGGGTTTTGGGTAAGGTGATCTCTCCGTGTAAGACTAACTCCCATAGAAGCTGATGCCTATGCTGGTTTCCATGGCATCTAGGAAATAGAATCTCCACCCCCCCCCCTTCCCTAAGATGGGATGTTATTCCATCACAAGTTACCCTCTAATAGTTTCTAAGGTCTCCCTTACAATTTGTATGTTTTCATTTATTCTCTTAGTTGTGGGAGGCACCACGAGGGTGAAAACTGCAAACACAGCACTGCTTAGTGACTCTGTCCAAGGCTCAAACCCACATCTCTAGTCCAGATTTCAGAATGCTAATCATTAGGGCACTGTCTTGTCAACCTTTTCATTCCCTAGATCTAAATACAGATTCTCCCTTCTTTTTGTCATTCATAACCAATAATTTTAAGATCTAAGAACTTGGTGGTCAACCAAACATCCCCTAACAGGTAATTATTTCACTTCTCATCACATTTCTACTTGAAAGTGTATGGATGTTGTAGAGAAATTCATGTCTGGTCACCTCTGGGAATTTGAAGGTTAAAGATATCAAGACCTTTTTTAGTGACCATCTATGAACATTATGGAAAAGGAAAAGAACCCATGAAAGAGTGCTTAAATGACAAATTAGAAATATAAATATCCTAATGCAGATGTCCAATTGCAAACAGTTGAAATCCCTATGCATAAGTGCATGATGTAATGATTAAAGAGACAAAAGGAATCAATCAAAAAGAAGAATTTTGAAATATTTAACAATCAAGTTTTTAACCATAGTTATCACACCAAAAAAATTGTTGAAATTGAAAGAATTAAGGATTTTTGCCCCTTGCAAAAATTACAAAGTGAATCAAATGTCCATATTACTTTGCTCAGAAATTCCCCTTAGTGCAAGTGTTAGACAGATTAGGTACATGGATGTTCTTGAGGTCTATAAAATTATGTTATGTCTAATTTCACCCATGATCCTGCTCAAAAAGCCTCTCCCTTCTCAAGTGTTTTACGAAAACAAGGAGGAGGCTTTTGTCCAGGTGAAACGAGTGTTAAGTTAGTCAGTAGTAGACTGAGTAAAGGGTTAGAGATATGTAACCTGCTCTGCTGCTGGATGTGTCACTCAGAACTGCAGAAAACAGTGTAGGCTTCAGGCAAGCCGTGAGTAATGACATCATTGAAGTTTAGACACCCTTGGTGTCTGGTATCACATACTTATATTTACAAAATTGTGGAATGACATTCATTGTTCCTCTTGTTGCAAAAATTACACTCGAGGGAAATTTTGTGGAAAATCCTTTATTTTTTTTTGTGTCAGGTATTATGGTAACTGCATGTTGTCTAGTAAAATTTTATTTGATTCTTGAAAACATCAAGAAAGCACTAATAGAACATGGTTCAATTATCTTTAATAATTGTGAGACAAATACAACCGGAAGTAAATGACAGGTTGAACCTTTAAGCTGTTTCCGCTGAGCCGGCTAATCAAGCAGTTCTTTCCGCGCATGCGTCTGTCTTGTTTTTGGCGCGATGCATTATTTACAAACCACGTTTAGAAATAATGAAAAGACGGTTTCTGTTGAGGGAGTTAATAAAGTTATTAGCTGTCGGAGAAAGAACCTTATGAAGATGAGCATTGTGGTGGCATATGGTGTTGGACGATTTAAAAACAAAGGAGGCCTGAACGGTACTTAGAGTGCAGACAATTATAAGCAAAACAAGAGGGTTCTCTCGAGTGAGGTACGAAAGATGTTAAATACCAACGTAGTTGTGGAAGACAACCAAGTTATCAGGCTTGTCCTCGATTTCTTGGATTCTAGAAAGCTTCATAACTCCATGAGAAGTCTGGAGAAAGAATCCGGAATCGTTAACTGTGGTTTCTCGGATGACATTCTGTTTTTAAGAGACCTTGTTCTCGACGGCGAGTGGGAGGCCATATTGATCTTTGCTCAGCCATTTGAAGGCATCAACGAGTTTGATTCAAGACAGTTCCGTTATCTTGTTTTGAAGCAGAAGTTCATGGAAGTGTTGTACTTCAAGTCGGGCTTCGGTGGAAATTCAACAAGCTATTCGATTGAGGATTTAATAAAGTGTCTGAATCAACTGGAAGAAGACTGTCCAAACAAGGCTGAATACAGCAAACTATGTTGGCTGTTAACTGTTCCTAATTTATCTGAGCAACCGGAATATCGCGACTGGAACCCCACTACTGCAAGGATAAAGTGCTTTGATCAGATTCTTGATTTACTACGGAAGGTCATTCCCATCGAGAAAAAAGGTCTCAATGGGAAATTTCCGAAGCCACTGACTCCAATTAGAGACAGATTATTGCACTTATTAATTAAGGGACTGTGTTTCGAGAGTTGTGTGGATTACTGTCAGTTAAGAGCAATTAACGGAGATCTCTCAGGGGAGCTTGATGTTTGCATTGGAGACAATATTTTATTTGGGCCATCACAAGAGAGTTCTGGAAATTTTTTGTCTTGGCTCAAAAATCTCTCTCAAGATGCATTCATTACACCTTTTGAACCAGTGAGTTTAGAAGTGGACTTGAAGAAAGGAAAACAAACACCTGGTTTTTTATATCACAAGTCTCCTAAGAGAGATGATGCTGAAATTCTTTCAAGGAGTTTGTCTCTTTCAGGGAGGCCAGCCACAGCAGATATGGCTTCACACCTGTCCAGGCTGGAAACAGAAGGAAACAGGGGAGCATTATCTGACAACCAACCACATTCCAGCCAACCTCTCAAAGGAATTTCACAATCGTATAATGAGTTTCACTACAAAGGCTCTTCAGAAAATGAGCCATTGAATAATGCAGGTAATATTGGCCTCCCTAAAAGAAGATTAGACTCGAGACATGAGGGTGAAGAAGAAGTATTGGCTGAAACTGGTATACTAAATGATGATACAAATAATGTTGAACATGAACAGGATCCTTCTCAACCCCTAGTTGCTAATGGTACAGACTCGAGTTGTGATCCTGGAGCTATTCATATGCTGAAGGAGCAACAACAACAAAATGTTTTGAAACAGCTTGAAGCCTATGAGAGGCAGAAGCAAGATCTTGAACGACAACTTCTAGAGTTGTCTTTGAGAGAGACTGCAAATAAAAAACCTAATACAACAGATAGTACAACATCTCAGCTACTTAGTCATAGACCTGAATCCAGTGATTCTTCCAATGTCTCTCAGAGTAAACTCTTATCTAATGATGTGGGGTTTAAAAGTCATCCAAGTCATCAGCCAAATGGAGAGGCATCAATTCATGGTCCATTTGAAGGAAATGTTAATCATGTTAACAGTGAGGATTACTTGCCATGGCCTCAAGGCAGCTATCAAACACCGGAAAGTGTGAGGCCATTTCTAAATCATGAAAAAAATGATGCAACTTGTTTCTCAGTCACTCAAGTCGTGACATCAACTCCTGCTACAAAGCCAAAGAATAAACCTGAGGATTTAAACTTGGCAGATACCAAGGGTAGTCTTACTGCCTATGATGGAGTGCCAATTACGCCAGCAGAGCAAACATTTCCTAACACTCCAGTATTAAATGGACATGCACCTTTTGGGACAGGTCACTGGGTTGCCTTGGCAGACGGTTCAGGAGTTCTGAACACCAGGTAAATGACTTGCAGTGATAAAAATATTAGAGCATTATACTGATAATCAAGTTCATTGTGGTTGTTTAATTGAATGTTTGTCAAAACATTCAAGTGACAAAACATTTTGTGACTACTACTAGTAAATCAATAGAAAATGTAATAAGTCGTAAACCACATTGTGCTTTGCATTACATGCTAACCATGATGTGAAATTGTTTTAAACAATGTTTTAGTTTGAAATTGTACTTCTAACAGTACTATAAATCTATGACAGCTATTTAATAATCCAGCTTCTATGTCTGACTTAAGTGTTTAAAAGGTCTTGACTCTGTTTACAGAACAGTTTTCAATTGGCCCTTAAAAGAAATCCATTATTTAAAGGGTTGAAGCAGACACAACTATTTTGTTAGAGTTTGATTCCAGTTTTCAGTTCAAAGGATGCCTTCTGACTATCCAATTATTGCCATGAGTGCAATTTGAACTTGTCATGGTAGAACATTGATGTAAAATTTGTTGATGAATTTTGAATAAGCAAATTTTATCTAAATAGATTTGTAAACATACACCATGAATACTAGACTTAAACACTGGTGTAGAAGTGAAATATAGCCAAAACAAAAGAATTAGGTTTGCGTGTCGGAGCTCTATATTCAATGTGGGATTTCAGTAATCTTTTAAAACTGACTCGCATTCTGGAGTGATAATATAATTCTATTTAAAATGAATGTCTGTGATGGTTTAATGTCATTTTAGTACACCAAAGTCCACTAGGCAAGGATTGAAATCTACTCCAGCACCACTTGCATCTCCTATCCTGCATGTAGATGGTGCCACACCCCCATGCAGCATTCCTCTTGGTTTTGTGAAGGAGACACCTAAAGATGTTGTAGAATGCAATAAAACAGATTCACAAATGCTCCCTGTATCAGCCTCTGACACAGTAATGGTATGTTACCACTCCTTAGTGGTCCTTTGGACCAAACTCTCACCAGCCATTTTTGTTTTGGTATCATTTTACTACAACTACCATAATGCAATGTTTTTTTGTCTCATATTTGAGATCGATAATCCCAGTGTATTTCAAATAAAAGCAGCACTCTATTGGTACAAGATTGTTAAGACCTGAAAGATTTTGGTGGTTGTAGTTAAATGCTGCCTTCACAGTTATGGCCAATGTGCTTTTTCTGACTGTCATGTTAGACCAGAGATGACAGGCTTTAGATGTTTTGGATTGCACTGTTTGTCTATGGTGCTCTAACTTTTGTTTTCACTTGATATCTTTACTTCTTGCCATTCTCCTGATTTGAACTGCATTTGTACCAAAGTTTTTGGAGTGTTTTTCTTAAAATCTTATCCACTATGTTTATGGGCCAGAAGCAAAATGCATGAGGGGCCCATTTCTTGGATAAGTCCTGATAACTTAATGGGCCTGCAGCCATATTTTAAGATCAAAATTTAAAATAAGAGAAGCAGGTTCTGCCACCATAACTGGTCCATTTTGTTTCTGTAGCTGATAGTTTTATTGTATAATTTTCATAATTTTTGAAACCTCTATCATGAATGAAAACAGGACAGCTTTACAGGCCCATTAAGTTATCAGGATCTCTGAGATACAGGCCTCAGGTTGCATGGCCTCCTCTTATTCCTTTTCCATTTACCTTTGTTTGAAAGTGTATCATTGATACCAGATTGTATAGGCAATGGTCTTTATTTGGTTTAATTATGTATTTTGTATTTTTCAAAAGGGAAGGTAAACATGAGGGAGTAGCTCTTAATAATCTGCTAAATTGATAAAGTTAGATTTTTACAGTGGTATAAATGATATTCCCAAACACTGAGCACTGTATAGGAGGGTTAAGTATAGTGATTTAACTAAGTTGTGAATGACTGAAAGTTAAAATTTAAGGGAAAAAAACAGGGTTTGTTTTAATTTGTGCTTCGTCTGTTTATTAAATTTACTGTCAGTTCCAACCGCTTAAATCAATCTTTTTGACAACCCTAGAGTAAAAACATTTTTGTTTGGTGAGTACATGTATTTGGTAGAGATTAGATGGTCTTTTCCCTTCTTGATGACAATTAAAAACCCTCAAAATGTCACTAACCAACTGTTCTAAGTGGTTGCTTTACAAGATATTAACTCACTACCCTTCACACCTGCCTCTTCCTTCAATGACATCATATCTACTTTCATTTAATTTTTAACACCTCTTACCAAACTGTGGATAGTGTGTAAGGTCTGAATTTAGCCACAGTCTAACTTACACTCAAGCTAGTTGCTCAGTGAATACAATGCCTGTCTTCATCTTCAAAGTAAGTGAATTGAATCTGGTTTTTCATGGTGGAGAAGCACAAGAGAGTGTTGTGATCTTTGTAAATAGTTTTTCTCATGGTTCTTAAAGGTTTTCACAGTTCATTTGTTGTCACTTGTCTTAGTTACTGGTTTACATGTAGTTATGTCTGCAAGCTGTGCTAAACACAGTGCTGCTCTGTTCTTCTTATCTGACCTTTGTTTTCTTCAGTTTATGCTTGTTTTAAAATTTGCATTTATCCAGGAAACACTGGTGCCTTTGAATTCCTACTGTGATTCAAAGAATATCCTGTAGGTCACATCTATTTGTCCATTTCCATTTGCTCAACATACAAAGTGTTATGGTTTCTCTGGTTACATTCTGAGTTTGGTTTATAATCTATGTAAAAATGATTTTATTTTCTTAAAGTATTTATTCCATTAGGAACCAGAAAATGTAAAGGAAATGCAACAGTATAATTTTGGAGTTTTCTGATCAAAAAATGTGTACCTCCATGATTATTTATTTTGATTTCCTTTCTTGATTGAATTACTGGTACCTGTGAAGGGTTTGTTTCTACATCCCAGGGATTTTAATCTAAAACTGCACTCTGTCATAGCTCTGCTGTATAGAATGGTTATGCAGGTACCAGTAGGTATTGGAGGTTTGATCAGTCAAATCCACTGAACCATTTGGTAATCCTTAAAACCTATCCACTTGGCTGGTTGTTGGATCCTCAAACAGGTTTCATATTTATATGAGTTAAGTTCTTGTCATCTTGAACACACATTTGTGTTTATTACTCATGGAAGATCAAAAACGGCCCTTAGCTCTGGTTATCTCTAAAGTAAGTCTCTGAAGTGGCTGTTGTTTGTTTGCTGATTTATATTGTTTGCAATACTGTTGTTCAAGCTTGATTCCTACTATGCAAGACAGGCGGTTATTTCTTTTATTGTGGCTTTCAAGGTTCTAATATTATTTTGACATAGAGAGGCTCATTACTCTATCAGGCCTCTAAAGGTCAATCAAAACTCCTTCATTTCCCTTTGGACTTGGACTTAATGCAAGCTGTTTGCTGTATATTTAATCATGAGATTCTTGACAGAAGTTTATTACTGCTAGACCTTTATGATGTTAGAGACAGAATTATTTTGTCTATTCCATGTTACACCAGTGACATAAATGGACCAATTTTTACCTTTTCTTTTATACCTTTGAATGAAATGTTTTGGAAAATAAAATGTATCATATTAATTTTTTCTATCTTACAGGACAAGGAGAATGGTGTCTCCCATAATCAACAGATCCCTTTGAAACGAGGACCAAAAGTCAATGGTGTGCGCAGAGCCTTGGTGCCACAGGGTGGTAGTAAGCACAAGATTGGGGCCATGGGGGAAAATAAGGACATTATAATCCCATCTCAAGGTGAGGGCCTCAGTGGTAATGTACCCACACCAGAGATTATTAAACCAGCCAACATTGGGAGCAATACACCTGCCAGTCACCAAATACAATCCACTAATGTGAAGATGGAACCAGTATCACAAGGTTTGCATGAGGGAGCAGTACGAGAAAATGGGCAACCTAAAAGGAGTGGTATGACATTTGTAGTTGACTCAAGTACGTAAACACTGTATTGAAAATATACACATATGTTTACTTTCTTTAATTTTTGTGTAATTATATTGTTATTTGTTACAAAGCGGAGGATACTGGACTGGAACAAGACTGCAATAAATTGACTCCTTTTCCTGATTCACTCTTTTTGAAAGAAAATTTTGACCACCATGTACTTCATACCATGGAAATGTTATCTTTGTCAAACATTGAGCACAAATGTTGTGGGTTATTTACATGTGTATCAGTTTTTTTTTGAAAGGTTGCACAGGATCAACCACCTATTGACTTTTTATGCAACATCCAGTTCTCCCTCCGTTTCACAAGCAAATTAAGAAAATTTGGAAGAGTATTTAGCACAAGCCACTCTTGTTTCCTTTTCCATGTACCCCTTATTTTACACTGATTTTATGGTTATACTCAAGAAACGGAAGTAATTTGCATAAACTTTGCAGTCAAAAACATTCACAGCTCAAATTGTTCAACTTTATTTCATTATTAATGAGAACTGGGTCTTTATCAGGAGCAGAGAATCAATCACAGAACTCAAGAGCTCCAAGTGGTGATCTTTATCTAGGAGAAAAAAAGCCTCACAAGGAACCTGATAATGTCATTCAGAAAGGTACTGATACTGTAGTTTTCAGCACTTTTAACCTTTTAAAGCCTAAGAGTGACCAGCATCTAATTTCTCCTTATAGTACTACTGCTGAATCATTCATTAAGGTTATGAGAATGAAAGAAATGATTGTCAACCTAAGATGCTTTGATTTTTAAACAAATTCTTCTTGTTAATACCAAAGGAAATGTATAGAGAAGAGTATGGAGAATATGGATACTGATGTTTAGGTCATTGCTGTGCATTTGGCAAGTAAATTTCTAAATACATTTAAATAGGAATAGTAAACCTAACTTGACAATGCACTGTTTCTTAATTTTGATGCAATAATTATTTCACAGAGAGAGAAATGGGGACAGTTAACATGACATTCCGTAAACCTTCTACCAATTCACCACCAAACAACACCACAGTGACTATCAACAATGGTAATCATAGAAATCATATTTCGTTACTGGAAAAACAGAGAGAATTTCTGCAGTCATCCTCTGAGGCCAAGTTTTATACAGTAGCTACTCTAGAAGATGTGCAAGCTATCAGAGCAATAGCATTTCATCCATCAGGAGATTTGTTTGCTATTGGGTCAAATTCCAAGACTTTAAGAGTCTGCACAGCTGAAGGGTTAAACTCTCAAAGGAGAATGGAAAGGTACTAGGTTTTAGTATGTCATTCACTTTTCTTATTTAACAACAACTTATCAGTTATCTTTAGTTTGAGATTTATTGAAAATATGATTGTAATTTTTGTGAAGAGTGAACATGACCACTCAGAAATAGTAAATGTATGAAAGGAATTGGTCATACATAAAAAAAAGAGAAATTCAACAATATTTTGGAGGTAAAAGTCAGGAAATTTGAGTATGGTTTCCAGGAAGTTGTGGAAGATATAAAAAATTATAGAAAAACAGAGGGGAAAAAACATCTCTACATTAATCTCTCAATCAGAGAGTATGGAAAACATCAAAAAGTCCCTGGAAAAAGTCATGTTAAGTCATAGAATTTTATGACTTAGAGATAGTTAAATCCTTGAAGTATTGGGAGGTAAATTCATGGCCAACTTCATCTGCTGTTTGTTTTACACTTTACTAATATGGCGAGTTTTTTTCTATAGTAAAGGCAGTGGCCAACCTCCACAACCAACCATTCTCTTCAAAAGCAACCGTCATCACCGTGGCTCCATTTATTGTGTAGCATGGAGTGCTTCAGGGGACATAATAGCTACAGGATCAAATGACAAAAGCATCAAGATGACCAGGTTTGATGCTGAAACTTGCTCTGTGACTTGGCCAGGGCTGGAGCTTGCTATCCACAATGGTACAGTTAGAGACCTGGCCTTTGTTTCCCGAGCCAGTGGGACACCAGTTCTAGTGTCTGGAGGGGCAGGTATTAACTTTGTTTTCAAGTAAATCTTCCCCTTAGAGACACCTTGTAAACACACTGACCACATAAAAATGCTTGATGTTTTCTACCCTAAACTGCCCTTTTCTCTTCAAAGTTTAACTTCAGGAAATTATCTTTTAAGGGTCTCATTACTCTATGTAACCTTCTAGCCCCAACAAGTGATTACCATCTAATTTATACTTACAGTGCCATTTCTGAATCATTAAACATTAGAAACAGAGTCACAAGAATAGAGGAAATGCTTGCTGACTCAGAAGCTCCTGATCATTAAGCATTTTCTCCGTGTTGATACCATTAGAAATTTAGTGAGAACAGTATGGAGACTTACTATACTTGAGCAAGGGTGTAATAGATTAAAGGAAATTTTCGAAAACTACCCTGAGTTAGCTCCACAAGTGGTATCTTTTTGCTTTATTCTGATGTTATCTACTTAGGGAAGACCACACCGTTCTTAAATCACAGTGCGTTGAATTTCTTGTTCATTCTATCAAACAGGAGATGGAAATATTATGATCTCTGACTGTAGTACTGGTCAGACAATAGGACAACTCAAAGGTCACTCAGGACATGTCATGGCTGTGTATGCTGACAGTGATGATATCATAGCCTCAGGGTCAGCAGATAACACTGTAAGGTTGTGGGATCTGAGGTCACAGAGATGTATAGATGCCATAGCAACTGGTGATAGCTGCGTGGCCTCAGTTTGCGTAAACTCATCAGGCAACATGTTAGCTTCAGGTAAATGACACAAATCTTTTGTGTGATGTACAATTTTTGGTAAAAGAGTGTAATAGTGTGGGTGGGTTAGGGTGTCCCTGAAGAAGGCTGTTGTTGGTGACTGATGTTTTGACAACCTCAACCTGAGAGGGAGTCATCATCATCATCGGAGTCATCATCAGATCCATCATCAGTATAAATGCTGTCAGCAGGAGGGACCAATATGAAACAAGTTCAACTGAAAATTTATTAAACTAACACTGAGTATGTTACCACCATGATTTATTGTGTTAGTCTCAAATAATTTTTCTTATCAAAGTTAAGGGTTTTGCGTGGTGTAATTTTCACCAGCCAGTAGTCCCTGCTTAGGATTGGAGTTTGTTTTAGACTTGCACCATGTGTTACCACAGTTTTATCTTTCTGGCTTAGCTTCAAAGTTTGGTACAGTTTTGATGCTAGGCCACTTTTTGCTATGATGAATTAACTGGAATTTGCCATACTAGCAGTACATATCAGCACCTTATCAGTCTCCAGTTTTGTTCTATACTAATGTGTGGTTTTCTTCTGCTGTTTTTCTCTGTAACCACACAGGCCAAGAAGATGGAAGCTGTATGATCTATGACATTACAGCTGGGAGAACCCTACAGCTTTTCAAGCCTCACACAATGGATTGTAGATCAGTGCGTTTCTCACCTGATAATAACTTTCTTTTGACTGGATCCTATGACAGTAGTATAATCTTGATGGACATAAGAAAAGACTTAGAGACACAAGTACCACCTTACTCTGTTGTGGCTCATCATAGAGACAAAGTCATCCAGTGCCGTTGGCACCCTACTCTCCTTGCTTTCCTGAGCTCTAGTGCAGACAGAACTGTCAGCCTTTGGGCTCCAGAGTGCTGAAAAATTGGAAGTGCCTTTTAAGGTTTGGCCTCTTTAGAGTAAAGGAGAGCTTGTGGGATGTTTCCTCTAATATGATGGGCACTTTTGAAGCCAACAAAAAGGTCTTTCAATTGTAGAACACCACCACAGAGTTCAGTCAAGTGTTTGAACCATTTGAGACTTTGATTCGATGTGATGATGCCTACTGAATGAAGTTGAAATGATTTCCTATTTGGCTCAGGTCATTTTTTATCACCAATTTATACCCAAAGAGAGATCTTTGCCACAGGAAAGCAGTACTGCAGTGACCCTAGTGCTTAAAGAAGATCTATTAGAAATCTTGTGAATTTGTGTGATACAAATCTAAAGACAACTTTCACCCTGTAAATAATTTACATACATTTAGAATTACTTGAATGACACTATTTTCAATGATGTGCCCATCAGTTTTTGAGACTTAGATAATCTATAAGGGATGAATATTGAAGCTGTAAAAAATTAACTTCCAATTAATAACTCATAGTAACAAGTGACAAGATGGTGTAGATATTGAAGTTGTTTCTCTTTTATTTTTGAACTTATGGTAATCTTCTCCAATTTCACTTAGTTTTGTTTTTCTATGTTTGGATTTTTCTTCTTCTTTGATTTTTTTTTAAATAGCATGTAGTGGCATAACTCTCTTACATGAGTTGGGATACTCTGCATGCAACAGAGCAACATTTGGAAGTAATTTTTAAAGTGGAAATTGTCTCTACCTTCACCATAGAAACATTTGGATAGAACTAAACACACTTCTATAAACAGTTGAATTTCACATCTATTTTCAAACATTTTGAAGATTATCTGTGGCTGAAAAACATTTAGTGGTAAATCCATCTTGGACATTGTAGGAATATCATCCTGAACTCTTTATTATGAAACATAATGAATCATACATATGAACAAAATTTTGTGGCAGATTCTTTAGCAAGATGGTAAACCACATGTACATAGAATACAAGTTTCTTACATAGTAAGTACCAGTTTCTTATTGATGCTCCTTATTCTAAGAGGTCATTAATTCCATGCATGGTTCTATGGTATTTGTTATGAATTGTTTTATTTATAGTGTTATGAGGTTTCAATCCAACAATCAATTGTTATTTAAAGAAAGGTCACTTTAATTAAATTATTGTCATCAATCTGATTGTGTACCTTATGTGCAATCACCCTTTGCATTTGTGGAGAAAAGAAATTCTGAAGTTACTTGGTGTTCATGATATTTATTGTATGATTTTTGAAAAACAGATAATGCTGATATGATAAACTCTGATAAATGAATTACAACAATGTTAAAAATTCAATAGATCACTAACCAGTAATCAGAAATAAAAATTAAATTGATACAAATTTAATTATGGTTTTCAAGACTTTTTTAGGGTTGAGCCTGTCAAATGATAACTTCCCACAAGCAGATGCGAAGAGATAATCTCAGCTCAACCATTGAAAATGACTTCCATATTGCTGTTATACAAGCAATGTAAACATGTACATCTAAGACAACACAGATGAACCTGTGCAGATACAAGTCTCATTAGCTTCTGAGAATTTTTTATTGGAAAAAGGCTGGCCCAACAGGCTGCAAGAAAGGAGACTCTGATTAATTTGGTCTGCCCAGCGGGCTGCTAGAAAGAAGACTCTGAGTAATTTGGTCTGCAAGGGGTCATTGTGTTGTGTTCTTTGGTGAGATACTTAACTCCCAATATACCTCTCTCCACCAGTCCTGGGTTATGTGAAGGGTGGATAATGCTATTGACTGGATGAATCTCTATGCTATGGGTATGCACCACATTTTTCACTCTTATCTGCTGGAAGGCAGTTTTTCTATTGGATGGCATTATCACCTCTTTAAACAACTAAGCCCTGAGGAGTATAACTGGGTACTTGCAAACTATCAGGAAAACCTGATGCTAACATGTGATTGACCAGTATCTTGTATGTGGGAGTAGCAGCACTCCTGGTTTTCCCTTTAACTCTCAGATGTGATTGACAAGTAACTTCTCCCTGTAGTATCCGTACATCCAGCAAACTGGTAGGGAGAATACTCAAACTTATCAGGTATGCGATATTATATTGATCAAACACCAAATTTTTGTATCAAATATACAAGGAAATGTGTCGCAGCTAGAGGAGAGAATTAACAATCCAATCTTGGGAGTTTGTTTTGATTCAAGAAATTTAATGTCCATCTCATGAATATTGGTGGTGGGGGAGGGTTATCTAAAACGTAGTTAAGATCAATCAAAAGTAATCAGTGTTGCAGCATAGGTTTAAGGTCTCTGATCATGCACAGTCTTGTTCTTTTTAGGACTTGGGCATTTTAAATAAATTCTTTAATGGGATGTTGCTATTGGCTAGTTAGATCAACAAGATGGGAATGCTAGTTGACATTGTGAATAGACAAGTCAATAAAACATAAAAGAAAACAAACAAACAAAGAACCAGGATGGGCATCATTCCTTGAATGAAGAAATCCAATACTTAAATATCTGAGTCAGTCATCAAACTTTATTTCAGGTTTATCCCCTGAAAATCCTGTCTTGCCAAAAACAGCAAACAAACATTAATTGCTGTTAGAGCATTGAAATAAATTAGATACTTATTACAACATTCATTCAAACAAGTAAAACTACCACAATTTTATTTACAGTAAGTACCTGTTACCATAAATTTCAGGTTTTGTTTGGAATATCATGCAATACTTTTTCAAATACTGAACTGTCAGTGAGCCACAACAAAAATAATAGGCCCAAAAAAATACTTTGATAAATTGCTTTATATACATTAATATTGAAAGCATTAATATTGGATGGAGAAGAATAAATAAAGTTAAATCTTTTAAATAATACAACCACATTTTGTGCTTGTGGCAAAGTAAAGAGTGATAGCAACTGCATTCTCTCTTTTCACCTGATTACATTATGTACAACATATTCATTAAAAAATAACAGCAATGTTACTTGCTGTTCCAAATTCCAAATGTAATTCACAGCTAACAATTATAATAAATTAATTCATGATTTGTTGTAAAAATAAATAAATATTTACAATGAAAGGTATTAGTCCTCCAAGGTACCATTTCTTGATACATTAAATTGTCCATTGTAACATAAATAAAGGAAAACCTCAAAACATTACTTTAGTAAGAAAGAAAAACACCAAAATACAGAAGTTAGCTTTCAAGTCAGAGGCCCTGGCTTCCCTGCCAAAGCTTATCCCACAGTATAGCTACTTCCAGCTGAGCAAGATGTCTGGTTACTCTCATATTTTTATTATGTCTCCCAGCCACACAGCAGTTATTAACATATACTCCTGGACCCAGTTGTTCAGAGGCCAATTAGTGCTAACCCAGGGTTAGATTTTAATCCAGGTTTCTATATTTCTCTGTTCAAAAGCCGTTTTGGAATAATTTTAGCCATTGTTTTTAGAGCATTCAATTATCAAATTGTAGTAAAAAAGAAATAAACTGAATTGGCTCTTCAAGCTTTCAAATCTAAAATCAAATTTCACACTAACCCCAGGTTATCTTAACCCAGCTTTGAACAACTTGGCCCTGGGTTGTGTGAGAGTAGAGAACATGAACACAATTTCAAACTCAACCCTTTTCAATCCAGAGTTCAGTGGACTAATTAGACCTCTGTGATTGGGAAGCATAACTTTGATAACAAAGGAATGAGAACAATTAAGGACAGAAAAAATTGTTGTGGTGAGGAATCTGCAAAAGACCAATTTTAAAAAATTATGAAAAATTAACAAAATTGCATTGACTGTGACAGACCTCCCATTAGAGAGCACTTATTTGGAACACAATCAAGCCCATTCCTATTTTTTCTCAAGTTTTCCTCATTAAATTAATTGAAAAATTTACTCAAGGTCAAAATCTTAACATTAATATGAATTTTCCACCTTTTTAATTTGCAACTAAAATGTTACCCACACTGAAAATCTATGCAATAACCTTGGTATGTTATCACACTCACTGTGAAATAATTTACAACTACGAGAGTCACACTGTATCCAAACCAGTTCAATTTGGTTGTCTGTCATCAAACTGTCATTAAAACAAATTGTTAATAAGTTATGCAAGAGATAAATTTCAGTTCTTCATTTTCCAAAGAACTTTGCAATGGTTACCAATCCTTACGTCCAAGAAATGGTAACACAGTCAAAACAAGTTTGTCTGAATTTGCAAGAATATTGTGTACTTCTGACATTGTCTTGCTTGCAGTACTTTCTCCATTTATATCAAGGATCTCATCTCCAGGATTTAACAGACCAGCCATAAACTTTGAAGAGGCACAGTCCATTATTCGACTAACAAACACCCCTTTCTTGTACTGCTGATAACCCTTTTGAATAAAAAACCCAAATAATCCTCCAGAACTCCTATGTAATTCCAAGACATATGCACTTCCAAGATCTTCCCGCATAGCTATTATTCTTCCCAAACTCTGGCCTCCTGTTGGCCGACTCACGGCAGTTGTAGAGTCAAACCATTTCTTTGTCAGCTCATTAATGTGTGAGGATTCTTTCTTTGACTTATTCTTAAGGAATATTGATGAACGTTTTGTTTTACTCTTGCCTTTGTCAATGGACAACCTGGGTTTTTCACTCACTGGCATGTCATTTACAACATATAGACCAGATCGGCGACCAAACTTTCGTTTCTTCTTTTTCTTCCTATCTTCATCAAAACCGGCAGCTAAAGAGTCTCCATAGAAAGACACATTTCCAAGACTGTGACTTCTACCTAGCTCAGGCATGCTTCTCCATTTCTGGGTTCTGATCAAGTCTCTAGGTTCTCCTTCAGAAATGGTATTGAGCTGATATGTGCTGAAATATCTGTCACGCGCTGACATGTGAGGCCGCAAAATATACTCACTTTGAACACTACACACTGTCTCTGCATCAGAATCTGTCTCATCTTGGCTCCCACTAAAACTGCGACTTTGCAAAAAGATGTTCCTGCGATAAATGCTTGAACCTGTGAAAATACAACAAATAGACCACCAGGTAGACAGAAGATGAGAATTGAGAAAATTATCATCAAGTGGATACTATGTTGATGTCACCCAAATCTCTTTGTAAGAGCCAGCAACAAAATGCATTGTCACAACAGTAAGAGAAATTCCCTCTCAGGTCTCAGGAGCAAAAGTGCTTTGTGGTCTAGAATAAACATAAAAACTGCAATACATTTTGCTGCTTTACACTGAAAAAAAAAATTAAGCCAAACTCATTTGTTTAGCACACACACAAACATTAAAAACAAATTCCATCTAAAATCATGCAAAACTCAATTTAGCACATCAAGTTCCAAGGTCAAGTGAAGACATTATTTCAAACATTACAGCCCTTGTCACTAAATATATCCAAAGAAAATGTGCCAAAGAGTAATTGTTTATTTACATACAACTAGGCACATGAACAGGAAATATTTATCAGGAAGGAAATATTTGGCAGCTTGAAAGTATTGCACCCAAGCAGAACTTGATGACATGTCACAAGGTAATACATGAAAATACCTTTCTTATGTCTATAAACAGCCACCAATTGCTAGCTTTGATTCTCAAACATGCCATTCTTTCTGCCTTCACTGTTAATAATCAAGCTGTGTTCTAAAACAGCTAGTCAATAAACGAAAAAGTTAATTTCTCTCCCAACATATATCACATTAGTTGGCAACTCCTGATATCCTTCCAGGATTGCTGTGTTATTTTAAGAAAATTGTTAATTTGTATAAGATAATTTAATCTCTATAATCTTGTGATATTGTGCTTATATTCATAGACATCCATGAATAGCAAAAAAAAAATTAATCAAATGAACAAAATCTTTAAATTTCTTCTGATTCTTCAGGCTTGAAGTAAGCTTTTTTCCTTTTGATACTTTCAACAAAGAAATTACATTGTTACTGCACAGTTGCCATTATTACCAAATTAAAAAAAAAAACGGTATATTTCATGTACATGCTGGCAGGCAAAATAGCAACAGCCTTTAATCTTACCAAAATCAACACAAAAAGAAAATACAAAGGAAATCTTTTTTTTTTCTACAGTGTTAAATGAAAATTATATGTATTACATATATTTCAAAAACATGGTAACAATGATTTTCAAAGCAAGGAAAATGAATGGTCAATATACTCTCAAACTCGCTTCCAAATCATTTTATGACAAAATATAATATTCCAATGAGTAAAAATTTTAATGAATAGTTTTACAAATTTTTTTTTCTTAATTCTGGAGAGTATGTCACATAATTTAAGAGCAAGAGTATTTGACTGAGTAAATGTATTTTTACGACTCCTACTAACTGCATGTAGATACAAAGAGCAAAAAATAAATTTATAAATGTAAAAAACGATCATTCATATTAACTAGTTATTGTTTGAGCTTCGACTAAATTGTCTTTCTGAAACATTGCAACAAAAGATCGCGTTGGTATTAATTCAAAAAGTCGGCTGTCTGGCTTTCTATTGCAAAAATGATTCCTTGTCACACATCCACGGTGCGAAAATAATTTATTGGTTAAGAGAATGATGAATGAAAAAAATATCACCCATCCCCTGATTTTTAGCAAAATTTGCAAAATAAATCTTCGCGCGCAGTCTACTTTCAGCGCTACCTGTTAAAAGGCCGACAGAGTGTAAACAAATGCGCTACCCACAGTAACAAATTATCTCCTATCGCTTTAATGTAACCATTATCGAACAAATAACATGTACTCCTTACTTGGCCATAAATCGGCACTTTTTCCAGTAGCAATCAATTTTGATCAGCCTTTTAACCAAACATTGAACAAATATAGGATAATAAATAAGTAAGCGATAGGGCAAAATGGAAATATTGCTCTATTTTGCAAGACACGAAAGCGCAAAAAAAATTTAACTTATATAATATGCTACCAATTCTTATTTCTCTGGGTATTCTTAAATCACCGACACCTGAATCCAACCAATTCAATCAAATGCGTTCACTTATTTCTGGATTAGAAGACTATTTTTAGACGGAGATCTTAATCGAAAACATATTACATATAGTTTTTGCGTCATTCGACGGAAACGAGCATTCGGAAATGGCCCAAGGCAAAATAAAAATGGCGAGCAAATCATTTCTGAAAATTATTTAAAACACCAAAAGTAAAATAAAAATCGAACAATACATCTGGCGCTCAACAACAACATTAGACCGAGAAAATGTGACCTTCTTTTATAGCATTAGGTGACCTTGACTAGAGAAGTGCGTAAATTTCGTGGTCATTAAATTATGGAAGACATATCTACTATCACTACTTCCTGACTTTCGGACGCCCCCGAGTGAAAACTCAACTCCAAATAACATTTAAATTTATGTTACTTTCACCGCCTCGCAAAACAAAAATTCAAAATAGCACCCCAACCGAAAATAGGTTTGAGATCGGCAAGGTTCGAATCAGTTTCATCCTGTGCAATATTAATTCATTGTTTGCATCTCAGAATTAGTTAAAATACATATGTATTGAATAAAAAGAGGACAACATTTTTCCTTTAGAAAAAGTGTAACAAAACTCTCTTAAATGCAAATCAATACCCCAAGAGGTTCAAACTACTTGCATACATTTCATGCCTCAAAGGTAGCAATAATTCGCTAGCTGTAACTTATGAAATATTCAAAGATTAATCTCATTGATCGTTCAACAGGAAACTAAAAGGGTTTACTGAAAAAAATAAAAAAATCAAAACCCCTTAATCAACACCATGTAAATAAATAAACACATGTAGAAAATTATTTAAAAAGGAAAAGAGGTGCAAAGATTGGGTCCAGAAATCATTATGTCGTGTTGGAACTTACCTCTTCTCACACCTTCAGTCAAAGATCCGCTTCGACTCCGTTGACAGTTTAAAGAAGAATTGCTTGAACTTGGTGCGATATCAAAGCTTTCCGTCTTAATTTCCTGATTTCTGTAGGCCACAGATTTAAGAATTCCTCGTCGATCCACACTTCGACTCCTCTGACTCTCAGAGTCGAAGCTAGCATACTCCAGAGAATTTGTCAACGGCAAGGCTGTCAAACTCAGTGACTTCGATCGAGTAGACGGATAAGATTGTTGGCCGCTTTGTTGTGGATCTTCCCATCTTGTAGGCCTGGAAGACCTTGAATTTGGAGTACATGGACGATCTGTAGATATTCCACTGTCCTTGTCTGACTCCATGCTCTCTCCTGGGTAAAGAAAGTGATTTTTGCTAATTGAGGTCGGCGTCGGTTCATGGGACGTTTTTGAATGTACCGACTCGCGGTCGATATCATCAAACGCACTATCGCAACTATCCTCGAGGTTATGCAGTTTCATAGCTACCGAAAGAGGAGGAGGCCTCCGTCTTGATGTGGTGGCAACAACAGTGGAACTCTGATCGTTTGTTCCACTTCGAAGCACTTGTAATATATCTGATTTCGTTGTTTGTATTTCTTGATGCTCAACTGATTTCGGGTCGAGCGATTGAGAGCGATCGATGCTTCCATTATGCTGATTTGAACCAGATGAAGAAAACGAAGACGTTCTGGAAGAGTTCTTGAAAATTTCAGGATACTTCAGTTCTAGTTCCTTAAAGCGATTCCGAGCCCGTTGCAACATCTCCTTGTGAGCAAAAATATCCTCTTCGAACATGACGCTCTTTCGAAAACCGTTCAGATTTCGTGACGGCAAATCGACCATACTCTTTGACAATCCGTTTGAGTCGCCGTGCATTGAAGGGAAACTGGGACTTCTTTTTTCTGTCAAGTAAAGGTTAGGTTTCTTAGTCACATAATTTCTCGATGGCACATCAAAACTCTGGGCCCCTGAAAATCGCTTTCTGTTCAGCTGACAAGAAGTTGACTGGACAACTTCCTCGAGTGGTTTGTGAGTGTTTTCTTTGGCTTTCATATCTTCCATTTTCAAGTGTGAAAATCGTGATCAGCGCCCGGAGACTTCATATAAATCTTTACGGTCCGATCCGTATCTCATATCTTGTGATCAACCGGGTAGCAACGAGTGATATTCGAGACAAAAAATTCGTTGTAAGAACTACTAAGAATGCATTTGACGTCATTTTCACCAATAAAAGAGCACTTATTCAAAACTAACCAATCACGCCGAACTTCCGATCTATTTTGGGAGTAGGTGATTTACATACATCCCCACTAGTCGGTCAACGAGCTGATCGTCATAATAACAAGATTAATCGCAGATTCTCTCCTCTTTAAGGCTGTCATTTTAATAGCCCACGAACGATCCAAAAAACGCAAGAAAATTCAATAATACTTTGATAATCTCCTTCTGCCATGTACTTGTTTCAGAAGGTACTTTTTAGAAAGAAACGACTCGCGATTTCTTTACTGAAATTTGGGAATAATTTTGACAATAATTTTGACAATACACCGAAGATATTGGATTCTTAAATAAGCATTTTTTTTCCCCTTATTTGTAATCGCTGTTTTTTTTCTTGATCTGAGTAGATTCTAGAAGTTAAGTTAAATAAGCTTGAAAAGCCCGTGGGCATTTAGTTCGCGTTCACGGCCCTAAAGGCGGAGACTAGAAGCAAGATTTTCTCTGGGCTTTTAGGCATCTTGTTGCCATGTACACTTAATCTTTTGCTGATAATGATTTAATGTTTTTTCTCGTCCATCGAAAGAATGCAGTCGAGTTCGATTTTCCTGCATTTTCTTCCGTCAAAGTGTGACTTTTTTCGATGGGTTGCAAAATGAATTGATATAGTGGCAGATGTTGTTTATAAACTCTCTCGATCTTGCATGAGGAAAACTCAGGGCTAATTCATTTACGTGTTCTTAAGAGAAAACACATCATTGCAAGTAACTGACATACGCTGATTTAGAATGTATTTCAGAAATGCTTTGAATAAGATACGAGGAGCAATCGGACTCACTTTAAGTCCTTGTTTTTATCTCGCTTTCTTTTTCTCATAACAATTATATGGAGAGACTCCTCACAAACATCACTTGACAATGACCAATTTTCTCCGCCCCTAACTTGCGTTTGCTGGCCAGGAAGACCATTACAACCCACACAGGACATCGTGCCACATTAGTAATCTAGTTCGGCGGAACAAACTCCACTCAGTCCATTCTCTTGGCGAAATCCAACGCGATATCAACTTTATTGCACAATACAGTTCTTAGCAAAACCATCAGCGAAACATCGATTGTTTTGAGATGTCCACTCTGTTGTGTTCAGTTACAATACCGCCTACTCAACACAACATATGGTCATCCTGAAATATTTCCCGTCACGTTCCTCTTATTTATGTTGTCCACACTGATGTTTACTGTGGCGTTGGTTTCATTTCCTCACAGAAGTTTTATATATCAAAAAAATTTTTATCGTCACGTATAACTATTTTCGTCTTTATAGTTGCACTGGAAAGGAAAATAATTGAGTAAAAAAGTAGTAGATTTAAACAAATATAGTTCGGAATGTGACTTTATACACAATCGACTGGTCACAATAAGTAGAAACTGTAAGTGGATCACACCCTCTACTTACAGTTTTATTTCGTAGGATGTGATTTGCTCCATAAAAGTGTGTCAGGAACATCAAAAATGTCAGTTCACTCTTGCTATATTTTAAAACTCGTTTGCCTCAGCTAGTCTGAGTAAAAACACATTTATTTTATTGCAAGTTTACCAATTTTTTTCCACGATTACAGTAACATGTAGGAAAAACAAACCAAAATAAAACGTGATGAAAAAAATAACAGATTATGCGAGAAGGTAAATTTAATAAAAGTGTTTTTGCGCCCTCAGTCAGTCAAAATAATTGTGTCTTTTCTTATTTTTTCTTTTTTCCCGGAGTTATAAAAATATATATATTTCTGAGACTAATTGTGAGGAACGTGTCAGAATTCGACACTGAAACATCATTATTACGTAACCAAAAACACATACTTAAATGCACGCAAACTAAAAAAAAAAAGAAGTTTGCCGTCGCCAATTTGATTAAAAGAAGTGTTTGATTTATTGGGAGTAATTCAACTTCTTCAGCCACTCACTGAGATAAACATATCAAGATATGACGCGAAAAAGTACTTTCTCAAATGAAAAAACACAACATATGACAAATTCGACTGTTTTTATCAATGTCCTTTTAAATTTGTAGTCTTATTCGTAAAGCTTACAGCACAAACAAGTTTTACAGTGCCTCGTACAAGTATAGACTGAAATTTTTAACACAGCCAAATGATGTTTGCGCAGATCGGCGGAACTAAGGTAAATTAAAAAGCGGAAAAAGGAATTGGTGGTTATTCAAAGATGTACTATTTTTGTTCCTAATTACCCATTTAAAAGACATCATCTCAACCATTCCTCGTTGCGGTGTCAGGGCAAAACAAACTGTTTCTCGAACGACTACGCTACTGTTATCTCGATCAAGGAATCTGTTTGTTTTCTTCGGTCAAGACGCGTGAACGTGCTCGAAATTACGTGAGCTCGCTCAGCAAAGCGTTCTGCGCAAATAGTAATTGACGCCAAGCTTTAAATTTGCAATTCATAATTTATTACTTACGGAATAAAGGCATCTTTAGGAATAAGTCAGCAATTTCACCTTTCCTTCTACAGTCACGTATAAATGAAACTGAGAAAGGTTTCCATTTTTTTTTAACCAAATATTCATTTATGTATCGATACAGCCACAACTATTTGTTTGAATCTTCGATGTTGGCATCAGTCATCATTAATCAACTTTAAAGGGTCTTTTTTTTCAACACAAAAAGTAGCCATTAATAACAAAACTACACCCCCTCCCCAAAGAAAAAAAAATATGCTGATTTCTTGCTTCGAACACCTGTAACTTAAGTACAACTTCAGTGACCCCTATTTGTCACATAAAATTCATCCCTCTACGAAGTTTTACCATATGTTTAGTGGTTGGTTTAAAGGTGATTATTATATTTTCATGATTAAAGGTGGCTCTGAACCAGCTCTTAAGATTTATTACAATTATTGTATAAATAGTTTATAATAAAAATTGGGGATCACTCTATTTGTTTCTGAGTTACTAGCACACGAAGCCCAAGAAGAGGGTACCACGAGAGAATGTGGTGCCGCATAACTCGTGAGACAATAATTGGATATCTGTTCAACGCCATTTAAAAAACGAACAAAACTTGCGGTGCTTAAAAATAAAATAAAAAATCATTTTACACGATCAATATGAAACCAGAAGTTCATCTCTTCTGCAATTAAATTGTTTCATTATTTTTCTATTCCACCCCAGACTGAAGCTTCCTTAGGGGTTTCATCCAGAGTGATCAATAACACCCTTGACATAGGACTAGCAGAGATTAAGACATCAAGGTGATAAATACATTTTTATTATATGAAAGAAAATAGATACAAATCAACATCCTTCTCATTTCTTTGGTCCTCTACATATTATGACTGTATATTCTGCTACATCTCTTCTCAACTTAACAAGTTTTAGGAGCACCACTGAATTCCCAAAGTGTCCTTGACAGCTCCATTTCTTCAATTTTAACTCCTGTTCATCTCTTCCTCCCCCCCCCCCTTCACTGACTTTTGCCATCAACAGTTTTTTTATTTATAGCCCCTTTGATTGTAATCCATCATAACAAACAATTATATCACAGTTTTACCTGAAAGCATAAGAAGAATTGTCATGACAAAGACCCTCTGAGTGATATCACTTTTCAGGATTCTAGGTTCCATCAACATGCCAAAATATAGCAAAAACACTGCAAAAAAAGTGACTCATTGTACAAGTTTGAGACCATGAAAAACCAATCATTGCCAATTTTTTTTGCAAAATAATAAAAAAGTGTCTACTCAATATTTATGTAACTCATACATCATTCTGATAAATAAGTAATGTACATATTTTAACTTTTTGTGCCCATTACTTGAGCATATACAGAAAGAAAGAAAAATAAAAATTTAACAAGGAAGGAACTTAAACCACAAAATAAACATCCACAAATAAATGTAACCCTTTAATCCCTAAGACTGATTGCCTTAGAATTTCTCCTTACAGTATCACCCTTGAATCAAACATTAAGGTCATGAGAACAAAGGAAATGATCACCAATTTAAGGTTCCTGATTGTCAGATAAATTCTCCTTGTAAGTAACAGAAGAAATGTAAAGAGAAGAGTGTGGAGAATATGATTGCCAATGTTAGGGTGTAAAGGGTTATGTGTGTTTTAGCCTTTCTCCTACAAACTCCAGAAAACTGGAAGTCTATTCTACATTTTTGTCTGCATCTTTTTTGCAATCCTCACAATGCAACAAATAAAATGATGACTACTATCATAATTACTATTAGAGCTACCAGTACACAGGTTTGCCTCTTATCTGCAATCAAACAATAATATAAAAAGTTCAGGCTTAGAAAGCATCAAAACCAAGAAGAGTAAGAAGTGCTGCAGTCTGCATGGTCAGCATTCATGCCTCCATGGGGGCTTACATTTGAAGGTTGAGGGTAACTGTTAGAATTCCAAAGGAAATGCCTGCAAGGGTGGAATTTTTTTTTTTTTTCATGTCCACCAGAACAGCACAAAAATCCCAAATCCCAACGATCTTTCATTCTCCACTCTTCCACTCCTTCATATACATGACATGCAGGACACAGGTTTTCCAATTACAGTATTGGAGTACCATTCTTTGCACAGCGAGTAATAACTAAATACTCTAGTCATTGAATAAATCCAAGAAAACTTGTGGGAATATTATCATTGAGATTTCAATGCTCTATTATAAAGGAGGCTATTGGTTGGGATTCTCTGCCAAATGTCAAAAGGGGAAAGCTATTCTCTGTCTTTTGTACATTAGGGCAAATTATCCCATGTGACACTGACAACTTTTAAATTGTGGAGGAAATAAAAGGAATGCCAGTGACAAAGTGGCTGCTAGAATCTTGCAGGTGGTGTCACTATAGAAAAGAATGGGAAATTAAATGATATAAGAATGGTGTTGTGGTCATTTTTGCTTTTGATTGCAAAAAAAAAATGTGACCTCAGCTCCACTACTCGAAATGACTGAATATTATGTCAGTCTATAACTAGCAGGTGAGTGTTGCTTACCATCAGATAATCTTAAAACTTTTTCTACTTTAAGAACAGTTTGTTGTAGTTTGGAGTCTGTCATTTCTAATTCATGTCCAAAATCATCTAAGAGCCTTGAAAAAAAAAAAAAAAGAAAATATCATTTTATGATTAGATAATGGGGATAAGAAATAAGACTAAAAATGGATATTTGTGAAAATGCAAACAAATTTTTCAACACAGAAACTATGGACCAAAAAGGAGGGTCAATTTGAAAGATACTTAATGCTTCAAGACAGAGAACTTTTAGCTTCAAGACATGAATACTAACCACTATGCTTTACAACAATAACTACTGGAACCATAGCCTCTTATTATCACATAAATTTGTGTTAACCTGATGTTTACCAATAAGTTTCTGTGGCTCACTGAACAGAGCATTCAATTATAAAATCAGAACTGAATGGGGCTTAAATGCTCATATATTTTATTGTCTGTGTAATAATTTTCTCTAATTCAAAAAATATTCAGCACCTTGAATCTACTGCATTTCAATGGAGTGGCATATAGGCAAAACCAGACACAGTCTAGTAAAGTAATACCAGATTACTTTTGACACTCCATTGAAAGGGCCTTAAGCTGAGTAATTACTAGGTATTAGGACAAAACTTACAGATTTTGGTCTTCAATTTCATCACCAATCTTCTTTCCCATGGTTTTCAACACTCCAACGCTGTGTCCAACCATGTCAAGCTGTTCATCTTGAGCTCTAATCATTAACTTCATGAAAATGAAAATAATGACTTAAACTATATGGAATTATGAACCCAGAAGTAATAATGATCCATGTTTCAACAAACTTCCTCTTAGATTAAAAAACATCATCATTCACTGTCACAGACAATAGCCATCTCAGGATTCTTCTTACCCAGAAGATAGGAATACTCAACTAGTACATAATTATTTGCAAATAATGCCATGTTGTGCAATAATCTTCAAATTCCAACTATGGCTCAACATACCATTAAATATATCATTAGATTTCATTTGTACCTAATCTGTGCAGTGTAGCCTTGCACAGAAGCTCTCTAAAATTCATTTAACCCTTATAAAAACGGTATAAGATTACACTGTTATGAAGAAGACAAGTTTCATTAATTGTAATGTGCACTCTCTATTACCTCCTGTTGTTGCTGTTGATCTGTGATAAATGCTTGATTTGAATTCTCAATTTCTTGATCTAACCTTGAGTATCTGTCTTTTGGTTTATCATTTCTTCTTCCCAACAAAGCCTTGCAAAAACACAAGAACAATCTTCATAGATAATCATGAAAAAAACCTTAAAAGTGGTCATATCATCTCTTTAAAATTGTGTCTTTTATAACTTGTAATTAATTTTTTTAACAAACATACAATAACTATCTGAGGACATCGCCAACATTTAAGTGACATGTGTAAGCCCCAGGGTGATTTTCAAAACTTTTTATTGAGACCTGTTCAAGGTAATGCAGTCTCATTCTGTGGGCATGACACCGCAAAGTGTGGCAAGCAAACTATCATTTTATTGATATCTTATCTCTCAGGGATCATAAAATTAAACAAAAAAAAAAGGGTAAAAAGAAGAGGAAATAAAAATTGATAATGAAGATTTATTAAATGCACAGCATTTAACATTTTTCAAAGAATATTTGATTGCCTTGTTTATTCTTCAGCCAGGTCATAAATGTATTACCGGTATCCAAAGAGTCAGTAACATCAGCCTCAAACTCTCATATATTCATAATATACTGTTGACAGTAACAGAATGTAACTGGTCCCTCACCTCTCTTGATGAATTCTCCACCTTTGCTTTTGCTGAAGGGCTGTTCATATGCTCTTTAATGAGATTCACAGTATCTCTAGTTTGTTTTATAAATTGTTTTCTTTGATCAACTTCAGCAACATCAATGTTGAATTTCCTTGGGTTTGCTTCAACAATACCCACTGTTTCATCCAGGTCTTCTAAATCCCATTCAATACTCCGCACATTGTTGCGCAGTTCATTAGTTGTCCAATTATATTCATCTTTCCCTACGGTGTGAGGATTATCCAATAGGGCTTGCCACCTCTTGTATAGAGACTGCACATTGTTAACTGCCTTCTGTACTTCCCTAACAAAATAAAAATGATAGTTTATAGTTGGCATGCTGTCTAAGTATTTATTTGGTCACTTGACTGCTAAATATTCCACTGGATGTTTAAGCCACAGTGATTAGAGCCTTTGCTTTAGCAAGGATAAGTGATTCATGCCACTGAATTGTGTTTTTGGGTAACTCTTAAAGTTTTCCAACATCCATTCCTATAAAACCTGGTAAGAGCTAGACAGCCCTATATCAGATACCTTAAATAAAGAATATATTGGGTACTGTATGCTATTAACCTTTCCACTCCCGGAATTGGCTGAGAAGGTTATTTCTCCTAGCAATATTAGAACAATATCAAGCAGACAGGTGATGAGAATAACAAAGTATCAGCTTGAGGACACTATGATTCAAAACCAAATTCTCTTAGGAGCTAAAGGATTAATACAAGTTTTGCAGAATAGGGGTAAAAGAAAAAATGATAAAAAACCCATTATATGCTCTACTTGACCTCTTACTGTACAAAAACTTGCTCAAAAATACTACTAAAATTGATTTCAGGAGAGAAACATGGATTAAATTTTATTTGAAAGATTATTCTTAGTTTCATTTGCATGGTTCCTCATTACGTGCCTGTCCAATACAGGTGGAAGTGGAAGACAATACAAACAGATTTTACTACGTAAAGGGTGACCACAACGGTTTAATAGAGTTGAATGCCAAATAGAGGATAAAATGACAGTAACTATAGGAAAAAAATTTGGGACTTTCACCAAATAACACAGGTGACCCCTTAATACACTGCCACTTAATACTGGTTCAAATGTAACTTGAAGAAACAAATTCATGGGAATCTGAATAGCATTTAAGAAAATGTTAGCTAAGAAGTTGATACCGGTTGGATGCAAAGAAAAAGGGCAAGAGAGGAAATATTTTATCCTCCTGACCCCAACCTTCTGCCTAGCCATCATTCTTAGACTTTCCACTATTCACTCCTTCTTCAAGGGTAGAGCCAGATGGGAGGGAGGTTCTGGGATGCCATTGACACCCCCTCTGCGAGCCTTTTTTTAAGCAAACAACCTACTGTATTCCTATTGTACCCTCTGTTTGACACAGTGTGCCCCCCCCCCCCCCCCTCTTTTGAAAAATCCTGGCTATGCCCCTATTATGGTTTTTCTCAAGGTTTATGTCATCTTTCACCAATCTAAATTGGCTGCAATTATAGGAGGCAACTCTGATCTGAAAAATAACTCATGAAGTGTGCCTTAATTACATAATATAGCAAAGGAGATCACAGGAGAAAGAACCAAATTTAGCATCTTCCTTATTCTGTTCAGGAATCAAACTGTCACTAAGACTATTTATACACTCTTTTGCAGCTCATTATCTCTAAGAATCTCTATGAGAGATGGTTTGGTAGCCTATTGGTGGCAATCTCATCTTACTTTAATGCAAGTTGGTTTACATTGCTAAAACCAGAGCAAAATCTTGAAATAGACGTTTCTTTGTAAGACTATCAATAAAACACCGAAAATAACTCGGTGACGTATTGTTCATAAAATAGTAAATAAATCGATACTATATGCAAGGTCGGCCATCGCGTAATCGGAATAAACGCATCCGGTTGTACTGAAAAAATAAGAAAAAAAGAATACTTCCTACGTTGTAATTTCGGAGTATTCTTTGATATCAAATCAATCACTGAAATATATTTGGATGAGTTTAAAGTCTAAAAAGATGTATTATAGGTTCTGAAAAAATATTGTTGCAAGATCATGCAAAAAATTTGAGCGTTTCAGCGTACATTATGCTTGTACAGGTATTAAAATTGTAAGAAATTACCTCAGTAATCTGCGACACTAACACCACTGAAACGATTATGTTTTGAACAGGATTTCGATCGGAAAAAAGAGAAAGCTTTCATATTAGCTTGATCCCATCTCACGACATTCTTCCTTGTCAAAGAGAAGAATTCCACAAAAAGATAAACAATGACATGGCGAATCTACTTACTCTTTGACGACGAAAAACGGATCCTCCAGAGACATCTCTTAATTAAAACGGTTCTATAACATTAAATGTCTCGTTAAAGTAAGAGATACAGGCAATCCACGTTGAGAGAGGCCGATATAGAAGCTTACAATTCTGTTAAATACTCGACGACGCTAAAAGCCTCACAGCTGATGATAGCCGCCATCAGTCACGTGATCAATAGCAATGTTCTTCCGGTATGAAGTGAAGTTTTCGTTAACGTCACTTCCGGAGAGAACGGTCAACAACACTGCAGCTGCTTACACTTTAGTGCTTCACTGACCAACTCGCAGGCTCAAAACAACTTCGTAAGTGATTTCTGCACATCGTTAAATCATTGTTGGGTTGTCCTTGGTGTGACCTATGGATGTGATGAAAGCTTCTTAATCGTACGTCCGTGACTGTCTCGTGGAAGAGTTGAAGAAGGCTTTTTTCTTTTGAAGTCAAGGATTTCTCATCGCTTTCTCCTTAAAGGTTTGTGTTCTCATCATTGCATTGTGACACGTTTAAGGCGTTTTGTTTCGCCGCTGAAACTTCTACCAGAGACAAAGACATCATCGCAGACCCGTGTCGCAAAAAAAAAAAATTCTGGCATAGAGCTTTTTTTTAATTTGAACGCTTGGCTCTAAATGAAATTGAAGACAAAGGGACATGACGCTGATGTAAGTTGTTAAAAATTATTTGTTTACAAACAGCGTTTTCGTTACTTAAGCCGTGTAAAACGTACCCTTTATCGAAAAGCGTCTTAAAGACTCTAAAGACCTTTGATCAAGAAATGATGTCAGTGTTATTTTCCAACTGCGATGAACAGCAACAGGGATAAGCGAAAAATCGTTCGTAAATCTCCCAACCCGTGATTCCCATCTCTATTTTGTCGAACGTGGATCTTACCTACTAACATAAAGTGAATACACGACTTTATTAGAATTTAGATATTCGTCTAGATGTATATAAACATGTAAAATATCATTGGTATAATTCTACATTTGAATTTCACTGTTGCTAGTGAGAATGTCGCAAAATCAGAAACGAGGGCTCCACTGCTAAAGTGAAACACTAAACAAGGTTTTCCGCAACTTTACTTTGGCTACAATCCTTGAACAATCATCATGTCGCTCTGTGTCCTAAGGCATCACGTCCGGACAAATGAATTTGGTTTAATGGCTTAGTTAAAAGTAATACCCAGTTGCTCAGCATTGTAGCATCTGAACATGGCTCTGAAAAGTCACAGTTTATCTTAAGGGCGGCAAGGTGTTAATAATTAAAGTATTCTCTGTTAAATTTGTGATGCATGAAATACTATTTAAAGTACATGTAATCTGTGATTTTTCTAAGTTGGTGTATGAAGTGGGATTAGGACCCCTTGCTTGCAACTCTTAAGATTTTTTTTTTCTCCAAGTATTCTTGTGTCATGCATTGACTAACACCATGGTTAAAGAAATAACATTTGGGCTAGGTGTACAATAAGCTTGTGGGAACTTTTCAGAACTGCAAGAGAAAGCTTTTTGCACTTTTTGAGTGGCTAAGACAGTGTACGGGCTAGTTATTTGAACCATGTTCCAAACTATTTTCAATTTGACCAAACCTTTTACCTGAACATTTATTTTTGTGAATAGTGTCAAGAGGGCTAAAAAACTTAGAGTAGAAGGACATTTATTTCATTAAATCAACCTTCTTATAGAGAATAACTAGGCCCACTTCAAGTGTAAAACTGCAGTTTGGGTTAGACTGCATGTAAATTACTGGCTCTAAATGTTTACAGATGAGCAAAACATTGACTTGATGCAAATTTTTGCTCATAGGGTGTGTCTGTCAGTAAGATGTGTCTGTCTCTTATTTAGAGTGGTATGGGTAATGAAGGTCATCTCATGAGCGACTTAGGGGACATTCTTCCTGAAAATGTTATGAACTTTTCGTATGTCATTCATGGTGTTGGATAACAAAGAATTCTCCAGCTACTGGTTGTAACTCTTCAGAAATATTTGAATGACTTGGGTAATTTTTTTTTCATTCATGGTATGACAAGTGTTTGGCTCTGATTAGAAAACAGCTAAAATGAATTGCACTTTTTTTAGAATTTTTTGGTGTTGTTGTTCTAGTTGATTTTGTTATAGAAGCAAGTTTTCCAATGAAATTTTTCAAAATTTCATGAACATTGATTGTAATCTGTGTCACATATTCTCATACTCTCAAGAAATGTGTGAACCCTTCCTCCTCTCAGATCTTAGGCAACATTCTCCTTGGCAAGTGCCAGACATATCATTCCATGTTACATCAGAGGATTTGATACAAGATAAATTCCATATCTTCGAGTTGATTATTTGTTTAATTCCCATAATCTATATACTTTAAAATGTGATTGTGTAAGAAGGAGTTTCCTGTTAAAATGTTAAAATAGAAAAAAAATCACTCTGCAATGCAGAGTTCTGCATTCAAAGTATTCCTTTAAACACTACAACTCCTAATTGGTATGTAATTATTCACTACTGACACTTTGGATGTGTTACATATAGCAGGCAACCATACAGTCTTGAGCAATATAACAATTATTTGGGTATTAGCAGATTGTGGCTGAGCCTAATTTTTTTTTGAAATCTTGTCACTTCCTTGGTGAGCTGATAACCTGGAATATTTATTTTTCAACATGTGTTTCATTGGTTCAAACTGTCAGAGACAAGTGTGCAAAATGTGAACCAGATCCCTTTATGTGCGATGTTTGTTCATAACAAATTTTGTTTACATTTCCTTTGCTGTTTATTTCAAATGAATACAGATTCTAGTTATGAATTCCTAAATTACCTTGTTTTTAATTACTTGGCTTTCATTTCGTTTGGAAATATGACTGAAGTTAAAATCTTTCATTTGTTTATTCATTGAGCAAAATTTTAGGTTCCTGATAAGAAATTCATGATTTAATTTTAGACCTTCACAATAAATTTTTTTCAACTTTTATTTGTGTATTTTTCCGTGAAAAACCATTTCAGATACATTTGCAATTTGTCCTTCCACATTCCGTGTTTAAAAATTCTAATTGCAGATTTGAAACGGGGCCATTTTGGCCACCCGTTCTCTCCTTATTTAAGAGTGACCACACCTTGGGAAATGTCCAATTTTGAAAAAAGCACTGACAATGGAAGCTTTATTGAGGCCACATTCACTTTGTAAGTAACATATCGATCACCTGTTTGATATTGCTGATAATTCGATGAGCGTGATCGGTTTAATTTTGAGTTTATTCTGCGACAACGGACGATTTTTGTGGCTGAGATCGGTTGCGATCAGAGTTGCAATGTTCCAATTACTAACTTAATTCAACTGAGATTCGTACGTGGTTTTTGGGGGTAGTACGTCTTAGCTGCGCTTAGCACAGTTAGCTAATTGACGGTTAAATGGACGTAAAATTTTTTTTTTTCAATTATGTTCAAACATAGATCTTAGATGGAACGCCGTATGATCACCACCGCAAGTTAAAAGCTCGGGTATTTATTTCTTTTTTGTACTGACCGTAATTGGCGTTTACTTTTTTTGTATGAGCGATTTATTGATGGTTGCAGCCCCCTGAAATATCAATCGAACTGCTTAGGGTAGAACATAATTGGCGTACATATATTTTGCGCAAAAAAATGCTATAACTCAGCAATCCTTTCATGCAAGTTTACCTTATTTTGTTATCTGTTTTTTTTGTGGTATGGAAACATTGTTGTAAGATCGATGATCCTTTAGAATGAATGTTATGACATTTTTGGCGAATGCTTATCAGAGTAGGTAGATAAAGCATAGTGATTAAGTAGTTTGTTTTCGGATCGATTTTGAACGCCAAAATTTACATCCTAAGTCTGTCTCAGTTTTTACCAAATTTCTAAACAAGATTTCAGTTTAAAGCGTGTCTTTGCAAGAGTTTGATGGCACAAAGAGGCATTATTCCTATGCTAATGAGCTGGTTGATTCCCATGGCATTCTTTAATAGATAATTACTGAGGTTCGCAGCATTATACCCAATAATGCTGCGAACCTCAGTAATTAACTATTATAATTATTGACCCTCATAAAATCCTATTGTTCTCTCTCTGCATTACATCGACGATTTCAGTCGCCCCTTCATATCTTCATATTTTCTCAGGCTGAAATCGCCGATATAATGCTGAGAGAGAACAATAGGATTTTATGAGGGTCAGTAATTATTTACTGTTGAAAAGGGACTTTCTACTCGCAGATGAATAACATGGCTTACCTTACAATTCCTTATCAGCGTAAGGTATTGTTGACTTTCCAAGGCTTTATGTTGATTCAAATTTATTTGTTATTCTAGTGTACCACAAGCTAACAGTTGAAATTTGGCCAACTAAGAACTGAATTTTTTCACCTGAAATCGCGCCAGGTTTTTGTGGGGATAAAGTGTACTATAAAATCCTACGTAACATAGCAATTCATAGGGAGATCACGATAATTTTTAGACGCGCATCGTTACATATACAAGCCCGCGTTTGTTGTTACCGTCATTAATACGGCCCACTCTCATGAAAGGTGAACAAAAGGTGTGTATGTGTGAGCGTTGTGTAATTTATACCTGCTGTACAAAATGAAATAACGTTTTTTGAGGTCCAAAATGCGAGGCAAAGTAGCAGGATTGTTTTACTTTTTGTCGCTTTATATTACCTGGAGTGGTAAACCTAATCTCAATCGATGCGGTGCAGTGCCGGAAAGTCCCAATAATAGGCTAGAATCTCTCTTAACGGTAAAGGATGCACGAATAAGTTCTCCGCCGCTTCACAAATTAATTTTGGGAGATAAATGGGGATCATGTTTCATGTGATATTAGAAGGAATCATTAATTTTCGTGTTTTAAACTTGGGAATCTTGAATTTCGTGATGTAGTGCAAAAAAAAAAATGAATGAATTGTAGATATCGAAAACAAAAATCGCTGATGAATCCTGATTCGTTGCGCAAAAATATTCAGGAAGAGCCGATTACGAAGGTCAAATGATTCTGCGGACACCCCCGAAATTGATTTTTTTTCCTCGTAAATTTAGTATGAGTGCAGCTAAGGTTCGTCTGCACAAGCGAGTCATTCTGTGCGATTTTGCCATCCGATTTAGAGATACAGTAGAACGTCAGAGAACCTACGAAGTTTTTAAGTTTATGAGACGGCGCCTTTGGACTCCTCACCTGTCTTCTCTCCGGCATTGAGAAACAGCAATTAACACCCCAATCTATTTTCTTTTAATGTACAAAAGGTAACACAAATCAAAGGGTTATGTAACACAAATCAAAAGGTATCAAAAGGTTTTGAAGACACCGTGGAGGGTCAAGGAGTATCTGAAGATAAGCAATCAGCTTTCTGTCCTTTCACTGTCGGTGTAAAAAGCACATATTGATCAAAGAACGAGACTTAAGTTGAATTTGAAAGGAAGAAGAAAAGCTAAGACAATTTGAAAGCATAATGCAAGATATCAAATTCCCGAAAATTTAGAAACAAAAACCTTGTGCAATTATATAACATGACATCTGTCATGTTATATAAACTATCAGTTTCAGAAGATTTCGTGACGAAATTGAATTAGCCAATCTTGAAGCTTGCTCTTCACACGTCAACATTAGTATTTCACAATCTCCGTCTGAACGTGCATTTTTACTTGTTGAAAAGCGGATGAAACACTGCCATCGTTGCCGAATCTTTGAAAATATTTAAGGTATGTGCGAGTTTGTGAAAGGATCTTGATAAGTAAATCAAACTATATCAAAATTCGAAATTGTAGTAGACACTAGGACGAACATCGAACAGCGCTTAAAGTGTCGAATTGACCCTGACTTGTAAGTAGCAGCGGAGCCGGGTGCGAGATTCTTGCGTATCCACGTTGGGCATTTTTTAATCCGATAGGCGGAAAGTTATTATTTCTACTTCTGATTCATTTGTGGGACGTCAGTCTGACTATTTTCCTTGCATGTTATATAATTTGGTGAACGTAACGCTTCAATTGAGCGCACGCTTTGGTGTGACTTACTGGGAATGTGACAAACGATTATTGTGTAGCTCTCGACTTGTCACGCAACATCAAGTCTCCTTTGAAACCATTTTTTTTTGGGGGGGGGGTTGGGATGGGCTAATTTTGTTTTATTAACTGAGTTGATAACGTAAATCGGCCACCGTAAAGGTTTGTAAAGCTGTTTTAAAACTCTTTACAGTGGCTAGTTTACGTTATGAACTCAGTTAATAAAGGTAAATGACCCTGTTAGCTGTTATACTCTCCCGCCGACGCAGCACCATCGTTTCCTTGGAAACTTATCCCTCTGTTTTCATTTTTTTTCTTGCCTCCTGACGCAAGGCCATATCTTCAAGAGAAAGCATGTTTCGTTCATGATAAGGTGTAACACCGTAAAAAATTGGATGAACTTTTTAATTACAATTTAGTTCTTAGATTATCTTTATTGCTTACAGAATTAAGTACCGATGTGTCAAGAATTTCACTGCGGCTGTTGTTCGGATGATTTACCCGAAGACTCTTGCGGATGTGGCGACTGTTACCATGGAGGTCAAGACTTGGAAAATGTTTTTCCCTTCCTGAAAAATGGTGAGATTGCAGCGAAGTGTAATTTTGAGGCAAAGTGTTGTGGTAGTGAATGATATGAATCTATACCTGTCCGAAACTTACTGTAACGAAGAAAAGATGAGCAACCTATGTTTTGTTTCTACAACAGGAAAAATTGAAAGCTTTTGCGAGGATGGGATAGATTCGTACGGAGAAGAGGAGACGAGAGACCCGTGTGTGTCTGCTCGTTCCAAAAGCTGCTGCGATGATGAGAAGGATTCTTGCCATGAAGAAACTCGGTGTAGTCCTTGTCCTTCTGCTTCAGCCAAACAGCCAAGCGATGAAGCAGCCGAATGTTTCCAAAGTAAGTGTTGCTCGACTACTGTCAACGATGTAAGAATAGGTGAACCTGTCAAAGGCAGCTGCTCATCTCAGGAGGATTCACGACAAGAGAAAGAAGACACTTGTTGTGAAAAAGCGTCTGAGCAACCGGCAGAAGCTACTGCTATGCCAGACTCATCACCATGTCGAGGTTGTTGCTCTGAGAGGGAAATCTCAGGGAGTAAGTCAACTGAGTCCAGTGGGCCTTCGAGAAGAACCAGCGCTGATTGTTGCGGTAGAACTGTGGCAGACGACTGGAGTGATTCTTGTCAAACGAATTGCAGCCACACGGATAAAGACAGTGGTAGACCGTCCAGTTCAGCGGATGCAATCTCCGTGTCAACTTGCTGCGAAAGTGGTAGCCCTCGTCGGTCTTCATGTGGTCAGTTGACATGTCAGACACGCAATCCACCATTAACTGTCACGTGTTCTCCGCCTGAAGACAATTGCTGTGAGAGTCAAGCTTGTAGTGGTTCCACGCGAAAACCACGTGGGGACAATCGCTGCCAAAAATCCCAGCTTAAATTGTCTGTCGAGGGACTTTGCGATCGATCACTATCTGGCAGTAGAATCTCAGTGACAAACCGCAATGGCTTTTATCCTCTCACCCCTCCCACGTCACCCGGTATTCAGGAAAGCGACCACAGCTCAAAGAAGAAACCCTTGATACGCGAAAGTACCACTAAGCTGCGAGTGCAAAACATTTGCTGTGCGATGGAAAGCACACTCGTTCAAGAATCCTTAGAACCATTGGAAGGAGTGAAATCAATCGCAGTCAATGTGATCGGGAGAGTCGTGTACGTCCGTCACGACCCAGAAGTGACGTCAGCTACCGAGCTTGTTGACACACTCAACCGAAACCATCTGGGCGCGAGCGTCATGGAGACTGGGTCCCAGGAACACGATGATAGTAAAAGTCTCCCGCCGTCCTTATCGACTTTTCTGATTTATCTTTTGCTCCAAACCATTCTCCTGATGACAGGTGTTGTAGCGTTCTTCTGTGATGCGTCCTGGTACAGATGGCCGGCCATTGCGGAAATCGTGTTCGGTATATTTCCAGTCCTCCAGAAAACGTATGTTTCTCTTAAAACCTGTAGCGTCGACATCAATATTCTGATACTCATTGCCATAGCGGGAACGCTTAGCATTGAGGAGTGGTTGGACGGCGCCGCTGTAGTTTACGTATTCTCCTTCGCCGAGGCCTTGCAAGAGTTTTGCATGTTTAAAGTCCATCGGACAATCTCTGGGCTCATGCTAAAAGCGCCGCGGGTGGCAATACTAGCGAACACTGGCGAATGTGTATTGGTGGAATCAGTTGCTATTGGAACCACTATCGCCATTAGGCCAGGAGAGTTTATTCCTTTGGATGGTGAAGTCATAAAAGGACGAGCTGCTGTGGACGAAAGTACGGTTTCTGGTGAATCTGTGCCCGTTGAAAAAACTGTGGGATCTAAAGTATTTAGCGGAACGATTAATCAAAATGGCTACTTGGAAGTGAATACCACATCAGACTCGACATCTTCCACAGTTTCTAAAGTTGCACAACTAGTTCAGGAAGCCCAAACTGGTTCAGGAAGGATCGAAGTCGCCATAAATCGGTTTGCCAAGTATTACACTCCAACTGTGGTCGTTGTTGCAGCTCTGGTATTTGTTATTCCAGCCATTCTTGGTGCTGCAGGCGTGGGAACCTACTCACAGGAGCTAAAGATGTGGGGAGAACGAGCCCTTGTCCTTCTGGTCATAGCGTGCCCCTGCGCCCTCGTTATGTCCACCCCTATTGCTATGGTCTGTGGTATCACTGCAGCGGCGCGTAAAGGAGCACTGATCAAAGGTGGAGTTCACCTCGAGACCCTCGCTCAGTTGCAGGTCCTTGCGTTTGATAAAACTGGAACATTGACAGAAGGAAAGTTTCAAGTTGTTGACATAGAATGCGTTTTTGGAGTGAAAGAACGATCAGCTTTACGCCTAGCAGCTGCGCTTGAGAGCAAGTCCAGCCACCCTCTTGCGGCTGCCATAGTAAGCGAATTTAGTGGTTGTGTTTCGGAAATGCGCAAGTCACAATCCTCCAGCCTTCCGGAAGTAAAATGCTTTAAACTTCACGAAGGACAAGGTATTTCTGGTGTTGTCGGTGGTCATCATGTGCAGATCGGTAATTACGAATTCCTAAAGCGTGTTGGCAACAAAGCGCTGAATAAGTGTATGGAAGAGAAGTATATCACTTGGTGTAACGAGAGTAAAACTGTGGTCTTCATGGCTGTGGATGGTAAACTAGCCATGATGATCGCTCTTGCTGACACTATTAGACAAGAAAGTCGTGGCGCGTTGGACTGGCTACGAAAAACTCGTGTCCAGACTGCCATGATCACTGGTGATAACTCTCGTACAGCCATGGCCGTGAAGAGTAACTTAAGCTTGGACGAGTGCATCGCCGACATGAAACCTCAGGACAAACTGTCGTGGATCGAGGAAAGACAAGGTGGAATGCAAATCGTGGAATGCGAGGTGCTTGGCGACGATCAACAGACTAGGAGGTGTATGTTACCGTACGCTTGTTGCTGTTCCCGTCACCGCTACAATGCTGTAAAATCACGTGACAGCGACAAAATCATTGTGGGTATGGTCGGCGATGGCGTCAACGATGGCCCAGCCCTTGCCGCAGCGAATATTGGTATCGCAATGGGCGCTGGGGGAACGGCCTTAGCAGTGGAGGCGGCAGATGTGGCACTGATGAGCAACAACTTGACGAAAATACCGGAACTGGTACAACTCGGCCGTTTCTGCCGTCGTGTCGTAGCAGAAAACATCTCGTTCTCCGTCATTTTGAAGCTGGCCATTGTGATTGCGGCCCTGTTAGGGAAGGCTGCCTTGTGGATGGCTGTTCTGGCAGATGTACTCGGTTTGCTATTCGTTGTAATAAATGGTTTGAGACCCCTATGGTGGAATGTCGCTTGGAGAAATGATGTTAAAAGTGAAATAGCAGTTTCTGTTCACTCTCGGCCATCTTACTTTTACGAGTCGTATGTATAGGCGAGGACGTTCAAGGAGCAAATGTGATGTTTGTCTCTGCCATTTATCATCCCAGTGGAAGAGGTGGTAATTTTTTTTTAAGTACTCTGAACAGAACGGATTTCAATTGATTGCAGAGGACAGATTACAGGATCAATACCTGTAATTGATACAGACTGAATTTTTCAAATTAAGATATCGATGATAATATGTACAAGTTTGTACCGTCGTATGTGATGTATGAACTTCATAAATGATTGATGATTAGGGATTTAGTTATTGAAAATTACTTCCTGGCCAAAAAAAAAACCACGAAAACAAAAACAAACACGTCAGCTATTTTTTGAATGTTGTGAATTATTGAATGAGAGTCCTAATTGACTTCACTGGTGTTATAATGATCTCATGGGCTTTTAAACGCTTGATAATTTCTGGGGGAAAAAAACTTAAAAAAAGAAGATTATTCAAATGTTGCAGCTAGTAGATTTCAAAACTTTAAAATGTTGTGTCTACCAAAGACAATCATAAATTCGGTGGTTCGTACTGTCTCAAGGCAGTTTCTCAATTTGCTGTTATTTAATCCTTGATTGATCGATACTACAGTATAACCCCGCTAACTCAAACTCGCAAGGGGAACAAAACATGGTTCGAGTTAGCGAGTGTTCGAATTAGTTGATAGTAAATGACCAAAGGAATGGGTCAAAAGAAATCAGATCTTGTACGAGTCACTGGTGGGGTTTGAATTCCCCGAGTTTGAGTAAGCGGAGTTTTACTGCATCATGCATTTTATACGTTTCTTCGAAAATGGTGCGGAAGAAATGCCTCAATTCTGCTCAATAAGTTATGTTTAAGCCTTTCACATTACTTACGTTGAGGATTGCCATAACAATACTAGAGCCTTCTAGAAAAAGTATGATTTTAGGTTTATAGGTCAATGACTGCTCACAATGTAGAGTTACGGGCGCATAAATCATAGATCAAATTTTATGTTCTTGTTTTTATTAAAATTGAAAGGGTGTAAAGTTGATTGTGGATAATACGCCGATCAATTCGAAGTTTCAACATTCCTCCCGGGCAACCCATAGGCATTTACCCGTCTTCCAAGTCCGGGGGGGGTGGAGAATTTAAACCGGAAGTGTCTAGTCTTTCCAGTAGAATGCAAGCGTTATATCATGAGATATGGAGATGTTAAGGAAAGTAGTTCAATTTACCGAGTGAATGACTCAGATGGAAATGTCTACAAGGTCTAGGTTTTATTTTATCTGCATTTTATCTGCATTTTACCCAAAAATTGGGTGGGGCATTTGAACACAATTTTAGCTCGGGGGTGGGGGGCGGAGGAAATTTGAACAAAAAAGTCATCAAAAGTTCAAAGCCCGAGATTTACGCGGGGGGGGGATGTTGAAGCTTCGAATTGATCTACGCGTAAGCCTGACCTGTTTTAGTGATTCGTACGTATAGTTTAAATCGTTTGTGGCACATTAACATCTGATATATTGAACAAACAATAAACACTATGGGTTATTTACGTTTATGTCCGAAACGCTCAATGTCTGTTCAGTTTAAACCTTTGATACAATAAAACCTATGAATCAAGTACACAAATTAATCCCCAAATTCTCCTTGTCAGCACCGTAGGAAATGTGTAAAGAACAGTATGGAGAATATGAATACTGATGTTAGGGTCCAAGGGATGTAGAGACGTCACTCGGTTCGAGTAAGATACAATATAACCATATAGGGGTTGTATTGGTTCTACGAGTGTTTTAGTTCATGGTAAAAAAAAAAAAAAAACAAAAAAAAAAAACAAAAAACTCACGTTCACATGATTATAAAGGATATTTCCACCAGGCGAGTGGGGCAGCAATGGAGAATGGGGGTCAAACGCATATACTTTGATAAACCACTTTTGGAAAAATCATATACCTTATATGGAAAAAGGATCCCTTTTATATGCCGACAACCTCGCGCCGGCTATCTCTCAAGAACAAGCAGAGACGAATGAACTGTTTTACTAAAAAACTAAGAAACACTCACCTACCTTTGCTGCGAATAACCCTTAAATCATTTTTAGACCTCATGTTGATAGCAGCTTTCTTTTACTTTTTCACTGACCCACCTTGGGAGATCCCAATATTTCATAAACCTCGTGTGTAAAACGCACGCCCATCTCGGGCAGATCATCCTTGTCTAACCATGTGTGGGGAGAGGTTTCCTGATAGGAACAAGGGATATAAATGCAGTTGTACCAATTGTTGAGGTAATAAGACAGGCTATTTGAGTTCAATTGGATACAGTCATAAAAAACGAAGGACAAATGTTTGTAACTCGATTTCCGACTTTATCTTGGCTCCAGTATTCGATGCTCTTGAGAAGGAACTTCCTTTCGGCTTTCCCGACCGCGCCCTGAGGAACCGTGCCCCGAGGAACCGCGCCCTGAGAAACAGTGGACCGGAGTGAAATGCTCGATCCAACAAGCCGATACGACATGCTTACACATCCTCAGGCGATCTTAATCGGAGACATACACCCTGACTGGCAAAGAAGACTGTTTTGCGGCGTAGTTAACATCGGCGAGACCATGAGAAAGGTGCACGTGCGAGTTGATGTACACTTAAACACATCATGACTCTGAACCTTTCCCCCTAAATTCGGGAGAATCCTTCGCATTCTTTCAGCTGGCGCATACTCTGCTAGGCCGAAAAAACCTAGTCAACGTGTAGCCGTTCCAAACCCCCCTCCATTTCACCATGGGGGGGGGGGGAAGGGTACAGCTATACGTAGGCTACCAAAATCCTTTTGATCAATGCAGAATCCTTGAAAGCCTAATGATCCAAAATTTTAGGCCTAATTTGAATAGACAAATTAACTCCTACGTTTCGAAACTCTTCCCATCTGGAATTATACCTAAGGATATGAAATATGCAGTTTAGCGGACGGAGCTTATTTACCCTGATGATGACCTAGTGTCGAAAACGTTCGGTTTTTAATTTTTAATATGTTTTGCCTTGTAAATAGCTCATTTTTAAAAATAGAAAAATGGAAATAGAACAGATCAGGACCCAGAAATTTAAAATTTTACCTTCTTTTTGGAGTAACGGTCATGCTGAAAATATTCCTCGTTTTGAAAATAGGGTAATTTGAGACAAGAATTGCAGTCTTTGTTACCATTTGCACCAACTCTGATCTTTTTCTGGATAGATATTAAGATCAAGATATGAAATGATCCAATATAGGGGTAGTTATTCAAATTGAAAGCTAACGCATAATAGTTGATATATAACTCCAAGAAAGAAAGTCATCCTCTTCAGTCAATTGAAAAACGCTATTTTAAAAAGAGGGCTGGGGCAAGGTGGTGTAATGCATGACTGCAAGGTGGTATAATGCGCGCGAAGATAAGAATAGGGATAACTAGGTATAAATTACGTCCAATCAAAAGGACGAAAAAACAGCTGTTTGTTTGTACTGGCGTTCGTAAGTTTTATTTTTAAAACAAATTGTGTTAAAACATGCAATACTCGTGGAATAACATTTAAAAGACTTGAGAAAGCGTAATATTTGTAAATGTCAAGATTCTCTGACAATGCATTTGAAAGCGGGGCTTGCTTGTACAGATAGCTTCAGTTTTAGCAGAATTTATTGCAAGTGTCAGTTAACACTGAATTAAATCCAGAGGTGGTTACTTTCCATCTATTGCTAGATAATACTCTCGGCTCTGCGAAGCACTAATTTTCCCGTCAGATATACTTTGTCGGATTTTATAGCATACCATAGTAAAATCGCGCATCGTTTTGCGTGCATCTAAAAGTTGATGGTTTGAATTGGGAATAATTTTTTTTTTTTCTGATTTGTTTAACATATTCCTTTGAATATTTGAGGGTGTGCGTAATACATTTTTTTAAAAGCACACGGCTTTAGCGTGTTATGAGTGGGAGGATGCAAAGTTGTGTGTGGCGTCACAGTAAGGGGCATGTGTTTTTCTTTAATTACCAAAAATATTACAAACGAACGCAAACTTTTCCATTGAATCTAATGGAACACAAATGGCAAAATAGTTCAATTCGTAAATATGAAGGCCAATCAGGAACGTGTTTTTACAAATCACCTACTGAAGAAGCTTGCAAATTCAATTCAATTTTATATTCTCGTGGATGCATTGTTTTCAAATTCCATACCTTCATCAGAAGCCTCTTGTCGGGAAGACATAACGCACAATACTAGACACGACATTTTCCACATCACAAAGTTACTTATTAGGAGAAGATACCGAAGGGAGACCTCCTTGTGGTCATAAAATATAGCTAAATTTTCTGAGCCGTGGAAAGGAATCTTCTCTGCCTAAAAATAGCAATTTACGTTTCAAAGATATCATTCTATTGTTTCGTAACTTTTGCCAGCTCAATGCTTGTTGATGTCACTGAAACTCCTAGATTTTGTATGTCCCGTGACCATCGCTCGTCAATTAAAGGATAGTTCTTGAACATTTTCCAAGAGAAAAAAAATCTGGAGTTAGTTGATATTTCAGAGCTTTAGAGCTATGAAATAAAACCGGAAAGCCTCAAAAGTTGTCGATGTTTATTCCTGATTAAGAAATAACAAGAGAACATATTCTCTTGAAAATAACTTTTGATAAAATCTATATTTTTAAACTGCACTTAAACTATACTACGCGAGGGAATCAACTCAATTTTCCAAGAAAAAATTAAAAACTTTTAATGAAATAATTAAACAGCTCAGAATTTCGCAACTACAAATTTTTATCTAAAAAACACAGAAACTTTTATAGTGACAATAAAATAGACACCTTTATGTCGCAAATGTCGAAGTTTTGTCCAATATCTGGTGTCAATAGAATAGTCAGGAAAGTGGTAAATACTGTTCTGCATCAAAAATTTAATTCCAAGTAATGTCACCGCGCCAGGAAATCAGCTGCCATTTCAAATTGATTTTTCAAGATTTCAGTCGAATATTTTTTCAGCTTAGTCTTGCAGGAGTTCCGTTTTTTGTGATGAAAATTAATTTTAGGTTTAAACGGTAACATTCCTAATACATATAATATAGTTTGGATTCAGGGGTTTGATTCAAACCTATTCGTATTTTACCAGACTGCAAGATTTCGCAGTTAGCACCGCCGTGATCCAGTCGTTTCTCTCGTCTTCAGAATTACAACTCACAACGTACGATTCTTTGTTGTTCGCTCGGAGGCGAAGACCAAATTTCTTCCGTCGAAACCCGAAGTCCTCTGCCATGAGAGAGACGATGTCTAGTATACGAATGATTTTCGCCGAAACAGACTCTTCGTTTTTCTCTTTCAACAAATACAGTTTGTCTTCGGACAAGATGAAATATCTCCTCTTCCAACGGCGTTTTAACGGCATTGACTTGCTCTGTTTCCAAAGGTAGCCTTCTTTGATGGACTGGTCCTCACTGCTGGTGAATTTTTCGCAGTTTTCCGGCCGACGAATTCGGCCACCAGAAAATGGTACGACACGAAAAGGTAACTTTCTGAACAGCCTTGTGAACCCCATTTGAGAGATCGAATGTTTCGCTAGCAGCTGATGATCTAAACAATTAATTCCTTGGGAAAACCCCCCTTTTGAAAGAAAATCCTCCTTCTTCTTTAGTTTCAACTACTGCATTTTCTGCCTGGTTGAACTGAATTTGGAAGACCTCACTCAGTCTACGTCAGCGAATGGATGGTCCCCGAAGTTCTGGACGAAAGATTTGTTGTTTCTTAGGGATTACTTGTTCATTCTAAGCCTTGCGAAATGCATATGTGGCTTGAGTCTCACAGCCTTAATATTTTATGTCCAAAACCACCCACGCGTCAAACAGCAATTAAAATTGGCAAGCCAGTTTATCAGGGTTCGCTTTGATCTCTGGGTATCTGGCGTACGTGCACACCTGTAAACTTTTCAAAAAGAGATTGCGAAATCGCGCAAAACACTCAAAATAACCCTAAGCAATAAAGAGAGAAGAATATCAAATAAGTATCGAATACGAGCGTGCTCATTACTCAGTTGAAGTCAGTTTGTGTCGTCAGGGAAATTGTTTCTCTATGAAACAAATAGGATCGGCTGTTAGATTCAGCCTAATGACGTCAGTTGCCCTTTCGTAAATAAGATTTGCAATTTTGCTCACAGAAAGGTATGAGGTAAAACTTATTAAAAAATAAGATTCTCTGTGTTTCTACGCTTTCAAATTTAGATTTTCCGTTGGGAAAGTTTATTTCAATGTATTGAATCGAGGACAGTTGGTTCCAGGTAGAGAACAATTATTATTTTCAAGGAAATTGTTTGAAAACGATTTTAACCTAATTTATGCAATATTTGGAAGAAAAATTTTAAAATGTATTTATCTTAAGGAAAAACAAACTAGAATTAATGGAATAACCAGCTGAGGATTTTTATTCATTCTTCCCAAGTTCTTTACAGGAACAAATCTAATGTTAAAAACATTTTAAGTGCTCAAATACATTATAATTATGAAAAGTCCGGATTGCTTGAAGTCCTTTGGTTTCAATGATGGTGTTAATTGCTCAAATCGATGTTGCGATTCTACAAAGAGGACTGTCATTAACAGAAGTAGTGTTTTGAAATAGGATTCTGTTTAACACGAGGATATTTTTTCTTCATCATTGTCGAGCTGGAAATCAAACCGAACATTTTGTGTAACCTTAATCCTTAAGAAAATCGCCTTCAAACTTGAGAGAACACTGAACACTGCGGAAACCGCAATTTGGAGTAATTTGCGTCAATGTCTTTGGCGAATCCTTCCTTTTTCGATTACCTTTCTCAACTCTGCAACCGCCCTCTCCTCCCCTCCCCTCCCCTCACCCCACGCATTCTATTTGTTCCCTTCTGATAAATATAAGAAGACGGATAAATCTAGTGTGTGATTTTCAAAACAATTTTAAGATGAATGTTAAAAGGTGATCCGGAAAAGCATTAGTTTGGCTTTCCTACGCTTTGTGATTGGTTCAGAAAACTCGCGCCACCATAATCCTCTGGACCAATCGCATGCAAAACTGAAACTAGTTGTACGATTTGGCCACTCACATTTTCGAATGTTGCGGGCAGTTTGCTAAATTTTACTCTGAGTTCTGATTCGCTCCACGTGGGATTTTATCTATGTTATACTTCAGAAATGTGATCTTTTCGATTTGGATTTACGCCTCGCAGTCGAAATACACCCTTGCTTAAAAAACAAAAATTTACCTCACGCGAGTGATTATACTTTTCATATTTCTCGCACGTGAAAAACGAGAGAGGCTGGTTCGAGAGTCACTCAGTGACAGCGCTAATAATGTACATGAAAAAATTGCATGCGTCTGATTGGCTAAAAACGAGTGAACTCTCATGTAACACGAGTGCAAAGTTGTAACACGAGTACAAATTACAAATAGCGAGTAGGCTGCTAAAATTTACGTCTCTCTTGAATCTCTGTGATGTTTTTTTATTAGCGTTATTAACAAGAAACAACATGTTTTGTGGTGCAATTTGGTGAAATAAGCACTTGTAAATTTTTCAAAGACTACAAATTGCACTTGCCCTACGGGCTCGTGCAATTTTGTTGTCTTTGAAAAATTTGCACTCGAAGTCATGTTATTAAGTATACTTACCTACCAATAAAAACACAAAAAATGATTTTAACTTAAAAGATGAGCATGTCTGACCAGCATAACCATCAGTTCCGCCCGAGACAGGATCACAGAGGACTGGTTAAAATGATTAATAATTTTCTAAAAGCGTTTAAAAAACAATATCACTGATGCTTTTCGTTTTTTTTATTTTCATGCTTTTTCTCAACATGAAAGCTCTTGCTCCGTGAAAATGTAACTTAGTGAAAAAAGGATAAAAAATTAGTTAATTTGAGGATAAAAACAAAACAAAACAAAGCCAAACATCCTTCACACCACCACCCACGCGTTTATCAACACTTACATTTCCAGACCGTCAATTATCCGCTTATCTGAATTCATTAACTTGACATTTTCAAGTCCTCGGACAATATACTTTTTGTGCGGGGAAAGGGTGGGGGAGTCTTTTTCTCCACGAAGGTAATTTTCAAATTTTTGTCGCAACTTTCGAGAAGGAGAGGTCTGTTTGCTTGACAGACAAAAATTCGATTATTTCGCATGATCGACAGAAAGAAAACCAAAAGGAAATTAAAAAATAGGTTACTTCCGCGTTCAGCAGGCGTCTTCTCCGTTCTTTTCCGGCCTCTTGTTTCACACGCGTGTGAAGAACGGGGAAAAATTGAAAAAAGTTTGTCAAAGATCCACCGAACTTCGCTTCTAATTCTCATGAATCGTGAACTGGTTTGTCTTCGTGAAGTGTGATTCGGCAACAATGGACGCGAACCATGAATATCTTACGGATGGACTTTGAAAAGAGGACGTCCTGAGTGGAATGCGTGACTAATGTATGAACGTGACTCAGATTACTACATCAGTAACTTACCGTGATGAGACAGAAAGAGGTGTGTAAAGTCGGTGAAGAAAACAAACAGAGCTTCACATTGGATGTAATTCAGCAAGAATCGATCCTTCAAACGAGTCTTTTTTTCCCCACCAATATCTAATTTGTTTTTCTCGAGATGGCGTAAGATATTTTGTGAAACGCGATCTTGACACCTCCCTACCCCCCTGGGCCCCTCCCTCCATCCACTGTGAAACAAAAACCGTAAAAGGCATGAACTGAGACTACTTCCGTGTGAACTATGACCACTTTTCAATTGAGGGAGCGCTGCGAATGTTTTTTGTCCACCTGCCACTTGTACCCTATTTCACGTGCTTGTTACGTGCTACCTCATGTTTACTTGTTCGCCTTGCATGTGATCATGTACACATCCAGCATGTCTGTTCAGCCTGACCCCACGAGCGACCCCTAGAGCGTATAATCAAAAATAAACATGATCACAGGACGAAAGTCCACAATTTAAAATAACAGATGGTTTTCATCAAAAACTCGAATCTTTAGTCACGGTTATCTTACACTAAAATTTGAAACCCCCAAAAAATTTACTTGTTGGCGTAAACGAATTTTTTTTTACGTATTATGATAATTCTGTTTCATACATACGCTCGAGCCATGTTTTTATTTCAAGTTTTATTTTTTCCACTTAGCCGGTGACTTGAAAAATTATTACACCCCTATAAATTAAGATATTTGACTTTACTTTGGTGTTTTTTGTTCACGCCACGCGGACCTCATGGAACTCAACTTTGCCAATTAGACATAGAATGAATCATCCCAAACTACGGAAATCTATGAATCAATTTTCTCTTCGCCCCCAAAGGCTTTATTATTTTCGGCCATTGTTGTTATCAATTTAGGTTATTTCCATTCAAAATATTCAAAATAGATTTACAATACAATTTTGTGGACATCAAAACTTTGTTGTAATCGTCTGGGATAGAGTATGCGCAGTGGAAAACCCCGGATGTTCTCGTGATATTTTCCATCAAACCAACTGAGAGGTGCACTGACAACGTTTGTGTCTGCTTGTCTTGTCTGAGTTTCCCTCGCTTTCTGCAGACGCCTCCACCTTTGTGTAGTGCTATGGGGACATCATCTGTGTTTGGTTATCTCGCTTGTGAAGAGTTTCGAGACTAAAAACTAGTGTTCATCGTTTAAACTGGCGGCCATTCGGAAAAATGTCGGTAGGAGAAGGAAGAAACGTTGGTAGTAGCGACAGGATCGGTGAGTAAGCACGCGCTACGATGGCACTTTTGGGCGACAAATAGCCTCTTAGAGTAGGTTACGTGCGCTGAGGAAGGTTTTCCTATTTGTTTTTTCCGGCGTCATTTCTTCAGGGGTAGCATTATTCTCGCTTTTAGCTCTTTATCGTGGAGATATGTAGTGGTGTCTCGATTGTTTTTCTTCTTACTGGTTATTTAGGAAATTTGTAGAATTCTTCGACGGTCAGAAATCGTATGCAAGTCACGTAGTTGGCTGCATGTCTTCTTCTTGTTGTTATTTTCATTTTTTCACGGATGGGCTACATTTCCAAGATTAAGAAGGAGGAGTAGAATTGTAATTCATTGCCGCTTAGTAGCTGGGAAAGTCATTTTGGCGAGATCGTCTTGCAGTTTATTTTTTTCAGTTTAAAGTGTTAAATCGGACACGTTTTCAAAATACAAGTCATGTAATTTCAGATCGCGATGTATCATGAATTGACACGTCTGTTAAAACATGTTTCTTGCTGTTTTTAAAACAAGACACGAGGTCTAGTTAAACGCAATTCGATTTGGTACATTGTGCCATTCTTTATCCTGTCCGCAATTTTGTCTTTTATATTGATACTGTAACGTATCAAAGGTCGACTTTTGGCATTCTTTTGTGGTTGAATGACCGATTTATCAAGGACGATCGATCACTTACAACGAAAATCGGACCATAAACCTTATTCGAGTATGAAAGGATCTAATCTTTCATTTGCTTGAATAGTTTTGTCAGCTATGTAGACAGGTCTTCCGCAAAGTCTTATTTTGAAAGCTGATAATTTTATTTTGTTACATTGCTGTCAGGAATATTTGCTCATTTCCAAGAACCACAACGAGGTAATTTTTCAATTAATACTGAAAAAGATTAAAAAAGTACAATACCATACTTGAATTCACACTTTTCAGGCACACAATAATCATGATCTCTATAAATTCAAAAGATTTATATAACCCCTTATTCTCTATGTTATTTTTTTGACTTTTAACTAAGTGCTACCAAAGAACTCATGAGGAAGTGTTGTGTTGGTACCCTTGAGCACAATTGTTGATTATTTGAAATTGAGTGGGAGGGGTTTTAGCATTATTGATAGAATCAATTTAAAAATACACATAAACTATAAATTTTTAAAACATTCTCATAAGATGAAAACTTTTTACTCCATTGAAGAATATAGGAGTTTGCTTATTTATATCATCTTAATTTTTCGATATTACCTCCAATGTGAAATTTCACGATTTCAATGTCTCGTGTTATTCTTGCCAAAAATAATTGACAATTTGTTGAAATTTTTTGTGATAAAGAATTTCCCAGAAATTGTTTTCTACGTATTAAAATAAAAAACAAACAAAATGAAAGAGTTGTATACAAGATTATATTTCTACAAGAATCTACTTTATGTTTCAACACTCACAGATGAATGCCAAGGTCAAGGAAATTGGTTTCAGCTCTGAGCTACTTGATAAATTACAGTAAAATACAAGAAGCCCTTATGTAGAGTAGATAATACTTTCTGTTGTTGTTGCATGATCTTAGCCTAAATCAGTTCAATTGTGCGTATTATTAGATGCATAACTTAGCGATGAATACACCCCCTGGTGTACCCCAGAGGGAGAAACTGTAATCAAATTATAAAATCTAGCCAGTAACTTATTTCATACAACCTATTTTTTTACATATATGTATGTGTAATTTTTTAAAGTACTTAAGGATGAGATAGTACCAAATTTTCTTTAAAAAAATGATCTCTGAAAACTAGTTTTTATAGTTAGGGACAAGTTGATGATCTGTGGAGTTAATGTCACAATCTTGAATGGAAAGGAAGTTTTGTTGTGGACTTACACTGCATTCAAGAAGTAGAAAGCACTCTGGCCACAAGCAACTAATAGGCTGTCTTGTAATATAGAAGAAAGCTAGTATAATTACCTTATCTACCGACAGATTTCTTAACATGTGTAATTAAAGCAAGAGATTTACTGAAATAACTTCTTCTCTTGTGGGAGGGAAATAAACCCCACTAATTTGACCCTAGGTAAACCATAGATATTTAGTTGTAGCTTAAACAAACAGGAAGAAGTTAGCTAGAAATACCAAGTATTTGTTTTGACCATGATATCATTGTCAGTGTGACCAAAGAGAGAAACTATTGTGCAAGATTGATGTGCGTGCACTTCAACAATGAAGTTAATAGGCTTATATTTGCTCAATAGCTTCTTTCTGTGGTTAAGATAGGATTGGGGTCATAATGATGTGACAACCTAATTTGTTTTGACAATTTTTACTAGCTTGATAATAGGATAGTCAGATTAAGAAAGTAAATGAAAGAGACAATGATTGGGCATTCAGTTAATTTCAATACGAAAAAATTAGATTGGAATTATTCAGGTGGTTATATTACGAGCGCAGTTACAGCTTACACAGCTCTTCTTCATTCTTTTTTCTCTTTTTACTCTCAAGATCTATTATTTCTCACTTGCAGATTTGATAAATTTCTATATAAATCAGTTAATAGAAGTGGGTATTACATGTGTATATCAAGTTTCCTCCCTGCCGCTGATAAGTTTGAATTTTCCCATCAACTATTTGCTAAAGGCTATCCCTATTATTTTGTGGAGAAAGTTTATCTTAATCATTTCAAAGAGTTAAAGGGTTAAGCAAATCAGCAGGTGGAGAATTATTGTCGATAGAAGGAACCTATTGATGTTGTCCTTTCTGTTCAAACCTGTAGGTTCAAGTCCTCATGCAGCTGGATTGCCATCACCAACAGAACCAAAGATGTTTCCTCGTGCCATTCTTTTGGCACCAAATGGACAGCCACTTCTTGTTCCACAGCCTTTGGTTCAAGGAGACAGAGGCATGGTGTCTATTGCATCACCATACCTCACCCAAGCTAGCATTTTTTATGCTCCTCATTTCTTTTCACCTCATCAATTGGCAGCTATGCAGCACACCACACCACAACAATTTCCCCAAGTCCCCTCACTGATACAATTGCCTGGAAACTCACCTGTACCTCATACCACACCCACTGTTCAAAATGGATTTTCAGAGTCTTCTGTTTCACCTTCTAAAGGTAACAGAAAGGGGGAAGGTAACATTTCCCCTTGTGCACTCAAAGAGTCTGTCATAGTGACTAACTCATCAGCAAATATTAAAGACACAATTCCTGATTCAGTTCCTGTTACACCGTCATTACCAATACCATCACTTTCACCCTTGACACCGAGAACGCCATCATCTCCTGGGACCCCTCAGCAAACTGTTCCTTCACCAGGTGATGATGACATCTGTGTTATTTGCTCAGACAAGGCAACTGGTCATCATTATGGAGTTACTAGCTGTGAAGGTTGCAAAGGATTCTTTAAGAGAAGTGTTCAAAATAAGAAAGTCTACTCCTGCCGTAATTTGACTCAAGATTGTCCTGTAGATAAACGACACCGAAATCGCTGTCAGTTTTGTAGATTGCAGAAGTGTATCAAAGCTGGAATGTTGAAAGAAGGTTGGTGTCTCTTTCTTTGTATTTTTGTTATGTATATTTTAAGTGGACTTTACAAAAAATGGCAATTCTTCATTTCAATCTGACAGTGTATTTATTGCCATATTTTAGGTTGCTATCAACTTGATATTTTCTTTGTCTAGCGCTTTGCCTATCATCTGCCTATCTGTCCATCAGTCTTTTTTTTTTGTCTTTTGTTCAATTGGGCACCAGCCGGATCTTGCTTTGTTTGACTGCTCATTATTATTTGTGACTGTGAAAGGCAAAAAGGACACTAACAGAAAACCGCATGGATAACAAACGGTTAACAAACGGTCCTTGAAGTGTTCGAACGGGTAATTAAATTATTTGAACGGTTTGATTAGCCGTTTGAATGGTTTGCTTAGCCATTTGAATGGATGAGTAAAAATTTTGAACAGACAGGCAAGCCATTCAAATGGATGAAAATATTATTAATCCGTACGATTGGTTTATCAATCGTGCGGATAAATTGCTTAAATGGCGTTCAAACGCATGGCTTGATCATGGAACGGGCAAGGTTGCTGTGTATTGTTTTCATTTGATTTGACGTTAATTTCATTCTTACGATCAAAAATTGAGGCTATTCCAATTTCTCATCGAAATAACGTTTTTAGTTATTGTCTGAAACTACTGAATATCTCATGAAAGGTGTTTGTCATCGTAGTTTAAAATGACAGCTGAGTTAATTGTTTGTCTCACGATTTAGTTACATGGATGTGGATCATAATGTTTCGACTGCTACACTGAATAACTGTAGAGAAAGGATGAGTGCAATTTTCTCTTTTTGAACGGATGAACAGAACGGGCGCCAATCCATTCGAATGGATGCTGCAGTTCTCCAAACGGACACTTCTAGTTGGCAGATGGATGGAAAACCGTTCAAATGGATGCTAAAATCGTTCGAACGGATGTCAGAACTATTCGAACGGACGCCGCAATACTTCAAATAGATGCTAATGTATTTCAAACGGATATGCAAACCGTTTGAATGGTTTGTCGAATGCTTTGAACGGATTTTTTTAGGCGTTCGAACAGATGACAAACAGATAACAAACAGTTTTCCCGCTCAAATGGATAACCATTAGTGTCCGTTTTGCCTTTCACTGTCACATTTGTCTAGGGTTATGGTTAGAATTTTAATCACTCTGGTGTTCAACCTCTTTTGTTTATTTACATGTATTTGTCATTTGTCCATTGGTGTGCCTGACTTTCTCTTGCCTGCTTGCTATCTCAGTGTCGATTTGTCTGTGTGCCTATCTATCTGTGTCTGTCTGTCACCATCATTCTACCTTTTTGACTGTCTGTCTGTATGTGTCTCCTTCTGTTCATCACTTCATCTCTCCAAACTGGTTGAGAAACATTTAAACCTTTATCTTTAAATGGTTTTCCTCTTATTCCATTTTATAGCTGTCCGGGAGGATCGCACACCAGGTGGTAAACACAAGAACTCATCTTTTTCTTCAAATTCACGCATCAAATCACAACCAGCTGCTAAACAAGCAAGAACAAGCTCAAGGAGCAGCTCATCTTCTGATCAAGTTGATGGAGCGGCATGTACAAAAATTCCATCCAGAACTTTTCCTCCTTTTATTAAAGAATTGTTGAGATATGAGCCTTCAGTTGATGTACAATCTTCAGAATGCCAGGGATGTCATATTGCAGATAATGGGCAGAGGACATTAGCACATGTCACACAACAAGCAGAGGAACAAATCAAAAGAAATTTGGAATGGTTTAAATGCTTGCCATTGCTTCGTGACATTAGTGAAAACGATAAACGGATTCTTTCAGGAAGTGCATGGATTGAACTCATGCTGATTAATTTGACAAAGCAGTCTTTACATTTAGATAATGGAGTGCTTCTTTGTCCTAGTCAGGTTTTGGACTTTACTACTGCAGAAGCAACAGGAATTGGTGACATCATGCACCGTGTAATGCAACTGACTGCGAAATTTAAAGAACTTAGTCTGGATGATGCAGAATTTGTTTGTATCAAAGTCATTATTCTACTAAACCCAGGTGAAGTACACATATGCAACATAATTCTCCCAGTTACATGATACATGATATTACTGATGAGTCAGTTATTGTGGACCAGATACATTGCAAACAGTCCATAAACACACCTTTTAGAACTCCAAGTTTCTCACAAGCCCTCTCCCTGTTAACCCTTTAACTCCTGCAAGTGACCTAGACAGAATTTTTCTTTACAATATCAACCAGATAAGTGATGAGAATCAAGAAAATTATCAATTTGAGGATAATTAGTGGATGTAGTACTAAATTCTCTGAACTAACATTATAAGAATTGTATGGTTGACTGTAAGGAGAATTACAAATTTGATCTGGGAGTTAAAGGGTTAAACTTCCCTCCTCCCCACTCCTCCTCATCAAAAATTCTAAAAACAAATATAGGGCTTGGGCATGGGTTTTCTGTCTTTTCGCAAGGGTGGGACTAAAAATAAGTTCTGTGGTCTGACTTCTGACAAGAGGGGAAAAAAATCTCTCTCTAGCTCTAACTTTGTTGTTTCAATGTCCTTCTAATGACTACACATTTAACAATGAAGAGAGGTAACATATCTAGAATTGTTATCAAGTTTTGTTGAATGTTGAGTTTGTTTCAGTCCAATTTTCCCATTACCCAGATCAATTAAGGGGGAAAGGCTGGTAAGTGTCAACAATTGTGACAAGAATTTAAGCTTCTTTGTTTAGAGTTGGCTCCTGACCAACCCTTTCTATCATTAGAGAAAATGACACCCAGTGATGTAGCACCCTGTGAATTACACCTCATTAAAGGTTGGATTGTACATTATACATTATAAAATAATTTAAATAGTACGCGTGCTCTGATTGGCCATAAAACCATTTTACACAAGCATATGTAAACACGGTTTTCGTTCCTCTTTCATTAGTTAATTTATAATAGAAATGTAAAATGGTTTCCATGTTTACATAGCCTGATGTAAACACTTGGGAGGTTGGGAGAACACTCGATAAGCTGGAAACCACTCCACTTCGCGTCGTGGTTTCCAACGCTTATCTCGTGTTCTCCCAACCTCCCACGTGTTTACATCAGGCTATGTAAACATGGAAACCATTTTACATTTCTTCATTATACAATGTCATTTTAATTATGTTCATTTTGATTTTGTCCATGCTCAGATTTGAAAGGTCTGCTGGATCAACAACTGGTTGAAAGACTGCAGGATAAAGTGCATGCATCATTGTTGGAGTACAACAACAACTTTCACCCTAATGAACCTAATCGATTTGGAAACATTCTTCTAAGATTACCTGAGCTGAGATCAATTGGCACCAAGAGCCTAGAACGCCTTTTCATGTTGAATCTTACTGGACAGATCCATGCAAGTGATTCCTTAGTGGAACTCCTTCATTCATCAAAAAGATGATCTTTGAACTTGGGTGTCTCTTGTCTTGCTAGGCTATATTGATGCTGATGCAGCCTACATTTTGACCAGGAATTGTGGTTTAACTCTGGTTTGTCTGCCACATAATTACATTCAAACTGAATCTAGAAGCTAAAATATTAGTAATGCATCTCACCTCAAGGTCAACCCTGAAAAAACAGTTTCAGTCCATGAGTGGTGAAAACAGATCCTGATCCTTTTCTCTTTCTCTTTAAGGTTAATTGTGATGATGACTTTTCATACTCTTAAATGGCATTATTTTCTCTTTCCACCTTGTCACTCCCAGGAGTGATCAATTATAAATTTCTTTTTTAAAAATCAGATCTATTTCAAATGGACATGTGATGGGAAGAAAGAAATGTTCCTCTTGGTAGATTTAATTCAACTGAACTCCAATTACTCAGTGGTGAAACTGTAAGAAAGGTATGTCAGACAGGAAAGGGAATTGATATTGGGATCATAGGAGTGAGAAGTTAAGGTGAAAGTGGCTTTGCCAGAGGGATTGGGACTGCTTTTGGTCAATTCTATGTAGCTATGAGGGTAATTTAGTGTTATCAAATGAGTTGATAATGGAAAGTGGCCACTGTAAAGAGTTTAAAGGCTGACATTTTGAGCATCAGCCCTTCATCAGAGCTCGAAACGTCAACCTTTAAACTCTTTGTGGTGGTCAATTTAAATTATCAACTCAGTTGACAACACTAAATTACCCTGTTATTCTCTCATAGTGAGGCAGCTCCACAGTTTCTTTAGAAATTTGCTCCCTTCATTCTATGTAGCTATTCCTAGCAAGGGTTATAGCATGTTCAGGAGTACACCAGATGATAGTTTGAGAACTCCCTGCGAATGAGTTCCAAAAGATTTTACAGCAAATAAATATTTTGTGGTTGTTTTTTCTGTCTTCTCTGGCAATGCTCCTTGCAAAGAGTTTGTGAGTCAGAGATGCAACAAAAATTTTGTCACAATTGATTGTACCTATGGTGTTTCATTTTAACCTGTGTAACATTCTTAGGGTACTTCTTACAAGTTTATCATTCTCAAACAAAACATTATTTTGTAAAAACATCTCCATTTGAAAATCAAACCATGGCTCAGTGTATGTGCAGGGTCAACCAGTACACAGCCCCATACATCATTATGTATACAGTTTGTGTATTATGAAAATAACGGCTTAAAACAATAGACTACCTTTGGCACAACAGCTTTGTTTTAGAATAGTTTGGGGTTGTACTGAAGTCTTCCCAAAATTACTCCAAGAAGCAATACAGTTTTGCCATCTGTAGTCTGGTTTGTTTTTTGGTACCTGTATGCCCTAATGTCCAGTGTCACTGGTCAGAACATGTTAGTGTTTGTGGTTTTGAGGATTTGACAGTAATTCTCAGAGCACAAGTGGACATTTTTCAACTACTTATAATTTTTCTTGGAAGTGTCCTATGCAGATTTTTTTAATGGAAAGCATTCTAATTATTACTACCATTATGATAATTAACCCCAAAGTTCTTAATTGTTTCAAAATTCCTCCTTGTCAGCTCGTTAGGAAATGTATAGAGAACAGTATAGAGAATATGCATACTGATATTAAGATGAAAAGGATTAAATGTACTATTACCACTACTTAAATTTTGGATTTTTCTAGACTGAAAGATTATTATTGAACAGCAAAAGTACAACTTTAGGGTCTACCCATAGCTTCTTTTTACAGATTTCAAAAACCAAACTTTAAAATTGAAGAAAGGGAACTATTATCCAGCAGTACATCTGCTCCTTTATTTTTACCAGAGTCCTGTAATGTATATCAAGACACCCTTTTCTAATCATTAAAAGATGTTTATATTTTTTTCAGTGGTGAATACACTCTAAACTATGTAACCTGACTTTTCAATTATTATGAAATAAATCCTCATAACTTTTGGAGAGGGAAAGGTTTTGCAGTTAAATATTTGCTTAGAGACACCACATACTTTGACCATAGAGTTACAAATCCTTTAAGGCTGCAATTTGCATAAGGGAAGTAGAATGAAATTCTTATTTTGACCTGGTTACTCTGTGAGAGTTCAAGACCATGTTTGAGGGGTGGATAATGCTACCCACTTGATAACTCTCTATCAGGTGGATGGTGCAGCTTGTTTCCTTACCACTCATCCACTGGGTTGTGATTATCCACCAGATAGCATTATCCATCCTTTTCTCAACTGGGTTCAGTTCAGTTAGTTGTGAACAATTTTCTTAAACGATACTGCACAAACTAAACATATGTTACAAAAGGAGTAAAATAAAAAAGGACCAGTATTTTTTTCTTTGGCTTTGTCTTTTATTTTACCCAAAACTACGCCATCTGGCTCATCAGCTCATTATTTTTTGTCTTGCACGGAGTAAACAGTTCTATGTGCCCCTCCAATACTGATAAATATGTTTGTGTGTTCTATTTACAATTTTAGGTAATATCACCATTTACTCCATTGTATTATATCAAGACGCAATCAATCAAAGTTGAATTTTGACATTGAAAACAAAAGAAAAAAATAAATAAATGTGTTACAAAGTTGACCTTTAAAAGGATCTAGGGTGGTTTGGCGCTCTAGCTTAAAGGGAGTCCCTTCTCTGATTTGCCACTTTATGGAATATAGTTCTATACAGACATTAATTTCCATCATGGAAAAGATAAGCATGGCTTGACTAGATGAAATTGCATGTGGGTAGACACAGAATAACACTGTATTTAGTCAAAAACCTAGTGCAATTCACCAAAACTCAACATCAATTTAGAAAACAAAGGATTTTGGTGTTGATTTTGTTGAAATATATGTGTTAAGGGTTTGAGTGATAGTATAGTACAGCCTGGATGAACTTTAGCTCATGCAAATAAACTGTTCCTTGTCTCCTCATAGTGATTGGATATTACAAGTTAAAAACTGCAACAGATAGATACAGAAAATTGTCAATTTTACTTACTCTTGTCATGCCCCACAAAAAAAAAAGAAAATAGTGATAGCCAGCTAAAATACATTATCTTACAAAATCATGCACAACAATTTTATGATATCAGAGTCAATTGGAAGCAGTGCCATAACTTGGGCAAGCCTCATCATCATAAACTCCTTGTACTCTAAGATTTTTTGGATCAAAAGGTGCTTTCAGGTGTATTTTGGCAGGAAACAGCTCTCCCATAGATTCAATGGTATATTTTCCAGTCCTCAAGAATTCTGTTGTGACAAGTTTTCCACTAGGATCTCTCACATATCCATAAGCCAGGCTTTTGCCAATAGCATATCCAAACTCTCCTCTTCGGATGAAACCAACCACTTCATTATCTCGCCATATTGCTTCAAGACCCAAAAGAGCTTTGTGACTAAAAAAATAAGAATAAAAAAGTATAGTATGGTCAAACGAATTCTATTTTCCATCTTCTTTAGTGTAACACAAAATACCTTCAATGCTGTTGACCCAATCAGTATTCACAATATTTAGCTGTGTATGATCTTAACATTTGGCCAAGCTCACTCAAGAGTTCTAGAGCATTCAACCACAGAGCTTGAAGGTCAAAGATTCAAGCCCTTTTGAAGAACTACCACCCATACTAATGAAACTTGATCAACCTCTTTACGCCTATTCATTTATTGCAAGATTAAAATTTAATATGAATTACCCTTTACTTCTCACTTCCTGATAAACCTCTCACCCTCTAAAGTATCCTTCATGGTCTTGCCCCCATTTTGGCCTAACCCCTATTTTAGCCTTACCACTTCAAGTAGTGAGTTCTTTGTACAGTTGACATCTTTTTACACTAAAAGTTATATCTATTAATTTAAAAAATGAATTGCTGTGTATCAACTTCTATTCTTAGCTATCTCTCAATTATTTTATATATGTGGACAGTATGATTACCCATACATCCAAGTAGATAAAACTCAGTCTGTAACTTACAGTGCAGACCTAGCATTCAGTTAGTAAGAGGTAGTGTAATAGTGCCATAGATAAAACCTACAAATTCAATATCATTCCTTATTTTCTTTCATTTGAAACCATCTGTAATGTTCAGAAGTCTTTCACTCACTCTTCAATAGTAAAGCAAACTAGCTTCTTCTTGAGACCCTCAGCTTTCTGTTTTTCAAGAGCTTCTCTCCCAAGGAATGGGGTATCTGACTTCAGTTTGCAAGTAAATCCCAAGCCAGCCTCAAGTGGGGTGTCATCATGTCGTAAATCCTGATGCCAATGTTTATAGCCCTTCTCTGCACTGAGTGAGTCAAGAGCCCTGTAGCCACCATTCACAACACCAAATTCTATACCTGCTTCCATGAGTGCTTTGTAAACAGGTACACAGGAGTCATTTGGGATGTGTAACTCCCAACCAAGTTCACCAACAAAAGTGATTCTTAGGGCGCGAACATCATGGCCAGCAACATTGATGATTTTGTGCGTGGAGAAAGGAAACGCCTCATTGCTGAGATCTGCGGAGGTCAGGCACTGAAGCAGCTCACGACTGAAAATAAAGAGTACAGCAAGAAAAATGAGCTATGAACTTGTAATGTAGGCAGTCATTAATTTTTTTTGCCAAGAACCCTTAAAGAAATGGAAAAAGGCAGAATGTCCAGATTCAATCCCCATCATTGCCTAGAGATACATTCTTTTTTTTAATGGAGAACTGAGACCCAAACAGATGTAAAATCAAAAGAATGCTGACTGCAATCTTTGACAAAAAATCATCTCACCTACCTAAGTTACAGAGCAACACCAATAATTTTTTGTGTCAATATATACCTCTTGGGCCCTTGAACACTCAACATCCCCATTTTCTCTGAATGATCTTCAAACTTTACATTGTACTGTTGGTCTTGAAGAATATTTTGCACATGACACCAACCATGCTGACCAATACCACCACCAACAGCAATGTAGAATCCATCACCTAACAAATAAAGATTGATTACAAATATGATAACCACAAACACAGTTATATTGTGCTGCATTATTCTCTGATAGTAATTCACTTACAAGGTCATCATTTTACATAAATTTGGGGCAGTGAAACTCACATTCATACATGTAAGTACACATTGAGTGATAAACAACCATTGATTGAAAGTTAAGAATTCTCTTCTTTATAAAGAGATATATAGCTCAAAATTTTCTCTATCTACATGGACTGCAGATGTTTGATAAATATATTAGATTATTTTAGCAGTGTGTTGGAAACTTGTCAAATATGAACAAAGTGCCTCTGAATTCTCTGTCTTAGCTGTGAATTCATAAAGTTAACCACCAGTAGGTGGAATTGGAATCCACAGGGCAGAGAGAGAGAGAGAGAGAGAGAGAGGGGGGGGGGGCAGGAGAAGAAGTGGCACCAGGGGAGAGAAAACACAGGAAGCAGTAGAAAAAAGCAAAAAAGATATCATTTTTCAATTTTTAAATATGATAGTGTTTAGCATTGAAGAGCTGAAGACAAGAGTCAAAAGTGTGGAGAAAAGAGGGCAATGGTGAAGAAAATTCTCAGCCTTCTGTCCCAGCCTCTCTCCTCTTTACCCTCCACACAACAAGACAATATTTAACATTTTTCTTTAAAGCCTCAATCTTTCTTGTCATTTGCAACTGGTATAATTAAAAGCTATCAAGAAAGTCCATAAATAATATTCATGGCAAACTAGATCATAAACTCGATCCACATCCAAAGTGACCACACCATGAGAGAAACGATTATATTTCTCTTTTGAAATATTATTTACCATGATAAATAACCACAACCTATTTTACGACATAAACTAGATCTTATGGTGCTTACCCTCAAATTTTGGTTTTACAATACTTGATCCATCACCATTCTCCAAGACACTCACAGTGATGTCAGCTTCTGTGCCACCATCTTTGTTTGTCATACATGTATAAGTTGTACGCCCTATCAAGTATTCAATATTTAGTAATTATCATAACAGTTATTGATTTGGTCAAGCCTTCTGGCTTAAAGATTAAAAGAAAATCCATTGCCTCCACAAAACAATCTACTTGCCAAGAATGACAGTTGTTATTCTTACCACAAAGATTAAAATAGCTATTCTTGTGCTTACATAATGAACCATTGACTTGTATTTTATTAAAAAATTCTTACCTAATGATCCTTTTTTCTCAACATTGCTCATTTAATTAGCTAGGACAACACATTTTGGTGAAGATTACATTCAAAGGAGAACAACACAGTCAATGCAGGAGGAATCTGTCTAGTACCTGGTGGCTTTGCCATATTATTTGTGAAAATCCAGTCAGCTGCCTTTTGTGCATCAGGTCCAGTCAAATAAAACTTGGCAAAGTAGGACATGTTGAACACAGCTACCCTCTCCCTACAAGCAAGGCATTCCTTTCCAATCTGCCAAATTAAACAAAATCCTTAAAATTAATTCAAACACTGCAGAAACAAATACCAAGCCATGGTATAAGCCATATAATAATACCTTGAGCTAATCGGGTTCACCCTACAATCACCTTCTCCAACACAGAAATAGTAACTGAAACCTCTTCAAAGCTGAGGTCCTTGCCCCCCCTTTACCCCTTCTCACTGATAAGGTAACCTTACAAATTAAAACCATCATTTCATGTATTGGTAATCATTTTATCTATAATAATATTTTACTTGGTTTCTTACAATGTCATGATGTGGTGGAAAGTCAAAAGTGTAATCCTGACCCAGTAACTCGTTGTATTTATAATCCTGGTGTTCTTTCACATCATAAGCCCCATAGTAGTCATACTCCCTCACCTGACAATGAAAGAGGAAAAGATTCAAAGTTAAATCTCACCTTCAAACTACTCAGTTACTCTAAATGATAAGACACATGGCTGTATCTTCTGTGAGGTAAATGGTTCATGCTGTTGCAGCGTATACCCAGTCTCCAAGTGATGAAGCATCTCTAGGTGTTTTTAACCCCCCCCCCCCCAACCTGGATGGGAAGCCAATGTATTGGTGAGGAGCCCTGGCATTTCTCCACGTTTCCTTAGGTACCCATGTTTACTCCAAGGGGGAAGAGATGGGGAGAGTAAGGCATTTGGACAGTTGAAGAGCCTTGCCAAGTGAAATGACCTTTACCAATACATTTTGATGAAGGTGAAAAATATTACCCATTAGTCCTCAATGTCACATATTTGTCAGAGCATAATGGATCATAAAAAAAATTTTGATAAACTCTTCCAAATATTTTTGATAACCCATAAACACCTTGTTATTGACTTAATTCTTTCTGTTTCAAAGGCGATAACTTTCAAGGTGCTCATCATCTCCACACATCTGGCACACTACCATTTATCTCTCCAAACAACAAGCATTCTGATTACTTTTGCCCCTCAAACAAGAATGTAAGGTATAGAAACAAAATGAACATAGTCAAACTTTTTAACTTAACTTCCTTTCGTTTTGTCTTGTTTTGCAACTAGGGAATGGGAGTCTCTTCCCTAGTCCATTAACCCTTTCACCACTGAGAGTGACTAGCAATTAATTTATCCTTAGAAAATTACCCCTCAATGAAACATTATTGATCACCAACTAAAGAAGCTCTTGATTTTTAAACAAAGACTCCTTGTCAGTGCCTTTGGAAATTTATAGAGAACAGTATGGAGAATATGCATTCTGATGTTAGGATGTAAAGGGTTAATTTGAGAAAGAATTATGATCACCTCAGCTACTTCACTAGGAACAAACCAGCCTGGTCTTTCCCATCCATGACGCTCCTGATAGACACACCCTCTATCTAACAGAACCTGGAATCAAAAGTTCAACCTCAGAGGGGATTGCTTACTCATTTACTACTACCACCAATTATAAATATTCCAGCTGTCATTCATATTATTTTACCATTCTTGCACCATTGCTTAAAAAGGACAAAATCTTACAAGGTATACCTTAAGAATAAAATGAGGCAAAGTGTAAGAAAGTAAAAAGTTAAAATTAAATTATTTGCAGAGTTCAAAATTCTCCTAGGAAATTCATGGCCCCAATTCTTCTCAGCTGGTTTTCCATCTAATAGTTTACATGATTTTTATGAATTACGATCAAAATACACATTACCTGATGAAAAGGATCACGTCGCATGTTTCTGGAAGCAAGGGGCTCATCATGTGGGAAAAGCATTGAATAGTTCTTTGCATAGGACTCATGACTTCTTTCTCTGAGCCATTTTTGATTGGGTGTTATCGATGAATGGAAGCGCCTTAAGAGGTAAATATAAGAATGTATAAAAATTCATACCAACTCATAATCAGGACTTAAAACATTGGCATTAGAATTCACTTTCTTTCAGTTTTTTGAAGGTTACTGGTCGATTATACTTGACAACCACTGGATTTTTAAGAATGAAAACATCTGTTTGGTAAGTAGTTTATAGTTTGTTCTAGGGTAGTTTTTTTTTTAACAAGTATCAAACCTTTGACCCCTCAGAGTGACCAGCATCTAATTTCTCCTCATGTTATCACCAATGAATCAAACATTAAAGTCACAAGAATAAGGAAAATAATCAACAAAAAATGTTCTTGATTGTTAATAAACAAATTCTCCTTGTCAGCACCTTAGGAAATTTATAAAGAACAGTGTGGAGAATATGCACGCTTATTTTAAGATGTAAAGGGTTAAAACTTGCTCAAAATGCACTCTATAGACTATGAACTCAATCAAATGGATAGAAATAACTGCTGAGTAAATGAAAATCATTTACTTTGGGAGTAATGTTAACTAGATTTTGTGCAAACAAGCCTTGATTGTTTCTTCTAGAATTGTTCAACTATTGTGTGTAGTTACCTGATATCATATCCATACATATCAAGTTCAGGGTGACCATGAACCACCCAACGTGCCAATTCTCGGCCACACCCTCCAGCAAGCATGATACCAGCAGAATTGAATCCACAGCCATGGTAAAAGCCACGAAGCTCAGGGGCTTCCCCCATCAATGGTTTATGATCAGCAGTAAATGATTCAGGTCCACAGACAGTGGATTTGACACCAGTTTCTGCTATTACTGGGACTCTGTTGCATGCACCTTCAATATGAGCACTGAATATATCCCAGTCAAGATCAAAGAGGGAAAACGCAAATTTATTGCTGACCTGAAAAAAAAACCCCAAAGCTTAAAAAGAGATCTATAAATTACATTGTCAGTAGGTCCTTCTAAATATTGGATGGTTCTCCTCCAAAACTGCTTTGGATGCCATCCAAAGCAGTCTTGGAGGTGCACTGTCCAAGATGAATTAGAAAAAAATAAAATCACCTGGGGAGAAGCAAAGAGAACAGCCAAAAACAGGGTCTGGTGGAGATCCACAGTCCACACCCTATGCTTACCAGCACAAATGAAGATGGCTTAGTCTAAGTCCTTCTAGTAGGTTGAGTATAACTGACAGGACAAAATTCTACCCATTCCAGTTCAATTACACTGTAACTTTTGCAAGAGCTTAACCCTTTTGATTCAAATTTTGTGGCATAACCATTAAGCTGTTGATGATAAAATGAAAACTTTTTTACCTCATCCCAGAAAACTGGATTATGCTCATATCCACCAACAGACAGGCCATCTCCTTGGAGCTTGAGATAAACTGAGGCATCATGATCTCTGACATTAGGCATGTTCTGAATTCCCTCAATCCTCTCTGTCACAACATATGCATGGTACATGGCAACCAAAGGGACACTGACACCACACAAAGAACCAACATATGGTGACCACACCCCTGCACAGTTGACGACACAGTTTGTCTTGATGGTACCACTTGGAGTCTGTACGGCAGAAACTCGTTTAATTCCCAAGTCACTGACTTCTGTTTGAATTCCAGTAACAGCACAGTTCTCAAACACCTACAAATTAAAAAGATTTTAGTATCATATTACAATGTGATTATTCATCCTGCTGAGATACATTAATAACAATTTGTCATGTTTCCAGGTGACCTCATCCCCATCAAATAAGACTACAGTTTACTATCACAACTTTAATAACTATAAAAATGCAATAAAAAGATGTAACATGATAGGATGCAACAGCTGGAAATTTCCTCCTAATCTGTGATGGTATTTAAGGAAGTCCATGAAAAATTAATAAAAGTGTGTCACCTGAAAATAAGTGCATAGCTACACAGTCAAATGTCCTTGCCTACTCAAATTTTCTTACTGTATCATTCAATACCTTAGCACCATTCTTTACAGCTGCTCTTGTAAGTGAAGTAGCCCAGCTAGCAGGATCAATGGTTCCATCACCAGGGCTGTGGAGGGTTCCATATAAGTCATCCACGTTCAGCAGTGGATAAAGGTCTTTGGATTCTTTAGGACTCAGAACAAATGATTCAACACCATATACCTTGCCAAGCTGTTTATGAAACCAAAATGAAAAATTATTTGTTATTTCTGGTTCTATTTCAAAAGAGGCAGTTTAGCCAAATGGTGTACAAGCCACCAGGAGGTCTTAAGTTTGTAAAGACAGGGCGTGAAATTAATTTTTTTTTCTGATAGCCACCTGGCTCCTAAATTCTTCATAGTGGTAGCCAATTGAAAAAAAGTTGGTCGCCATTTTCAAAGACAAACAAAATCTTTCTTTACGCTGTCAGCGTTCTAGATAGACCCTCCAAAATTAAGTTAAGGAAAAGATCTTTAACGTGCTACAAAGTGGACACTAGGAAGGATGATATACAAAGTTCAGGCTCATCTAAATCCAAGATGGCATCTAGTTATCGCTCGAGATACATGTGCTACGTTTTGGAAACAAACTTAATGAGGATGTTTGCCGCGGATTTATCTTTGCAAATCTTTTTAATTCACTATATCTCTTGGTAAGGTTATGATGAAACCTTCTGGTCACCAATTTGGCAACTAACTTTCAGGATTTGGTTGCCAAAGTGAAAAATTTAGGCGCACTGGCACCTGTATTAGGCGAAATTTCACGCCCTGAAAGAGCTAATAGGTTTGCCTCCAAAAATGTTTCATACTGTTAGTGTTGCTGACAACCTTGCAATGCTACTATTAACTAAGGTAAATTATTTTCAGTTACGGCTTAACAAGACCTCAGGGAATTTTATTCCCTCAAATAGATATTTTCAATGTTTCTGCATGCAACTTTGTGATAGTGATTGACTTTGGAGGTAGCTTATTCCAATAGAACTAGGGATATAAGGAACCCGTGATAATCTACAGCAAAAACAACAATGAAATTACTTTCCTAGGTGCAAGGCGCAAGTAATTCCTACATATAAGGGCTTCTTTTGGATACCAGCTTTCAACCTAAATGGGCTACTCAATCTAGATAAAGTTATTTTAATTACATCACATCTAATTGGATGGGATATTGGTACACATTTTTAGAGCACCATGCAGAAGCAAAGTAAAGGAAAAAAATTGATGTATCTCTATCAATTCCTAATTGCTCTGAGAGGTACTTACTGTCATCAGCCTCTTGTATTCATCCAATCTTTCTTTGTTGTTGGCAATGAACAATCCTCCATTTTCATTCCATCCAGCCCAAAGTCCAGTCTCTTGTTCCAAGACATCCCTTGCAAGCACTCTTGTGGCTGCCAACAATTCCACCTCCACATCACTAGGACGTAACCTCCAAACCAGCCCAGCACTATGCCAGGTTGTTCCTGATGTTAACTGATCACGCTCTAACAAGACAGCATTTTTTACCCCAAGTTTGGTCAAGTGGTAAAGTGCACTGGATCCAACGGAACCTCCGCCAATAATAACAACATCAGCTTCTGCTGGGATGCTGTCTGGAGCTCGCTTATCTTCTGTCTTTTCAAAAAATTATATTTCAATTAAAATTAAATCTACCAACTCACTGGGAAAATTTTAAAACTGGAACAGCAATCCTTTTACTTGTTGGATTTTTAGGGTCTCCATGGAATTTTAGGAAATAATAAAGGGTACTGCAAGCAGTAAATTTTACCAGTTACTGCCAGAAAAGGAGAACGCCACTGACTTTAAGACTGTTGATAACACACCATGCAACATGCTTTGCTCATTACCCTATCTTTACAAGAAATATTTTTGCACTTTGCTTCACATTGATAATGAAGATTTTTGATATTTAGAAATGGTACATCTTAAAGTGATTAACTATACATGACAACACATTTTCTGAAATATTTGTGTTTTAGCTCATTTACCTCCAAAAGAGATGAAAATGTAATTTCTCCTTACAGTATAAAAAATTGTTAAGCAGTAAGGTGATAAGAGTAAAGATAAACATCAGTTAGGTGATATTGTTTGATTCAATAGCAAATTCTTATTATTAGCATTATAAGAGATGTTTGCAGGCAGTAAGGAGAATTAATATTGAGATCTTGTTTTGACTCCTGAAGAGGACTACTTGGCATACATGTAAATGTACCTCACCAGTGGTCTCTATTCTTGTACTTCATTGAATTGGTATGACCATTGCATGATTAAATTTTGTTCGATGAGTATTGCCGTGTTTGTGTTCTTTAATATAAAGCCTAGTTCATTCAGAAATGAATCAAAATAAATGCAAACGATTGATCTCTTATCATAGACATGGATTACCATACTTTGTATAGGTAATCACATGATTTCAAGTGCAATTTGGATTAAATAAGCACAAGAAAAATTTTTTCAAAGACTAACAAAATTGCACCAGCCTGTAGGTCAAGTGCAATTTGTAATCTTTGAAGAAATCAACATGTGCTTATTTATTCCAAATTGCACAAGAAAATCATGTGATTACATATTAATAATACACATAAACAAATTTGACAGGTTATCATAGTTATGCAGAAGCAAAGTGTGGGCATCAAGTGCAAAAATAATTTATTCAAACCTGTGTGTTTAGTCAAAAAACCACCTATGATCAAAACAATAATATACAATGATATTTTCACATCTTAAACACGCAAAAAAGCAGAGTCTCGCTAACTCAAGGAATTGTTCAGTCTGGTTTGTTTCTTCTTTGCACTGAATTAACCCTCTTCTGCATCAAATAACCTGAAAACTGCATTTATCCTAACCAATCAGAACTGACTATTTTTTTTAATGTATCTTATTGTAAACGAATTACAATAAAATACAATTGCATCTTACTGTAAACCAAACAATGATATTCGCGTTTCACTGAAGCTGAAGAGTCGCGTGTAGCGAGGTTATAGGTTTTTTTTCACCAAATCATATGCATATGTGAATGTAATGGCTGTGAATATCTAAAAATCATATTTGTGAAATGCGGATATGGACGTAAGTGCGAAAGCGATCGTCGCAGTAATGAATACTACTTGAGAAGTAGTGAAAATAAGGCCTGAAAAAAAAATTCTTGAATTTTTTTTTTCACTACTACTCAAGTAGTGCTCATCATTGCGAAGATCACTTTCATATTTACGTCTTTATCCGCAGTCACATGTATGATTTTCATATATTTACGATCATTCATTCATAAATTCAGGTTGATTTGGAACCAACCTAGTAACTAGCTATTGTAAGGATCATGGGTTCAAAACCCTTACAGGCCTGAATTTTTCTTCAGGCCTTATTTTCACTACTGCTCAATTAGGGTTCATTTCTGCGAGGATCACTTTCATATTTATATATGTGAGTGTCCTATTTTTAGTAGCCTTGTGAAAATTATAACGTAGACAAGAAATTGTATATCAAAATTAATAATTATTCAACTCGGGCTCATTGCATTTCTGTAAGACCGTCAAAAAAATTTGTTTAGTGTCTGATGCTGTTCATCAAAATACAATGAAGATTGAGTTATAACGATTACACGGCATTACCTGCAATGTATTGTAGGGAACTTCTTTCACATCTGAATCTTTAGACGTGCTAGATTCATTGCGAGTAGCTTTCCAAAGGCACGAGGTAGAACGATTTAGGGCGACCTGTCGCGTATCTTTCAAAACCTTCGCCAGGCGCCACATCTTTCGCTTGAAATCAAACTGCAGTTAATATTTGTACACGTAGAATCTCAACCACACAATGTATACAAAAAGCGCATTGTAAAACACGAAAACACCACTCTCTGCCTAGAAGGAGTCAGGCGTTCAATAACAAGAAAGACTGGCTACAAGTCCAAGATTTTGGCCAATCACGAAGCTGATATTTTTCCCGGGGCACTGTTCATCGAATCCAGTCACTAAACTTGTCAGTCCGGTCTTTGTTTAAAAGAAATTAGCACAAGTCTTAAGGGACTCAGTCCTTCAAAATGGAAGAAGAAATACATCAGTTAAATAATTCTAATGTTTAAGAAAATATAGATCATTACGATACCCTGTTCTAGGCAGTTGCAGATGAGCGGGTACAAAAATATCCTCCGATCCCCTTACAGCCGTTCCTTGATATGTCACGCAAAACCCCCTTAGAGGCTTTCGTGGGATACATTACGTGACACTAGTAAACCAGTTATGGGCTCCTGGTGACATCCAAATAATAGCTGCGAAGGAGACCACTAATTTCCACTTCCCAGGCAATCTCAGTGGCAGATCTAGGGGCAGATCTAGGGGAGGGGCCCGGGGGGCTCCCCCCCCCCCGCATATTTTAGGTAAAAAGAAAAAGTTGGTAATTTAGTGTTAACAACTGAGTTGAAAACGTAAATTGGCCACCATAAAGAGTTAAAGGGCTGACGTTTCGAGCGTTAGCCCTTCGTCAATCGCTCTGAGGAAGGGTTAACGTTCGAAACGTCAGCCTTTTAAATCTTTACGGTGGCCATACGTTTTCAACTCAGTTGTTAACACTAAATTACCTGCTATACTCTTCCACCGACGCAGCACCACAGTTTCTTTAGAAACTTACCCCCTTTATTAAAAGAAAAGAGAAAAAAAAGAATCACAGAAGGAAGAAAAGCCGGTAAAAGGCAAGCGACAAAAAACCGCCCTCCCCCCCTCCCTTAGCTCAAGGTCTGGATCTGGTCAAGGTCTCCGATTGTCACTGACTTTTCTCACTGGTTCAATGACGTGGTATAAACCATACGAGCGATATAGAATTAAGAGAGAGTCATGAGCCCGTTACCCATAGTGGGCTCCTGAGAGAGTCTAAAGACGATATACAATAATGACGGTACTTAAAGTACTTACCGCTCCCTTCTCATAAATCATCCATATGAAATCTTTGTATGTCCTCCCGTTTTAGATTATTTTAAGCACGATATACTTAGCCTAGTTAAAGGCAGTTAAAAGCTTTTCTTCGTGACTTTTAATTGCGAAATGGAAAGTCTGTAAGTATCTGCTCAGATTTCTTGATCAAATTAAGATGTGTCAAGGCCTGGCCACGGAGCCCGAGCTTCACAGCCACCACCATCATGGTTTCGAAGTTGTAAACATGGATTTGAATGGGGGTGGATTAGATAACAATCACGACAAAAGCTATCAAATGGATCACGAAGAAGTGGAGGATTTGTTTAAGAAGCTCGACAAGAACAATGATGGAAGGATTGACCTAAATGAACTTGCGGAAGGACTGAAAAATCTGCATGGTTCAAGATACAAGGCCGGCCAAGCTCAGGTGTGTACAAATTATAATAAAAACAGCCAGCAAAATTGACGCCAAAGAATATTTTGTCTAGAATAACTTTGAAACATTTCTGTTTTTATTCCATCTTCCTTTTTTGTCGCCTTAAGGCATAGATACGAATTTCACCGGTCATAAATGCAATCTGTGTATTTGCGCACACTAAATATTGGTTTTAAGTTGGTTCGTTTGGGATGTAAATTGCTTCGCTCAATTTGAATAATTTTGTGCCCAGTTGAAATCATGGTGTGCGGTAAAAAAATGTGATAATCAAGAAGTTTGCCCTTTAATTTCGTACAGAATGTACAATGTTTCGTTTTTGATTGATTAGTGTCGATTTATGGGTACTATCGAACAGCCCGAAAATTTACCACACCGGTAGAAATAAATCTGTACGATCCTTGACTATTTCACGCTTGAATTCAAGTAAATTAGCCTTTACCTTAATTTTCCAAAAAAGGCGTAGCTATTATTGATTTTGTATGATTCCCTGCACTAGAGTTGCAAATGGAAATTTCCTTATTTAACATGTTTGTACATTTCACTTCATTTAACATGAAGGAAAATTTACACTCGTGTTATGTACACAATCAACGAAGGAAAACATCTCTGAACTGTATGTTTTATTCTTGTAGATTGTTTTACACTGTCCTAAATGTTTCCTATATAGACAATTTAAGCTTGTGGGAGTAAATTCTGCTGCAGACTTACAATTTTATGACATACCTATTTGTCAGAAAATATGCAAATTTACTTCTACTTGGTACATATTTTGAATTTTCCTGTATACCTGCAACGATTTTTTTTTCTGAGTATAAGTGCGGGTAATTGTAGTGTCAAGAATGTTAGGATTCTTTTTGATATTTTTTAGACACATTTCCAATTCTATCAATTATCATAATTTATAGTTAAATAGAGATAACAGGTGAATGTATAAGTTCTCAACTATTGAATTTAGTGGTTTGTGGTTTTATATGGTAAGAATTCATGCTATCCAAAAACTTATGGTTTAGGTTTTTTCCCTCATCTCCTCTTTATTAGAGACAAAATTAATTAATTAACAATGCAGAAAATGTTAGAAGCATGCAAGCAAACAATCAAGGTTTGAAAGTGATTGAAATTAAATCTTGAAGTTCATAACCAAACCATTGAGTAATTTAATCTATTGCCCACACTTCTTTTGGTACTGTTTATTCTCCATTTAATAAATCCTCCTTCACTCCCATTGTCTGATGAGAGTTTCTCTCAAACTTGTAAAATAGGGTTGGAATCTTGTTACTATCATCAACTTATATCAGCAAATTTTGCTGCTACTAAATAACAGAGCCCCTGTGGACTGTTTTTTTTTAACTTTTATGGTCAGCATTATCATCTTTTCATATGTGTTGCCTACAATTTGGCAGAAATTACAAGGAAAAAATCATAGGAAAAAAACAAATTGTAATGACTACATAGTTAAATAAGAATTGGGAGAAAGTATTTGAAAAAACTTAGGGAGCTATACAGACCACTTGACAGCTAATCTAGTATTGAAATCCAGTGGAATCACTTGTTCTTGTGATTGCTATAATTATATTTGTCCTCTTTGCTAATATAGATTACCATTATGAAATGATCTCCAAAATGATTGATCAAAGCTTAGCCTACTCAGATGCTCTGGAAAGGTTGGGGTGTTGTGGACACTTGTCTCGTATGAAAACTAGATTGTATAGACCAAAAAAGTGACTGAATTAAAATGTTGATCTTATCTTTTTTCAATTTACTGGTAGTTACACCAATCTAAAATACTTTTCCAGTAAATACAATTTACTGTCCTTTCTTTATTCTTTTGTTTTTAACGTGTTTCTTGGCTTTCAGAGAATAAGGCTTACAGCATGTTTTGTGATGTCCATTTCAGCAAATTATGAACCTTGGTGATCAGAACCTTGATGGGCAGATGTCATTTGAGGAGTTTGTCAAATATGTGACTGACCATCAGAAAAAATTGTGGATAGTTTTCCAGTCTATTGATCAAGATGGCAGTGGTAACCAATATCTTTAAATTAATTGTTAATTTTAGGAGTCTAAAAGAGATTAGAAATCCTAGGGAAAGAGACCTTTTTGTATTACAAATGAATGGTTAGTCTCTAAAATGGGTCAATATGATTTCTTCAGTCTTTACATTTTATCTTTTTACTAAAATTTTGGGTGCAAGAGAAAAAAAATTAAGAAATCTGATTTTCTCTTCAGTATTGATGTATAATTTTGGGAGCTACATCACAATATAATTTGGCCTTATTAGGGTACTTGAGAATAATACTGTTCTTCTACAGACTGAAGGAAACTTCAAGAAAATGTTTTTAGTGTAATTTTTGACTAAAGGAAGAAACAAATAAGGAACAGGGTAGTCAAGGATTAACATGGGCTGTAGTTAATGAACTTGAGACATTTGCATTTAGCAATGTGCTTTTTTGACGTGGAACATCAGAGAATTCTATTATCATAATGGCAAATTTCCAACTAAATTCCAATGGCCTGAATTATTTTTTTAATTCAGACACATAGAATATTCTCCTATAAGTTAAAAATTTTTCCCTGCTGCAACATTTCTTAATGAAAAGCCTGATTTGAGGGGAAATTTTTCGAGATGATTAACTGTGATGCAACTCCCATAGAATAAGTGCAAAGGCAAGGTAATGCTCATTATATATCTCAGTCAATTTAGCAGGCTATATTTCTCTGTACAGCCTGCTAAATTCAGGGGTTTGTTTTAATTTAAATCCTCTCCCTCTATTTGAATCCAGATATGTGATTAATATCTGACTAACCTTGTTTTCTTGGTCTATACTGTAAGTTACAGGACCTTGTTTTGTTTCACCCTGGGCTATAAATCTTATTGGGAAAAACTTGGTCTGTAACTTAAAGTAGAGACCTCAAATTGGGTTAGTAAGAGGTATCTATGTAAAGGCAAAGGTGTCATTGGACTTATTGTCTGCTGGTCAGGATGTGTGGATACAACAGAACTTAAGAAAGCTTTTGAGGCCGTGGATGTTAAGGTAACAGACCAGGAAGTGGATTTGTTATTGAAAAGGTAAAACATTTATTGACAGTATTATTTATTTTAGTCACTAATCTAGTAGAAAATATAAATACCCCCCTGGGCAGTTTATTTTTTATTTTGGCTCAAAAGATGCACAGATAGTTTCAAGTGAAGAAAGGTTGAATAATACAGATACTCTGTGATATTGTTATGAAAAATATTGACATTCATGGTATCAAAACTGCCTAAAATTTTTTCAAACTAGTGAAATACAAAAATTACCCCAACTTTTAAAACTTCAGAGATGCATTTCTGTTGTAGGAGGCACATGTCTTGAGTAACATCCAGTCATGGCTTTTAATTGGTCCAGGGGTCTCAATACTTTATCCCATAAGCTGCTTTCGATGGTGTAATAGGCAACTGTACTCAGAGAATGGGTACAGAGAATGTGCCAAAAGGCGAAACCAAAACACAAGAGCTGTCTGGCAGGCTAAACAGGCAACAATAAGTGGTCTTATATAAGCAGGGGTAAACTGCCAGTAACCAGCTTTTACTGAAACCCTTGTTGTCTGGATGAGGGTAGAGCTGAACAAAATTTTTGTTGACAGATGCTGTGAGAGACATTTGGACTCTCTTAAAATTCATCATTACAGTCATGTGTCATTTAAAAAAATCCTCTTTAAGGCTACCCTCACCTGGAAGATCAAGCTGTAGTGTATAGTTTTTATTAATGTACTGTAGAAACACTTTACCTTTTAAAATTGTCAGCATGGACAAGGACAAAACCCTTAAAGTTAACTGGAAAGAATGGAGAGAATATCACCTGTTGAATCCCAGCGGCCATAGTATGCATGACATCATTCAGTTCTGGAGACATTCTAATGTAAGTGACTTGACCTTTTCATTTTCATGATCTTTTTATGATCTCTCCCAGCATCTGCCTGCTATGAATTTTGATGTTTGCTCCAGACCTATACTTCGCTGGTCTCTGTAAAAATGTGTTAATTTTGTTGAAAGAAAAATGTTGATCAGTTCTGTGAGTGACCAGGTTATAATGGTTTTGGTTTGTAGACCCTGCAGTTAATTTGTGTTTCAACACCTTTTATCAACCCAAATAAAGCATCTTCATTTGAATTTTTTCAATATTTGTGTTAGATTCCCCTGAATACTTATATTCTGTGGCTTTTCTGTTTTAGATATTAATTGTCTTTGTTAGTTTTTTCAATATGTATCATTTATCTTTGATGTCCTCAGGTTATTGATATTGGTGAGGATATGACTGTTCCAGATGAATTCACTGAGGAAGAAAAAGTGTCAGGAATGTGGTGGAGACAGCTGGTGGCAGGGGGTGGAGCAGGAGTTGGTTAGTGTAACTAGGGCTTGTCTAGATCATGCCTTTCAGTCATGGAATTTGAGTTGAAAATATTGAATTAAACGTCTAAGATGGTGCAAATAAAAGTAATGATGGGAAACTAAAGAAGCTCTTGATTGCTCAATAAATTCTCCTCATCAGAACTATGAGAGATGTATGGAGAACAGGATGGAGAATCTGGGTAGTGATGTAAGGGTCAACTCCTTTAAATGCATCCTGGTTAGCTTGCAGTTATCTCCAATCCAGCTAGCCCAAAGTTGTTTTTGTTTTTTTTTAATTTATTACAATTTTTTTTTTTGCAAGGATGCTTTTCAGATTACAACAAGTTTAGTGCTAACCCTTTTAAATTTGTTTCATTCCAGTGTCAAGGACATCAACTGCTCCTTTGGACAGATTAAAAGTTTTATTACAGGCAAGTATCTAAAATTGAAGGGGTCATCATGTACAGGTGATACACATGACTACATTTTTATCAGGGAGTGCTGGCCAGCAGAAATAATAACAGTCTGCTTACTAACCTTACTGACTATCTAAGTAAGGTGTTTGACTAGATTGGGAGGGAAGGAACAATTAATGAATGCTTTGTGCTTTCTCGTTTTTCACAATAACAATAAGTCAAATGGTTGCAGACAGACTATTAAAGAGGGAAAATTTTGTTTTATTCCAGGTACAAGCATCAAGCCAAAATAGAATAGGAATTTCTTCTGGTTTTTCCATGATGATCAAGGAAGGTGGAATCAAATCACTTTGGAGAGGAAATGGTGCTAATGTGGTCAAAATTGCACCAGAATCAGCCATAAAATTCTTTGCTTATGAAAGGGTATGTTTCAGTTAATAAGAGACACCAGAACATTGAAAGTTTTGTGTTAACCCTTTAACACCTAAGAGTGATTGGCATTGTATTTCTCCCTTCAGTATCACTGTTGAATCAAACATAAAGGCCATGAGAATAAGGGAAATGATCAACCATGAGAGAAGCTTGTGATTGTTGAACAAATTCTCCTTGTCTGTACCATAAGAAATGTGTAGAGAACAGTAGGGAGAATATTTATACTGATCCTAGGGTTTAAAAGAATCTTTAGGTCTTTCCTAAGACCTGCCAAAGGATCTTTATCTGCCATAATTTTTCTGGCAGTTTTTAGGCTTAAAAAACCTTCTAAAATCGTTCATGTTCTGTCATTTGGTACAATATGTAGTACACGCTGGGATTGTTTGTTCTTCAGGCAAAGAAGCTGTTGGGTGCAGATGAAAAGCAGCTGGGGGTCAGAGAAAGACTTATGGCAGGTTCAATGGCTGGAGTAGCTTCACAGACAAGTATATACCCCCTGGAGGTACTTAAACCTGCATAGTTGTAAAAATAAATTATGAAAGTTTGTCTTAGAATTTGTCAATAAATTATGAGAAGTTGTCGAATAAAATGGGAGGAGTCTGAGAATAGAGGGGTTAAGAAAACGAGCAATTGGAAAAAACGTTGCTCTAAAGTAATTCTCTAGCCTTTCTTTTTGACACTTTTTAGGGATCAATGAGAACTTGATAAGTTTAGTTGTAAACTTATCACAGAGTAGAGTCACATGTAAAGCAGTGCATGCCTAGTTTACATTTGAAATTAGTACAAATAGTGCTTTTGGTAACCATCAGGACGAAATCTCATTTTTAACATGGAGCCACCTCAAATATCCCAACGTTTGTCTTTTCATTCAGAAAAAAAGTAAAAAGAACAAACAATTGGAAGTATTGTTCATTGTAGCTATTTTGCTGACCAACTCCTTATTTTTTCATGTTTCATGAGAAGGCGGCCTCATGTGGGTGTAATGTTCTTTTCAATGCCCTTACTGGTTTATAGGTGCTGAAAACAAGACTGGCGCTTCGTAAGACAGGACAGTACAAGGGTCTTGTCGATGCGGCATATGTCATCTTTACTACTGAAGGAATCAGGAGTTTTTATCGAGGGCTGTTCCCGAGTCTTTTAGGAATCATTCCCTATGCTGGAATAGATCTTGCTGTATATGAGGTTAATCTTAATTTTCCTTCTTGGTTCATTGCCTCCTTTGTGTTCAGTTACACTTTAAACCCGCGCTACATTAGCGCGTTCATTTTTCTGAGTTGAAACAGTTGAATAACCTTTTATCATCATTGTCTTTTTTTCAGACACTCAAAAACTTTTACCTTAACTACCACAAAAACCAGTCAGCCGACCCAGGGGTGTTTTTATTGTTAGCGTGTGGTACAGCGTCCAGCACGTGTGGTCAGTTAGCTAGTTATCCGTTGTCATTAGTGAGGACCAAATTACAAGCGCAAGGTATGAAGCTACGTGCCGTTGCAATGCACTTAAAAACAATGATGGGGGTTGATGGTAGAGAGAGGGCAGAGAGCAGTGGCCAAACGTCTGCGCATGTGCGAACGTTGTGATTAATTGGTGACGTGCTTTTAGGTTGTTAATGCTAAATTGTCTCTCCTTACGAGGAACTCAAAATAGAATGCCAAATCAATAGGATATCCCTACTTGAATATACTTTCTGTTCAAAGTCTCAAGTACTCCTTTTCGTCTCTGTGTTTCCTTGTAAAGATTTCCATAAATGTTTCAATTGTCATTTGCTTGTTTTAGTTTCAAACTTTGCGTAAGAAATTGGCGCGCTAACGGCTAGATTTGATTTCCTCGCGCATGCCCGACGTTTGACCGCTGTTCCCATTTGAATGAGATGTAGCCTGATAGCAAGGTCTCGTTTGCGCTGCGGCACGAGTGGCGATGGCTGCGAGAGGGGTCAACCACGAAATGCTAGACATCACAGGCTTCGCCACTCGTGCCGCAGCGCCTCTTAGAGCGGTGGCCTTTTGGGCTATGCGCTTAAGTTAAGGCCACGGCTGTTTGAAGGTTGGATAACGCTATCCACTATATAAATCTTTATCCGGTGGATAGTGCAGTACGTTTTGCCATCACTTATCCGCTAAATAGCGATTTATCGGTTGGATAGCGTAATCCACCCTTAATACAACTGGGTCTTAGGCTGGAACTTGGCGGGGGTCATTTTCTTGGCACTCTCCTCTACTAGTGCGTCATCCCAGTAGTATGCACCGGTACCGTGAGCTGTCAGGGAAACTTGAGGATTTGCCGAGTAACCAGCGATGGACCAGAGTACCATCCAGGTAGAGCGGTACTACTCCCTGTTGCTTCATAACACAAACCGAGATAAACCCCGCTAGCTATCCCATGCGGTTTCGTTACAGACATCAGCAATGACATATTTAGCCAGATAATTTTAAATCATTCTTTTTTTGTAACATTTATATGAAACGTCTTTTCTTTCCAGCGCGCTCCCGCACTGCAGGCAGGGGAGATACAATGGTTTCAGTAATTAAAAACATTATAAAAGAAGACGGACCACGTGGACTTTATAGGGGACTGGCTCCTAACTTTATGAAAGTTGCGCCTGCAGTCAGTATAAGTTACGTTGTGTACGAACACTTGAGAATGAACCTTGGCGTTAGATAGAATACTCGATGGTCTGATTTGGGGCAAATGTATATGGAATGAGAGCATAATGTAAACGCGATATAAGAGTAAAAGAGAAAAATACACGACAGAGAGAAAAAGCTTGAAAATATAGGCGGTTTTCCTGCCTGTGATAGCATAGGAAGTCTAGCAACATTAATATGGACTATTCGATTTGATATAATTGCACGAACTTTAATTTTGTTTTTATGAATTCTCATGTTTTAAGACATTCCGTCATGGACAGCAATTTTAAAGCTGGAGTCAACATTTTGTTGTGGTTATTTTTTTAAATTTTTGACGAGGATAACCTAAGGGTAACCCGAGAAGGTTACGAATGACTGTGACGTCTTTTACTAACCTAATCTGAGCGCTCTAAAAGCTAGGGGACTGGATGACGTATCACTGTCATGTGGAGAGCGTAGGAATGTCACTTGCTGATTGGCTGATAATATCGCATATAAATTCATCGCATATAAATTTTCCATGGGAGTAAAATATTATGCAAGATCGTGCTTGGTCATAGTATATTGTTGTAAATATATATTTTTTTGTTTAGGCTTTTTGTCCCTTAAGATAAACTTTTATCTGATCTGTTGCTAGGGAGTCTTGCTGAGAAATAATTTCTCGACCTTTCCTTTGATCGTTAGTTTTTAACTTTAAAATTTTACCAGATGCATGAAATTCAGAAGTTGCCTGGAAATGGCGTCTAATCTCTCCATATGATTTAAACTCTGCTTAACCCTTTAACTCCCAAGATCTGATTGTTAATTCTCCTCTGTAGCTGCTACACATTTCCTTGTAAATTAGTTATGAGAACTTGGTGCTAGATCAAGATAGCAGCTTCTACCTGATAAGTTTGAATATTCTCATTACCTTTTTGCTGAAGAATGTATGGATATTTTAGGGAGAAGTTTTATGTTAATAACTTCTGGGAGTTAAAGGGTTAATCTTTTCTCTCCATTTTTATCCTGTTTTCTCTTTTTATATGCTTTCCTTCTTTCTTTCCTTTCTCATCCCTTCTTATTCTTTCAGGCTTGTCTGCTCCAGACCACACTGGTTCCATGATTTTTTAACTTTCTGCTAGAAATTTTGAGTTAACAAATATTAACAAAATTATCTACAAACTGCTTGTTCAATTTAGGAAATCACTTTTATCCTTGCTGCTTTTAAATAATCGCATCTTAAGATGAAGTTATATTACGATCGCCATTTACCTTATGATAAAAATGTTATCGTAATACACTGACACACACGGCTGTATTCTCTCGTTTAAGTGATTTGCGAGAAAGGTCTTTATTATTCAAATGGATAGAATATTTATACGAGCTGTTAAACATTTGTGTAGCCATCGTGTTTTGCGGAAGGGTTCTGAAGGGAACTACTTAGTTTTAACAAAGGAGTAATTTAGTGGTTACGTCAATTGTAAGCGTAGGTATGTAGTGTTACAGCCATGAATGATCTTTAGGTGTCTTTACCGATGTCAGAAGGTTGAAGGATCAAACGCCCGCAAGGACTATTTGAACTAAAATGAAGGCTAACCTCGAGCAAAATAGAACATCGTTTGCAACGGTTTGTATCATTGTTGCATTTCGTGTAATTTCTTGTTCCATATTCTTATCGTTTTATCTTCTCTCCTTCCTTATTAACGCTTTAACCCTCAAGAGTGATGAGCTTTCTATTTCTCCTTAAAGTATTACCTCTTAAATAGTAAGGTCGTGAGAATATAGGAAACGATCACCAACCCAAAGAAACTCTTGATTGCTGAACCAATAGGCCATTTTACAGTTGTGTACTTTGTTGCCAAGCCTTTGATTTGGAGTGAGGCTGAAGGTGACCTTGTTGTGTTAGAGACCAGAATCTAGTTAGCATGATAACAAATTAATTTGCATTTCAAAAGCAGCAAGGTTTGTATCATAACAAGGTCACCCTTAGCCTCACTCCTGTTCAAAGGCTTGGCAACCAAGCACACAACTGTAAAATGGACTATTATCCCTGTCAGTACTATGAGTTATGAGAAGAGGACGGAATGAGCATACTGATATAAGAATGTAAAAGATAAACCAGTCCTCAGATTTGCCCCAGTGACTAAGAAGCAGGTGAGGTTTATGCGTGACTGTCATGAATTCGATGGTTAAGTATATCTCTTTAATACGACCTAAGGAGATACAGGAATGCCTCAATCGGACGAATGTTTGTTTATTCACATGTTGATAAAGCGTCTAATGTTGCGTGACAAAGTGATTCAATATTCGCTGATTACTAAGCACATAAATGAGCATATATGAGCGCTCCGGGCCCTTCAACTCACAGTATATCAAGCGTGACTAGAACAAACTTGCTGAGTCACTTGGCAGCAAGGATTAGTTGCATAATCGCTTGATTATCAACCTTTTCGAAGACAACAGCAAGTGACGGCGAACATGTTACTCCTGGAAGAACTCCCAGGGTTTCTAACAGTCTTGATAAACCTGCACATGAGGTTCGACTCGACATACGTACAGAAAGAACCTGTAAATTTTACTTCGCTGAATCCTGTCGGTGATTGTCCCGGATCACTGAACGGAGCAATGCGAGACCCAGACAAATGTCTTGTTGTCATCCAAGAATGGTGGGGCATGAACGAGCAGATAAAACAACAAGCGTTAGATATAGCCGGTTTGGGAAATATGACGACATTGGTATCTGATTTATACCGGGGAATAGTAGCTGAGAACAGCACAGAAGCGATCCATCTTGTAACCAACTTGGATTACGCGGGTAAGTTAATTCACAACGAGCACCCATATTTGCACTAGAGCGGTCGTCTATTTATCTCGGATTAGAAGACGACGATTTACTAGTGTGGCATATCATTTCCTTCATATGTATGCTCGTGACTGACCATTGGTTTCGAAACTGATCAAACGTGAAACGTAAAATATTCAGGCATAGTCGCTCAGCTCAGCTGCGTAAATTACTCGCGAGATTCGCGCGTGACATTCAAAGGAGTTTTCTCAGCCGTTTTGTCTTCTTTGTCAATGTGAGTAGCGAAAAATTTGACGACTTGACATTATCTAACTCGAAAAACTCGACATTGAGAGGGGAATGGGGTTTGAAGTTTTGGTCGAGCGTTGATATTCAGTTGTTATTCATTTCACAGGTGCCATCCAGGATATTAAAGGTGCGGCACAGTACCTTCTAAAACAAGGTTGCAGGAAAGTTGGTGTTACTGGCTTCTGCATGGGAGGTGCCTTATCACTCGCCGCCGCAGCTCTTGTGCCAGAAATCTCTGCCGCTGCACCGTTTTATGGCATTCCTGATCCTCGGCTCGCAAACATGTCTACCATTAAAATACCGGTGCAGTGTCACTTTGGCAAATTAGACCGATCCAACACAGCTAACATTACAGAATATACCAAGCTCAGGCAACAACTGGACGCCGGAGACGTGAATTACGAATTCTATGAATACGAAGCTGGTCACGCTTTCACCAATCCGCACAGCAGAAATTATAACGAATCCATAGCTGAGCTGTCGATTGGTCGAATGATTGACTTCATGAAAAAACATTTAGGAGGTTCAGGAAAGTGATGAACACCCTGTAGGAAACAATCAACCATTCTTTCGCTTACTTCCTATTCTTAATATAGGCACAATAAGCTGCTTAAGCACTGAGTCAGCGATTAGAAATAAGAGAGCACACTGGGTCGCAGTGGTTCGAGCCCTGGGATTTTAACTACCATGGGAGTTCTTTTTTTCACAGCCCTAAAAGCACTATTGATTAGTTACTGCCATCATTATTGTAATTATTAATTTTTTTCACCGCTACAAATTTATGCCGGCCCGGATTATTGATTTATAAAACATACATGGCTTTGACTTCGTTAAACTGTGATGGAAAAAAAGTAACAAAACGAAAAACGTTGTGTCTCAGGATGTCTTTCAGCTTAGTAAGTAATAAGCAAAGAATCTTTTTGAGTGATCTCGTCGCATTGGTGTATCAAGCCAGTCTGACAGATCAGGCGGAGATAGTATAACGCATGCGCTTTCTTTTCTTCAAATACTAGGGCGGCTGGTCACTTGAACCATTCCAAACAGGAGATTATAAACTGAAAAAATCTCATGAACTGAAATAATTCTCAAATACTGGGTTGCGTACAACACAATAGTGTAAACATAAAAAAATTCAAACATTTATATACAAATACAATTTTACGAAATTGCACTGAAAACCAAGACTTAGACTTCCCTTAACTACAAGCATATGAAAGACAAACCCAAAGAGTTCAAAAGGCTTTTAATAAATTGAACATTTCGGCAAGGAAACGATAATTTTGCTAACATATCGACTATAAAATTATGAAAGTAAGGAAAATTGTACCAATACGTTTTCAGAAAAATCTTCATCTAACCTACCGAGCTCAAAGAAATTGCGAATTTCGCATGGAAGGTAAGGAACATTGACTTTAAGGGGCGGAGACATGACCTGTGGTCTTGAAAAATGAAGCCTACATCCCTAAGCCATCCTTGCGCCTTCTTAGTTTATCACTGCCTCTTTGGCGTTTTCCTATATTTTTATAAGTTTTGCACAGCGCAAAAGATTTCTCAAAATATCGTATGGCCAGTGGCACTCGACTAAATTAGTTATTGCTTCTTATTTATCTGTAAAAAAGTTTCATTTTAAGAAACTGCCATTTAAAGCGAGTTATTTACAGATACAAAAAAGCGTGGGAAGTTTATTTACAAATGTACACCAGAATCATTGGTTGACACAGTTAACTTCTGCACCTATAATGATTTCCTCAACACTATGGCGGGATGGCGTCTTTTACGGCCCTCATCATTTGTCGACGAGTTGCATGTTACTTGTGGTCAAAGGACGAACTTCATCGTCTTTCTCTTTTTTAAGGCCATACCTAGGAAAACAATTAATGATTGCAAAGCTAAGTTATATTGTCACATCTGAGCATTATAACCTCCAATCCTGATCAGGGGCGTAGCCAACTTTTCGACTTGTTGGCCTGTATCCTAACAAAGTTAAATTTTTGTTCCCAAATTTGAAGGAGTTGTTATAAAAGTCAGGCGGGCAGAAAAGACTTCTAGGGCCTACAAGACTATGGGCTAGCTACGCCCCTGCTGATAAAGAGCAATATATATATATTTTTTATTTATTTATTTTTTATTTTATCATTATTTTTTTTGATAAAGAGCAATATGGCGAGAGCTTTCGTAGTCTCCTTCGGAGACGCTTTTCGGTATGTCACGCAAATCTTTCGCAAGATCGTCGCGCAGGTGATAGCCGAAAGAACGACTGCAAAGGAGGGTAGAGCCACAGCCAGGGGTTGTCCTGCTCAAGTCCATACATTTACAATCCGTGATTTACCACTGCCTTTTGAAAAGTATAAATGAATTTATGATGACAACGCAGTTTGGGATTCCAAAGAAAACCCTAATCTTTAAACAAAATATTTTCAAATGTGTTCGAATCCTGCATTTTGTTTTGTTTAGCAGCCTGGCCGCTTGCCTCAGGGAGACAGGCCGGGGTAAACGATTACCTTGGGGACAGGGCATGTTAAAAGCGCTCCTTTAAGACTGATCCCACGTTTTTTGTTTAGTGATAACGATAGTCATGCTTGCGAGTATTGAAAATGTTTAGGATAGGGTTTTGCATCACTTCAAGTAATAATAATAACATCTGATATCTTACCAGCATGTGACGCCTATACACAACCCCGCTAAGAGTACAGCACCACAAAATGCAGCAAAATAAAAATATAATAGCTTTGTCTTGCCCGATGTCCCATCAAATTCTGTTGGCTTCATGGAGTCAAGATGCAGCCGTGCCACACCAGTGATTTGATATCCTAATGCGGTATTGAGGGTTTCTTTATTCGCAGACTGTTCGACGATGGTATACAACACATTCTTCGATAAAAATTTGCCGTCTCCTACTGAGATAAAAACCCCACTAGAAGCTCTCCAGGACTGTATGGGTCCTCCATCGGGTATCCAGGGACTATGTAAACTTGATAACTGGCAGTTAAATCAGAAGACAAAAACCAGCATAAGAAAAAGTAACAAAGTTCTCACTCATCAACAAGAGAAGAAGTCAATTCGCCTACGAATTGACGCATAAATTCACTTACACACTTACGCATAAATTCACTCACAACCTCAGCCAACTTACTAACGACTACCCCTAATTAACTAGTTTATGGTCTTGGTCAACTCGCCTGTGACTTGATGTACTTAGCACTGAGTTTGCAGACAAATTCCAACTTGAATGGAAGAAATACGCTAACCAAGTCGTTGCTGGTACAAAGTCGTGTTTACTTTTCCAGGTTCATACTTACTCATCTATGCCAAATTGCTAACGATTCTAAATCAGATTTCGGAGCACAACTTTGCAAACTGATCAGCGATCAACACTCTAACATGCCAACTAGTCAGAGATGTTTAACATCTTGCAATTGGAATGTAGCGTGATTAAAATGTCAAACTGAACTAAAAGTTATGATGTCATCGTCATCATACCTCTCTGGACTTGATTCGTCACATTTTTGTGGTGTACTGGAGCAGTAGTTTCCCACAATTTTCTTCACGGCGACAGTAAAATTAACTCTTCTTTTTTCGAACTATAAGAACGCAATATCGAGAAAACTATTGTAAACTTTAAATTAACCCTTTACATCCTAACATCAGTATGCATATTCCCCATACTGTTCGCCATATATTTCTTAGGTGCTGAGAAGCTGGTAAGCTCTAAAGCTTCATAGTTAATGATCATATTCTGTATTCCTACGACCTTAATGTTTGATTCAGGGGTGACATTGTAAGGAGAACGTAGATGCTAGGCACTCTTAAATGTTAAAGGGCATGATTTTACCAGGAGAAGCCATCTTTTATTCGAAATGAAGTGAATGCATCGAATTCTTTTGTTCCGATTGGCTGAAGTGATTACCGTGATTGGTTTTAATTTTACGACAGTCGAATTTTACTTTTAAGACAGTAAATAGCAAGGCAAAAACATGTGCGATATTTTTAGTTCTGCTTTTTTTTTTTCTATAATAGTTAATTCTTCTCTGACCTTAGCTTCTGTCATGTCCGATATATATAACACCACTGCCTCTTGTTCTCCCCAGATGGTGGTTGTGCTGTGGTCGCAGTTGGTGGTGCTGTGGTCGTAGTTGGTGGTGCTGTGGTCGCAGTAGGGTAAGTCACAGTTGGTTGTGCTGTGGTTGAGTTGGTCACAGGTGGCGCAGACGTTGTGGTTGCGGAAAATGTTGAAGACGGTGTTACGCCAGTTGAGGCAACTGAAACCGAGAGAGGAAATGGATGAAAAATCGAATACACTTCTGTCTAACTTTGATTTTATCTATCTCCTAGGATAAGTCTTACAGTCTCACTTGGGTTAGAAAGTGACTGGGGTTGTAAACAGTTTAGTTTGCGGTTTCCACTATCTCAATCGCCTTACGCTAGAAACATCTCACTCGTTGGTTTCTATCCGAATCCTTCGACTGAATTTTTATTTTTGTATTTGAATAAATCAAAAAAGACGTTTTAGAGTTGTGTACCTGTTGAAGCGGTCATGGTTGCCAGTACTGTTCCCGTGGAATAAAGTGCTGTTGAAAAAGCAAGTATGATGCAGTCACGTTTTAAATTCCTTTACTAAAATCAAGTTCTACCCCTACAACTTATCTCTCTGGGAGACCCTGTAAGAAAACCTCTTCCTCGAGCTAAGTCAGTTTAAAACGGTTTTATTTGAGCTTGCGTGAAGGCTGCTAGAGAAACAGGCGGAAAATGCATTACATAAACCATTTTTTCGAAACATCTATTTGGAAAATTATCCTCGATGATTTTCCAAGGTAATAGAGTCTCAATGGAGGCATTCTCTAAAATTTTCAGCCCCAAAATACAACTATAATGAAATAAATTTAAGACTTCTTTTATTCTGGTTATTATTAATCATCCAAAGTTTTAAGACGCCTGTCTGTCACTTGTATGGAAAATATTTGTTGTATCCATAGATATCTGGGATATCATTATCAATATTGCCTACGTGTAACTCTCTGGTGGAAAAACCCACTTCCGCTGGGTAAAAGAGGTAGACATTTACGAAACTTTGCGATTTTGTTCCATTTTTCAATTTGTCTCCTTTTCGATATACCACGAGTGATAGTATTTAGAATACTGATGCACTTGTGAGGAAAGGTTTCTGCGGCTGATCACTATGCTCATATAATGCAGTCTCTTACAGGAATATCTGTCGGAATATCTGTCGGAATATCTTTGTAAAGAAATGATTGCATGGCTCCGAGGTCACCATCGACAAGAAACTAACAAACACTTCTCTTTCTGCACCGGTTATCCCGTCGCATTATGAACGCATTTTAATTCAAGTTAATTTAGTAGGTGAACGTAAACTACTAAGAATCGAATAACTTACATGTTTGAGACCGAGTTTGATAAACCTGAATGAGGAAATTCGTGGAGCGATTTTCTCAAAAGCATTTTAGCGCAGTCTCTTGCCCATAGCAACGCGGAATTTTCTGCGAAGGTTTATAGAACTTCAATGTTTGGCAAGATGGAAAAGCAAACAAATCCGAAAAAATGCTTCAGAAACTCCGGCTTAATTCAATCATACTTCTTTATGGTGACTTGACACTGCGGGAGGAAGACAGAAATGAAATGTCCCTTCGTTACATTCAAAGCATACCGAAAAGACAGACGCTTCCTTATTGAGACAACCGCGGAGGTCGATTGGCGTGATTTGCCTTTTTGTTTGCGATTGTAAAGAACAGAATCAGGAGAGGAGATTCACCTAAAGGATTGCTCGTTAAAGCAATGCGAAAAATATAGCAATGATCTTATCATTTGTAAGTTTACACTAGAATACATGTGTATTTGATATCAAACAGCCAGCTTTCTGTGATTACGCGCTGAGACATTCAATATAAGCAACCATGTGCATTGTTACTCACCCGTAGAGTGCGTAGAGTTGGCTGATGCCTCTGCCTGATCGCAAATTAAGAACAAAGCAGTTTGAAAGACAAAAAAAATCCCGAAGCGAAACATCACTGTTGGTAAACACGAGAACTAGCTAAAACTGCATCGGTGGCCAACATCGAAATCCTTCCGAAGCGAAATAGAAACTCGATATGTGGGTATGTTGACTTGGACTTGCACCAGTATACGTCACTAATCACCTAAGAACCGTATGTCACGCAATGTTTAGCGGTAAAAATTAAACAAATTAGCGAATACACTCTCAGCCCCTTCCCCCTCTCACAGAAAGAACAGAACGAAAAAAGAAAAAAAAAAAGAATTTTTAATACTCTGCAAAAAGCCGGTTTGAGAAAGGTGCAAAATTAAAGATATCCATGATAAGCCTCTGGGTACTGCATAAACTGACCCATAAAATGAAGAACAAAACAGTTTGAAGGACAAAAAATATCCCGAAGCGAAATATCACTGTTGGTAAACACGATAACTAGCTAAAACTGCATCGGTGGCCAACAAAGAAATCCGTCCGAAGCGAAATAGAAGAAGAACCGTATGTCACGCAATGTTAAGTGGTAAAAAGTGAAAAAAATTAGCGAATACACTCTCAGCCCCTTCCCTCCCCCTCCCACAAAAAAACAGCACGAAAAAAAAAATGGAAAAAGGATTTTTAATGCTCTGAAAAAAGCGGTTTGGGAAAGATGCAAAAAGAAAGATATCTGTGATAAGCCGGGGTTGTACTGCTTAGACTAACCGGGGGCCCGAGGAATTTTGACTCTGTCAGGAGCCCATGTCCTCCTGATACTGCACAAACAATATTCATTTTTACTGGAATTTCACAGTTACTCATTTTGTTGTAGCTATCATCGTTGTTGCTGCTGTAATTTGTTCCTGTTGTATCCGAATGCGGGAAATTTCTTCGTTCCCCTTTTCTTCCTACGACGAGGCGCGTATCTAAGGACATCTTTGGAACTCTCGGAACTTAGTAGATAAGCCCTATTTGCAGAAGATTTAAGGAAAATCTTTGAGTATACAAGAAAGTTCGAATTTTCTTCTGATCACATTGTTGTAGTTGTCTTCTATTTACACTTCCTTATCTTGAGCCATACTTACTCAGCGGTTTCGCTCTCAAAGTTACTTCGATAAGAACAAAGATGGCGGTGGATTTGAGTGTAGCACGCCGACAACTTTCAGAGGCTCTTGGGGACTACTCTCAAACGTATGATCATTTGTTCTGTATTTTTTGTAGCTAAACAATTATTAAAATTTTGCTATGTTTGATTTCCTATATCTTTAAGGTACTGGAACAACATGAAGCTCTGGTATAAACAAAAGGTTAGTAACTGTGAACTTTCACATCTACCCTCTCAAGGTGATGGGCTGTCAAGCTTGGCAGCACTATCCTCCGACAGAGAGCCTCAAAGTGTGTTCCTGGCTCAAGACGTATTTATAATTTTTACTTATTCTCAACTTTGCGTAAAAAGACGGTGAAGGCGAACCGTTGGCTGGTCGCGTAGAAACTCCAGTGTTAAATATTATACCAACCCCTAGTTGTCAATTTAGAGCGCAAATCAGGTTCAAAAGGATTTTGAGAGTGAAATATTTATGAGCAGAAGTTAAACTTGGCCACATCAACGAGAGAAATTGGTGTTTTTATTGTGATCATTTATGATATCCGTCAGAGGGTGGGAAGGAAACCCAGACCCAAGGCCCCCCTCCCCTCTAAATCTCCTTGGACCTATTTTACATTCCCCTCTTAGTTTTGCCAGCTGATACCATGGCAGAGATAATGGATGTTTCTTTTGATAAGCACATATTAATTTTTGTGGGATGATGTTTTCTTAGTTTGAGTTTGTTTTACACAGATTTCCAAGGAGGATTTTGATGCACAAGCCAAGAAATGTCTTGGGAATGATAACCGTAAGTAAATAGCGTCACGATTTACAAATGATCAAAATCTTTAGTTTCCTCACCACTTTCACTAAAGATACTGTTTCAAAACAAATCCATTTCGTGTCACACCTGACAAATTATATCAACCCTTCAACTTCCATGATCTTATTGTTTAATTTTCCCTCCAACTGTTACACATTTCCTGGTAAATTAGTCACAAGAATTTGGTGTTAAATGAAGATAAGAGCTTCTACCTGATAAGTTCGAGATTTCTCATCACCTGTTTTTGGATATAGTGTGGATATTTAAGAGATTAAGATTTCTGGGAGTTAAATGGTTACTAAATTTTCTGCTATGATTTTCCAAGTTCTTTATTAAGTTAGGCTTATAACTAAAAAAAAATTAAATACTTTAAAATATAACTCATTAATCAGATGATCGGATTAAACAAGCCTGGAATGTAATTGTATTATGTGGAACAAATTGAAGAGAATGCATTGAGCATCATATCCAACCTCATTTGACATGTCCTCTGGAAAAATTAGCTTATGGAGAAAAAATAACTTGATCAAATGAATTTGTATTAAGCATATGGATCATTATAATTCAAGAGCAAGAAAAACAACAGATGTCATTGCTTGATATGCCAGCTGCCTGAGACTGCGTGTGGGAGAGGAGATTATGGTTTATTTTTGCAGTCTTAAGATAATTCCTTTCTTCTCTCTTTTGTAGTTCATTTCCATAATGAATTTCTTCTTGCCATTTTGGCAAAATGTCAAGCCCTTGGATCTTCTCCAGGTGAGTCACTGAAAATTAAGACTTTTTAAATGATTCTAGCAGAGTTAAACTGCCATTCAGATCTATCATATCATCTTGCAGTAAACATTGATGAAATCAATCTAATTTTCTTCCTGTCTTGTAGCACCTCATCCAAAAACTCCACAGAAGTTACCTCCCAAACCACAGCTGATTAAGAAAGGAAAAATTAAGAAGCAAAAGAAAGTGTTAAGGGCCAATTTTGAGGTACAGTGATTTTCAAGTCTTTGTTTGGGATAATGTATCACTGGTCATAATGAAATCTCATTTCCTCATATTTCACTATACTATCCTTGTCCATGCTCTTTTTGGTAATACAGTAATGAAAAGTCAATTGAATAGATGTTGACTAATATTTTTAATTTTTGTTTTAATCACCAGCAAAGGTTTGCTCCTTGTGACCCTTTACAGAATGCTCCACAGCTGTCTTTGAAGGTTTGTTTAAACTTATTCAGATCATCTACTTACAATCAGATCTTTTTCAACCCTTATCACTTCAATTTTTTCTCTTTTACCCCCATTTATTAAATAGTCACCCCCTCCTTCCTTCCCCCCCCCCCACGAAAAAAAACAATGTTGTATTGGGATTCCATGAACTTTAAGCTACTTACAGGTAACATTGAATGGGGAAGGGGGGTTCTTGTCAATGATTTAGAGAGTGGTAGAAACAGGAGTGTTATTCTCCACATGGACAGAACTTTTCAAACATGATATATCAACTAGTTTTGATACTGATTGTAGTTCCTGTTCATATATTGCTGTGAGCAACAGAAACATAAGTATAATTATTGATTATTATTTCATCTGGGAGTGAAATTTAAACAAATTGAAACTTAGACATAATATGCATTGTTTTACATGGGTTGCTTGTATTCTCAAAAAGTTCAAAAACAAAAAAGAGACAAGGAAATTTTCTCAGATGTTCAGAGATTGTCCATTACATTTGTAAAGATGAAGGTAAAATTTCAACCAGTAAAAATGCAAATGAGTATTAAGTGAAAATTAAAGTGTGAATTTTTTCTGATTGTTTTGGTGGGATTTTCATGAATTGATTTGAAATTTACAACATGTGCACCAGTCCTTAATTCACATTTTGTTCATTGGTCCAACCACATGTTCTTGTTTTTTTTTGTTTTTTGTTTTTAATATGTTTTCTCCTTTGGCTGATGTTGTTGCAATTTCCCATATATAGGGTAAGTACCACTCGTGATAATGATAATAATAACAATAATAATAATGATGATGATGATGATCATAGCAAATACTGTATCCATTTGTTAAAACATTGCTAGAATTTTAGTAGAATATTATGAAAAGTCAATGCACATATAAGATATGTTGATTATAGCTAAATGTTGTTCTCAGAGATGTGGTTGAGGATGCAGACATCTGGGTAAGCACCCTCCCTGGGCTCAATGTGTGGTGATGGTTAGCAGGATACTTTACTCTTGCAGTGCCTTTTGTCAACCAGGAGTGTTAATGGGGTCCCTGTGAACTGTCAGGGAAAGTTGACAAAAAGCTGGGGGGAATAAATTCCAGCAATCTCAGGGCAATTATGCATGTGATGTCTCACCTTCTCTTATTGGGGTTCTCCTCTCTTCTAAGTGTTCTCCTTTTCTGGTGGTAACCAGAAAAATTTACTGCCTGAAGTACCTCTTTTACTTCTTAGAATTTATTGCAATTCTTGAAAATTTATCGCATAAAAGATTGTTCTACCCATTTAAAAACATTTTACCAGTTGTGCATAAATGAAGGGAGATCCCTGTCTGTAATGTTATAATTTTTTGATCCATACACAAAAGTTTGGTTAATCACAATTGTGAAAATGAAAAAAGATGTTGCAAATATTGTGCAGTATGATATGGATATTTTATAGTGCAAACATGTACAATATTTCCAGAGAAGCTACCACACATTTCCTTGTAAATTGATTTCAAGAATTAGGTGTTCAATCAAGGTAATAAATTGTACCTGATGAGTTTGAGTATTCTCACAACTTGTTTGCTGTATAATTCATGGATAGTATAGGGAGAAGTTACATGGCAATCAGTTGTGGTAGTTAAGGGGTTAAGCATTTTGTGTTTTTACAGAGCTTTCAGAAGACAGTGAAATTGGTCTTTGTTCATATGACTTGATGTTACCGGACTCTGCTACCATATATGGCAGATTGTTTCTTGGTGCTTGGGATGCTGGGTTGGACAGTGTTGCGGATGAAACAGTGAACCTAATGCTTCATGCCACAGAGGTACTGGAATGTCACTGCAAATTTGTCCTAGTGTAATAGGTTAAAGGTTGAGTGCACAATGTTCTTTTCTTTAGTAAGGTTTAATCTTTTACTTTGTTGCCTCATTCTTTACATTAATGGTTGAATGTGGGAGAAGCTGTGGTTTTGATTTGTACTTCTATCATTAAAGAACCTCTATATTAAACATCATTTAACAATAGCCAAGAAATAAATTATTGTGCCCAATTAAAATATTGGAAGAGAAACCTTGATTTTATTTTATCTTGAATTTACAGAGTAGGTAAGAAGTTAATTTCTTTGAAAATTTTAAACAAACATAAACATAGTGTTTAAGGACCCCAAACTAGCAGGAGGCAGACCAGTTGGCTAATTACAAAGTGCAGCCAAGCTGTCAAATTCAAGACAACCACTATTAAATCCAGTGCATAGTGGGATGGAGGGCTGGCACCAACAGATAACAAGACCAATGCCCTAACCACTCAGCCACACTACCTCTTAGAGAAATATAACAAAGAAGCAAAATAATGTTAAAAAAAAGGGCTTGAAGTGTATCAGTTGAGAAAAAACACATGTACTCAAGCAGAAACTGGTTCTCATTTAAAAATTTCTCAACTTCTAAGTACCTGCAATTTCAATCTTTCTTCCCTATCATCAACATCTCCAACTCAAGACACCCCCCAATGCTCATTCCTATTCAGGTTAAATGAATGACATTCAATTATTTTTTTCTCTTATCAGTACTTAGTGAAAGATATTTTGACGGTTTGCTGCTCAATGAGGAGCAACTTTAGACTCAGGGATGGACATTTCCGCTATGCCATGGGTGGGACCTACCCCAGGATGCACCTCAGAAATAGTACCAGTCCCTGGCCACCAGGTGCTGAAAGGTAAGCATTGTGAATTTTTTAAGGGCGTGTATTATTTCCTTAAGCGGTGGGTTTTATGAATTGTTGAAAATTTTAAAGCAGCCTTGCTTCTGCTTAAGCCCTAGTTCTTGCAACTATAAGAGGAGGCCAGAACAGTTCTGAAATTACACAAGCAACCACCCTACGTATAAACTTTCAAAGGCCATAATGGTTAAATTTGAACGGGAGTTTAATGGTTTAACTTGCCAAAGTTTATCTTGTTTTCTCTAGTATTGCTACTCCCCATCTCCTCCCCCCAAGGTTCATGATTGTCTCAGCCCGTTGTGTCTTGTGGAAGTCATGAAATGACAGCTCGCAAGGTTTTGAAAAAATTAACTTCAAATTCAAGGCGAGCTTAGATGAAAATTCTGATGTTTTATTTCTTTAATCGAATTATTACCTTTTTCATTTACCACATAAGATGATACTCTATTTGGGTGAAGAAGCGAACACACTGGATACGGAAAGCTGGCGAATGAAGCCCCGGGCTATTTTTTTTCCCGCGCAGGGGTCGTAGTTCGCGTCAAACCGTTCGGCCCTACACACGTCAGTTTTCACTGTGATTTTCGATGAGATTGCACGAGCGGCGCGGGACGCGTCATCTGATAATAAATAAACCGTAGTCCTCAGTCACAATCATTTCATGTGAATCGACTTCCGGGCAAATCAACTTACGGGCGGTAAGACCCGTTGCCATGACCCGATGAGAGTTTTAACCCAGGTCTTTCGAAGACTAGCGCGCTGACCATGGAAACCGCCGCCTCCTCTGCAATACGCAAAACATGCAGTTGAGCGCGAGCGTTTCCTCCCTGTAAAAGCGCTTTGACAACAAAGGAAAAAAGGCCATTGTTACGTTAGTTGCAGAAAAGTTAGCGTACGCAAAGGACACAACTTTCTATCAGCGACCTTCAAGTTGCCAGTTTTGTTACAGAAAAAGCGTTTTGAGCAAGTTTCCATAGCGAAAAATGGCTTCAACTTCGATTAAAAGCAGACAGGAATCTTCGCGGAATCTTTCCTATAAAGCCAAAAGTTTTGTTGGCAAATGTGAAAGAGAATTCCGTGAACTCAAGCAGCGTGCAGACAAGTACTTTGACGACTTGGACAAAGTCGAGGAGATGTGCCAGCGAGCGAAGCAAGACGTTGAGAGAATTCGACTGGAAGCTCAGGCCAAAAAAGAGATAGCAAAAAGAGATGCCGTCTTCCAAGCCAACTTGTATTTTGTTGTCCAAGAAATGACGGGTAAACGGAAGAGAATGAAAGTCAGAGAAGAGACAACGGCGGCAGAAGAGAAGGGGCCTGAACCGGCCAGAAACGCTGAGCGGGACACATTAACTGGTCGCGTTTGTCGCTATGTGAAGATTGGCTGTTCATTGGTGTTTGATGCAGTAGCTGTATATGGACTGTTCAAGTTAACGCAACCATACTTCTAAGTCTTGGCTCAGGGTTGGGGGAGGGGAGGTACTGACTGAACTGAAAGAAAGAAAATAAGAACGAACAATGTGGGTTTTTATGTTCTTCTTACTCAGGAAAATGGTTTCTATGACTTCTCAACTCCAAGATTTTTACACGAAGAAGGAAAACAACAGAAGGGAGATGAAGATAGCAACAGAACTTCAGCATGAACAGCAAAATACAAGTTGAAATCGATTTTTGTAGAGTTTACGAATCAATCAGGATGTACTAAGAAATAAACAATTTTTTCCCTATCAAACGATGGAATTTTTTTTTGCTTTTCCTCGCGGAAAGTTTATCCAGGCTTTTCTATCAGTTGAGAAGCGAGAAAGAAAAGTTATAGTTAAAAAGCAAGCAAAAGAAAACTAGGCATGTGAGCCCACGAGAAGTGAGCCCGCGCTAAGCTTCCCAGCTTTTGGTTGGCGGAAACAAGCGAAACGGCGTGCGCGAAAAACAGGGGAGGGGCATGGGTTCGGGGAGAGAAAACACTTCGCTGTGGAATCGACTACGAACAAAAAAGAGCGGTGAAAGTAGAGTCTGAAAAATGCTACTAGCTCTCATTAACGCTGTGGCACGAGCGGCGAGGGCCACAAGACTCGTGTTGCCTCGCAAATCAAGCGTGCGAGAGTTGTGTGTGGGGTCTGGCATGACTTTCGAGCCCAGACACTTGCAAGCTCCTGTAGGACCTCTCTTACGCTTATAAGACAACCCTAATGAGAGCCTGCTTTTCGACTCTGATATTCGTAAAAGAATTGCTTCGCGTTTTGAGGTCCGGTACTGCCAATGTTGTCAAGAAACTAGTTTAGACTCACCCACATATTTATCTTGTGTTGGTTCAGATCTTTGGGCTGTGTTAATGGTGCTGCCAGCAGTAGTAGCAACAGTGGTCGAACGTTGGAGCAAGCCGAAGCTGAGGCAGCGGTCACAGTTGCCAGCAGTGATAGTACGGGAACAGCTAAACCTCCGATTTCTCTTATGGATCTTAGGGATGCTCTACAGGTAGGTTGGAGATTTAATTATGTCTATAATTACTAGTGGACTTCAACGAAAAAGCATTTCCTCATCATTTCAATCAGACGAAAATAGTCGTAGTGCCAAATGCGGGGCGAAAACGTCTGTGGGTCTTACTCTCGTCCATAACCTGAGTTGATGACCTCTTCCGGTTCCTAGGTATCTCTTTTGAGGAGAAGGCTATCTTTTTTCTCTTCTCACATCTGCGGACGTTCGCGTAACGGAGTTTCACGTTTCCTCCATCGAGATGAACGCCCGGTGGCAAGTTGCCCCGTCCATGCCCTAACATATGATAAGAAAAGCGGAAGGGGGAGGGGAGGGGAAGGGAGATAAAATCAGTAGAAAGGGCAAAGACCGGGAGAGTCCCTTGGCAACTAGTTTCAAAGGATAGAGCGTTACATTTTTTTAAATTAACTTCCGCAGTTGATAAAATCTTGTTTTTTTTCTGCAGGTTCATCGGAGAGTGATTCCCTCGCATACTGTATATTCGGCAAACATCGAGAGAACACTTGCAAACATGTGTCACCCTGGTCATGACGAACTAGAACAAAACCAATTACACAAACTTGAGGCAAGACGAAGATATGAAAGACTGAAACAGCAAAGGAGCTTAAGCTTGAGATTGTAACTAAACGCCTTAGTGTGACCGTCTTCAATCCAGCCGCTGATACTAAAATTTCTACGTAGATTTCCATGAATATTTTACTCTGTCCAAGCCCAAAGAACTAAATTCAAGGCTTCGATGATAGAAGCGACTACCCTTTCTCGCCAACCGACCAAGAAATAAAAAATGGGCTCAAATCTTGTGGTTATTTAGTGATAATATAACTGAGATAATGACTTTCTTGGCTATCTTTGGACACCTGTTGTGGTTTGTTTGTCATTTGCATATCAGCTGTTCAATTCCGGTTTCACGAAAGAGGAACAAAAGATTTTAATTATATTTCTTTTCTGTGAGGTAAATAAGTTATTGAGCAACATCTCCCGCTTTGACATACCACTCGAGGAAAGCCCCTTACCTTGTCACGTCGGCGTAACTCTTCAATCTTCTTGCGTGACAGTTAACCTGTCACGATAAGACCAGTAAACAAATAAGGAGTTGCCGTAGAAAAGGATCCGCACGGGACTACGCTGGAAAAGGAAAAGTGACTGTCTAAACGTCTGTTTGGCTGCTAATTTTCTCTAGTAAAGATAAAATGATTATTCAATGATTTGATAATTCGAGTATTTCTATAGCGCTATTTACGCAGAAATGATCATTAGTGCTTTACAATGATTCACCTACAAAACTATTCTACAACATCTAAGTATACCATGTAAAATGTAAATGATACTTACAATAAATAAAATAATTCAGATTAAATAATACTCAAAAACTGAAATAAATAAAATTTCTGATCTAATACGGTTAAAGAAAAACCCAATCAAAAGGGTAGGTCTTGCGTTTAGAAATTGTCAATGATGGGATTGCACGCAATTTAGCGGGCAAACTATTCAATAAACATGGTGTAGCGGGACAATAGGATATAGCAGCAAGCGTAAAAAGCATTTTCTCTTTAGGTGGCTCCAGTAAAAAGGTGCCATTGCATCTAAAATTGAAAGACGACTTCGATTTAACACTAATTAAATCACCAACATACAGTGGCGCTAATCCGTGAAATGCCTGAAAAGCTAAAACTAATTTCAATTATACCTGAGTTGCGCGTGTCTCGCTTCAAGTCTTATTGAAACGACTGTCGTAAAACTCTCTAAACCTTTTGCCAGTTTCCTACATTGTTTACGTTAACATACTTTTTCTAAGGGTGGTTTCGTGTGGGGGGAAAGGAAAATTATTACGATTATGATATCTAGACATGATATTTTACAACCTCGCAAGGATTTTGTAGATCAGTGCATAAATTGTTCAGCTCGGCGACTATCACGAGAATGTTTCAGTGAAGATTATATTTTAGGTTCCAAGCTTCCTGAAAGTCACGTACACGTTCAGATCCCTGGTTAACAGCAGGGTGTCTCGTGCGTCTCTACTTACCGAGAGCCCGGCGAAGGCTACCTCTCATTTCATAGTATGAAATGGCCATCCACCAGAGGAACTTCTTAGCCTATGTTCCAAGCTCTCAGGAAGCAGACAGAGTTCTTTCCTTTGCCCGTTCTCCCCCGCTCCCCTGAAGTGCCATGCTAAAATCACCGAGGTTGCCTTGATAACCTACCACCAACAGTTATCAACAATGCGAACAAGAGAAGAGAGAGGTACTGTGGGAGTGGTTTACGCGGTCAAGTAGCCCGAAAGTCATCGCGCCCGAAGTCCTGTCGCCCGAAACTTGTAGTCAGGTCGCCCAAAAACCTAAATCATGTCCCCCGATTTCTACATCGGGCGACTTGACTTTGGACGAGATGACTTTCGGGCGACTTGGCTTGTTACCATGGAAGTCAACGAACACCAACGCCTTCCTTTTAGAGTATTAGCGGAAGTAAAGAGAATCTGAGAAAAGCTCAACGGAGATTTGATTTCTAGCAACGTAACTGGATATGAATCCTTCAAAGGTTTTGCTGCTGCTGCTACGATTCACATCGGTCTAGGGTCAATAGAACGATTTTCCACCAAGTGATTCATAACACCTTTAAACTAAAACTGAGGAAATCACGGCAACCAAACCGAACGGAGACAATTCTCACGAATAACCAATAGGAACTGAAGGTGAACAAGTAAACTTTCTCATTAGCGGGAAAACAATAGCAGTGAACAAGTTATATAAGTGATACAGCTTGTAAAGACTTATCTCTGAGTGGACCAGAGGAAAATCCAATGGAATTAGTATATTTTCTGAATTCGGATTACCCGCATTGCTTGTCAGATTGCCATGGATTATTTTACATACCTGACTAGTAAGCAAGACCGGGCATATGCTCTTAACTGTCAACAAGTGTTCATTTCCTTTTTCCTTTTAACACTTTCTTAGAGCAAAAAATTAAGCGTGATTTCTTAGGAAGCATATTGGCGTTCGATAAACCAAACCATCATACCGACCTCCTCTCATTTTCGTCGAAACGAGGTGAAGTTTTCGCTTGAGGATGTGAAGTAGGCTCCTTATAATGAAATCTTCCTGAATATCGAAATTTGCGGGCGCAAAGGTGGATGGGAACGCAAATAGGAAAATGCAAATGTATAAAATTGATGTGTTTAAATAAATTAGACTGTTTACTTTGAAAGAATCTAAAAACAGAGTTTTGATTTCCTCATGTGTTCTTGCCTCTACCAATGGTATGAACAGTAGTATTTTTCCTGAATCACTTTGCTGTTTATTACTGAAGATAGTGCAGGTGTTCCCCAGCTTAAGGTATATCTCCCGCGAAGTATATTGTAACAATTAAAAGAATTTAATTACAATTCTCCAGAGATGCGATTTTAATAAGCGACTTGTCTTGCTCGTTATCTTTAACGATTTCCTTTGCATCTGCAAAATAACACTCATCTATTCATTCGATATCAAAAGTTGAAACTCTATCTGGATCAATTCAAGGTTGTTATGTTCTGAGAAATCAACTCTGATAGCATGGTAAGCTAATGAACGAGCGAGTTCGGTATTGGCTGGGTGTCTCATTAACAGCCCGTGATTAAAACGACTTGATTGGCATTCATTGTGGTTTCCTTGTTTATCATTGGTTGGAATCAACGAGTGGTCTGCCCAAGAAATAAACGAGACTGCCGCCTGTCCCATTTCGTTCTCCGATTGGTTCGTGAGACAATGGCACCTAATTGCAAAATGAAATCCGCGGCTAATATGCCCTTTATATTCTAATTGCCTTCGCAGTAACGAAGACCCATCTATTGAGGCGATTCCTAAACGAAGATTTCATCCTTGGATGCGAAACCTTGCGTCGCTCGTCGGCGTTTGCGATCTTTAGATGTGTACTTGTGAAAGCTTTGTCGACGGGCGCGAAAGGGAAGTAAATTTGAAGTTTGGCAAGGAAAATCATCGCGTGAAAGGTAGTTATAATTTCCGATGAGTACGAGCTACAGACTGCGTGTTTGTCACTTCTTGTGTGTTGAATTCGGTCCGATTGAATTTGCTTCATTGTCCTTGTTGCGATTGATTTTCTAAAAGATCACTTATCGGTTGAACGCTTCCGAACCAAAAATCGTATTTTACAGGGTTGAGTGATATTCCCGGGAAATTTAATATTGCCTGCGGAAAATTTGGGCTGCGATTGTGTGCAGTCGAGTACATTGGTTCTCGTTCGATCGTGTTTTTTTCTTAATCTTTTGGGAATTAGGGGCTGTTTTTTTTCGGTGCTGGTACGTCAGTCGAAGTCTTACTCAACAGGTGCGAAAAATTTACAATTTACGGTGTGAAGCACCACTATAATTTACAGAACAATGTACTTTTTTGCGTAGATTTTATTTTCACCGAATCGTGGCGTGTGTAAGGTTTTGTTTTCAACCGCGTGACCATGCTTATTTGTTCGTGTAAGTCCGAAAGAAAAGCCTTAATTCAAGTGAGTACGTAAACCTTAATTCAGCACTGCGAGATAGTTGAGTTGTTTCGTTGTAGAGACACGTACTTTTGATCGTAGAATTCAGCGCATGGTTCAAACTCGTAAGTCAGTCGACACATGTGGTATTTTACAGTTTATTGTAAAAATCGAACATTTTGTATAAGGTTGCCCTGCATGTGGTGATCAACATTAAAGAAGTTTTTATAAAAACCAAATACAATTTTTTCTTAAATAGATGTCTATGGAACTTTGTTCCTACGGAGTATCAAATATTCTATAATTTTTTGTTTGATGTCTTTGTGCTCGAGTTACTGAATTCGCGTGAAAATTATATTTTCAAGTTATTTATACATATGGACACTGGTGTAAATAGAGTGGCAATTTTTATTTCAAACTTCTCATAAACAGATCTTTTGCTGTTTGCAATTTTCTGATTGATTTAAATTCACCTTTGATCATTACTCATAAATACATTTTTTTTCCTATTCACTGAGATAAATCATTGGAGTGTCCTGTGACTACACTGAATAAGACAAATCAAAGGTCAGCTTTTTTACATACATAAAATCTAGGTCTGTCTCAAATGCATAAAACAGCTTCTGGTGTTATGTTTCCTCAACACTATGAAAAAGATAAAGATATGGGCAAAATTAAATTATTGCTTTCATTACGTTTGTGTTCTTATGAAGCTTACATTTTTGTTTTAAATGTTGGATGATGCTCTTCGTGGATAAACTTCTGTCCAGTGGATAAAAAATGTAAATCGATTAAACTTAGACCATAGACTACACTCTCTATTATGTAAGCAGTTTAAAAACCTTTAAGGGATGTAGGGAGAACACAAATCAAAGGCAGGTGTTGAGTGATTAACAATTTTTTGGGGTTCTCCTAGCATTCCAAGGAGGTTGCTTTGTTGGATGAACATGAAAAGTGCAGTCTGTTGCTTTCAAACAATAAATTTATAGGCTGTAGTTTTCTATTGATTTACTCCTACAATTAATGATATGTTTTTTGGCCACTCAGAGCTCTGGTGAATTATTTCAGTTCCAACAAAACTTGTTGATAAAAGTGTTCCTCTCATTAACAGCCTTGCCAGAACTATGATAATGTGCTAATGCTTGTTAAGCAAATGATGTGTACAGTGAAACTCAGTAATACAGAGCACAATGATTGATAATCAGAAGAGAGAAATTGTTTGGAAATGGCTGAGGTGGGTGGGGGAGGGGGGCAGATCATACACGAAGCAAAGTACACAGCCCTTCATAGTTTCTCAAATATCCTTTCTGTGGTTTGTTTGTATAAGCGATGTATCTTGCAATCTTGGTAGTGTCCAGTGTGTCTGTAATCAATTGATGATGATTCGTAAGTACTAGAAAGTTTCTCAAACAAAGTCTTATGGCTGATGAAATAGGCAATGAAAAAAAAACTTCTTGATTGAATCTAAAACTTTCTCTTGCTCCTTCCCCCCTGCTCTATTGTTTGTGTAATTGCAATATAAGATATATATTTATTTATAAAATGTTCAGAGAAATGTGCATGCCATGATTGGTGAGAACTAGTTCATTATATTTCCATAAAGCATGCACCTTACAGGAGTGCACTTTTGAGATATAATGCATGCAGCTTATGTCATTAGTATGAGCATATGCAATTCACAATACATTTTAGAAAAGAAAAAGAAAAATTTGTTCCTTGAGCATTGTTGAGTTATATAAGCACTTGGGAATTTTTAAGAACACACAAGAAGTGCAAGAAGCACTGGCCTTCGGCTCGTGCTTCTCAGCTCTTAAAAATTCCTGCATGCTTATATAACTCAACAATGCACGAGGCATGTTTTTAATTTGTTTAATATATATATATATTTAAGTGCTCTTCAGTTGACGATAGCAATATTGATGGTATCATTTGTTTCATTTTTAGATTTTGTTTGAAATTGGCAAAAGCCTCAAATTTAAATTAATTTATTGTATTAGTGCTGCAAGTTCTATCAATTACAAATGATACATGTATAGGTTTCTCTGTTATGTTCACAAAAATGTTTAATTTTTCTTTTTAAATCTCTTTAATTATTTGTATCCAACATTCCACCAACATATGTTGTTATTCAAAAATTAATCCTGCCTATAACAGGTTATTTTACACTTGAAACCTTAATTAATCAAGTCTTAGACAATGCCTCATTAACTCACAAAAGGCTGTATGAATGTATTTTCTTGAGGAGGTGCACAAAATGGAAATATTGTGTTCTTATATTTTTAACATAAATTCTCTATGGAGGTCTTTTATAGATTTTATAGTGTTCAGTAGTCAAGCTATTGATTGAGTTATTTTCTCTTAGTGTCTCAGTGCTCAGAAATAAATGTAGAAGAGATCCAAATTTAATGAGAACATATTTTATAAGGATGGTATAACAATCAGAATAATCATTTGGTTCATAATCTAATTGCGGTAATGTTGTCATAGAAAAAAAACAAAGAGAAGAAAAAAGCCATTAATGAATTAATTATCGTATAGAACAAACACATTGGCATTCAATTCTTTTCTTTTTAATGTTTGGAATTACCTGAAATGGTCAAACAGACATCTGATTCTCCAAAGATTTAAGATGATTTTTTGGTGGAAATTCTATGATATACATCATGTAACTAGGGGTTAATTTTATGTGCTAATAGGATCCTTTTTGGCTTTTTTCTTTTTTGTTTTGCCTCTTCTATGGCACAATATGGCAATTTGGTATGTAGAAAGCCTTTATGGAGTATGGTAATACTTAATTCAAAGTGACACACTGGTGAAGTTACAATGCAGAATTTAATTTTTTATTTCATTGGGTCAGGTTGCAAAATAAACTTAATGTTTAATTCTTACCCTTCCAAGAAGAAGTAAGTTGTTTAAAGGGAATCATCAGTATTTTGAAATGCTGGTAGCATGACTGAATGGTTAGAGTTTTGTAGCTGTCAGAACTCTGAAAAAGGGCTAATGCTCAAAACTTCAGCTGAGGCAGCTCTTTACAGAGGCCAATGCACATTATCAACTCAGTTGATAAAATAAAAATATCTTGTAATACCTCCACTGACACAACAGTTTGTTTGAAAATGTACCCCTTTATTCATTTGGTCTGATCTTTGTTTGGTTATAAATCAGGATGAAAATTTTTAGGTGATGATATGCCACTCACTTTTACTTGCAATTCATTTCTTCTCTATTACACTGATTACTTAGAATTGACCCAAACCTGTTTTTCTCTTCTTTCCAGTTGTGTATGAAGCTGATCTCATATGATCATGGAGTCAGCTCCTGTGACTGAGAGCTCTTATTCCATATCAGCTAATGCACAAAGTGAATCTAGCAGTATTGTGAAGGAACCTAAAGCACCAGAGGGAACTCTATTACGTCAGGTTCAGGATGCTAAAGAAAGTATTACTGTTCTTAAAAATCAGGTCTCTTTTGCAAACCAGTGTCTTAGTCTTCTTCGAAACCAAATGAAGCATGCCTCAGACACCCTGAACATTCTTCAGGATCAAGTTGACCTAGCCCAAAGAACTGTTAGCACTTTGACAGAAGGTAGTGCCACTGGATTGGCAATACCACAGCCACAGAGTGCAGCAGCTACAGCAGGAGTGAGTAGGTCTCAACCATTGTGGGTTCCTCCCACTGTAACATCTGATGAACAGAAGGTGATTGTTCATGACAGTGAGGGGCCTAAGGTATACACGTTGAGCAAGTCAAGTTTGTCATTAGGGAATCAAGGTGCCACTCCATCAGACTGTGCAACATCACATGAGCATGGCCAAGTGCCATGTGTTATGCATCAAGTCCCGGTGCATTGTCACTGCTCAACATGTCTTTCCCGTGCAAATGTCCATCATGTTCCACAGGCATTTCATTCCCAATGTCATGCCTCTCCTGCCAGAGCTATCATCCAAGTTGGTCCAGATGTGCCTCCACCTCCACTTCATGCGGTGAGCATGTCTCCCAGTAGTGTGGTGGTAACGGAACCAACAAATATTTCAACAAGCCTACCTCAATCCAGTCCTACCAGTAAAAGTGCACCGAGTCAAGAGGAGAGCAAAAACAGCTCAAGTGAGGATGGAAGTTCTTCAAGGAAAGAGTCTGCTTCAACTTCTCCAATGGCACACCAGTTACTTCAGGTAATTGATGTCTTGCAAACGGTTGATGATGAAGTTGGTTGCTCCCGCAGGTCTACCACACTTTCGTCCATGTCTCGTGGTGTCCCTGTTGGTTATGCAATGACAGGTGATCACCTTAACATCCCATATGGAGGTGGTGCCGTCTCTTTCCACAAGTTTTCACGAAGACATCGCAAGCAAAGCATGAGTCCCGCTAAGGTGATATCCTCTGAATCTCTGACAGCAGCATTTCAAGAAAAGAACTCTTCAGGTAATACCTGCTTTAAATATATACGTTGAGTAATTATTATTTTAACCCCTTAACTCCCAGAGGTGATTAACAAGTAACTTCTCCCTACAATATCCATGCACTATCCAGCAAACAGGTAATAAGAATACTCAAATGTACCAGGTAGAAGTTGTTATCTAGATCTAACACCAAATTCTCGTAACTTATTTACAAGGAAATGTGCGGCAGCTAGAGGGGAGAATTGACAATCAGATCTTGGGAGTTAAAGGGTTAACAATTTCCACCTTGATGACTAACCAATCTCGAGCATGGTGTTGTTACTGCAGCTGTTTTTACTGACCTGGCTGTGATTGGTTGGTTAACTGTTACTGCCTAATATATCACTATTTAACAAATAACGCTTCGCAAATCAATGTATGATATCAAGCGGATAGTGATTTATGTGGTGGATAACATTAGTTAAACTTTAAACAACTATGCTAGAGCCGAAGTCTGCGAAGCCTAAATACTTAAATTTCAGATCTCGTTGGTAATATGTGATCAGAGCAACTTTAAGTTGAGTGTCAAAAGTAATCCGGAATTGCGTTACTTTGCTCTGTGATTGGTTCAGAGAATTCCCGCCACTCTCTCAACCAATCAGATGAAAAAATAACGCGTATCGCGACCTGGTCGCCCGCGTTTTCTCGCGCTTTAGGTGGTTGACCTGTTTTAACTTTGAGTCCTCATTGGCTCTTTACGGTTTTCCTTTTTTTGATTGGCCAGGTTTTAGTTTTACGACAGTCAATCGAGAAGCGCCCCATGCAGCTATTGAAGTTTGCTTTGTTTTTCCGTCTTTCAGTAAAAACTGTGCTCAGAGATCACTTAGAGTTGATGAGAGTGCCTGCTCCTGTTCTGGCTGCTACCCTTGAGCCAGAGTTCCTAGTGGTTCCATCCAGTAGCTACTCTTATGACAGCCCACCATCATCAGCGACTGATCGCCCTGAAAAAGAGGAGGACGCGAAGGAGAAAACAAAAACGTTAACCGAAAGCTTATTGGTCGAGAGGGTCGTGTCATCTTCAGTAACGCGCGAGGAGACTGATACCGTGTCTTCAGCCCGGTCACATGTACCACCCGAACAGCCAAGCGGTGCTCCAGACGGAAAAAGAGTTTTGGATGAATGTAGAACCGAAGGATCGTGTAATATATATGATGACAAATCACAACCAAGTCGAGTTTCTAGTGATTCTCTTGGCTACGTCTCGCTTACGTCTTTGCCGGAGAAAAACAAACAAACAGACACGCGGGTCGATGCAAACGGCCTTTCTTCACCCAATAGGAGATATACAGGAACAAGCCCCCTAAATTCAGATGTCGGTATGCCGTTCATTTCACCTAAGACTGAAGCTATTAGTTCTGCACTGAACAATTCGACTGAGCCTGTGTCGTTGGCAGCGGTAGTTTCCAAACTGGAGCATACCCCTGAAAAGTCTCCAGTTTTGTCCTCAACTTGTCACATGACGGCCTCCCAGGCCCCACCCATGGCCGTTATCTCTTTACCTAATAACGCTGAAAGCTCAGTTACGCCTCAAAAAATCACGTCTCCAACAAAAAAACCGATCATTCTGTCGAGACGAGCGTCACGAAGTAGCGAACAAAACATTCCCCAGGGGCTCGTGGTACTCGTCCCTACGATAGAGGATGCCAAGCGTCTGATAGCATCCACGGGGGGTAGTTCAGACGGCCACACTCCTGTGTTAGTTCCTCAACATATGTTAAATGAGATTCACACGAAAAACGCCGTTTCCGAAGATGATCGGGACGTGCAACGGCAAATACTCGGAAAGCGAAGTCGTGATATGGTTTCCCCTCCGTGTCCCCCCCAGCCAAAGAGATCGGCCGTTGATTCAGTTGTTATCGATTGAGATGCGTTTTGTAAATATGGATTTATCGAGAAGAAATATTTATTAAAGTGTCTTAGAGAAGTAAAGTACGAAGCGTCCGTTGGTAATGGGGAGGTTTATTCCCTTGTTAACCCTTTAGCCCCTAAGAGTGACTAGCATCTAATTTCTCCTCACCATATCCCCCCTGAATCAAAAATAGAAGTCATGAGAATAGAGGAGATGATCACCAACTAAGCACCCTATTGATTGTATAAGAAATTCTCCCTGTCAGCCTTTAAAAATGTATGGAGAAAATGCATACTGATCTTAGGATGTAAAGGGTTAAGGGACATTATATGAAGTACAATCTTTTGGCTTACAAAGTATTTATCTACAACTACTTGTCTTATTCAGACGATGACGTCGACATACATTTCGAAGATGTGTTGGTTTACAGCTTTGGTCTTAAAGAAAATTCACTCTCTCGGGGTCAAAATAAGCGGGGGGCGGGGGGTTCCCAGGCGATTTTCTCTCACTACTCACCAAGCCCTGCAATACGGGAACCTAAATAACCCTGAGTATTGAGAAGATTGTTATCATATTTCCTGATTGGGTCTACTCATGTGCATTAATTCTGAATCATCCCTATCTCATATGCATTAATTCTGAATCATCCATATTGAATTTTGAGAAATTGTAAAACTTAAAACCAATGTTGTAGAATTTACAAGCCCATTGGTTTTTCTGGATTATTCCAAATTTCTTGCTTCACTTGGGCAATATTACATTCTCTAGCCAAAAATTTTTCAAATGAGAAACCGCACTGAAGTTAATAGCATTTTCTTCAACTTTGAGGGAAAAAGGAATTGAGTGAAATCTTTGTTGATGGCTCTGCAGCGCTGGGCACTGTGATCGGTGAAAGTCTAACGATCTTTTAGAGACCTCAGCCATCAGGCCTTCGCTCGATTTGTCTGAGTTCCCTTTAGCTATCTTAATTTCTTCTATCTTTTTTAAGACGTTATGCTTTGTGCGGTTTAATTTCCCCTGGCCGAAAAAAAGCGTTTCTGTTTTATAGGGAGAGTGATTTGTAAAGTGAGATTTACTGGTGGAAGCAGCTTCAGCAAATTATTAGTTTATTCTCTGGTATCATCTGCGATGGCTCTGTAACATCAAACCTAAAAGACGTGTGCGCGTCGTTTTGCCTCACCAAGTTTTGGACTATCCATATTATTGCATAAATGAACTAGAGCGACGTCGATGCGGGATTTCTAATCGTATTTCGTCCCCCAGAGATGGAAAAGTGTCGTGAAATTTTTGGTTCACGGCTTTGAAAATCGTTGACTGTACCCACACGATCGTGCCGGTAAAAACGTGTATTACTCTCAGACCTGTTGCAGTGATGATGTAGAAGATGTAGACAAGGGCTGCTATTTTAGTTCCAAATAGCACGATCGGGACAAAAACTCCCAGGAGAGACAATAAGCCTATCGCAAGAGCCCCGCCTTGAAACAGAAGAATAGAGAACAGTACAAATACTGAAGATCCTACGACGAAGGCGAGGAACAAAAAGAACGGAAGAAAACCAGTTATCATGAAGGTGCCCAGGAAGACTGAAGCCACAGGGTGTCTCTGGACAAAGTGGGTGAATTTTCTCGCTTTGCTCATCGCCTGGCAGTTATGGAGATACCTCAAGTGGTCTCTCATGGCGTGAATGTTAGGATCCAGCCACGGAAAGAGGAGATCGCTCTCAATCATTCCGAGGATAAGCTGAAAAAGGAATTATAACATGTAAATAAATACTTTCGAAAATTCAAACGAAGAAATTGTATGCGGGGAAGCTAAATAAGATAGATCATGAAATCTTAGGCAATTCATATGCGACCTCTTTTCTGGTTCATTGAGACATGTGCGATCATTGGTAAACGTTGAATTGAAAAGTAGATCCATCATCCTATCAGTTAATAAAGTAACTTTCACGTACTAACCAAAATAATTTTTCAGTATCGCAAGTTAGATCTTCATTGAAATTAAGATAAACTTGGAAAAGACAACCTTTTATAAAGGTTACAATTTATCAGCATCTCAATGCGATCTCTCCTATACTGGAGAACATGCGTAGCCTATGGTCTCTTGTCGTCATCCATCGCGCTTTTTTTTGTTTCAGCTTTTTCCAGTTTTAAATCTTTAGTTTGATACTTCAGATATGTATGAAATATCTTGATAATATATTGATATTTCAGATATATCTGACCACATTGTCAGTGCTAAAGTCGCACAAAATTGCATGGCCTAACCATTAAAAAAGATACAGGGTAATTTGGTATTATCAACTAAGTTGACAACGTAAATTGACCACAGTAAAGAGTTATGAGGCTGACATTTCGAGTGTTAGCCCTTCGTCAGAGCAATTGGAGGAATTGTAGGATGTGTGTGGGTTTCTATGCAGAAAATGGAGCTACGCTATTGCTGGGAATATGGTGACGAGAAAACTAGAATAAATTAGTTGAATGAAAAGCGCTCGTTAATACTGTGGGGATTAAGAGTGCTAATTTGGGAGATAAATTTTTACTCTAGAGTTTTGCAGCTTTCCGAACTGCCTAGATGTTGGGAATGGCCACAAACCACCATATGCTGCTTCGAATAATTAGGGAGATTAAAGTGTCTAGTGACTGGCTTAGATGCATCCTCGTCACCTCTTTCAATATATAACTTTTTACAATAAGTACAAGTTATGCAATAAGTGGTATTGGTGGAGGTGCTCGTGAAGTGATCAGTGATATTAATGGATCTCTTGAGTTCCGACACTGTTTCTACGTTATGAATGAAACGACAAGTTTTGCATCGTGAGCGAGCGCGTTTGAAAGTTCCAGATTGGTCATTGGTTTGAAATGAACTTCTGACCAAAAAGTTGCCTATTTTGTTATCACGTTTAAATGAAATTAGTGGTAGTTGCGAAAGACAGTACCAGTCTCTGAATCGTTTTGGAGTAATTTAAATTTTTCAAGACTGATAGACTTAACTGCGTGGTTGTAAGAGTGAAATGCGAGCGGTGAATGGAATGAGATTAGTATTTTCCTTCTTAGCCGTTTGTCGTACGATTAAATAAAGGGGGTAGGTTTCTAAAGAAACTGTGGTGCTGCGTCGGTGGGAGAGTATAGCAGGTAATTTTGTGTTAACAAATGGGTTGAAAACGTAAATTGGCCACCATAAAGAGTAAAAAAGCTGAAGTTTCGAGCGTTAGCCCTTCGTCCAATTGCTCTGACGAAGGGCTAACGCTCGGAACGTCAGCTTTTTTACTCTTTAGGTGGCCAATTTACGTTTTCAACCCAGTTGTTGACACTAAATAATCCGGTTGTAGTACTGTCTGTCGATCAATTTGTTGGGCACGGTGGTGGCCCGCTTGAACGACAGAAACAGGATAGCCACGTTTGTAGAAAAACTGGCACATTGTCTCTGATTTTCAAAAAAATCAGAGTCGTCACTACTCATAAACGACGAAGTCTGAGAAACTGTGATAAAGGTATGGAAATCTTGACGTGTGATGGATGCGAAGATGAATACAACAAGTAACTATGTGACTCTGTAGGTCTGTAGTAAACACTAGTGCATAGACCGTTGCCTTCAATTGAAATTTTGATGTCTAGGAAAGCCAAATAAGTGTCGGAAATTTCCCACGTATATTTAAGAGCCGGGTGAAAGGAATTGACGGCGGTTATAAACTGAGTGCGCTCCGCTCTGGTACACTGGAGGTAGCGCCGATGCAGTCGTCAATGTAGCGGCCGTAGAGTTCAGGTTTGGGGCCGTAGTATTGACTAAAAAATTGGTGTGCGATAAAACCAACGAAAAGATTTGCGTAGCTGGATCCCATTTTAGTACCCATGACAAGGCCATCAGTTTGTTTGTGGTAGTTGCTATCGATTGAAAGAAATTGACTGTAAATGCTAGTTCGGCTAGACGGAGTAGTGTTTCAGAGCTTGGTTCCTTAACAGTGCGTTGATTGAAAAAGAAAAGTTTGAGGGCCCGGACACCTCTGTCATCGAGAATGACAGTATAAAGAGATATAATATCCATAGTGAAAATAAATTTGTTTTGGCTAAGGAAATTAAAGTAACGAAATTTCAAGTGCGTGTTGGTTGTAAGATGGTAAAGTTTTGACGCTAGGTGCCATAGTTTTGTCTAAATAGCTGGAAATGAGTTCGGTGGAAATAGGTTCGGTGGGACAACTGCAGGCAGAAACGATGAGTCGACCTGGGTTGTTAGGTTTGTGGATTTTAGGCAAAAAGTAAATACGCCAAGTTCTAGGAGTGATGATGGTGAGATTTTTTGCAGTGGCCGGCAATATTCTTGTTTCGCAATGTTTTGGTTAATGAAAGTAAGATCTTTGTCAACTTTGGCATTAAAAGAGGTGTCAGAAAGTTGCCGCAAAGCTTCTTTTTTTTTGGTAGGGGGTCGGCCCGCCAAACAACGACTGCGCCGCCTTTGTCAGCCTCTTAAATAACTATGTCTTTGCGTTTTTTAGACATTTTAGTGCCGACCACTCTTCTGAAGAAAGGTTGGAAAATTTTGTGTTACGATTGAATTTAAATTTGAGGCGACATTTTTGATGATGAGAAAATCTTTATTTTCGATGAAGTAATCGAAAGATGCAAATTGGCCCTCTGGGGAGTCCATTTAGACAATCGAATCTGAAGTGTTTCGAAAGTATCTTATTTACGCTTCGAAAGTACCTTATTTACGTCATCAACTTAGTTGATAAAACCAAATTACCCCGTCATACTCTCCCACCGACGCAGGACCACAGTTTCTTTAGAAAATTACCCCCTTTATTAACGTCTTTTAATTGCTGCGACCACTAACTCTTGCCTTAGAATCTTTTTCATCCACAGATCTCACAACAACGGACCATGCCAAGCGCTAGCAAGGAGCAACCCCCAGGAGAAGTAAATTACCTTTTTCCTTTCCTCCCTATTAGTAAAGGTCTAGCATTCCGTTTAGCCATTCTCATTTTCGCCAAAACTAGGTTTTGTAGCCACATCCATTTCATCATCGGCCGTTGCCTTCATTCCAAAGTTATTCCTGAGGGTTTTCGCTCCAAATTTCCTGCATTTTCTTTTTCTCATTCTAATCAATATTGTCACCAAATTCCGTGCGCCCAAAATTCTTTTTCACGTAACATTATGAGAATCACAATAAGAGCCAAAAAAACGTAACGAACTCAACAAGCAAATTCTACATTGCCGCTCTGAACTTTCTAAAATCTGTCTACTGTTTAAGTACAATCTATTCGTACCAAAATTAAAGATGCCAATTCTAAACTTTCTAACAATTTGCACCAAATTCAGACACAAAAACTCGACCAACCTATCGGACCTCAAATTATTAGCGACTCATCGCCTGAAAACCTCGAAACTGTAATTACCATTCCAGGAGATTTACTACTTTCCGATTCAGAAAAATCAGTTCTCAGTAAGGGCTATAATTTTGTTCCTATTAGAAAAAACCGACGAAGTTTCAGTTAAGCAAGAAATTAAAAAATTCCTTCGCCGCGTTCAATTGAAAGCCTTTTTTTACGACAAACAGGATGATTCTAACACCTCGAATAAAGATACTTTAGAAACACTTCACATTCGATAGTCTAATGGACTCCCCCTGAGGGCGAATTCGCATCTTTAGATTTTTTCATCAAAAAACATCGCCACGATATTAACAAACTTAAATTCAATCATAACACCAAATTTTCCGATCTTTCTTCGGAAGTAAGGAAAACACTGATCGCATTCCGTTCACCGCTCACATTTCACCCTCACAACCACGAAGTTAAATCTATCATTTAATTGTGTAGTTTGATCGTCCGGGTGAGTGTAGTCCTGAGAAGGACTGTTGTCAGTAGTGGTGACTGACGTTTTGACAATCTGAGCAGAAGTCATCATCAGAGTCAAGTGAACAGTTGTTGTCAGTCGAATGTACTTAGTCCAGTTTGTATAAACTGATTGGTAAGTTTTGCCGTGATGTTATTGGCTGTAAGACTCAAGAAGCGTAGGTCGGTCGTGATTGGTCTGTCTCGATCCGCCTAAAGTTAGGTCGTTCTGTGCGGTTCGTTTGTAATGTTAATGTCGTGAATGAGTTGTTTGTATGGTGCCGGTAGTGGTTGACACCTTTTGAGGGGAGTCTGTTCCAAGTTAGTAAACCAGCTTTCCAGGGTCAGTCGTTGAAAGTAGTTGGTGCGGTAGGTTAGGCATTACGCAGAACCCCAGTCAATATTGTGGTTCTTAAGTCGGCGAAGTTTAGCAATGTGATTGTTGACATCGCCTTTCCTCGACGCTCGTTTGTGTTCAGTCAGTCTTGTTGTGAGGTTTCTGCCAGTCTCGTCGATGTAGGAGGCGTGGTAGTCGGAGCAATTGATCTTATACACTGCTCCCTGTCTGCTCCTTGGTTCGTCTTTGTTTTTGACGTTAGTCAGTAACTGACGTAGTGTGGTAATAGGTTTGTGAGCGACACAGATATTGAATGGTTTTAGGATGCGCAATATGTTCTCAGATATGCCCTTTATGTATGGTAAAGTTGCTATGGTCGTAGGGGTTGCGTTGTCGTTAGCTTGCCGTAGTAGTAGTAGGTCGGTGAGTGTTACGTTGGATGAAGTCTTCGTTGTAGTTTTTCTTTGAAAAACATGGTCAAGGTAATTGTTCTTGTCGGATAAGCTGTCTGTCGTATTGCAAATTAGTTGCACTCGTCGCGTAAGAGTCCTGATAGTTGTGGCTTTGTGTGATGTCGGGTTGTAGGATGACTCGTCCAGTAATCTGTCGGTGTGTGTCGGTTTCCTGTAAACTGTTGTCCATAGTGAGTTGTTGTCACGGCTTAGTTTACCATTTTCTTCGACTTCTTTAGTAAACTGTATGTCAGTGTTTTGTTCGTTAGGGTGGTGGAATGCGTCGATTTCGTCGTGTTGTACGGCGGTAAAAGTATCAGTCAACGTAGCGTAACCAAAGTGTTTTGTCGGAAAGTCGAAAGGGCGCTTTCCTCGATGTTCTGCATCACAATTTCTGCTACAACAACAGAAACTGAAGACCCCATAGCTGTACCGTATAACTGTTTGGAGTGTTTACCGTTGTACTGAAAGTAAGTTGACGTCAGGCAAAGGTTTAGTAAGTCCATAATGTCCTCTGTCGGTAGCGGTAGAGGGTCGGTAGATTGTAGGATGGCAGGCTCAGTACATTGTGGTGCCAGTTGAAGTGGAATACTTGTAAAAAGCGATTTCACATTAAATGACACTGGTTTGTAGTCGTTAGGTATCTGTAAGTCTTAGTGGCGTTAATGAAGTCCCCGGTAGAGTGTAGTTCACGTCTGGATTTGTCGGTGAGCGGTTGCACTATTGTCGTCAGGTACTTGGACATGGCATGTCGGAGAACCACAGAAAGAAACAATAGGTCGCATTGGGAAACCAGGTTTGTGTAGTTTCGGCAGACCATAAAGTTTCGGTGGCTGTGGTACTGAACACCATCGTCGGTAGTAGCGTTGGCTGTCAATGGCGTCTGTCTTCTTGAGTGTCAGTAATGTGCTGTTCAGTTTGCGTTGAAGCGCAGGAGCCGGGTCGCGTTTGAGTTCTTCGTTGGTTTGTTTGTCGTTAACTATTGCATCCATTTCGTCGTGATAGTCAGTCTTGTCCATGACAACAGTAACTCGTCCTTTGTCGGCTGATAGAATAACTATGTCCTTGTCGTTTTTCAGTCGTTTAAGGGCATGTTGTTCGTCTTTAGTCAAGTTGATGCCATGTAGTGAAGCTGATTGTATAGTGGAAGCAATTCTACTTCTGATGTTATCCTTATTAGACTCAGATAGCTCTCGTTGCCGGAAATCTACTTACTTGTCTGTTCAAAATCACCAGAGTCCATCTGAATCATCAAGGGGGCGGGCAAGAATGAAATACAGGGGCAAAAATTGCAAATCCAAGTCTTACTTCTACCTAAATTTGGTCTTTTAAATCACACCAATGCGTTGATTTCGCCCAATAGATGTGGAAGCTCTTCCACATTAATTATCCTCGCGTAACAATAGTACTCAGTTACGTCATAATGATTTCTCTCCTTGACGCACAAATGAGAGTACAATTTGTTCCTTTATGTCTATTTCATAAGATTTTGAGAAAATCAAATATTTCACATTCGAAAAATCAGGATTCTATGCTGGATGCGATGCAACGTAAACCTCCTGGGGCATATGGTTCTAGGCTAGAAAAATAACCTTGTCTGTAGTAATTTGCACACGCGAGTAGGCTCCTACCCTTTTTGTTTTGTTGCTTAGGTTCTACGATATTTCACTCATGAATCTCATTATCTTGGGCCGTAACTGTTCTTGATCGTATTCCCTTGCCAAACCTCTCAATTAGACTTCTCTCAAATATTTCTTTCCCTCTTTCCCGGATCCTTCGAGCTGATATTGGGCCCACGATGTCCTTAAACTTTCAGCGGTTTCGTTACCCATGAGGCTACTCAAAATCCCATAGTTCTTTCTTTCTTAGCCAACATCCAAAATGGTGGGTTTTAGTGAAAATCTATGTTGTAAACATCCTTTTCCATCGAATCTGTTATTGTCTTTACTTCACCATGCAGTTTCCCCTAGTGAAAATAAACCTTAATCTCCTCTTTGATAGTTATATCTTGACGTTTCAACCTTGATATAGCTGATTATCAAAGCGTTAATTTGTACACTCGTAACTTCTGGTAACAGCTCCTCGTTATGCGTAAACTTCACTGAGTGACGAATCATCGACTTAAGATTTTAAGTATATTACTACCAAAATCGAAAATAATAGAACTCAACTGTTAAGTTAGCTGTTAAGGATCGAGTAGTCGGTAGATTTTCCTATGGAGCGAACTCCGTGCAAAATAATAAAGGAAACACGAGAGAGTTTGAAAGTCAAGTTGAAGTATAAGAGTATCCATTCGAACGAGGTTTGTCTTGACTCGTGAATATGCTGGTACATTCCTTGATATATTCTTGTGTCACTGATCACGCGATATGAAGATGCTAAGTACATATATATGTATTTAAATACACTTCAGGTGAAGGTCAAAGCTCACGAACTTCGAGGGAAGAAAAAAGAAGATCTTCTAAGGCAGCTCGATGAGCTGAAGAATGAGTTGGCCTCCTTAGAAGTCGCCAAGGTTACTGGAGGGGCTGCATCCAAGCTGTCCAAAATGTGAGTTGAAATGAATTAATAAACCAATGCTAAGTTGTTAAACCAATAGTGACAACATGATTTTTTCCAAAACTGTCTCTGTTTGAATTCCAAAACCTTTACTTATTTCTACTCACATTAAAGCTAGATCTTAACTGTGAAAACATGATAAAATTGTTCATTACTAAATGATTTCCTACACCCAATTTACTATTGCTGAAAATAGATTTACAAGAGAGTAATGCTCTGTGTGCATGATTATAGACTTTCTGGAAGTCTAGCAGCAGTTGATTTTCTCAGTGCCATAAAACACAATTTTTGGGCAGATGGAAGTTTCCTAGAGTCAGTTTAAGTCTGAGGTGAAGTGAAACAGGCATCCCTTAATTATTTTTGCCTTCATTTAAATGCCTAGTACATTCCCACAACTGTTATTAAATGTTTGTCAATTGTTTTAAGCAATTATGCTCAATTTCCAACGTCATTGGAATTAGTGAAAATTAGAAATGTTTGTTATTATTTGGATGCACAGTGTCCCAATCAAGTTGAAATTTTTTTATATATATTGGAACATAATTGAAACGTATGTTTGAGAAATGATGGAGAAAAAGTTAATAAAGATCCAGTTGTTTGAAGGCAGATGTGTGCTAACCCAAGGTTAAATTTCAGTCTGGGTTTCTTTATTCCTTTGTTCAAAAGCCTCTATGGGATAATTTTCTATATTCTCTTTAAGCATCCAATCATTAATTTTAGAAAAGGAGAGTTACACTGAATTTTTCTTTGAAGCTTTCAGATCTGAAATCAGATTTCACACTAACCCTGGGTTATCTTAACCCAGCTTTAACCAATCAGGTGCAGATGTTAGCTGCTTATAGATTGGCATCTAGATACATAACAAGTTAATGATTTTGGCTGTGTTTCATTATGATCATGATGCTAGTGGATTGATTTAAAACAAATTATTTAATGGTACAGATCATAAAAAGGCTTTAAGAAGCATGATTTTGTTCCTTGAATATATGTTTTTTTAGTCTTGTGAGACTCTCCTTGATTTCTTTAACTGGCAAACACTATTATCAAACTACTAAGAACTATTGTAAACTTTGTTGATGATTTTTTCAGAGTTATAAATTCCTAACTAGGAATATGTCTCTTTGCAGAAAACTTGTTCGCAAATCCATTGCTCGAGTTTTGACTGTTATCAGCCAGACTCAGCGTGAAAACCTGCGCAAGTTCTACAAATCCAAGAAGTTTAAACCTCTTGATCTCAGACCCAAGAAGACACGTGCCATGAGACGTGCTCTTACTAAGCATGAGGCATCCCTTAAGACCAAGAAGCAGCAGAAGAAACTCGCACACTTCTCATTGAGAAAATATGCTGTAAAGGAGTAACTTTCTGCTTTTCAATAAATGCCATGTATAAATAACAAGAGATATTGTTTTCTTGGTTTGTGTTTTAAGCCAGTAGTTAAAGTTTTTCTCCTTGGGAAGTGCTTTTATAAAATGTTATTCTAAGGAAAACACAGTAAAAAAAAATCTGCCAACACCATGATTGCTTGTAATTCATGTTAAAATGCTATCTATTCCTTGTAACTCAATACTTCAGTACCAGATACTTTTGCTAAATTCGACACTGTCCTTGTTAGCAGGTTAAGTTACTGCCACAAGAGTAAAAAGGCTCCTTTCATCAAACACTAGTTCTTATTGTCATCTTTACTACAAGCCACTTGTCATGTTATGGGTATTTTTGGGAATTATAACAGATATGCCTTCATTTCAGGCCAGAAGTCTCCATCTCCAGCAAGAGAAATTTCTCTGATCTCAAAATTTTTTACAGAGGTGTCAAGAAGCTTGAGATAGCTATGACCCAGCTTTACTTAGGTTGTAATGGAAATGTAGGCGGAATGTCAAACCGTGGCTGTTTTTCAGGTGTTATGGTCAGCTACTGTTAAATAATGGGTATTTTTGATAGATTGACCATAGAGTCAAAGTTTGCAAAGTGAAAATTTCCCCTCAAAGTTATTTTTTTTTCACTTGGGATGTCTCCTCCAGAGCAAAAGTGGCCTTTACTCACTAACACACGATGAGAGAGAAAACTTTTTTCCTCCCTGGAGACAGAACCTTCTGGTGGATTGAAGAGAGAATCTTGGGATGGAGTTTTTCATCCAGGGCAATTATCTACCTTCAATCCACCACATGGACCAATGCTTAGTAATCATGTTTACCTGAATTGATTGGCTCATGATAAATTCACTATAGTAAGAGATTCAGGTAAGGCTACTGGTCTGCCACTCATTTGTATTCATGATTTTATCTCTGAATATGATGTAGTTATCATGATTCTTATTGACTGAACAGGGTATTTATGAATAGACTTTGAACCTTTGCAGAATGAAATCATTTAAACTTCATGGCTAGATTAGTGTCTCCTGGCTGACAATATTCTTTACCTCTAAATGTATGATGACTGAGGAAACCTTTGTACAAGAATATCTTAGTAACCACATCTTCAATTTTTGCCAGTGTGACCTCTGGTATTGCTACTTAGCACTCCATGATAGGAGTGAAATCATGGTTTGTCCATGTTCAGTCACAAATCACCATTGAGGCTCTAAAGTGCATGCATCAGAGTACATTTTCTTCAGAGAGGCTTCAAGAATTAGTAAAAAGTGTGCAATATTGTGTGAAGGGGACAACATTTTCACATACTTTTCAAATGCTTTTGCTTATAACTTGCATATCTAATGTCTAAATTGAGTGTGAAAATCATCATAAAACTATGTCTATTTTATCATTGAAAGCCCTTGGGTACACCCAAATATGTCTTGATTAGTGTTCCTTTTTAGGTAAACATACAGGCTAATTTCACAGATGTTATTGTTGTCTTTACACAGTGTCTAGCACGTATATTTCCATTGTTCTTGTAAAGTAGATTTGAACCTCTGCAACTGGTTGCCATTTCCATGAAACTCAGATTATTGCAGGATGATTTTCCCATCTTGATTGAAACTTTCCAAATCCTAAGGATTTTTTAAGACCTTCATGTTCCTCTTGCTTGAACCTTGATCATGAGCCCATGGAATACAAGCCAATGTCAACATCTATCTGATCCTTAGTCCATTAAAATGTTCTATAAAGTTATGCAGTCTTATCCACCATGGAGAGTAGAAATAAAAACAATGTTATCATTTTCTTGCAACTCATAGTCCAGTTCACCCTGTGAAGTAATCAAAGGAGAGGAATGCATTGCAGTTAAAAGGAATAAGTGCTTGACACCTAAGCAATTGCTCTGCATGTTTGAGCAGAAACTGGGTGATGCAGAGCAGAGTAAATTTTCAACATTGAAATTAGTTTATATAATTTGAAGAAAGCATTAATGTAAAACCCTGTGCTTTAATGTATGTCTGCCATGTTCATGTGTGCTCTTGATAAAGAAAAACTCCCTAAAAACCGAGATAAAGAGGAAAGAAAATTTTCTTGATTTTCAGTAAAAAAAATAATCAACAGATATCACAGGGAATGTAATGAGTTTAGGAAGGAAAATTTTTCTGTTGAAACCAACTCTGATTTATTTATGCAGAAAAAGTTCATTTATCTTACTTGATGCTCATCTCAATTGGCTCTTAAACCTCAAAATCTACAAGCTTAGGGAAAATTCTCCAATTAACAGAAAGCAAAAAGCATCAGCTATCAAGGAGACCAAAGAATGATGTATTTTGTGCTGTTTTTGTAAAAAATCTACCCATGTCCCTACCATTAATTCCCAGTCTGCCTCATTTATCAGTACTAGTATACCAGGCCGTCTGAAAATTAAGGAAAAAACACAACTATTTCTGAGTATTTCATTAGTCTACTTTTATTCAAAATATCACTCAAATGACTTCTGAGGCTGTCTGTGAGTACCAACCACTACAGCTGTCATCCTTTTATTCAACTTGAGATAACCATAATGCAACAAAAGTACTTTAATTGTCTGATGTTGATCCCATTCAGCAGTAAAGGAGTAATAAAATAATTATTAATAAGTTGTTAATCTAGCTAGATTAATCCAGGAAGGCATTTTACATGCAATATTTCATTAACAATAGACAGTGATTCATACACTGATTCTCCTTGAACGAACAGTTCTGGTCTTTCCTTAAGCAAGTTGTCTTTGATCCATGCTAGTAATCTTTTAATATTCCCTGTTGAAAAAAAGACCAAAAAAAGTGGGTGCGTATTTTTTGATTGATGAGAGACTTGCAACAAAGTATTTTCATCTTAAGTAATTTTATTAACATCTGTATGCCGATTAAGGCTTTTAGCGGAAAGGCTTAAGTGAACCGCTAAATTCTTCGGAAAATAAGCTCTTAACAGAAATAAATAACGATAATCTAACACTCACATGGCTTTCCATCCTTCTGTAAGACCACGTCATGTTCCTTTACTCTATTGAACAGTAACTCGGCGCCGCCACTTTTAAAGAAGAGAAAATTTTAGTCAAAGTTTATGTTCTCATCAAAACGATCTGCGGTTGTAAGACTGGGAGAAAACCTGGAGCAGAACCTTACCTAAATTGTATCGAAATCTTCAGCTCGTCCGCCATGTTACCTCCTGGCGCGCATATCTTTATAGTACTTGTCCGCTGTACTGAACTTTGCGTGCGCCGCATTTCGGTATTGCCTTTAAGAAGATAAGTTCCTAGCCAACTCTTCATTACAGAAGCGTAATCCTTAACGAGCTTGGTTTCTTTCATGATATTTATGACTTCCTCAGTTTTCGTGTTTTATCTTATACAGGGGAATCTTTCCCCGCCACACACACACACACACACACACACACACACACACACGCACACACGCACGCACGCACACACATGAAGTGTAGTCCCACCAATGTGACAAGCGGCTGCTCCTGTACTTGCAGTTATAAAGGTACTCTGTGGTGGTAACATTGTTATCAAACGTTTCAAGAGATATGACTTGCCAGTTCTTGCACTACCAGTAAAAAACACACTCTTTCCAGCTCTTATGGCGTTTATCACTGTCATTTGTTCAGGTATAAGATTCATTTGAAAAGAACTCAAAGAGCTGAGACGTCTTCTTACCGGTCCACTGTGTTCGTCGTCTCCACAATCCGAATCGCTTTCTTTACCTGTAGTTTTAAATAGCTTCGGTGTCACACCGTTCTTATCTTGCAGAGGTCTTTTCTTGCAGCCCACTGTGAAATCCTTATCTGTAGGAGGGCTTATGTTTTCAAACGACCGCGCTTTATCACTGAAAAGCCGTCTTCTGTTACTTGCAATTCCATTTTGTTTACTTTGAGCAAGTTTCAATGACAGACATTTTAAAGACGTCGCGAGCTGATTCGGTGGACAATTTCGAAACATTATTTGAATCTTCTGTGTTACAGATTTGATGGTAGCCTTCCCTTCCTGTAAAAACCGATTGTGAATGGTTAATTCTTTCAGAAGAAAAGTCTTTCCCAACGGAGATTGACTACTGACGATGTCGCGAAATTCATCTCGACCCCAAGACAACTGTAATACTCTTGAAGGTTGGCCGTTTCGTGACCACACCATTAGAATTGAGGTTTTCCACTGTCAAACAGCATTCTAACTCACTAGCTTCCATCAATCTATCGAAATAAAAGTTTAAAAACGTTTGAAAGAAATGGAAGCTTTAATCTAAAAGGAATCAGTCGTCTCTTTCACCTTTAAATTTTGGTGTCCCAAGACATCGACCAATCACATGCAAAGGGTAAGTAGTCTCCAGTCCTCTTTGTCGGGGTCTAAAAACCGGTTAAATTTAGCAAGAATGTCACAAACAATTCCATATTCTATCGTCCTAACTTCAGTCTATTCCGGTGATTTGGGCTTCCAGATTATTCAAAGAACCTCACCTGAATACCCCTGGATTGATTCATCTGCGCAGCGAACTGTGGAAGCTTGCATACCCTAGTTCTTCTTTCGTGGGCTTTCCCATGTATAGCCTTTCTTTGCAATGCCTTGTAACGCTCTGCCATTCTTAGCCTGCAGAGCAGAGGAGGGGGCGGGGATGGCCAGAATACTATTGACCCACTCCATCCGGAATCCCCTCTCCTCCCTTCTGACTTTTTCCCCATTGTTTCGGTTTTTATTTCCCCAATACCCTCCAAAAGTATAAATGATAGTAAAACAATTTATGTTCTGAAGCATGATTATGGTTTTGGGCCCTTCTCAGAGTCATTATAACCTTCGCCTGACGGAAAGGGCTAAAATGACTCTGAGTCGGGCGCAAAACATAGTTATGCCCAAGAACATAAACTTTGTATTATTTCATTTTAAGGGAACGTTTGGACCTGAGCGTTATCTGAGAAGAAGGCTAGAGATACGTCGGACACTCCGAACTTTCAAATGTGCTCTTAGTCTCATCAGAGAATGAATCTGGACATTTAGATTCCTTCCAAGGGATTCGACTGCCAATGTTTGTCAATGCGTAGAAGTGAATTGGTTACTCACTAAGTGAGTGCTTATTTATTCCAAACTGCACGAGAAAAATCATGTGATTACGTATTAATAACATACATGAAAAAATACGAGATAACTTCTCATAATTGTGGAGAAGCAAAGCGCGCGCACCAAGTGAAAAAATAATTTATTCAAACTGTGCGTTCGGTCAAAACAACCGCGTACGATCAAAACAATAATATACAATGATATTTTCACATCTTTAGGGCACAAATTGTTCAAAGTTCGGCTAAACAGTTCAAGGAATTGCTCAGTTTGTGTCCGAATCAATTTTTGTTTAATCATGTTTGCTTTTAATTTCGGCGTAGAGTCGCTCGGGCAAAGTGTTAAGCCGGGTCTGCTCGTAATTTTCAATTTCCTCGGCAATTCCCCTCTCTAAACACCACTTTTTCCAAACCGATAGCCAAAGAGTAGTGCGTTTTACAGTGTTTTCGTTGTTAGAGCTGTTTTTCAGCTGCTTTATTGTTGTTGCGCTGGCGAAAGAAAACCTACTTGAAACGCGAGCCATTGTTTCGCTCGCAAATTTTCAGCATATCCAAATGTTGCGACATCCGAGGCTCGCATTTGTTTGACTATCTGTGAGTTTCTTTGATTATTGACCAATCGGAATTCTGGTTTGTTACTTCTTTGCACTGAATTAACTGAAAACTGCGTTTATCTTAACCAATCAGAACTAAGTAATTTTTTCATGTATATTATTAGGAACAGTAATGAGCCACGATCTTGAAGTTGGGGCAAAATAGAGGAACTAAAAAGTTCCCCCATAATTAAGTTGTATGGACCGAAAAAAGTGGTTAATAAAAATAAATTTTCTCTCCCCCTCTATCTCCCCTCTCTCTTAAGCTAAAGTAAGTTTATTTTTGTTTCTAATAACTCAGACCACATAGACAATGGACCACGAAATAACTACGTGTGAATTTATTTCAGAAAAATAAGCACTTTTTTTCCTTTCTTTTAACTAAACTAATGCGTTATTTTTGTTCTTTTTGAGGTTGAGGCTTTTTTTCTTTTACAAAAATGAAAATATCAGTTACACAGTGTCCCACCTCAACTCACCCAGCCAAAAAATTAACTCTTGCATGCATTGCATGTCTATGATTTTACTGTTTGTCCAGTCCACTGTTTCTTCTTTTAACTTTGTTTGTTGCGATTATATTGAGCTCTGTTTTTTTTTCTCTGCTATGTTTGGTATTTTTGTTTAGTTGAATCTTGTGCATAGCTCGTTCTCTCCTCCGATTAAATATTTCATTCAAATCTTGCACAATGCTTTTCTCGTCTCTGTTTGATTTCCAAGTTAATATCTACCTTATTGTTTGTTTCAACTTAAATTTGTTTCCCATATTTGAATCTAGCCCTCTGTTCTTTTCCTTAACCCTTTAACTCCCATGAGTGACCAAGACAGAATTTCTCCTTACAATATAAACACAGAATCAAGCAGACAAGTGAGGAGAATAAAGAAGAAAACTCAATTAGAGAACTACAAGTTGATCCAATACCAAATTCTCCATATTGAAATCATGAGTATTTTATGGCAGACAATAGGGAGAATTACTAATGAGATCTTGGGAGTTAAAGGATTAATTCTGGCTGATTGTCACGTTCATATCCTACGAACTGTTTGTACTCTTCTGTTTGGTGTTAGTATCTCGCGCAATGTTTTCTCCTAATTTTATCTCAATAATTCGCTCACCGATTCTCTTCTTCTCTATTTGTTAATACTTTTCTTTTAGTATATTGCACTCTGTGCGTTCTCTTCTCCATTTAACTTTTAGATTAATATGTAGTGCCCTGTTCCCAACAATGTTTGATTTTTTCGGTAATTCTCAACCATTTTTCTCTTCTCTGTCTGATTTTTACATTACTGCCTCCTCTTTTCTATTTGATTGTTTCTTCAGTATCTCGGATCTTTTTGTTCCATTTTCTGTTAGTTTGTTATGTTATCATTTCTTGCACCTGTGAAAAGTCTTAATCACTCTTTAATAATCACGTGTGCGTGCAGCGGGAGAATTGAAGACAGAATTATAAAGATTTAAATCAAGGATTAACTTTGAGTTCTGAAGAAACTTTGCCACATTCTTACATTTTCATACATTAAGCTAATTTCCTGCGTTCAGTTTTCCCATCCCAATTTATTGTAGATCCCTATTGATAGTATACTTAATAGATCAAACGACTTAGTTGCAGGTTTCATTATCACCATCATCACAAAAGCACGCAAAATCTACTACTTGACTGAAAAAACAATTAAAAATGTCTTCGCAAAGTAATACCAGTGTCCATTGAACGACAATGTTTAGGAAGAAGAATCTTTGTGTAGGATCAGTAGTCACTCTGTTTCTTCTCCGCCTCGTTGTTGTCCTCCTCGAGTCCTTCTTTCCTGAAAAAAAACATTATAAATTTGTCACTATTTCAGCTTTAAAGTAAACGGAACAAGTCTCCAATCAAAGAAATTACTTTCTTCTTCAATTCCATTGGCTATGATTGTCCAAACTTGTCGAACATACCATGCTTGATACGAAAGTGACTTTAAGATTGTCAATTTATTGTTATTTTTGTTGATTTTTCACAAATAAAGTTAACTTTTCAGCTTCTCAAGTTACCTTCATCGTCATAACGTGTAGTATCGCATCGACTTTGACTAATTATTTCGGAGTATATATTGCATACGAAAGAAACGCAAATTCAAAGCCAATTTTAGAAAGCCTTCTGTGAAAAAATTCTGGCTCCGAGCGCTAGATAAAATCAAGTTCTTTTTCCTGGCATTTTATGGATGAAAGACAAAGACAAAAAAAAAACAAAAAAATTACGACAACTGAGTGAAGTGAATAACTTAAGTGTGCTAATCGGTTTATCGTAGAAAATTGCTCATTCTAATCAGACTTACCCTTTTTTCATAAAATCAAATGTCACGTTATCCCCCATCAACACAAACGGAGCCCATTGGGAAGGTTTGGAAAATCCATTACTTCTCAACCATTGAACGGC